GGGGGGGGGCCGGTAATTGTAGGGCGTCCAATGGAAATACCTCCGCTCTGTTGAAGCTACGGTTGAAGCTGAAAGCCGGAATTGATCTGAGGCTTCGGATTGGTCCGCACATTTGATATCCTCTGCCTTCCTACGTTCCTGGCTGCAGTAGGTACGCGCTCATTGCCACAGTACCTCTGTCCGCAGTACAATAGAAGTTGCTGTGTTACAGACAGCAACGGCCTGCAGTCTGAGGAGTTGTTGGGTATCGCGTGCTGACCACTGAGGACTGGCAGGGCAATAATCATCGGCTGAAAAGAATGTTCCTACTCCGTACGGGGATAGACACATACCGAGACCCCGATTTCTGCGGGACATGGTTGGAGTTGGGGATTTGGCAGGCCCGTGTTGACGAAGTCCTGGACCTAAGTCCTAAGTCCTAAGTTTAGGTATGTTTGATAACGTCGGAGGGGTCGGATAGTCATACAATACGAAGGCTAGAACCATCTACCTACCCACCTGGATGTCTTCGAGGGGGCTTGAGGCTCGTGACACTCGGCGCAGCGGTCAAGTATCAGACCAGGCACCTTGGGTAAGGTAAGGTATCGTATAGGACCTACCTACCTAGGTACCTTATGTAATGATTAATGCTCACAAAGAGTCGCTCTGCAATTGCCAGGCTACCTACCGTACCTTGGGTAGTGATGACTGCCAATATCTTTCCTCATACCTAAGTACACTTTTATACATCATAGTACCATGGCAGATACACCTTACCCAAGGGTCCTGTCCGGAGTACGAAGTCGCTCCCCTCGAACACGCATCTCGTGACCATGGATCCCCAGTTTTCACCTCGGGTGGCGGCCCAAAGAAGTCTAGCGGCCAGCTCCTAATTGATGCAGGGCCCAAGAGAGTGCGCGAGCGGGAAGCTGTGATATTTTAAGATCTTTATTTATATTTACATTATTTACATCTGCATTTGCATCTCCACGGTTTATGCCTCATGCTTTATGCTTTGTGATCGACAGAATCGCCAGGGGCCTTCTACTCATGTCCCCTTGATACCTTAATCATACGTAATCTAAAGTAGAAGATACGGTGTAATTAAACCCTTCTCACTTTTATTACTGTATATGTGCCGCGGCGTGTCCTGACCAATGAGAAGCGTCGGCTGGCCTGTCAGGAATCGCTCCCGCTCCTGTTCCTGACCTTGTTCCTGTCGCAAAGAACTCAGGAGACGGGACCTTTGACCATCACCTCTTCTCGTCGAATCTCCTGGACACCTCCAGTGCACATACACACGACGCTCTCAACGCAACATCGACATCTCCCATCCCCCCTCCTCTCTCTCCCATCTACGACTGTCTCTCCTATCCGGAATCAATCCTCCATCCGCAATTGCGCCCCTTTGCCACGGTTGTCGCCAAGTACACCCTCCTGTGCAGCAACTCCGCCCTCCCATCAACCCCCATCCGCAGGCCTCCTGATCAATGATCTTTAGTCGATAATCACTCCTTCATCGCACTCCTTCTTCCTGTTGAGCCATTGTTCCATCGAACATACGAGTAGTCTGGGCTCCCCGCAGACACCAGCTTAACAACTCGCAACCTAGACGCTCCGCAGCAGCCACAACGTCTGAGCGAACCTATCGCAGTCAGTCCATAACGACAGGAAACTATATTGCCGTCGACGCAGCAAATCTTCCCGATTCCCTCGAATCACACATCCATACGCCCTACTACCCCCCACCAAGACCCGGGACCGATATCGACAAGAGCCACTACTGTGAGAGCAGGAAGCATAGGTCCTCGGATCAAAGGGCGGCTGGCTGTCCCCCAAGATGGCAACCAGGCCTTCCTACATCGATCTTCGATCACAGTCTCATGGCCCTCTTGGAAATGGCTTATCTTCATCGGCTCTACCCTCCCCACGGAGCTTGCCATCACCCCGTCTCCATGTCGCTGGGGAAGTTCCTCCTGAGCTTTCACCGCTCGATGCCTTCGCAGCGCAGAGTCGACTGCTGGCTAAACAACTGGACGAGACTACGAGCTCAGGGAGGCGCCTAAGTCGATTACCCCCTCTCATGATCGAGAATACTTTCCTTCAGAATCGCCCCGGATACTTTCGCTCAGCGTCCTCAGAAGATGCTGCTCATACTCCGTCACCCAAGAGCCCTGGAGGTTTGAAGACAGAGGTAGAGAACCCGGCATCGCGACCCGTTTCTATCTATCCTCAGGTAAGTGGGTCGCCACCACCCGTGCCTCCGGTACCCCCTCCTCGATTTGATGCGCACGACGAAGAGCAATTTCGCGGGAGACCCACAAGCACCACCGCAGGGCCTACATACTTTGGCGCAAGGAGGGAACAATCGCCTATGGCACTGGATAGAGAGAATAGGTCTCCCAGGGCGGGTCACTCTCCCTCTGGCCTACGACCTCGGCCTAGTGTGGACTCGATCCGTCAACGTAGGGGACAAACGCCACTCAGATCCCAAGATGCCTCCTTGGCCACAGGAGGGTATGATTCTAGAGCACTGGCTCCTCCCCGGTCTCCTTTTCCGCAGAGAACACCTAGTCCCAGATCGATATCAGAGAGTTCAGATGATGACCTTGCCAGCCGCGTTCAAACCTTGTCACCGCGTCGCAAACTCTCTGGCAGTAGCGGCATGTCCACATCACCTACCCGCTTTTCACCTGGGCTGCACTCTATTGCGAGGTCACCATCTATAAGCTCAGAGATATCTGTTGGTGGTACACGTCTGCCGAGACCCACCTTCAACTTCTCTAGGCCGCTGAGCAGGGTGAGTACGAGCGGGCCGCCAGTTGAGATTCCCTCCCGACAGGCATCGTCAGATAGTCAGCCTTCATTCGTCTTGGCAGATGATACAGCAAACACACCCGTCAGCATGCATAGTGAAAGTTTCCCTGATACTAATAGCGAGACTGGTAATGCTGCGCCTTCATATGTCTATTCAACGTATTCGTTGCCACGAGGAAAAACGCTGCAAAGAAACTCTTTGATTTTCCAGGAGAGCCTCCCTCAAGCACAGTTCTCTTGGGAACAGCCAGTTCCGTTCAGCAATGTTCATCCTCTCCCGGGCGATGCTCCGCCTTCGCCACCCTCACGGCCTTCTACCTCGTCGAAAGCAGAAAGCAGCCATCCCTCACTAGATACTAATAGACCTTCCTTCGACCCAGGTCAAGCACCATCTGAACCTGCAAGACTATCGTACGAAATAGGCAGAGAGTCTACAGAACACCAACGCAAATCAGTGTACCAACCCTCTAAAGAACGCCCCACGTCCGCATCTGCAGCCTCATCGAGCACAATCAAGGCCCCATCACAGCATGCATTCGTATCCCCCGCAGAATGCTCTGCTGAAGAGCACGTCTCCAAAGCTATCGAGTATCATGAGGCAGGAGCCTTGACCAAATCCACCTACCACCTGCGTCTTGCAGCGCGGCAAAACCATCCAACAGGAATGCTCCTCTACGCTCTGGCGTGTCGACATGGATGGGGTATGCGTCCTAACCAACGAGAAGGCGTGGAATGGCTCCGAAGAGCTGCCGACGCAGTCAGTCTGGAGATGGCCGATGATGAGGATATACTCAAGCATGGAAAGACGGTCGATCCCTTGGAGCTGAAGACGAGGAAAGCGCAATTTGCATTGAGTATCTATGAACTTGGTGTCAGCCACATGAACGGGTGGGGTATTGAGCAAGACAAGGCGCTTGCATTAAGATGTTTTGAGATTGCTGGATGTGAGTTGACCCATAATGATATCTGGATGTCTGCTGATGAATTTAGCTTGGGGAGACGCAGATGCCCTAGCGGAGGCAGGCTTCTGCTACGCTCAAGGAATAGGGTGTAAGAAAGATCTGAAGAAGAGCGCCAAATTCTATAGGGAGGCAGAAGCCAAAGGAATAAGCATGATTGGCAATTCTTGGTTAGTCGCAACCCAACATCCGCCCCCCCTTTTCTAACGTAAAAATATCAGGATCTACAAGCCCAAATACAACGACGATGGAGAGAAAGACACGAGTAAGAAATCGGCCGAACGAGGAAGAACGTCGGGAGAAAGAGATTCCAGGTCGAGAAATAAATCAAGAACGAGGACCATGTTCGGCAGGATCAAATCCCATCCAAAAGAAGGGACCGAACCTCTTCCTGATCGGTGATGAACTGTAGCAGTTTTCTGCAATGTTCTTGGGATAGGGCGTTCTTCTGAATGACGACCCCAGTGTCTAATGAATGGGTGGTCTGGACTGTTTGTGTCTGGCATTGGGTTTTTCGGAGTTACAAACTGTGTTTGGGAAATCAATCATTGGCGAGATGGGTGGATTGCGATGGCATCTTAACGACTCATTACCCCTTCTGCGCAAGCTCTGCGAGCATTTGTTAAAGTTAAAAAGTTACTGTTGTGCATAGGCAGCTGCGAATACCACGATGTTTACATTCTGGGGTCTCCTTTTTGACCTTAAGGATCCAACGCTAAGAACTTGAGCAATATGCATGCATACATCTCTTTCTCATCTCATCTCTTAAATTCTGATCAGGTATCACCACAGTAAGGTAGGGAGCGAGCTTCTTATTGTTTTATTGATATTTATTCACGCAGTTCGTGAAATGCATTATATATTATATACATATATACATATATACACCATTCATCACCGTACCTATCCATCATGCTATGCTATGCTATGCAAATCCCATACCATACCATACCATACCAAATATCCTCCGTATATCCAACCCCTCCCCCACAATCCCCCTTTTTTCTTCCCTTTCTCTCCCAACCCAACCCCGGTGACCCCAGCCCCGGGGAGCGGGGATGGTGGGGAACTCAAAATTCAAATTATTATTCGTCTCTCAAACTCTCTCAAACAGCCATGGTCCACGCCTCCTCCTCACCGAGCTCCAACTCCCAATCCCGATCCCAATGGCGTCGAAAGCCAGCCTCCCAATCGCGAAACCCGCGTTCCATCTCCGCTGTGCACGTATCACGCACACTATCCACGATACTTACGATGTTGTTCGTGGTGTTGTCTCGAATCAGCGGTATTGGAGTATTAGTGACATCGGCGAGGGGTTTGGTAAAGGATGATGAAGATGAAGATGGAGAGTGGTGCTGGTGGTGATACGTCTCGATGTAATCGTAGTCGTCGTCGTCATCTTCGTCGTTGGAGCTGGAGCTGGAACTTGTGGTGTCGGAGAGGCAGGGCGGGGTCGGGGAGGAGGGAAGTTGGAATGGGGTTGGGTTTGGGATTGGGTTTGGGATTGTGGGTGCTGGGGGGATGGAGATTGAGGGAGGGCTGGGGAGAGTGGAGGAGGTCCCGAGGTCGCGCTTGATGGCTTCGAGTCTGTCGCGGAATAGATGCACACTATCTCTGCGTCCTTGCATCCAAGACGGCGGTCTCCAATCGTCATCCTCCTCCTCCTCCTCCTCTTCTTCTTCCTCGTCGCCGAATAAGAACAGCTGCCCGGGAGGAGGAGTGATGGCTGGGGTTTGGATTCCCCGCGAGATGCTTAATCGAGGAGCCTCGGGTTCCGGGCTCTTCAGGGGTGCGTGTGGTAGTTTCTGGATCGTTTTGTTGGAGGGGGAGGAGGAGCCTGATGGGGAAGTTGAAGTTGGAGTTGGAGATGGGAGGGAGGACGATCTGAAAGTCCGTTGTGATGTGAGGGTGGTGAAGGGGTCTTCGGGAGGGTGAGTGAGCGCTATGCATTGCTCGACGAGCTCGTGGAAGCGGACGATCTTCCAGGAGTTCAGACTGCGGTTTAGGTTCGTGGATGACGAGCAGGGGGAGGTACTCGCGCGTGTGAGTCCGGGGGTGGAAAAGAGGGATGATGAGGAGTCGTCGTTCAGAACAGTGGGCTTCAGGATTGGAGCAGAGGATATTGATCTCCGCAGCATCAGCTCGCTGAGAGTGCGTTTCTTTAAGATGGGCTTCATGGGGAAGTGGGGAGAATCGGGAGGAGCGGAGTTCCTGCGAGGCTCGGCATCTGATGGGTGGCTTCGGTCCCAGGTGCAGAAACCGGGTTGAAGAGGGCCGTACAGCCATGTCACGTCGTGGTCTTTTAACCTGTGATCATCTAGTCAGCGGGAATTCAAGCCAGAAACCCAGAGAGACACGAGAACTACTTACCATCTGACGGTTTCCGGAGAGGTGGTCTTCAGATTTCTCCGTTTCTTTTCCCATGCTCTCCAGGATGCGTTCTCTAACCGCGCGCTGTTGCTGTATATTTTCCTTCTCGATACTATGTGTTTCCAGGACGCCCAGAGCTCCTCCTCTTTCCAGTCATGTGAGAGATAATCGACATGTCTCGATGGTTGGACGCGCACGGCTGTGTCGTCCTCAGGACGCTCGATCTGAAGGCCGTGGGGTATCCGCACCGCGGATGAAGGGAGTTCAGGGGAAGACTCTGGTTCTGCGCTTGGGATTCCAGCATCATTCTCCGGCGTGGAATGGCTCTCGTAGTCGTCGTATGAGGGGAAGTAGATCTCGTCGTCCTCGAACAGAGGCGGTGGAGTGAGGGGTGTTAATGAGAGGCTTGTTGACCGGGAGCTTAGTCCTGGACTCCACAGGCTCTCGTTTTCACTCAGCTCATAGTCCTCATAGTCCTCTTCGTACTCCCCGTACAGATCTTCCCTTGGGTTATACATTGGGGAATCACTGGTTTGCCTGATCGGCCGTGATATAAAATCTGTTCAGATTCTTCCTTGGGATGGCTTCCTTCAGATGGTATATTCATACAAAACCCTCCTGCCAGACCTGCGGTTCTTGGAGAGCCCCCTTGATATCGGTGATATCGTCTTCCAACTCTCAGCAAACCCCTGAGCGTCACGTGCCTCTTTCCGACTGATGGACCTTGACCAAGCTCCGTCTCCAGCATCAATTGACTCCTGTACTTAAGAGAAAGAGCAGGTCTGGTAAGAAATACCACACAGAAAATGCCTCCAGACCACTCCCAGCCGTCGACGTGGTTATTACGCGCTCCGACGCTGTGGTGGAGATGACGGACGATCGCGACTCTTCAGCTGCGCGCCGGAAATGCCAATTGCGCTGTGCACACGCGCAAAGTGGTTGACAGCCTTGCCAGTGAGGTCAACAGATGCCCAGCAGCAAGTTCGCGACCGTGAGCCTGCTGTTGAGCGCAGAATTGGGCAAATAATGGCGGTGGTCGCAGATTTTCTTCTTCTTCGCGACTTGAGACAGGCAGCCCAACAGAATGTCGCTTGACCAGGGGGGGTCTTCAACAGGAGTCGCGGAATAGGCGCTCTCTCAAAGGCGCAGCGATGGCAATGCAATCATGATCAGTTCATAAATCGGGATATCGTGAGGAGTAAATTCGTGGGGAGGAAGGGAAAAGGAAGTTGGCATCATCAGAAAAGAAGAATTAGGACGGGAGTTTCGGGGGGGCGCGCATCTGGGGACACTAAGTGGATATATAATATAGGGGAGTCCGGAGAGAGACAGGCAAAGACGTAATTGAGACATACGGCAGCTTAAGGTGGTTAAGTCACGAAAGGATAAGGTAGCATAGCATAGCATAACATAACATAACATAACTAACTCTAATTCATCATTATTACCGGTACACGGCCCTGGTCGAGGACTCCGAATACAGTAATACCTGCTTATGCTTACTCTTCCTCATCTCCCACGCCCTTCCCTCCCCTTCTCTCCCTTTCTCTCTCTTTGCCCTTCTCCTTGGAAATTAACAGCTCCAGACCCCTACAACTTCACACACAGGGTTCATCACAATCGCAGTCCGCATCCATTATTATCCTGTCCTGCTCTCCGACCAACCCGACAGAGCATCTGCCCTCGTGCGCACCTCCTGTCTCTGTGGAAGCTGGACGCTCCTCGAGCCTTGCGGCTAAGCCATTCCATTCCACCGGGTTCCTGGTGGAGCTGCGGCAGCAGGTTTCGTTGGGGTAACGATGGAGCCAGCCCCTGCGACTCGGAGCCTTGTGGAGGAGATTGTGGGTTGTGGGTACTCGGACCGGGCTCTTGATTTGATCGACTGGCCCGTCGCGCTGTCGACCTCCGTGGCTTTTCGTGCCGTTGGCTCCCAGACCTTAGGAATTCCCCACAGCTCTCAACGTTTTGACTTTTGAGAGCGGGTAGGTAAGGTAAGGTAAATTGTTTCTTGAGTTTAATTTCCTTGAGTTCTTTTTTACAGCCCTATTTACGGAGTATCTTTTGTCATTTTAACTCCGTCCTGTCTGTTGTACGTACTATACGCGCTCTCTTACTGTACTACGACCGAATCGAGCCGAGCCATTGCTGAGGTTGTCATATGTGATAGGAGTACAACTGTACCTCACATCAGCTTGCTCCCTCCACGACAGACTACAGTTCGATCCCTTATCTGTGTATCTCCCTCACTTCTGCTCTTCACAGGCTTCCGGACTCCCCCAGTTCCCTACGGACACCGCTAGTGCGCAGAACCCTTACTGTCTTACTGTACAGAACTGTGTCCACGCGAGCAATTTTCTCCCCCACGCCCATCTCCCGAGCTGCTTTCAATTGGTCTTTACTATTGAGAGTCTCCTTGCCAGTTCATCTTGCTGTGACCTCAGCACAGGTTGCCGAGCAGTTGTGTCGGAGTCGATGTTCTATGGCTACAACCCCAAGTGTTGGAACTTGCAACGCACTGCTCAAGTAGAGAGCGCCCCGATACCGAGGACTTGCTGGCTGTTTACAGATGCTCTATCTTCACTCCGCAGATCAGCTAGATCAGAACGGCAGTGTGTCCCGTCCGAATACCCCTCCTTCTTATCTATCTATCTACTTCCCCCTCTACAGTAATCAGTCGGTGTACACTACGTACAACTAGATAAGGTAATTCGCTGTCAGACGGACTGTCAGACAATCCGCCCCTCCCCTCCGAATAATACAGCATTAGTCCTCTCTCTCTCTCACGTAACAAATCTCATAAACTCAGATAACAACGTATACAGAAACCCGCACAAAGATTGATTGTTTATCTGATTCTAGCACCCGATCCTGATCCCAAAAATCACGTGACGCGCGCTAGTTCTTCGATTCCGGTAATGCTTTTTTTCCAACCAAGGGACCGCCTAACGATAGGAACTCGTGTTTAAGGGTCGGGGTTTCGTGAAACCGGTTTTCAGTATTAGGCAGAGATGGAAGGACCGGTCTTGAGCGGTCCGGTGGAAGCTAATCAGATTAAGGGAGGTTGAGGCGAGTATTTCAGCACATAACGTATATATCAACATGACGTGCAAAACCTATTTTTATTTCTTCTATCTCATCAGGTAAACTATTAAATCACCGACCGCGTGATCGGACAAGTCCCCGCCGGACGTCCCCAATATGGATATCGAAGAAACGCCAAACGCCACTTCGTGATGATAATGATGCGGAGGGTAGAAAGATACTACTCCCATGACCGGAAACGCCATGGACTTACCGTCCATTTCCAAGACCCAACGAAGAGGCGGTATAACATACAACGAGCCAGTTTTCCTTTCTTATGCAGAGACGGCCACGGGCCTTGATGCTTCGGGAGCGGATTCCTCCTCGATCTCCCCGCCCGCTTCCCGTTCAGCCCAATCTCCCCATAAACCTCTCTTTCCCCGTATCCGGATTGGGCCACCAAGGGGAGTATCTTGTTGCTCGACCTTGACGGCATCTTTCGTCGCTAGAACTAGAACCTCAAAGAACATCTTGGTAGCATCTGCCTTGCTTGTTGTTTCTTCCGGTAACAGGTCCTGGAACAGTACGGTGGCTTTCTTTCTCTTGTCTGGGCTGTTGGCAGCCTCGGGGCCGAATCTGTCGCGGAGAAGGTGAACTGCGTGTTTGGTGCCCAGAGACACAGGCCCGCTATCTGCAGGGTGTACCAATGGTGCAGTAGTCTCGTCGAAATTGGGTCCGGGAGATTCAACAAGGCCAGCACTGGCATTGTGCTCCTCATCTTCCACATTCACCATAAATCCATCATCACCAGGCATCTCCATAACAGTGGCATCCGCTGCAATGACGGTAGTATCCTCTCCTCCTAGACCTGCGTCGCCGAGATTCTCTCTTACTTCCTCCTCATCTTCACCCAGTTCTAGTCGTGGTGATTTGTGTGGCCCTTCTTCAGCATCGCTCCCCATGTCTGCAACGCCACTGTCACGCTTGCGCTTCAGCTGGCTGGTCTTCTGCACTGCACTTAATGAAAGCATTCCCCTGAGTTCCGGAGCCCAGCCTCTGCTTCGTCCTTCACCCATGATGTTTGAGACGAAGCCTCCGTTCTTCTGCATCTCCATGAGAGCAAGGAGCTCAGGGTCACGAGGTAGAAACGATTGAGGCCGGGTGATTTTATCGCGGTTTGCTTGCTGTTCTTTGATTTGCGAGTTAGGAATCGTAGTTTGTGAATCGGGTTGTAGCAGTCTCTGTTTTCTAGCACGCTGCGCGGGATTTCGGTGGATTGACTGTTCGGTCTCCTCTTCTGGCTCATATAGTGTGGAGTCCAGATTTTGTTGGTATGCGGCCTCGACCTCTTGAACCACGGTCTCATCGATGTCCGAAAGAGGGGACTCAGAAATTCTTGCGCGATCGATGGTAGGAGCTGCCGGTAGAGCAGAGACGTCCGGTTGGTCACCAATGCCGTACATGTCAACGTCTCCGTCATCATCTGCCATACGAATGGCGGCATCGCCCGCAAACCCGAGGTCAAGAGTCACATCACCGTCTCCAGCGGGTTCTACTTCCTTGGCAGGTACTTGAACATCAAGCTCGCTCAGCAAATCATCTTCCGCACGTCGAGCCGCGGGTGCATCTCTTCCAATTTCGATACTTTGATCGTTTTTCGATTGCATGTTGTCGTCAATATCAAGGCCATAATCCAAACCAAGGTCGATATCATCCATGGGATCCAAAGCAAGTTCTTCCTCGTCAAAAGTATTTTCGTTTTCAATGCTGTTTTGCAAGAATTGACTACCTTGATAATCCTCCCGTAAGTTTATATCACGGCTTCCAGCTCGATGCTTGCGACCGATATGCGATTCATCATCGATTTGTGACAGAAGGAACGACGCGTCTGGTAAGGGTGGCATTTCGAGGTTATCCCCTTCTGTGAGGACATCTGGGAGCATTAGAGCATCTCGAGATGGCATATGCAGGCCGGCAGGGATATCATTGTTGCCAGAAAGACGGAAGGCCTAAACTCGATATTAGATTAGAGCGAAAGAGGAAGTCTTCGTCCCGCATACCATCTTGATTTTCATGAGCGCCTCGTTACAATCGTCGAGTAAATAACGCGCTTTTCGACTATAGATTCTCACAACACCCAGCAGAAGCTGGCCACTGAGTCGCAGAGCCATGGGTGCTTGATTGGGCGTAACAATAGCCTCGACACTGTCCTTGACACTTGCTTGTAAGATATGGTTCTTAGAAAGCTTGCGCTCCAGGTTGGCCGAGAGCCAGACGCGGGCCAAAGGCCCGGTCTTTGAAAGAAGAGTTTCGGAATAGAACATGTTGATAGTAGATTGCAATCGAGGCGTTGCGCCTATAGCGAGGTCTTTTCGTTGTTGCTAGCAAATGCAGAGGTTGGTCGTAGAAGACAGCGCGTTTGTTGATGTTGTGTTGGTCGCGTCGAGTCGACAGAGTCGGGCGCAACTCTTTTCGAGGACGCGTTAGGGTCGCTCGAGGACGAGTCGAGTGATCGCCTCGTTAAGATTATGCAAAGGAACCAGCGACCAGAAGGCCAGATGGTGAAGCAATTACTGTGATGATGGTTGTGACAAAATTCATGGTGGGGAGAGCTGTGGTTAATCGGGAGGCGGGTTCAGCCAAGGCGGAATGGGTCTAACGGCATCCGCTCTGTCACGTGACCGAGGTATTCCTGGACCTCGAGGTCCTTTGTCCTGCGAGGGTCATCTCAATCACGAATCCGAATTACTTGGAATCTGTCATTTAATTGTTGCGTGTCAAATCGTCCCTTTAATGTATGTACTTTCTCCCAAACTATGTGAGCATACGGAAATATCAACATCTTCCCTGAACCCTATCGAAGTGTTTTGGGGCCAGTGCAGAACAGGGGTCCGACCGAAGGGAGATCAGACGCGGACGACACGTAACTATTCAAAAGAACAGAATAATAATAACCTCCACATTGGTACAGATCCATTGGCAGGCGATCAGCAGCAAATTACCGAGACGGTCCAGACCTTCGACATTCGCGATCGCGATTCTCTTTATCCAGCGCCCTGGTCCCAATTCCTTTGCGCAATCCCAAAACCCTCTGCAAACCTACCCCCAATTTCGCATGCCTCAGCGATAGGGACGACTTTATCGACAGCAGCACGTTCTGCTCGTCATCCCCATATTGTGGGGGACTCAAACAAGAGAAAAAGATGGCTTGGCCGCGCCTCTCACGGTCTGCGAGTCCAGGAGGGAATATATTACCATTGGCCCAATTACCAGCCATCAATGCTGCGAATTCAGAACCACCCTCGCGACCACAGTCGAGGGCCAGGTCGAGGTCAAGGAGCAGGCATAGTCGATCCTCCTCGTCTATGGCCAAGGTTGGTTGTATCGCGCGTCTCTTTTAAGGAAATATTAACCTTCGAATAGTCAATAGCAGACGAATTCGCCAGTCTTACCCCCGCCGAAACAGCTGAGCGATTGCAGACCTCTCTCACAAATGGCCTCACTCCGGCCGAAGCCCTTGCTCGATTGCACGACCAAGGTCCAAACGAGCTCTTTCATGAAGAACCCGAGCCTTTGTGGCTACGATTTTTGAAGCAGTTCAAGGAGCCCCTGATCCTCCTCCTGCTTGCTTCTGCGGGCGCGTCTGTTCTGGTTGGAAATTCTGACGATGCCATCAGTATATCTGTAGCAGTCACAATAGTTGTGTCTGTAGGGTTTATTCAAGAATATAGATCGGAGAAGTCAATCGAGGCTTTAAACCACCTGGTACCGAACCATGCACACTTGATTCGAGCGGAGGTGAAGCCTCCAAGCCAGCGGACACCCACGTGGCCACCAAGTACCGGTCAGGCGCCAGATGCGGAGGGACTGATGGGCTCGACTTCGACTGAGGATGCTGAGGCCAAGATGGAAGCTACGTCGAGCAAAGTCATGGCGGCGCAACTTGTCCCTGGGGACCTGGTTCTCTTTACGACCGGTGATAGGATACCCGCCGACATACGTGTGACGCAGGCTACGGATCTGTCAATTGACGAATCTAACCTCACTGGGGAGAATGAGCCTGTCAGAATCACGGCTGCAGCAAAGCTCGGGATGCCTTTATCCAGATCTTCGTCAAACCATCTGGAGGCACCAGGTGTACGAGAATATGCATCTGCTGGAAGTGGTACTGTTGGAGCAGATACCCACTTGAACAACACCACAAATATCGCGTTTATGGGAACACTGGTGAGATCTGGATATGGGCAGGGGATTGTGTATGCAACGGGTGCGAATACATATTTCGGTACCATTGCAGCAAGTGTTTCCGAGACGGAAAGCCCTCGAACCCCTCTACAGCTCAGTATGGATGCGCTCGGATCGCAACTAAGCCAAGCTTCATTCGTCATCATTGGAGTGATATCATTCGTCGGTTGGCTTCAAGGCAAGGGGCTTTTAGAGATTTTCACAATCTCTATATCATTGGCCGTTGCTGCCATTCCTGAGGGTCTTCCTATCATTGTCACAGTCACCCTGGCGCTAGGGGTACATCGCATGGCACAGTATAATGCTATTGTGCGAAAGATGCCGAGTGTAGAGACCCTCGGATCCGTCAATGTTGTATGCAGTGACAAAACGGGTAAGAAACTATTACGTATAACTCCTCAGCAACACTGCTGATAGTCAATAGGCACCCTCACAATGAACCACATGACAACAACGAAAGTGTGGTACTTTGATGCAGAGGCACCCATCCAGGTTGATTCCGACGACGAAGCCACTGAAGCAAAACCCGATCCGGCATTGTTGAGAATTCTGCGCATTGGGAATATAGCTAACAATGCGCGCCTCACACGACATGCACAAGAAACATCGGCCTCATCGATAGCTGTGCTTTCTTCTACTCAAAGCCACCTGCCCGGTCAAGGACTTCGAAGTAGATGGGTTGGACAGCCTACAGATGTCGCAATGCTCGATATGATGGATCGATTTAAGGAACACGACGTTCGAGAGGGACTCGGTCACCGCCTTGGCGAGACCCCGTTTAGCTCAGAGAGGAAATGGATGGGCGTCACTATAGGAGACAATGGGACCGACGGTACCTCCAGTACGAAGGAAGTGGCATATATCAAAGGTGCTGTTGATCGGATCCTGGAGCGATGTGACACCTACCTCACCAAAGACGGCCGTGAAGTTGTCTTGGATTCATCCCGGAGACAAGAAGTTCTAGATGCGGCTGAGAAGCTTGCTAGAGAAGGCCTCCGAGTGCTTGGGTTCGCGAGTGGTCCAGTATCAAAGCATGCTAGATTACTTACGGCTCCTATGAGTCGAAGTGGAACTCCTAGTAACACACATACTAGCAGGACCGCGGAACCCCCAGTTTCACACAATGAGGACGTATACAAGGGCCTCGTCTTTGCAGGTCTTGTTGGAATGAGTGATCCCCCTCGCGCTGGTGTTCAAAAGTCAATTAGACGTCTCTTGCGGGGCGGAGTGAAGGTTATCATGATCACAGGCGATGCCGACACAACAGCTCTAGCTATTGGGAAGAAACTTGGAATGGCTATCGCGACGCCACGTGAGCCGACAGCGAATTCTGTTGCTGTCAAACCCATTTTACGAGGGGACGAGATCGAGGAAATGTCTGACGAAGAGCTACAAGCCGCCATTGCCAACACCTCGATATTTGCACGTACTAGTCCTGAGCATAAAATGAAGATCGTTCGCGCGCTTCAAGCACGTGGTGACATTGTTGCGATGACAGGAGACGGTGTGAATGATGCTCCAGCACTTAAGAAGGCCGATATAGGAATTTCAATGGGGTTGATGGGCACTGATGTTGCCAAAGAGGCAGCAGATATGATATTGACGGACGACGATTTTTCCACCATACTTCATGCAATTGAAGAAGGAAAGGGAATATTCAACAACATCCAGAATTTCCTGACCTTCCAACTGAGTACAAGTGCTGCAGCACTAAGCTTGGTGTTTTTCTGCACGTGTTTTGGATTCAAGAATCCGCTGAACGCGATGCAGATTCTCTGGATAAGTACGTCTAGCTCTCCTTCATTCCCACTGTCACTTAACTGACTTTGTTCCCTAGACATTATTATGGATGGACCTCCCGCCCAATCGCTTGGCGTCGAGCCTGTTGACCCCGACGTTATGACTCGCCCTCCTCGAAAACGTAACGCACCGGTCCTCACCTGGCCTCTCATAACCCGTGTCATGACCTCCGCTGTTATCATAATGATAGGCACCATGGTGGTCTACACTCATGAAATGCTGAAAGATGGAGAAGTTACGAAGCGTGACACAACAATGACTTTTACCTGCTTCGTCTTATTCGACATGTTCAATGCTTTGAACTGCAGGTCTGAAAGTAAAAGTGTGCTAAGAGGCGAGGTACCGCTGTTTGGTAACCGCCTATTTAACTGGGCGGTTAGCCTGAGCTTGGGAGGGCAAATCCTCGTTATTTATTTCCCATGGTTGCAGGAGGTTTTCCAGACGGAGGCTCTTGGATTTACGGATTTATTAGGTTTGGTCCTATTAACAAGCAGTGTTTTTTGGGCAGATGAAGCTAGAAAATGGTGGAAAGCTAAGGGGAAGAGGAGATTAGGGGGCGGGTATAGCCAGGTCGTTTAGTCGTAACATGATGCATGGGTGCAACAGGAAAGACAAACGGGGTTCGGAAGACATTGTATAGATAGTTCGAATTAGCAGGCCAGGTTCCTGGATTATTGGGTATATATTTGATACCAGGCAAATCGGCGACTCTCTTTTTTGTGAGTAATTATGCCAAAGTGAAGTCTAGTTACCATTTTATTGAACGGGTTTGCATCCCAAAGTCTGAGATAGAGGAACTCCCTGAGGATGTTAATATAAATTCTCGCTTATTTCGACAACCACACAGATCGAAACGCCAGCTAAATCAACTCATCCCACATCTTCCCATGACGTACCCTAACCAATGCCTCCTTCCGGCCTCCAAAATGGCTCGTCTTCTCTTCCGCCGCTCGAAGAGTCCCCGGCGTCCCCCTCCATCTACGAATCTTCCTCCCTAGCCGCCATCCGGGCATCCCTCGCGACCCTCCACTCCCGCGATGCGGCCATCTCTTCCCGTCTGCAGGCCCTCATTGCCTCACAGGCAGACCTCTCCCGCGAGCTTGGACGCTTAGATCTGTTGCGCGCACACTTAGGTACCCAGGTCGTGAATACAAGAAGCATAAGCAATGGCATGCTGGACTCTGCCGCGAACACTGCCTCCCACCTCTCATCCAAAGTCAAGGAGCTTGATTTGGAAAAGAAGAGAGTGGAGGAGACGCTCGGTGTTGTGGAACAGGTCGCGGAGTTGAAAGCTTGTGTACAAGGCGTTATAGGATCTATGGGTGCCCCGCAGGACTGGGAAGCGGCTGCTGGATACATTGCGCGTTCGTCCAAAATACCAAAGTCAATTATTGAGGGGAAGTTTGCAGCCACCGTTGTCCCCTCTGTCGAAGTCCCGGATGCGCCTGGAGTTACAATCGAATCTTCGAAGGAATCACTATGTGGTCTGTTCTTGAGAGAATTCGAGAAGGCCGCAGAGGAAGGTGATGGTGCAAAGGTTACACGCTTCTTTAAATTGTTTCCCCTCATAGGAAGAGAGGATACGGGACTAGAAGTCTATGGAAAATATGTTTGTCAGGGCGTGGCAAGCAGGGCCCGGGCGAATTTGAAAGAAGGGACGAAAGGGCGGGAGTCCAAGGATGGATTTTTCTATGCGAATGCCTTGACGAAGTTATTCGAGCATATTGCACAAATTGTGGAAGGGCATGGCGGTTTGGTAGAGAGACATTATGGGGCGGGTCGAATGGTCAAAGTGATCGAAAGGTTACAGATTGAGGCGGATGTTCAGGGGGGGATTGTGCTGGATACATGGAGTGATGAGAGGAATGTGGACAGAAGATTGACGGATGTGAAGAGCTATCCCTTCTCATTTTTGGTGCAGAGCTTCTTACCTGCGCAGAGATCATCCGGAATTTCTAGGACCAATTCGCCAGCCGTTGGGGGTGGTACGGACGGGAGACTTAGTGAAGACGAAGGAGTAGACATGAAGGAGGTTGATGGGTTACTGAGTGAGATGGCCATCATGCTTGGTCGCTGGTCTCTATATTCCCGGTTCCTTGGCGGGAAGTGTAGGGTGAGTTCTCAAGGAGCGGTTCTTTTACGCGCCATTTCTAAGATCTTCCAGGACCCGGCCGAAAGTCCTGATGGACCTTTGCTCATGCCAGATTTACTCGCAAAATCAGCCCTGACGCGAAAAATCTCTGCGCGTTTGACGACACCTTTCAACGTAATGACTACTTTCTTCTTCCGGCGCTCTGTAGAAAAGGCATTCCAGCTCGATGAGTTACCTACGGGACTCACACTCAATCCCTCCAAGCCAATAGATGGCAGCGGTCCGTTCATCATCTCCGCCGTCGACGATGTAATGTACATCGTCAATACTGTCCTCCAACGTTCTCTTTCGACGTCTCAGCGAGACGTGATATCCTCGGTCGTACCAACTATTGGCCGAGTTCTCGGCTCTGATTTCGTTGGTATGGTCCAGCGGAAAATGCGGGACGAGTACTACCCCAAAGCCGTTGTCCAAGGCGGCTTTCCCCCGGAGGATAAAATCATAGCATTCATTGTCCTTATTAATTCCCTTGACGTGGCGAACGACTACATATCACGAATCGTCAGCTCTCGTCTAAATCCCGAACCGGCCAACAATGGGAATACGCTGCAAGACATGTTCCCCTTCTCCCATGATGCAACTTTTGTCGCTAATACGCTCGAAACCCTCAACGTTACATTCTCATCCAAGACCTCTGAGCTCATCACAGATGGAATGCACGTCTTGTTTAACCAAGTCATCAAGCCTCGCCTTCGTCCTGTCCTCTCTGATACTTTCCGAGACGCCGACTATTCATTAACAGAAGAAGATCTCGCCGACCTAGCAAGACAAGATGATACAGATGAGGATCCTGAATTTTTCCAGGAAATCGTAACCCGAAGATTCGAGCATTCCTGGGACGCTCTCATGAGACCCATCAAGCGTATCCTGACCGCCAAAACATATGCGATGTTGCTCGACTCAACAGCTAAATACCTTGCCCGGGTACTCGAGAAACGCATCTGGTCATATGCAGGGAAGATGAATGCTCTCGGTGCCACGCGGATAGAGAAAGACTTCTCTGGCATCGTGGGCGCGGTAGCCAAGGGCGGCAAATATAGCGTCCGCGATCTCTTCTCCAGGGTTACCCAGATCTGTATGCTAGTCACGATGGAGGACGAGGAATGGGAAGCGCTGGTTGAGGAGGAGAAAGATGGCGATGAGGAGATGGCTTGGGTGTTAAGTCTTGATGAGAGGCTGAGGGCTAGGAATATGGTGAGAAATTGAAGTCGGATGCATTTATCCGGTCCCAATGGCGTTGGAGGCGAATGGATAGAATAACCTGCTGTATGACTTATGATGAATAGAAAAGCAAACTGTGCAAAGATATTCATTGTGGACTGCCAATACACTCATCAACTATCTCCTTGACAATGTTCTGAAGCTGTTATACTCCCTACAATATAAGAAATGGCCCCCACGAAGGTACTGGGCGACCTCTTAAACCCCTCCTACACTTGAAAACAAACTGTATCCAATTTCCTTCAAGTACCTATACACACCAGATGTCCTCTAACAAACTCTCCCTACATTCTTTCTGCTATAAGCTTCCATTACACTTTCTCTTTTACGGTACAAAGATCAAATGCTCTGATCCTTTGACCTCCCTGATCTCCACCCCCTTTTTCCGCCTCGACTCATGATTGGTCAGCCTTGTCTTTAAGCGAGCTGGCGAGGCTGTACGGGAATCTAACAGCCTTCCTTGGTTTGGAGTGTGCGAATCATGAAACCCACCCCGCATTTAGATATGATTAGGACGTTATGTACGTAGATGGGTGTCTTTCTTTTGAGATATTACTCTTTGAGGTAGCGGCACGCAGGATTATTATATGACACAAAGAGGGAAATTAAAAGTCGAAATTAATGAGGCTACTGGACCGCAAACTATGCCAGAACCTCCCTCATATTTATGTATAACCCCGAGGTAGTATTCATGAAGGAAAATTTAATGTACAATTCTCTATTTCCAGTAGTAAGAGTACTGCTTTGTGCCAATAACCTCATCGGCAAAGTGCTCTGCCTTTCCCTCTCCCCCAGCGCCCGCGCACACGACCAGCGGCAGGAAATGCTCCACCCCACCAGCGGGATGTGCCTCTTTCGCGCCGACCCAGTCTCTCCAGCCCTCCAGCAGCTTGCCCCGCTCCTCGATATTCTCTGATGTGACCGCCTTCGTCAGCGCGTCGCTGAACTGTGCATTCCGCGCCTTGAAGCCCCGGTCGTTCGCCAGTCCCGAGAACATGATCCGCAGGTTGTGGAAGGTCGGCATCCCGGACCCGACGATGGCGACTCCTTTCTCGCGTAGGGGAGCCAGTGCCCGGCCCATGGCGAAGTGCTGTGCGGGAGAGTCGGAGGCGAGGACGGAGAGTTGGACGATGGGAACGTTCGCTTTGGGGTTGATGAGGAGCATTGGGATGAAGACACCGTGGTCCCAGCCTTGCAAGTAAGTAAGTCAGCAAGGGCCGACTCTCTCAATGAGGATAGGAACAACTTACCTCTCTCACCATCCAATTGGGGGTTGAGGCCGGCCTTCTCCAGCGCCTCGTAGACCTCCTTGGCCACCTCTGGGCTCCCCGGCGCATCGTACTTCAGCTTGTAGGTCTCGGGAGGGAATCCGCCGTAGTCGTAGTAGAGCTTATGTTTGTTGCCATTGCTAATAGTCGGCCGCCGCTCGCTCCAATGCGCCGTCACCAGGACGATGGCCCGCGGGGCATTCGGCGTCCCCAGGCCGAGAATCTTGGGCACCTTCTCGGTCATCGACTTGATCAGATCGGCGTGGCTCGGGTCGCCCATGACGGGCATGGGACCGCCGCCATGGCAGACCGCGATGACGGGCGCTGGCATCGTGTGGTACTCGCTGGTCTGATTGAGCGAGCAGACGGGCAGGTTGGGCCGAAGGAAGAGGCTCGACAAGAGTGCGGCTGATGTGCGGTTGATAACGCGCATGAATGGATCTGTCAGTTCTGGGTAGCAAGGGTCAGGTATAGCAAAAGGGCTTTCCGTGGAGTCGTCGAGCTTTTTATTTATATCGACGCCGACTTGGCCTTTCGGATGGCGACTGCGGCTGAGATCCAACCCGCCCGCTCGTCACACCAGCCGACGGGCTTTGATTCATCAGCATTGGGTGATCGCTTTGTCAGAGGCGGCACGTGACATGGTATTTGTTTTGCCTTTTGCCTGGATGACAGAATTGAAGTCGACCTTGCTGAAAATCGTCGACGATGATATGCTGTGAGAATGGTCTGAGCCGGTCGGGCTGGTCGTGGCGCATGAGAATCCTTGAGATGGCCTCGAGTTGAGGTACCCGTGTCTCGCAGTAATCGGAGGAGAATTAATCAGGTTTCGGATTATATCCTCACTGGGCTTAAATCAGTCCTTTCCCTTTTATCTTTCTCTCTTTCTTTCTATTTTTTATTTGTTAGGTTTGAGACAATCGATTGTCTTCGATGAAAGTTCTCCTCAGCTGAGAACAGCTATACCTAGCATTATCATAGGCATACTCTACCAACTGAAGTTCAGGTTACGAGAGAGAACAATTCAACTTCACGTTGACCTGGGCCGTCTAATTGATGCACTCTTACACAAGACCGTTACTGCCAACTCTTCTCCCCACGCCTCCTCCCACCAGAGCATTCATATCCTCACCAAAGCTAGGAAGCCGCTGTTGTACCGAGTTCAAATATTCTCCTCATATTCCAGGAAAGGATGAGTGGTCTCTTGTTTCTGGTCTTAAAACATCTTGTCTCCCTCGTGTTTTGCCTTCCAAATCTTCTCAGAGATGTCATTCTCCTAAGATCCCCTCCTGGCAAGGAAGATTCGCGTTTGCGAACCAGATCGCATTCTCGGATCCATGAAGTCTGTCAGGTCCCATGATTTCATCACCCCATTACGACGTCTGCCTCCTTTTTACCTCTTCTTCGCCAGTACCCCACAGCATCGGGCATCGCCGTCCACATGTTCTGCTTGAGGCGGAACGTCTCATAATGTTCATCCCATTGATACTTGGGCGCCATCCACTGTCTTATCATTTCATACAGATGCCAAACGGACAGGAACGCGAATCTCTCGCAGACGGTTATCGTGCCGAGCCGGACCGGTCCGTGTAATGCCCAATGGATGCTGTGAAAACTCTTGCAGGTCAGCCCTAAGCAGGTGGATTGGATGAGATCGAGATGGTCCAGTATCGTTAGAATAATGTCAGTGGGCAATTTTTGTATCAAGCAGGTTCCGTCTGCCGGCGGCGCAGATGTATAGATATCATGGCCGTATTCGAAAGTACCAGCGCTGGCTCCGATCAGTTGCTGATGGTTGGATGACGAACCCACCGATGCGACGGGATTGTTCGAAGCTGAATATAGATAGTCATCCGAGTTGGCTAAATCTTCCGCTGACCCAGGGGTAAAATCCCTGGTGTATAACCCGTCAAGAACATCTAGGGGGCGTGGATCGAGGAGAGCGTGGGAGGACATGGCGCATATAATGGAATGAAGTTGTCGCAGATTGAATACTTCAGATACGCAGATACTCAAACTCTGAGACTCTCTACCCTCTCTTTCTCTTACCGTGGGTAGCTTTTCGACCATGAATTAATAAAAGGGAAGCAAGCAGATGATGATTACTAGGTGGGACTGTGGGAGCCACCAGTTTGGGCCAGACTCGGTACCAACCTTTGCCATGCGATGACTACCTTAGCAGCTGCGTTAGTGTAACGTCGAGACGACGTGCAACAAAGGCCCCCGCGGGCGTTCATTGGTGCCATCGAGCGTCAAGGGCGGAAGAACCTGCAGTAGCTCCCGGACGACATGCAACAAAAAAAAAGAAAACCCAAAGATCCAGAATTGTATGAGCCTCAGGCCTGTTTCATTGGTCCCGCATTTCGCCCAAAGAGGAAATGCTGTCTCTGCCTGGACCCTTCTGGTCCCGGGCGAGGGGGGCCTGAGGCTGTTAAGGTGAGTTGGAAGCTGAAAGGGATTGGCTATACCAAACCGGTTCGCACTTGAGCTTGAGACTATCGACTTATAAACTACCCTGGTGACGTGATGGTAGTATCTCAGTATGGTAATAGGGGTTACGCTGTAGTATTGCCTGAAAAGGGGTGTTCGCGAGTCAGGTGACCTCCCCCTTTCAATCTGGGCGGAGGTTGATAAACGCTTGATCACGGAGGGTTGTGGCTGCTAACCATGGTACGTACTTGTGCCGGTAGGTCCAATTTGCATTGTATACTAGATACGGCCCCGGTTTGGATAAGGAGAGCTGCTACGTATCCTGCTTCAGGGGTCGGTATGGCCGAGATATACCTAGGACAAGATCAGGAAGAAACGTATGCTCATAAGGCAACGGTGATAATACTATATTCAACCCGAGAAATCTTCTGGGAGAGAAGGCTGATTAATAGAAAGGAAGTGTTGAAATACGGAAGAGAGCATGGGAGATTGAACAGCGATGAGGTTTAGGTAGCTTCGAGGACCATTGCTTCCCACGAATTCCTCAGTCTCCTCACAACCACTATTTCGATACCGTGCCTGAACCAGGTAATCCAACAATAGATGAGCCTGCCCATTTCTCCTGCGCACATCGCTATCCCCGAAGGCTTCCATGTGAGAGCAAGCACATCGAAACCTTCAAATCCGTGAGTTCCATACCCATCCATAATGCAAGGACCTCGTAGAGGTACAGGTACATTGAGCGCTTGATATCAGAGGAGCTAGACAAATAGCAGAGAAATAGCTGTGGAGATGAATCGGATCGTGGGATATGATGGGAAGATGCTCATACAACTTGGGGGTGGTTTCAAGACAAGTCGATAAGCGTTTGGTGCGATGGTGGAGTATAATGAAGGGACGATAGCTTCATCTGGCAGATTTGACAGTAGGATTGCTTGGCCGGGGAAGGCTTCGTAAATAGACCTGGACGGGTAGCATAAATGTAACAGGTCAGGAGGAAGTCGAGGCTGGGCTGACTTGGTGGTTATCTGCATTTGTCAATAACCAATCGAGCGAGCATCGGAAGGTTCAATATTGATATCGTCAAAGAGTGGCAAATCTAGACAGTGATCTATATTTCAGCTTCTAGTGAATATTGGAAGGGCAAATGTCTACCAGAAACGTTGCGTATCCTTCCTTGAATTTCCAAGGAATATTGGCAGATTGAAATGGAAACAACCCTGAATTTACTAAGAGTTTATCTTCTTATAAGGACCATACATTGCTTCCCACCTGTTGTAGTACCAGGATACATCGTTCTCTTTCCAGGCCAGACTTTCCAGAGGCTGGTCCGAATTCTCTGGACATATCAGCGACTTCCTGTGCTAATTTCGGACTCAGTGTTCGGATGGAGATCAAACATAATTTGCTTTTCGAGGCATCCATCCGATGCGCTGCCAGTTCTCGTCGAATCCTGAAATCTTCCAGAAGGACCAGACTGTGCATTTTGCCTGGGACTCCCGCAACGACACGACATTAAACCCAAGCAGCCGTGGGTTACATTGGCGTAGTCTGCACCAACGCATCAAGTTTATCGCTCAGCAGACCCAGCTCTGGGCTCACAGCCTCCCTGCTCCGCAAGGTCATGATAGCTCCTCTCTGAGCAATATCTACCAACCTCTCATCCAACTTCAAGCCCTTTGCTAACCCGGCAACTAGCACACCCAAGAATGTATCCCCGACACCATTCACACTCACCACATCCTCAACCACTTCCAATGCTGGGAAGAGCCGCATATACACGCCGGCTATCTTATCACTGCCATTGAAATTGCGGGAGAGTATATAGGGCGCGGAATCCGGGTGCGTTAGGCGGGGATCATTGGGCTCCAGGAGCTGGGTCAGGAGAACGCCATCACCACCGAGTTTTGTAAGAATTGTGGGAATAAATGGTAGAAGTTGAATAGTCTGCAGGGGTATACCCTCGTCCGTCATTTTCTTGCTCGTCAGGGAGACAAATTTGTCGCGAGCCCCTGAGCTGGGGATGCCAAGAGCATCAATGACATGCCACCATTCTTCTGACTCGAAATACCCATTTTCTTTGGCGGAGGCATGCATAGCAGCCAGTTCATGCTGGTTAGGTGTGGCAAGATCGATAGTGTGGTTCGGAAAGGGCTTGATCTTAAGGCTACTTTTTGAGCTCTGTGGCTGAAAAAGTGCTGCAGATTTGGCAACAGAGACTGGCTCAAAAGCAACCTTGACGTTCGAAGACTTTGCTTGACTTATAATGCTTCCGAGGGTAGTATGATGCCAGTTCGCATCTACAACCATCCATTTCAAACTTGGAGAAATGTGTTTGGACAGATTCGGCACTGCCCCCTCCCTGTCAAAGATGCTCATATCTGCCATAGCGACGACCAGATCTTTCTTTGTATCATTGACAGCGACATACTGAGCTGTACGGTTATCTATATTGTTGATCTTTGGGTCGTTCCCCGAGGGTTTCTCGACCGTGATGCCGGTGGTCTTCAGACCCTCTTTTTCGAGAGCAGCTAGAATTGCATTGCCGGCACTAAAGGAATCACAGTCAGCTGAGTTACACATGAAAAGCGCATTACTCACAAGTCTTCTACGACAAAGCTACAGAGCTGTACGGATAAGCCACCACCAGCGAGTTGGGCTGCAAGGGCGACATTATGGCCAACGCCTCCTACTGATGGGGTGATAGCGGCTATGTTCGACGTATACAGTTGTGGAGAAGTGCCAGCAGTGCCACCAATCGTGGATAATCCTGCGTGTGTGTTTCCACCACGAGGAGAGTAATCGCAAGAAATATCTAGTGCCACAGAGCCAGAAACGATGATGGCCGGAAGGTCATCTTTGCCTGCTAGTTCTTTCTTTGGCGTAGCTACCTTTTGTGTTGGCATCACAGGTGTAAAAATTGGAGCTTCGCTTTTCCTGGACAAAGCATTAATCAACATTCTTATGGTCGTTAGGCGTAACAAGGACTACTCACTCTGCAATAAACTGGGATTCGGAGTCACTGTACTCTTTCCTAAACTTTGAAAGCTCAACAGCAACCTTTGTAGCCACAGCAACATTTGAATGTATCAATGCTCTGTTTGCTGGAATACTGTTGCCCTTTGTGAGTTCTTTGATCCTAGCGAGGATGAAAGGCGTGTTGGCATGGCCATGGAAGCCTTGCTCAGCTGCCTCTTGGACAGCCTGGTCGATGGCGGCGTCGATTTCAGCTTTTGGTATAGAGTGCTCCTCGGGAATAGGATTGGCAAAGAGTAAGCCAGAACTCTTGGGAAAGAATTGCTGTGAAACTAGGTCGATCAGTCGAATTCCAGTATACAGTATGATGAAACTTACAGATAATTGCAGCAGCTTCTCGTTCATTTTGCACGACCATGGGGCTCTTCACGCCGCTATCTCGGGTATAAAAGGCCGGAAAGTTGATGTCACCAGAACGGCCGTCAGCGAATGTAAATACACCTGCTCCTTGAGTCTCGAGATACTCCAATGTCCGAGGGATATCGAGAAAGCTTTTACAACCACTACTTATTACAGCAACTGGTGTTCGGCCAAGTTCAGTAAGATCCGCAGAAATGTCCATGGTGTCTTGACCACCACGATGGACACCGCCTAGACCACCAGTCCCGAATACTTTAATCCCCGCTCTCTGGGCAAGGAACATTGTTCCGGCAATGGTGGTTCCACCATTTAACTTGCGTCCAGCTATACCCTAATCTTGGTCTCAGTACTGTACATTAAAGATGGAGAGGGACAAGGGGGTGGGCCAGGGGGCAGATTTTCAGGGAATAGTAGGCAGGCACTCCGCAAACTAGAAAAGTATCGACTCACCATTCCAAGGATATATGGGAGATCTCTTCTTGAGACCTTCATAGTATCCGGTTTCCCTGCAGATGAAGCCAGAGCAATAAGTTCCTCTCTGGATAGACCGACCCGGGCTACTCCATCCAGGATTCCAATCGTCGCGGGAATCCCACCATTGCTACGCACAATAGACTCAAGCTCCAAAGCAAGTGAAACATTGTCAGGATATGGGAAACCATGAGTATATATAGTGGATTCTAGGGCCACAACTGGTTGATTGTTGAGAAGAGCGTGTTCGACTTCATCCGATTTCCTGTAGACGTCTCGTCCGAGCTTGCTTACCCCCAGGCGGCGATACTTTGCAGCTGCAACTACTGACTTGGATGCATATCTCAACTGGTGGACAACTGAGAAGTATGCATGTGAGCAAGCTCGAGGGCTTCTCGCCGGCCCCCACGATTGAAAACAGGAACGACGCATTGTGAATTGAAAGGTCCGATAGGTTTTTCTATACACTGGTGAGATACATCGTCAATCAAATCATTCGAGCTTCAAGTTGTTTGTGGCCGAATCGTAAGAAACTCTTCCTCCGTCTGGACTTGTCGGAGACCAAAAGCTCAAAGAGGTATCTCGAATCGCGAGGCTGCTCATAGGTAGCTACAGCCCACTTTACTAAGGTAACACGATGTAGCTGTGCACGTGACTTCTCATTTAGATGGGCCGGCCGAGACCGAAAGGCTGAACTTTGAGACGCATCATGCTATTCTGTAGCTGACACGCTCCCAGTTTCAATGCTTTTTCTTCAGCAATATTTCAGATCGATCGCGATCAGACAGCATCACATAGTTTAATATGATTATGCTTGATTGTATATGCCGACATTAGTCGCAGGCCATAACATTTTGGAGACGAAAAGCTCACCTCCTTGTCATTACTTCTCTATATTATCATGCGCTGTTGAACATCCCCTCATTCATCTGTCTGTCTGCCTTTCTCACTTTGACTTTATGCTGTTCCGTCTGTTTCCGTTGAATTTCTTTCCAGCTTCCTATGATGAAGTTGCTTCGATTCAGCATACATCTATTTTCCTTATTTACCAAAGGATTGAGTGCGCAGCAAATTATCGATGGGCAGATATTCACACCAGGAATCGCTATAATTGATGCCCCACAGCCTAATACGCCATTAGGTGGAGGTATGACCTCTCCTCCGTTCCAGTGGGAACCTGCGCTGACTTCCATTCCTAAGACTTCTTGCAAATCGCTCTAGACGTTTCCTCAGATGGAAAACTCCAGCTTCCGCCGTACCCAAAGGATCCTAGATCTGCAATATGGAACATTACGATCTTCCTCTCTAGTTATACAACGGGGAAGAATCTGACAATATCGAATGGTACTGCTTCTGCAGGAAATGCGAGCTTGGGCGAGATCATGCTGCAGGAGCCTGCGAGCACTGTGAAACATGTTAATTGGGTGTGGCCTGATTGTCTGGTTGGCAATGGAGCCCCTACAGATGGCAGCAGCTCTCGTGGCCTCTATAACGTATGTGTTCTAGTATAAGTATACAAGTCGTATCACGTTTTGACAGCGATAGATTTCAATCAGACAAAACTTCCGTCTGAATGGTTCAGACGAATACACAATTTTCGATCTCCCAATACAGGTCACGAATTATATACCTCAAGAGAGCAATCGTCCATCATGCGATTCCTTGAACAATGCCTTGTTATCCCCAGAAGCCTTGAATGCTTCGGCAAACTCTTTTACGAGGATTCCGGGCACTTCCATACAGACCACCAGTACAGAAACTGGCATTGGTGGAACTAAACCGGATGCTTCTCCAGAGGATGGATTGGGAGCTGGAGCCAGAGTTGAATGTAGAAACATTGTCTGTTTTATCTGGATTGCAACCGTGGCTTTAATGTTAACTTTGTAGGTACCGCGTTCTCGAGTAGTTAGAGGGAAGATGAATTACATACAAATTCTATATCTAGTGGATGCAGGATTGCATATAATAATTTGGGACCTATACTACTGGGTCTCTTCGAGGTCTGGACAACTATACTTCTTCACATCTAGAAAGCTCTTAGTGTTCTTCAGTCTTGGACTACACTGCATTTTTTGAGAAAATGAGTTTCCCATCTTGGTTCCTTTTCCCATCTTTCTCGTTTTTGTAGCGCTATAAAAGAGGACAGCAGCAGTTGCTATATCCCGTATGGTGCTGTACTCAAGGACAGCAGCAGTGTATAATATGGCTTGAGTTTCTATATATTTAGAGACTGTTTGGGATGGCTACTGATAGGATTTAGAGCACTGACAACATTTTCCGCGGCCAGATAGATGACTGATCAATGAGGGTAGGTAAGAAAGCAGTGACTTCAATAGGATGCTATTAATTTAGATGTATCCTAATGGCTGCGCCTCAATGCTCGCAGTCTATGTCATCACAGGATCCTGCACTCCAACCAAGGCTTGAAATGGAACATCATTTCATTCCACTTATTTTTAACTCCTAATCTCCCATAGCCGGATCTTGCCCCCCTCATTGGCGACCGCTAGCATATCACTTCCACTCGCAAACGCTACCGCTGTGATCCTACCCAAAGGTGTCGAACTAGTAGGCCAATTCCTATACACCGTACAACTAGGCAGGTGCACCAGTCTCAAAGCATCCTTCTTCCACTTGCTACTCAACACCAACAACTGCCCATCTGGACTTATGGTCAAATTACTTGTCGGTGTAGTTAGCTGCTCAAACCTTCTATTAGGTTCCGGTCTTTCCTTGACGTTGATCTCGTTCCCGGAGACAAAGGCGCGTCGATCGTAGATGTTCACCACTCCACTCTGGGATCCGATGGCCACCCACCTATCACCACCCAGCGGCTTCGGGCCATGGGGTCCACCAAGAGTGAGCACTGTAGCACCTATGGACCCGTCGTCGATCCATCTCGCGACGAAAGACTTAGACTCCACACTCCATTCTCCCACTTCTCCTCCCTTGCCGACAACCGTGAATCCCTCCCCATCGCTCCACCACGCAAAATCAGCAACGCCGTTCTTGCCCTCGATACGAGCTGCTGCAATCCACTGTGTTGTGTTCGCATCCAGTACATTCACAATTCCGCCGCCTTTCTTCGAAGATCCTACCAAGCCCATGTAGCGCCCACAAGGGCTGAGTTTGAATCTCTCCATGCTCTTTTGTTCGTCCTTGTGTCCATATATCCGAGTGACTTTTTGGATGGTTCCCGTAGGTAGGTCCCAGGTGTGGAAGTAGCGACGTCGGCCGGAGAAGAAAATTTTGTCGCCTTTGGGCAGGAGGAATGCGGATGTTGCGAGGGGTGTGTGCCGGATGTGTACAGAGGTAATGGGAGGATTGGGCGTCGGGTGTGCCGTGGGGGATATATGGTGAAGATAAAGCGTTGAAGCTGGACCAGAAGAGAGGAGGACAGGGTACTCAGGGTGGAAAGATAGGGATGTTATAGCTGATGGCTGTGTGAGGGGTATATCTCGTGTTCGTTGGATGTCAAGGACTTCTGGTCGAAGCTTTGAACGTTTCCCCGTCGTAGATCGTGTGCGTGTTAGGGAGCTAGCATCCTGAAGAAGTCGCGCGAGTGGAAGCGTTGACAAGTCAGAGTCGTCGACGTCCATACCATCGGATGAAATCGAGGAATCGGAACCTGCTGAGGATCTGCGACGCCGTTTCGCGGGTCTCGCAGAAGGTTGCGCCCATTCTGGAACTGGATGTAGAAGCTCAAATTGTCTTCGCAGTCGTCTGACATAATCTCTTCCGCTGACTATATCTTCCGCTTCGTTCACACGAAGCTTTCGTAGTCGTGAATTCCCTGCAAGTGATATTGCGAGTCGATCGTCATCGCTGTCCTCCCAAGCCGGCGCATCTTCCGTCTCTACTTCCCTCGAGTCAGGATGTGGTATTAAGGCGCCCGGGTCAACTGTAGATGGCCCAGCATCAAGAAAAAAGAGCTTGCAGAGAGTTAGCCTCAATCTCCAGAAGAAACGATAAATTTTCTTACATCCGCATCGTCAACATTCTCAAGCCCCTCATCTGCTTCGCCACCTCCTTCTACATCGCCATCCTCTTCAGAATCCCCCTCTTGGTCTAAATCCATATCCATCCCCAATTGCGCCTTGAAGCCCGCTCCATCTCCCAGCACAAGCCTATCCAGTTCTTCCTCATCTGAATCTTTCTCCTCGATAGCAAGACTCTCATTCTCGCTTTCACTTTGCTCTCTCTCTCGTTCCGGCTCCGACTCCAACTTCTGCTCAGTCTTGCGACTGGCAGACAGCTTTTTAGATCGTTGTCGTGCCATTGTATGGTTTGTTGTGGGCAACTGAGCAGTTCAACTTCCTGAAGCAAAATGTCGAAGGAAATTTTTGGCAAGGGTCGTTTAGCGTGTTGGTCCGTGCGTAGCCTCGTAGCCTCGTCATCTGCCTCGCCTGGAGAGTGTTGTCAAGGAAAATCAGTAACAGAAATCCCTTTATTAACTCCCTTTCAAAGGTTATCACATTGAGGACTTAACTATGTAGTGTTACTTCTTCCAACAATTCAGCCGTTGAATTGCTAATTCGAGTAACCAGTCATGTCAAAAGTACTCATGCTATTCTATCCCGCATCTACCATTGCATCATGGTCGCTCACAAATCAAAACGAGTTTTGGAATACGTGTTGGTACTTATTATAGTATAGTATACCTACACAACAAGACAGTGGATATAATATGAACAGATATCTAATATTTGCAAATTTAGTATCACTTTTGCAGGGCATGCTTCACAGGTTCCATTCAGTCTCCTCTTTCCAAGTCGGAACCTCATATTTGCAGGACACTTGGTCTAGAGTAAAGATAAGAGATCATCAAAAAAACAGTTATTTTTGAAAATACCACCACGTAAGTTCCATATAGAACTCTGGAGGAGACCAGACTTACCTCGTGTGACGGTTTTCTGCAGCAAGTTCTAGATCCGCGAGCTTCACCAACCGTCATAGTCCCCTAGCTAACCCTTCCAGCTCCCTCACTCAACCCTGGCAAGCTAGCCCTAGCATTTTTGCCTGCAGCGGCTGCTATAATCAATGGCGCGCCAGTATAGGTCAAATCCATCTGTGCAAGCTGCTTTTCCATCCGGCGTCATTTCCTTGATTTATGCATAATGCATGAACACAGAGCTACCACTCTCCGTCAACCGAGACCAGCTTCATTGCATCTGCTACATTGCCCAAACGACAGTTGGGTAATTAAGATGGGAGTGCTTCAAAATCGATCGAGTAACACTAAGCACACATGCAGCTTCATCTGCCATGGCTTGGTCGCCGACCGATCGTACACCTACCTGTTTCCCCTTCCTTTAGCTGTAGTATAGCACCCTTCTCTTGCAGGACCAAAACCACAGACACGTGACTGGTCCAGGTCACCCGTTCCTGCGCGGTCCATCCTTATCTGCCTTTTTATTTGACATTGACTCCTCCCTCCAAGAGCAGGTGCACCTTGAGTCCGACTCCTTTCTCAGCTGCGGCAGCTAATGCCGTACTCCTGTATTGATAGTCGATTTTTGTAATTAGCGTCGAGGCCTTCTGCAGAATTCGTTCCTGTAAACACTACAGGCGCAGGGAACTTGAAGTGGGATAGATAGAGCAGAGATCGAAAATTGACAAGACCACATCTGGCCTAGTTGCGGGCCAATCCGTCGATTCGCCGAATTCCGCACTAGCGGCATGGCCCGTGCGGGATACAAGGAACCGTCCTTCCTCCGCATTTTGCAGATAACTGTCTCCTCTGGCTGGTTTAGGACTCGGACCGGCAGGCTAATGACTTACTGATAATTGCAAGGCTGTGAACAATGAACCATTGGGCTCTCGGATTCAAGCGCAAATCAGCAATGAGGCCTATCTGGGATAGTATTTTACCAGAAAACTGCCTTCGGGCAGAAGCCCGAAACGTAGAGTATGCTAGCCCTTCTTATTGGGCATACAACCACAGCCTATACAGGCCACGCCCTTCATTCCATCAGTCTGATACATATTATCTCAGCTAGCCAGGCACTATGTAAGCACAAGCATGGGCATCACACGGGACATGTCTCCGTGCCTTTTTGAAGCCTCTCAGAATTGCACCAAGAATCCCAACCTCTTCCCCAATATACTAGCCGAAGGTTACGAAGAACGCATATCCATCCAACCTCTAACTCTCGCCACTGCAGCATATATCTGAGTCGGTCTATGAGAAAGGCGGTCTCGGTAAGGTCGTACTGGATTCGCATATCGGTGCTTTTCGCGGTTGAATGTGGAAACAAGACAACAAGGTAGATTCCATTATGACCTAAATTTGACAAGCTTCTGTTAGCATAAACCAAGCGGAATTTCGTATGTGATCACTTACTTAGAGCTAGCTCGCCCTTACTTTCTGTCCCTTTATGCGCGTGCTCCTCCGTGGATTGTCGCGACATATGCGTGGACTTCGTCGGACGCCACCTCCTCCTGCCACTTCTACAGGTCGTTTGACTTTAGATGTCGCAGGTTGCTTGAGTGTTCGGCTTGAAGGAGCTCGCTGCCGACGCTTCGGTTGGTTCTTTTGGGCCGCTTGAATCAGAGGATAGAGACAATACGCTACAAGAGCCTCATAGCCGTGGACAGTCTGCTTGCGAATGCCTGTCACGAATTGAAACCTCAGGGCATCCGATTGCAAGAGGCGTGGACCATGCGAACCAACATCGTATTTCGCATCGCAATAGTCTTCATGTAGGCGTGCGCTTTCTTGCTCGATAAAACGCTGCAGCTCCGACTCTACCTTCTCCGGAGCGTTCTCGGCCGCGATTCGACCTAAATTCAGGAAAAAGATTTCATCGTCCATGAGGGGAATGCTTTGACGGTTGTATTTGAGATTCAACTCATCTGCCTTCACGTCAGAAATGCCGCGCTTGGGCAGAACGTCTTTATATGAAAAGGGCAATTGAGTGAAGTCGCCCGATTGATCCAAGGTCGACGCCGTGGATGCTGTGGACCGTGCAGGGCTTATGGGTAATTCCTGACGCTCGCTCTGATCGGTATTCATATTGGTGCTGGTTCAATTCGCGGCCTGTTGGTTGAATTGTCAAGGAGGCACGAGTAGGTATGGATTCGTTCAAATAATGATGAGGGAGGTCTGGCTCAATGCAGCTCTCTCCCTTAAGGTACTATCTAAGCGCGGCAGGGGTATTGGGCGATCCGCCTATTTGCTCGCTTGCTGCTTATCGCTCACTGCTTATCGACCGCTGGCTATCAATGTGCCAACGTCGTTCCAGTCATCCAAGGCTGCGCAAATCGACTGGCCAAGAGTGGTGCGGTGCATCTCGATGCTACATGCCAGCCCACCACTCCAAGGACCAGATGGGGCCATAAGAGCTTTTATATACCCTCGTGTGCCTTCGTTCGTGCTGGTAAGCAGCCCCTCCCAAGATCGATATTACTTGGTGGACAATCGCTGATAATGTTCTCAAGCACCGGAAGGCGCAATGCTTCGGAAATCGCAGAGTTGGGTTCTGGGGATTCGACCCTATCCAAAGAATCCACTATCCGCGCCATCCTTCTCCCGAAATCAGAATCAGCAGCACATTCTGTTCAGCTAGAAGAAAACCACTGTTGGTCATATCTATATACGGAACAAGAAACTCTACCATCGCCCAGCCCTTCTGACGACGAAGATGATACGCCGACGTCGTCACCACCAAAGACTGTGAAGACTGATGCCTCTATTGCTAAGACAAGGCGGGGTAGAAGCCAGCCTGCTATTGTGCTTAAGCAGATGCGAGAGAATGAAAAGTTCACGTTTGGCTCTTCATCGAACAATGATGTGGTTCTCAAGCATCTTGAGGAATCGAGCCAGGAATGTTGCTACATAAACTTCTTGCACCTCCAGCTATACCCAGACCCGGACTCTGGCGCGCTGACCTTGTATAATACTTCAACTTCTACCTTCGATGTTCACTCCCTCTCCGCCCCTCAATTCGACGATAACGTTTTACCGGGTCAGAAAACAATGATCGAATGCGGAAATTGGCAGCTTAGGCTTGGAAAAGGATTGGATTTTGAGATCAGGGTTATGCCGCATACTCCCGAGGAAGCAGGCCATAATCGATCACTCATCTCTCCTGTTACGGCTACGACCGCTTTACTCGCCAAGCCCATAGCAAAGGCAGCCACAGTTGGGCCACTCAAAGAGAAAATTGTCGAGGCTCCTGTGCCGTCCGTAACGAGACCTGGGGCGATCCATATCAGAAACAAGACTCTCATAGCAGATCGTACAGCGGAAGGAGCAACAACGGGATCGAAAGCTCCTCCATTACGACTGCAGGCTTCTCATAGCCTAGAGCCTCTAATCCTGGGCGAAACTATCGGCAAAACTCCTCACACTCAGGTCTTCAAGGCCATCCGCAATGACATAGTGGTTGCAGTCAAGATGTGCCGGAAACCCGAAATAAAATCATCCGCAGACACATGGAGAAATGAGCTGGAAATACTACGCAATTTAAATCATGTAAGTGCCAAGAGTACCTTATATGCTCCTCATCTAAGTTTCTGGTAGCCATCAATTATAAACCTCATAAACTACGACGCCGCAACTTTGAGCCTTGAACTTGAATATATAGGGCCTGATCTAGCCCAATTCGTTGATAGACACCAAATGTCACAACTGTCGGAAAATTTACGACATCGTGTTTGGATGGATGTTAGTCGTGGCATAGAGTATATACACTCCCAGGACGTCACTCATTTCGATGTTAAGCCCAGTAATATACTGCTTGGTGATCGGGCTGTGCTTTGCGATTTTGGAACTTCCGTCAAAGGGACTGTCAAACCGACGTCTAGTCCCGGTGGAACACCTTGCTACGTACCACCAGAGTATCTCTATGGCAATCTGCGAGGATCTTCCGGTGATATCTGGGCCTTTGGCGTCACCATGCTGTTTGTCTGCGGCCTAATACCTCTACCACGTGGCAGTTGGAAGATTGCGGAGGTTCCTGCGCAGGGTGCTGCTTCTAGGAAGATGGCTGATTGGGTTGACGAAGTTGAGCGCGTCACAGAGAATATCCCAGAGGGCCTTGCTCTTCTCCGATCGATGCTCACGCCGAGATCCAAGGAACGAATTACAGCTCCACAGTTGGTTAACAAATTGCTTGAAATGCTACCACGCGAGCCACTGGAACTCCTTGCATAGCTCAGCGGGTTCTACTCGCTGACTGTATGAGAAACTGAAAAGATGAGTGCAGTTATAGGTTTGAGGATCAAGGCTACTAGGTACCCGGTGTAGGGTGTCAAACAAGTGTGTTCTATAAGCATACATCTCGTGCAACGCTGAGGATTTCATGTCATATCTTTCCATTCAATCTTTCTCCTCAGGCGTATTAGGGGTTTATAAGTAGTTTTACAGTGTCTGTCCTGTCTCGTTATGCAGTTGAGGTTTTCTTTTCGTCCATTTTATGTCAATTTATTTTATTCAAGCTGAAATATAACCCCCTTCCCCCCCTCCCCCCCAAAGCTTTTTCGCAATACACCCAAATACCTGTTTCATCTTTACCAGTTTTCAGGAAGGCAATCTGTCCCCCATCTTCTCAGATTCAGGACGCAAATAGCGCAAAATTTTTTCCCATATCACACACAAAATCTAATCTGTTTCGGAAGGCACACTGGGATTCATGGGACGAGTGCCTACAATGGGGAATCGACAGCAAGCTTCTCTATCGGGAATTCAAAGTTCCTAGGCCAAGTAGGTCAGATTCAATACGCGGTTCTGTTCTTACAGTTCTCTCATTAAGTGTTATGGTTTGGAAGAGCGTCTCCCGTCTGCTCGTAGACTAGGGGTTCAAAACCGAAGATGTTTTGTTGGCGATTAAATGAGCTACTTACTGTCGTCACAGGGCACAGCATTTAAGGATCCAGGGATCAAATGTCTATATTTTTGTACTACAGCACAGTAGATACCTAGGTAATAATGGGATGCGCGACACCTTTTTGATAAAATTCGGGGTGTTCAGCTTCCCAGCGTCCAACCCTTCCCACGTGATCCTAATAAAGAAGATTTCTGAATATGACAGAATTAAAGTCCCTTACCTTTCGACCCCACCATTCGTCACGTATCCTAGGTACTCATTCTGCTTCATGTGGCATCAGGGGAGCACTTCCTGACCCTCAAAAGATATTTCAGGATTCGGGCAAAGGGCAGAAGTCTCGCTCGACCTCGTGACATACCTACACAGGTCGTTCAATGTCGCCATCTACCTCCCAAGTCCAGACCCAGAAGCCTAAGGCCAGGAGCGAGGCTATAGAGTTAATAACGGACACGGATTGGCCACCGACGAGGAGAAGTGAGACAAGTGAGCATCCGATTCATGCAATCAGTTTTGCGCTCGGGTGCGCGGTGGTGCACGTGTCAGCGGCTGCTTCTGAGGCTCAAAAAACGGTAATGTGTGAAACATGCATATTTTGATTGATTGACGGCCCGCGGGAACCTATAATCTGGGTTACCCGTCCTTGTCTATCTGCAGCGGTATGCGGATGTCGGTACAGGGCGAGCGCGTGCGAAGCGCGTGCGAAGCGCATGCGGATCGCTGGAGACAACGTCCGCCGAGACGAGAGAGGATATATAGAGTATGTGCAGCATGCTATGTTGTCTCGAACCAGAGACCCTCTAGTGAGTGTTCGGGTTCCTGATTTGGGGAGAGACAATGCGCGTTTGGTCCCCGGATTCTTCCACTTGTCTCTGAGCCAGGCGAAACCAGTAGCAGGAAAGAGAGAGAGAGAGCCGTTGGTTGTCTTGTCCCAACAACTCCGATGCCAAACGAGTCGTACCCTCACTCACGGCCAGATCCCCCCATTCCTCTAACTGAAAGCACCAAGGGTCTAGCCCGAATCTTAGATCGCGAGATCCATAATTGAGCTGATCAATATTCAGGCCCTTTGAGAAGCGCGGGACTATCGATCAAATAGCCGCGTTTGGACTGGCACGGACCAGGACCGATCTCAACAGGCTGATAAGAGTAGTAGGCGCGCGATTCTGAGATCTGTCTTGAGTTTTGACGCGTTAGAGGATGATAGTAGTTCTCAGTGAAGCTTTGGGAGGACTTGCACAACTCGGATGAAACGAGAAAGGGACGTGACTTGGTCCTCGGGTGTAACTCGCTGAGTATCGAGGATAAAAGTATAAGTATAAATGCACAAGAGGATAAAGGGATAAAAATAGATAAGAATAAATCAGGATAAAAAGACGGAAGAAAAGTAGAATAATGGAAATCGAATCAAAGGGCCACCGATTGTGACAACCTCGTATTCTACGGAGTATGTAGACATCACTCGACCGATCCCTGAACTCGTGTAGTTTCCAGATATTTCGATACTCCATCCTCCTCCCCGGTTGCTTGGACATGGCGGGGTTGAGATGTTTGAAACGCGCTCAGAGCCTCAGAGGCAGGGATATCGCTATAGCGCTCCGTAGTATCCACACACTGACCAGTCCGGCGGAGTGCACAGTAACCGTGGGTCTGCCGATGGCCTAGTTCCAAGAATCCAAAGTCACTCACTGCTGTGCAGCTTTCAAAGTAAGGTACTCTGTACAAGCAAGTAATTGGTGGGGGCTGCGGCCTTGAGGCGTGATTGCGGGCGTTGTGCATTGCATTTGTGGTGGATTAATGCATAGCATTGCAGCTGGCGTCGCTTCTGTGAAGCATACGCACATAGCAACGGTTGCTGCGCAGATATGTTGCTCGGGCATTTGTTTCGCGTTGACGGGCTCCCATGAAGCAAGCACCAGAAATAGTTATCGACGGAGAGCGAAAAGCCTCAGTAGTGGTAAGGGGCGGGGGGAACTGGGAAGACCATCTCGGTGGGGTCCAATAGATGCCATTTGATGCCATTCACGTCCTGGGGCCCTGGGCCCATCGAAGGATCAGATCCCGTGACAATCGACCCGAGGATCTGAGTCCCGTGATATCGCTTCCGATTCGCGTTAGTGGCGTTTGTTTACTTCCGCAGCCACGCGTGTGTCTCCCTGTCTCCCCGACTTTCCTCTCGCCCATTTACTCGTCCCCCATCCCATCCATCCCCATCCCCGTCTGTGCAGCTTCTCAAACACCTTGGACTCTTACAAATACTACTTCGTGCTCAGCCCACGCGGCACGGTGAGCAAGCCTCGAGATACGCACACCTCGCGCAAACATGGGGCTTATCGTCGTCTTTCCGGAGTACCCGTAGGCGCCCTAAAGACCCCGCTGTTGGCTGGAATGTCGTGACTCGCGGGGAGGGGTAAGAGACTATTCAGCGAATCCTGAGCCCTCCGTCCCGCCGTGCTATTCTGATTCCTGCTTGAACAATCGCATTCTGATTGTAGATACTTTTAGCATATGGGCGGTTGTGGGGATCCGCGCAAGTTTCCGTGCCGGCGATCGCCTGACATGAGAAGAAGCAATAAACAAAGATAAGCACTACAGTAACCGCGCGGTGCAGACTCCCGTCTTACTGCACATGGAGGATTCCAGCTGCAAAGTTGATCACATCATGGCGTGCGATGGTTCTGGCGTCAAGAGACACGATCAAAGCCATGGCCAGAGATCCCCTCTTGGAGTTGCGATAGCGTGTTACTGTAAGGGGTATGGCTGCGGCATCGAGATATCTCGAAGGATCGAGCTGGACAAGGCGCGTTGTCGGATTGGGAAGTTCTAGCGGGGGGAACAAGATCCCCATCTGCTAGTAGGGAACGGGAAAAGCAGGCCCTGTCGCCGTGTACAACCAGTGTCAAGTGTATGGACGGAGTAGTTGTCAGCCATACGGCGCTTCGTAGGGTTTGGATGATCGGCATTGGTCGACAAGGGGAGCTGGAGGCTGCAGACGGGTCACTACTGTGGTATGGAGGCACAGAAGGGGGGGGGGACGGGAGCGATCATGGGCGAAGGGAGTAGAGCCTACAGTAGTAGTATTTGAATTACCCTGATTATATTCCGAGGGGCTCAAGGGCTCATATGCCAGAACCCCGATCCCAAATCTCAGAGCCCAAATCCCAAATTCCAAGGCCCTGCGGCTCAGAACGCAGCTGCGAGACTGCGAGGGACTTGGGAAGATGAGACAAACCGTAGCATACGGGACTTTCCACTGTTGATGACGGAAATAGTATTTCACGCTCTTGGTGCTGGTGCTGGTGCTGGTGCTGGCCTAGTTCCACTGTTCCAGGTCCTGGACCGTCCTGGAGGGAGGTGTGGGGTTGTCGAATACGGAGTGACGGTCACACTGCCTGACACACTCGCACCTGTGACTTGGCTGGCCCGGTTGCCCAATGAGCGGCGGATCCCTCGAGGCTGGTTGGGCTGAGCTGAGTTGGTGGAGCTGACGGTCGAGCTGATTGATGGAAAGGCTGACCCAGTCCTGAGTGGAGGACAGTACGAGCGGCTGACCGCATTTTCCAGAATGCTGCGGGAGAAGGAGAAGAAGGAGAGAAGAAGGAGAAGGGGAAGGGGAAGAAGAAGAAGAAGCGTCGGCACTTCTATTCTATTTTTCTTGGATGCTTCGAGAGATATCGTTCATTCTACCCGTGTATTATTCCTGTGCATCGCCCGCCGTATCGTAGACGACGGGAGGGCCCCGGCGACTAACACGAAAAGAATACAGTAGCAGAGGCCCAAGAAGATCGATATCAATGACGACAACATCTCGGACAGACCTAACTTAATGATGGTGACAGCCGAGCCCCTTTACGTGAGGTCATCCCCGCTGTTTCGCAGTTGCGGTTATGCTCCCTGCTTTCAATGCTTCTCGCCCTGTGCATTATTGCCCTATTACATCTATTACATAGCTTGCCGTAGAGTTGTGAAAGGAGAGCCAAGGGGAGCGAGAGGTGGACGAACGCATGGCCCAAGCCGGACGTGGGCTGACAGTCTCAGATTGCCATGCTATTATACTCGCTATTCCATCTCCCTTATCCAGATAAAGTTGAGTTTATGCGCTATTCCCCCGGAGAATTACGATGCAAGTCTTGTCCTCTGGGACGGCGTCCAGATGGTGAATCGCCGTGACGCCAGACTATTGGATTTCGTGAGGCTCCGATTCACAAGCTGGGAGGGCGACGCGCTCGGCAGTGCGAAGAGTTAAAAGTAAATATTTACTTTCGCGTGAAAACTCGGTGAAGAGAGAGGCCAGGGGGATCTCGCGAGGCTCACAGCGCGCGCATCGATGATGGTAGGGGAGTAGCCATAGCAGCAGAAATGGAGACAGAAATAGAAATACAAAGCAGAAAAAGGCATGGTCGCTGGTCAAACTCCCTACATTTCATCCCTAGCTACCTTATCCATATATATCTCACACACACATTATGTCCTATGTAGATGACAGTACATAACCGTAGCCTTGTCAATATTCGCCAACACCAGCGAAATTCTCCGAATCACTACTGGACCGCTCCAGCAACGGCCGAGCGCGTGGAGCGCGCATTCGTCCTCTTCCGCCGTCGCTGCTGGGTCTGATTCGGCGTGCCAGGTCTCGGTATTATTCTGGCTCTCCTGGTGGTCGTGGTCGGCAAGGATTGCTGCCAGTGCCAGGTCTCCCAGGGCTCCCAGAGTCCCAGGATCCCAGGCGCTCCATTTCGAGCCCTCCTCGCAAGGCCGTCGTGCAGGGCGAATCCCCGCCGCGACCAAAGAAAGCAAAGAGCGCTGCTAGCTGCTAGCTGCCCGTCTACCAGACTACCAGACTACCAGCAGACAGTCTGCTGCCGTGCACCGGGCCTACCAGCATTGCCAGGCCATCCGCAGCTCCATAGCACCAAGCCGACGGTGCTACGGTGGAAACTCGAGAAGCTACCCAGAGGCCGCCCTGGCGACAAACGGAAAAGCTTCATCCCCCCAACAACCTCCTTCACTCACGTCTCCACCATCCCAGAAGGCTCTTCTTCTCTTCTCCTTGCTCTTTTATCTTCTTCCTTCACCATCCTCCTCACCCTCCTTCTTTGCTCTCCCACCCCTCCCGCCATCACTACCTCTGCGATTGGCCTCGCCCTGCCTTTCGTGTGTAGATAGACATCTTCGACAAGGGTCAAGAGCGAGAGCAGCCTTCACCACCCCACAATCTGCCTCTTCCCACGAACTTCGACGCCGCACCCACGATCCGACGACCCAGAGCCCTCCATGCCGTCGACGTGTCTGTAGCCTTTCCACCCAGTCTCGTCGTCTCCCAATCTGCGAGTTGACGAAGCCCCTCCCGGTTTATACGACGGCCATTGGACAATCGCCGCCGCCGTCTACAATCGAGCTCTTTTTGGATCTCCTCCCCACGTCGAGATCGCCTCCCTGCAACCGGGTTGCCTGCCAATTGATCCAATCCACGCTACGCAGGACTTCCTGGAGCAGGAGCATCTCTTAACGTTGAAACAATCATGGAGGCCTCATCCCCATTAGCTGCCATGCAGCCACCATCCTTAATGCCCGCCTGGAGCCGGGGCGACATGTATAGCTCGCATGCGCACTCACACTTATCTCGTACCGGTCCCTTTGGGCCCGGTGCGTTCGATTTTAGAGAGCTCAGCATGAACAGGCCGAGCAAGCCTGACTACTTTGCTATGAAGCCTGTCCGTGGGTCCTCCCCCACGGCGAGTCTTGCTGCGGATCTCTCTCAGAACTTCCATATCGATATGAGGTAAGTTGCACTGGCCGGAGATTCCCCCCGCATGTACTGATAGTACTGCAGCCCTCAATTACCAACTCCTCGACGATCGCTCTTCACCTCGAACCTTTTTGGGACAATTGATGGCCGTGGTAAGGATGATATACAAGGGCACATGGAGAAGATGTTAATCATATACAGAGAGTACTCGAACCCCTCCTCTCCCATCCTCCTCCCCTGGGGGACTGAATGAGCGTATGGACATTTCGCCGCTTCCACACAAGCAACCATACTTTGCACAGATTGATGTCCAGTCCCCAACCCCAAGATCCACACCGGACGAAGAAGTTACCATGGAATCATCCCCCCCTCGTGCTGAATTTGCGGAGGCGCCGAGACCGACAAATGCGGCCGAGTAAGCTGCGTTCCACATTCCATAGCTCATATTTTCTAACCCATCTTCAGACGCCGAAAATCAAATTTCACGAGACCGTCACTCATGCGTACCAAAGGACATTCCACTGGTAACCTAGCCCCCCGAAGTGCAGACAATACACTACCCCCCTTCCGCTTCGGTGCTGGGAGTAGCAAATTGTCGACGACATCGATGTCTCTTGATGAGTGCTTCATGGGATCACCAACACAGGAGCGTCGGCCTCAATCTGCGAATAGTCCGTCAGTGTCATCCCTCATGGCGCCTCCTCGACTTAGCAAACCCTTTGGGAGCATGTCTGGCCACTCCATTCGCAACGGATCACCAATTGGCCATCAACATAGGAGGTCTACAAATCCGTTAATTCGTCCAAGAAAGCAATTCCGCCGGTCATTGAGCATGTTCGAGCACCCAGGGGACATAATGGCGGGGAAAAAAGAGGAGATCGCAACAAGCAGTCTACACACTGTAATGGACCTTGACGAACTTCACCAGCCGGTGCTTCCGCACTTTTTCCAGGAAGGACAGCCAGACAGCATTCCGCGGATTACGAAGGAGACGTTGCTCGACGTTCTTGACGGCAACTACAACAGCCACTTTGACCGGCGTATGATCATAGACTGCCGGTTCGAATACGAGTTCGAGGGAGGTCATATCGATGGTGCCGTCAACTATAATGACAAGGAATTATTATCGGACGAACTCTTTGAAACAAAGAATCCTGGCAAGACCCTTTTGATTTTCCATTGCGAATACTCTGCACACCGAGCACCCATAATGGCTCGACACGTCCGAAAACTGGATCGTGCTACTAATGCCGAGCAATACCCTAAGCTCACCTATCCAGAGGTTTACATTCTGGATGGAGGATACAGCAATTTCTTTGCCCAACATCGATCGCGTTGCTTTCCCCAGAACTATGTCGAGATGGATGCTAAGGAGCATGCCAATACGTGTGAGCGGGAAATGGGTCGACTCCGCCAGAGCAGAACAAAGTTGAGCAGAGCTCAAACCTTTGCTTTCGGACAGGGGCAAGTGGACGATAGTCCCACGGCGCCGAGTCGGTCGAAGGCGTGTAGTATGAATCCATTAATATCTGAAGCGTCCTCGCCAATGCTAGGATATGATCAGTCACACGTGAGACGCGTCGTCTCAGAATAGTCTCTTCCCATGGAGTTTTGCATTGCTGGCGTTGTGATTGCTTTGTCCGATCTAGAGGCTCTATAGGCCTCACATCTCCTTTTCGACACTCGTTGGAGTTCCACGAGTCCGCCGCTCTGTCTTCCAACAATCGAGCAGCATCTACTATTTGCTCTGGCGTACTGGCGTGCACATTGCAGCGGCGTACTTTTTTTGAGTTATTAGCGCTTCGCATCATCTCGATCCTTCTTACACCGAGGATTGATATTACTTCTTGGATCAGGAATCCTTGCGACATTTCTTTTGTGCTACAATACCTTCACACTGACAACACTACACATAAACCCACCACTACGATCGCGTACGAGAGATCCCGATCACCGAAACCTACAATTTCCTACGATTCACGTCTTGTCATCGACGGCGACCCCTCTACCCGATAATTATACCGGGTCTCGAACTCCCACACAGAACACACCCAGACGCAGAGGATGTACGTAATGTACTGAATTGCAGCTTGCCCCCCTTCTCATCCTATTCGACTTTAATATTCTTCCCTGTTCCCTCATCTTAATTTCCATCCTTTTTTTTTGCCTCGCGTTGCTTAAGCCTTTTTCTAAATCGCATTGAGAGTTGGACTGAGGTAGAATGGTGTATGCGTGGATGGATGGATGGATGAAAGAAAGACTAGAATGGACAAAGATGTATGGATGCGCGGACGAGCATGAGGTGTATGTGATAATGCCGCATATGTATGGCATGAGAGATAGAGCTGAGCGGAGGGTTGCTATGAACACATAGCTGTCGCTGTCGATATATGAAAATTCCTTCAAAAAACTAAAGTCTCACCGAATATCTCCATGTGCTATCACTATGGTTAGCCAAGGCTTCAGCCCTCTGACGTCTAAACTCCTTGCTTTGAACCTTCTCTGCGTTCGCATATTCAACCAAGGCAATACTTCATACTACCCAACCCCCCTAACTAAAGTATGCTAAAGGTCTGTAAAACGAAACTTGAGCGGCTGTGTAGTGTCAAATCCATTAGAAGGGGCTCTCGCTGTCTTGTATGAGTATAATAATTCTCTGGGATTTTGAGAGTTAAGTCACTCTTTGTGGAAATGAAGGTCGGAAAAGGGGGCCGGGGGGGGGTTATATTATAGATACCAAATGACTCACTTACCTAATTTCCCTCTGGAGGAACATAAAACCAGCACAGCTTTTAATGATAATAACAGTAAGATAAACGGGATGTTAAAAGGAAAATCTTGATTTCTTTGCTGATGGTTGAGACAACGAGTGAGGAAGGGAGTTGAGGTAGGCAGAAGGGTTGCGGTAACTAACTAGGGAGTACTGAGTTGAGTAGCTACTACGGGCTATTGTTAATAGCACTGTATGAATATTGCACGAACCTATGAGATGAAACTTGCTTATGAAGCATCTGCATTTTCTAAAAAAAGTCCCAAAAAGAGTACAGAATGTCGAAAAGGGATGATTGTAGTCAAAATAGGGGTAAGACTTGCTGCCTTGAATGATACCTGAAGACTGCGGTTCTGGAGGGGGAGCCACCTATATAATTAATTTTAGTGGAAAGCATTTGCCTTCGGGCATTGTAAGTCTACCCGCACTCTAGCTCAGTGGTATCACTGCTAACAGAATCTATAGTGGTCAAATTTGAAACGATACAGAGAAGATTAGCATGGCCCCTGCACTAAGGATGACACGCTCAATCAAAGAGAAGCTACCAATTTTTTTGCATTTTTTTGACCGCGATATTGGAGTTTATTTGGTCGCGGCATCCTTTCGGTGTTTTGGAATTCTCTTCTTTTACTTTTTGATGTTTTTGAGAGCGCGGTAGCCGAGAATAAGCGAGTTCTGGGAGTTGGCTTTGCTGCACGCGTCGTCTCTCAGCCTTGCGGCTACTTCAGTCGTTCTGGTAGCTTCAAATCTTCTACTATCGAACGACACACCTGAAGCTACCAAGCCACCACGGGAAATGATCCCACGATAATAACTGTGGTTTCTGCCTGACCATAACTTACTTGTATATACTCTATCTCTACTTCCAGCAGACCCGCGGCCGAACATGGACGACATATCAGACATATTGAACGACGTGTCGCGAGACCCCTTCGCTGAGTATGATGCAACGTACGCGTCTATTGACAGAGGGAGGCTTCATTCGGGCCAGGCAGATCTACAGGCGCTGACAAGAGCGTGGATCAACGAGCGTGGGACCACTGAACTGCTACCGTACGAATCTCCTCTCTGCGTCCTATCAAAGAACCGACCATCTCCCCAAGCAGCTTGAGGTCCCAAATGCTAACATAATCCCTCCCACAGCTGGCCCAGGGACGGGTTAATCGAGCGCGTCACCGGACTCGTGAAACTGCAGATCGAAACCGTTGAAACCATGACCGGTGATATGGACCCGAAGACCAACTTCTCCCTCATCATCATCCAGACGGAAGTCGAGCGGTGGAAATTCCTCATCCGCTCGTACCTGCGCGCGCGCATTGCCAAGATTGACAAGCACGCCCTGTACTACCTATCAACGCCTACGCTCCAAGAACGCATGAGCGAGATGGAGGTGGCATACGCCACACGACACCAGCAGCTGCTGCACAACCACTACCTCAGCAGTTTCCTGGGTAGCTTCCCCATTCAGCTGCAGAACCTGAATGATACCGCGGGGGGAATCTCCATGATCGGTGGGCCGGATGAGGAGGGGGCGGTTTTTGTTAGGGGACTGGGGGCTAGAGGGGGTGGGGATGAGGGGGTCGTGGTCCATGGACGAAGCACCGACGCGGATGGCGAGGTGGAGGTTGCGAGGGGGGAGGTAGTCGTTGCTAGATGGGCAGATGTGCGGGAGCACGTGGAGAGGGGGGAGATGGAGTTGGTGTGAGCGGACGATGGCACGCAGCGTTCTCACCGCCAGCTTTGCCGGTGCTATCCCCAGGGCTGAAGGATTTGTGGAAGGTCTAACAAGTCCGAGGAATGCTTGGACCGGGTCTTAAAGATGCGCCTATGTGTCCGCAAGCCAAGGTTCAGCCCTCTCTACCATCCAGCACCGAGGCCGAGCACAAGACCTGCTTTGGCTTCACCACAGTCCCCGCTTCACAATATGGGGTAATTGAGTGGAACTAGAAGGAAACAGGATGCGGACGGCTGGATTACTATCGAACACATTTCCGCAGGGCTGAGCGGGGCTCAGGGGTGATGCAAGTACTCCCAGTACTAGCTGCTCGTATCTCAGATCTGCAATAGCTTACCAGGGACAAGCTGCTACGACTGGCGTCCCTCGCAGCACAATATGCAGGAAGTTTCCAAAAACATAGCGGTCTCGTGTTCCACTGCGTGCCGTCTGGCCCTTCTTCCCACCCCCCCTTCCTGCTTCTGGACATATGCGTTGGAGAGGGAGCAGGTAATGCCGGCTCGATACAGAAGTCTGTCAGCTTTTTGCTCTGCGCATAATGTCTGTCTTACTCCACTGCAACCGTCTGTTTCCCCTGTCGCAGATTGCGTATCAGATTTGGATCAGTATCCTTCCTTCCCCTCACCTCCTGGTTTCATACTTGTCAACATAAATAACATGCTACTTTGCGACCCTGATATTTTTCCCGCTGAATGTGTTACGCCTAAGGTATGGGAAAGGAAGCCTAGTGGCAGCTTCCTGGATGAGACGCGAGGGAAATGTTCGCGATCACGTCTATCCTACACTTCGGCATGATACGTTGATGTAGTGCATCGCTATGTCACGTCAGGTGGCTGGATAGGATGGTGATTTTGTGGTCATGGTATACAATACGTGATACATAATTATATTCGTACATAAGTGAGAAGCCCGTGGTATACCTATTCCTACTACTCCATTCCCTCTGTGGCAGCATAACAAATCTATTAGACCCTGAAATTACCGATTTAGGTATCCATCCATTCACCCACGAGAAACAGACAATTTTCGCTCTATATCCTATTTTCGTTACTGAACAACTCAAGACGTTACCGCGTTTCTCGTGCACGATCAGGGAGTAGCAGTGCCGTCCCTAGGTGTGTCACTATCCTTGTGCCGCAGATGTGGAAGACGATCTCTCAATGAATGCCGGTGCTTATGACCACGCCGGGACTCTGCCTCCCCTGGTTCGCTTGCAATGTCGGGTGAGGAGCTATTGCGGTGTTTCATGAAGTGGTGTTTCCAGGAATGCCCATGTCTCTCATTCTCACTCTCGTGCTGTCTCTGCGACGAAATGTCGCTTTCCACTGACGACGAAGGAGGATAGTGGTGCGGCTTGAGCGCAGCGATGGGGTCGTGGTGCACTTTCTCCTTCATCAACTGCGGATCCGCTTTGATCTTGTGGTAGTTCTCGATGATCTGGCGTCGTTCTTCCTCGGTTGATGCCTCAAAATCCTCGTGTCCTTGGGTGATACGCGATGATATGATGTAGCTGTGTGTTGTCGACCCCATATGCTGTTGGATCTCTCGATAGACGCCTTTGAAGGTATACCCGCCAAGCCCGAAGATAGCTGATTCCAAATTAGTATCTGCCACGAGAGAGACCAGAAAAGTCTTACCGGCCCCTGGTTTTAGCACGAGTCCGCTAACCCCCTTGCCAACCCCTGCCAGGAAGCCCTTGGCCCCATGTTTCTTCGCGCCGTGGATGGGCTGCGTCACCAACCCGGACAAACCGTCATACCATCCGAACCCGAACTCCTTTCCGGCAGCCGATAGCCCGCTTTTGAAGTCGTCGACCTTGGTACTTGGGCGTACCGTGTCATCGCCGTAAATCTTCGGGGCGTTGTGGAACCCGCGGGCGAGAGCCATGCTGAAGTCCATGGGCGGACGCAGTGCTGTAATGGCGATTCTGGAGATGCCTTCTTCTGCCCTCTCAAGAGCACTGTTCGGAACGCGGTCCACTGGATCTATGAGATGGTCATGCTCAGGGTTAGGAGCCGGATGGACACCAATGTTATGTCGACTTGTCTCTGAAGTTCTGGGAGACGGCTCAGCATGGCGCTCTTCGCTCTGCCTACCACCTTCTGATCGATCAGAGTTAGTGGCATCAATACTGGTGGGGTCAGTTATATTCGTGCTTCCAGAAGCGACTGAGTCGGGCCTTCGTCTTGAAGAAATCGAGTCGGACTTGGATCGGGTCGAAGTTGTCGATGCCGGCTTGGTAGTACCTTTTGAAGGACCCTTATCGACTATAGACCTCAGTTGCGAAATGATTTCGACAGGAACATCCGCGATTCCAATCATCATGCTACTGACAGTACCAAGGATGGCAGAAGCCCCACCAGTTATTGGGTCCCAGGGCTGCTCTCCAGTACAATATTCCCGTGAGCGATAACTGAGACATGTTAGTGCATCCAACTTGGGATTTGTGAACATGAAACCCACAGTTTAATATCGGAACACTTCAATAGACCCTCATCGCCCAGAACAATTACCGCCAACGCACTAAGCCTTATGTTTGTCCTCCTTATCCTCGCAACTGCTACTCGATTCGGACAGACCATACAACGCATCCTGTCAACGTCCAACATTCTATGGAAACTTTGAGCGCCTGCAACTGCTCCTTCATCTTTCGAAATTCCTTCACTGAGCTTCTTCGCTTTCTCTTTAGTTTCCGGTGAGAGTGCTTTCAAGATAGCATCAGCAAGATTGTCGGAAGTAAGACGCTTGTACGGTATGGGATCCGGCCCTGCGCCAGCGCGTGCGGTCATGGCTCCCCAGAATGGTTGATCTCCGAAGAATGGAATCACAACTGTTGGCTTCCCTGCCAGAATACCGGCTGCAGTAGTACCTGCTCCGCCGTGATGCACTACCGCAGACACACGTTTGAAGAGCCAGTCGTGGGGTATGTTCCCAATCAGGAATATATTTTCAGGAATCTCTAGCTCATCAGCACCGAGGCCACCCCACCCTTTAGAAACAATGGCCCGGACGCCGGCTTTCTTCACGGCCTCGAAAATCAACTTTGTCATAGTGTCCGGGTCATCCACAACTATGGACCCAAATCCGATATAAACTGGGGGAGGTCCTTTGTTTAAAAAAGCTTCCAGTTCTGGATCCGGAGTGTACGCCGAGGCTAGGGACAGGAAATAGAATCCCGACAGGAAAATATTATCGCCCCAGTCCCGAGGCTTTGGGATGAGTGCCGGGGACCTGGTTATTTCATATTACATCAGAGCTTGAGAAGAGCTTGAACGGGTTGTAATCATACCAGCAATAGGTGAACGGAATCCGTAATCGGGATATCATGCCAGGAGCCCACATAAGACTGACAGGTTCCAAGTCCAATATTTTTGTCCGGAACCGATTCACAATATCCCCGAGGCCTTGCCAGGTCATCATATCAACCAGGGCATACGAAATCAAATTCGTCATGCTTGGCTCCGCGCTCGAGTGGTGAATTGTTGTTAATGGATGCGGAAATGACTGTGTTGGCGACCAAGGCATGGTAAACATCATATGGAGAGGGACGCCGAGCCTCTCAGCGCAATGGACATGAGCAAAGCTTGGAGGATTTGCAATGATGGCGTCTGCAATAAATGGTCTGTGAAGGTTTCTAGATGGGTTGGAAAGGATTTGGGAGGAATCGAACTTGTCCAAGCCGTTTCCCATTTCGATGCAAGATCTCCAGCACCCCTTCAGGATTTCATACATGCCTCGACGTCGTCGGCCGACCTCCCCGCGTCTAATAGTGTCTAAGGTAGGCATCAAGCCAGGATTCTTCACCATAAATGCCATTAACTCGGCAGGATCACCCCCAATACTGAAGAATTCGAGCCCATTCTCTTCGACAAAGCCTTGGAAAACCGGATGGGTCGCGAGACGGACACGATGCCCGTACTGCTCGCGAAGGACCTGACCCAGAGAAACGAAAGGCTGAACATCACCACGCGAACCAACGACATGGATGACAATGTTCATTCGTGGTGGGGGGAGCCCAGCGAAATCTTTGACCATGTAATGCGGGAGAGATTCGACGGGAGCCTTGGGACCTTCCTCCTGGGGTCTCACGTGGGTATGTAGTGTGGGCAACACCTGGTTTTCTAGGCGATTTGAACAGTGGTTGATATGTACATCGAGCCTGCCATCATCTATCAGGACGCATCAGCTCAATCCCGCCGTGACATGTGTCGTTCCAGAGAAGAACTAACCGTTGACTGTAGCTCGGGTGTGAATGTCCTTACTGCTAACGTGCAGCCGGCCAAGACCCCGGGTCTCCGTTTCGGACAATTCAGGTAGGCTATCAGCTTGTGAGCTGCCGGCTGTGGGCGCGGGAGCGTTCGCAGGCTCATCCTTGGTGGAGAGCCTTGGAGAGGCGCCCCGAGACATTACGAGGAATCTATTATCTCTCACTGTCAAGTGGCAGGTAAGAGGACAACAGTTGCTGCAGATATATTAAAACTTGCTGATAATATCCAGTCCATCATCTTAACTGACGTCGCTTTTTATCTTCCAGTCCTGGGGTGATATGTGTGGTACGAAAGGCGGTACTTGACGTATTGATGTCACGTGGATGATATCATTGATTAAGGTAAGGTACCTCTCCTGTAGAAAGGCCCAAGCTCCCTTGCCGAGGACCAACTCAAAACCTTCTTTTAACTTGATGCAAAGCCACTCGAAATTCAGCAAGGCGGGTCAGCAAGTACTTAACTGACATTTGCGGTATCTTTTTCGCATTGCTAGTTATCGAAACGCTAGAGTTGAATCTTCGCTATGTTGGTGTGGGAGTAACATGTTGAAAATGTGTTAACTGAAAGAGGCTGAATACCTTATACCAGACCCACCTCCACATTCTACCTAACGTACCTTATCCTCTTGCAAGTTTAAAGTATCCTCTTGGCAATATCTACAGCCACTTTCTTTAGGGAGGCCCACGGAACTCAAGAGACTGAATCAACGGCAAGTTGCTTTGCGATTTTGAAAAAGAAGGCGCGAAAATCACAGGGGAAAACTTTGCTCCCATGTCTATTGCGGCATTTGCGATGCGGCTACTCCGCTACACCGTTGGTGTCGGCATATTCGCACAATCAAGTGCGAGGTGAGGGTCTTATAAAATGGCCAGATAGTTATGATATAATAACCCCAAACTTTGGTGATTATCCTCCGTTATGTGGCACATCAATTGCGATTTGCTGACCGCTAATAATTTCAGTAGAGTTGTTGACAATTCAGCCTCACTATTGCCAAGCCATCAGACAACTATTGCCAAGCATTGGACCTCTCCCCTACCACAACCAAGAGGTCCTGATCAAGTAATCCGCCCTCGCTATTTATGACCCAAGTTAAATATCTGGGACTTACGTATTCCGTACAGCCTCCTAATACCAGTGCAGTCGGAAATGCTTAGTCTCGGTACTGAACCCTGCCCAGAATGTCACTGCTCGCTCCCGGAGGGAGGTTCAGAAATTTTATATCCCGCATAGCAACCTCATTGCATTTTGTCGGTGACATATAGCTAACTACCCCTCCTTAAAAAAAGGGAAAAAAAAAGGAAAAGGAAAAAAAAGGAAAGTTCTAATCCTTCAGCATCTTCAGCGCCCTCCTTCATTCACACAATCGCAGGCTTTTATCCAGGAAGTATAGTTAAGTTGAACATTGTGAGTCTCATCATAGCTGCTCAGATCCATTGGCAGCGCCGTCGACATGTTGCTCACAATGGTATAGGAGCAACATATTGTACAGGAGTACAATCTATCAGAAATCCTGGCGATCATCACTTCTTCTTACCGACCAGCACCCTTGGTCACACATGCTGGAGAGCTTCTCCAACCCACACGACCACCATAGGAACCAGAAAGGACACAGGTGAGTCCGTTGGAACCATGAATATTCGTGGATAATAGTCGAAGTACCTCCTTACTTGGTTACCTAAAACAGAGGACCAATTACCAGTTGTTGGACCCCTCCGCTGTCTCATGCTTCCCACTCATAACATTTCAATTACTGACCCATTCAGCATCTCTTATAACTGAGCTCGTATGCCGAAAGAGCACCAAGGTTTTCCCTGAAGCGGTTCTTCTTTTATGGCCCCACTCGCGATCTTCCCTCTTTCCTTACAACTGTCAAACTGCGTAAGCAATGGAGAAGTTCTTCAAGCTCTTGAGCGCTCCAGGCGCCAGGCATGCAGTTGAATGCGCGGCGCCGACGCAAGTGTTGCCGAATATAGATCGGAAGGAACGAGACCAGGATGTCGATGTCTCCGCCAAGAATGTCAGCACCTATACGATCCAAGCTAAGGCCAGACTCTTGGATCGTTGGCTGGACAAGGTTGTGGAATTCTCGGGTTCACAGTTCGTTTTTTTCACCATTCTCATCGCTCTGCTGGTCTGGGCATTCTTGGGGATTCGATTTGGCCAGTCGAATGACTGGCAAGTCACTATCTCCGATGCTCAGGCTGTCATCAATATGGTCTTCGATGCGTTCCTCATGCGCCAGCAATTAAATGCACACGACTCAATAATCTTCTCCTTAGCTTGCATGAGGTCTCGCATTGGCAGTAACAAGAGAATGCTGAGTAAGCTCATGGAGACTGGGAGATATGAGAAAGCCCAACCCGCACAATTCCACGACCTACAACAGACAGAGTTTGCATCCGATCTACCGGCCGAGAATCTGCTAGGTCGAATTTCCACTGCAGTCTCCAGCTTCCTAGGTCATATCGCTACAGTTTTCGCTTTCTGGGTGGGCATCTTCATCTGGATTGGGTTCGGCAAGTACTGCGGCTGGTCCAATACATGGCAATTGTATATCAACTCAGCCACTTCCGCCTTGATGGTTTTCGTCCTCGGCTTCCTGGCAAATATCCGTGAACGACACAGCAACTACATGGAAAAATGCCTGCAACATATCTACAAGGTTGATGCTGCACTCGAGCTTAGGCTACGAACTATCACCGGCGACACTATTGAAAACGGGCTTATCACTATCCAAGCTCCCAGAAGGGGCAGGATTCAACGCGGAATCGACTACTACGCAGATCTCGTTGGAACTTTGCTTGGCATCGCAATCCTGATCATCGTCATCATCATATGGGTGGCACTTGGACCGGTTATGTCCTTCGATTCAAACTGGTGGCTCCTCATCGGCACGTACGCTGGGCTGATTGGCCTAAACGATGGGTTCGTTCTACGCAATGTTCAAAACGTACTCGGAGGCTACCAACAAATTGAGTTTACCCAGCTAATATACGACGACATGGATATGATTTCCGTGATTGGTGTGACGGAGCTCAATGAAGATCGTGTTGTGGACAGGTCGCTCACTTACCGAGTCTCAATTGCGATGGGCAATTTCTGTTCTCATGAAATAACGGTCATTTTGGGGGCAGTCGCAATCATTGGCCTGATCATTGGTGCTAGTGCTATGCGCTGGAGTGTGACGGGACAGCTGCTCTGCAATGTCCCTCCTAGCATCATCGAGTCCTTCTTTATGATGATCCTGATCACTGGACACAATATCGCCGATGCTAACATGCGTGTCGATCTCCACAATGTCTATTTGCGGAGACTGAAACTTATCTCTTATGTCGATGGGCTTGTAAAGCCTGAGAAGCAGTAGAGATATTACGCCTACGCATAGACATTGATCGGGCTGAGCCGGGGATGAACGATAAAGGAGAGGTGGTGAAATAACAACTTGAGTTGGATACACAACTGCAACTCATACCATCAGGCATTTGTTCAACACAAATGTCAATGTGGCTTCAACAGTCCACTCAAAAGTATCCGTGGCATATCAACAAGACTGACAAGTATATTCCGTGTCTATTTCCTTTTGCAGTTCCATTCACGTAGAGATTGTAGTACTCTAAAGTGATTTCACTTTAAGTAGCTAATATAACTCCTTCTCCACTCCATTTGTTTTTTAAACCCTCGTATACACGTCATTCATAATGGCTCTGCAGCCTAAATATATTATCGGCCCGCAGGACAAACCTAGACCCTGAAAGCAAGTTTGGAGCGGTGCTTAAGCTGTCATTTAGCTAGAGAGGTAGGTCCCAAAAAAAGCAAATTGGTGAACTTCCTAGAGATATAGCTCCTAACCGATTCAAAAAAGGGGGGTGATTTGCGCTAAGAGTAGTAAGCGAATGAATTGGTGACGGACGGATAATTGAGTAAAGATGCACCTGTATGCCTCGAAGATGCGGGCTTACTGCGAGTAACGGTGGTAAACTCGAAAGGAATTGGGGTTCGGGTCATTTGCTTTTCCTCAACGTTCAAAAACATCACGGGTCACACAGTTTTCAAAACTTTACCCCTATCATTAAAAGTGCTCTAGCTCTTCTACCTAGGTAGTTCCGTTTAGTAAAATTACAGGTCAACTATATATATAATAAGAACCGCTTGCCTGAAAGAAATCTAATCGTAGACGCTCCAACAAAACCCGGGGTATCAACGGCATTCCCAATCATATACACGCACTCTACACTTCATAGTAGTAATCATCATCTAATCCCTCCCTACTAGGCACAACTCCAGCCCCTTCAGGAGGCCCGGCATACCCATCGTCCAGCCTAACATTTAGTAGTCTGATCTTCAATCCATATTCGCTAACCAGGCCTACCAGCTTGTTTGTTTCGGCCGTGATAGGAGCTTGATTCAACAGCATAAGAAGTCCATCCAGCCATTCCGAGGCGAGGCTGTGCGTTGGAGGCATCAGGATCAAGATTGCTCGCTCTACGGGCTCATCATTGCCATTTGAAGATTGAGATCTGTTGTCGCTTCCCGGAATAAAGCTATTGATCGTGATCTTCGTCGTAGAAGTCTGCTTTGGCGCATGCGATAGCGTTTTCAGTGTCGATGAACTGGATATACTCGAGGCTTCATCAGGTGGCGCCGAAACATTCGAGACCACGGAGCTGACCGTGCTCAGATCGATTTTTTCAGGCAATTCATCCAGGGTGGGCTCGTGTTTCGTCGGCGATCCGAAATCAGAGTAATGCAAATAGCGTCGGTTATGGGATAGCTTTACGTATCGCCATGAGCTTGGAGTTTGATGTCTGTTGCCGTCATCCTTGTGAGACGTTGCTCTGGGAAACCATGCCCCTTGGAGTAGACATCGTATTCGCTGCTCTTTGACGAATTGGAGCGCCTCTCGTTTCAGCTCGTCTCGGACTTGACGAAGATGCTGACCCCATTCGTCTTGGAAGGTCAGCTCCAGAACATCCATCTGCAGGTCACGCAGACGCGAGTATTCAAATTCTGCGATCTCCTCTTCCACCTCGTGTACATCCTTCGTTCGTGTCGCTTGCCCAACGACTTGTTCGACAAGGATCCGCACCAGCTCTACTACCTTATCGAAATCCACTTGTTCTGCTCCTGTAGCTTTCCACAGTCTGAAGAAGGCATGGAGACTCGCGCTATGTAACCTTGACCACTGTAGGAGGAGGGGTCGGAATACCTTATCATAGTTCTTCATGCCATCCAGTACCAGATAGTTTTTCGCATCCTCAACGTCCGACTTGTCGACTTGGAAATGCTCGTATAGAATTGCCGTGACTGCTAGGCTTGATCGCGCAATTGGACATCTTTCGTGCATCGGCCTCGAGGACTGCTCCATGAGTAATTTTTGGAACCCATCTTCTTCCTTTCGCACGAAATCGGTCAAGTCCATCATTCCCAAGAAACCAGTGGTATCAAACTCCCATGCAGGGCTCTCTGTTTCAAATCCCAACCTCCTCCACTTCTCTGGATTATGTTTCTTGCTACCCTTCTTGCTTGTATCCGCCGGTTCAGCCGGTTCAGCCAATTCATCTTCCTTGTCAGTTGGTCCCTCCGCTCGCGTGGTGACAGGAGTGATTTTCTCCTTCTTCTCCGGTGCGCTGGCCAGATGTATTCCCTTCAACGCTCTCCTATGTTCTGGCCTCTCCAGATCCACCGGAACATCCCTCCACTTCCTCAGCAACAATTTCATAAGAGCCTGAAACTCCAACAACGGATGCGCTAGATCCTGCATGGCTGAGCTTTGCATTAGGATATATACCGCCTTGATGACCCCCAGATCCTGCAATCTCTTTATGAATTTTGGCCATTCTTCCCCGGTCCCGGTACTTTTCCCAATGGCATCCTTTCCAGCCCCACTCTCGCTGGTAATGGCGTCCCTGATCAATGCATTTAGAAGCATCAGCGCATTCGCGCAGAGAGCATGGTCCGCCGAGTTGAGCTGAGAAACCACCATCTCGAAGAACTGTGGATATACCGCAACAGCCGGCTTGAGCGCCCGAAACCCAAAAGCTCCGGGTATTCGAATTGCGCCTGTGGACGTCTGCGGATGGCTCACAATGGCTACCAGTATGCTCATCGCCCCGCGCAAGATGTTGACTAGCGGATGCGTGACGATGAGTTCGACGACACGTTCGACCAATTCGCCTGCTCCGGATGATTCAAAGATCTCCCAGCCCATATCGACTTCGAGGAGACGGCTGAGGGATTGGAGAGAGTATGCGAGGGTATTGCCGCCGGTGGCCATGATAAGGCGCCGCAGAATGTTGAGTCCGCCAGAGTAGATGAATAAGTCGGCGAAAGCGGGATCATTAATCGAGGATTGAAGCTTAAATACAGCCATTTTGCGCGTGGCATCTTCGTCGCTCTGCAGACGTGAGAGCAGCGCGGGGATGTCGGCCTGGTCCATGGTGTCGGGAGAGAGGGAGGACTTGGAGGGACGGAGGTGGACTCGAGAATTGCGGTCAGCTGTGGTGGGCTGTGATGACTTTCGTGCACATTGGAGCAGCAGGAAAGATGCGTAAGTTGGTCTTCAGTTCTGCTCTTTGCTGCGCAATTCAATTGGTTGTTATTAATGTTATTGTAAGACTCTCCTCGTCGCAGACTTCGATGTTCGCGAGATGTCGAGGCTGAGGTCCGTGCGCGATAGTTCAGGGGTAAGTCTTTCGCCTCGGAGCACGGAGGAGTGATTCTTCCGACTACGTAGATGGCCGAATAAACAAGCTCTACATCACAACGGGCTCGACTTGAATAGCTTCAAGATTGAATTCATCTAGGATTGCGAATATATAGCTCAAGTGATGCTTTACATTGCTCTAGACAGATGAGACTATGGGAGAATGCTGTGTGGAGAACTGCATGATTGCCCAAGACATATAAAATCTTTCGAGTTGGGAGACTTTTGAACATCTATCAAGTCCTGAATGGCATCAAGTTGCGGATACTTTCTCGATAGATCCTCAGCACCAAATGATTCAATGATGGTAACTTTAGAGGAGACGGGTGACGAGTATCTTCTCGAATCCCAATAACGACATGTTTGAACCAGTCAATTGCTAGTGCAGATCCAGTGATTCCTCCCTGCTTCTCCCAAGCCCTGATATCTATCTTCAAATATACCATCATTGGGGAATCAACCCACTGAAGCAACTCGTGAATCATTCGAAGAATCCCCGTACTATATGACAGCCAGACCTCTTTCTTTTCCCCTTTTCCCATTCTCCTTCTCTTATAACTCGGACACACAATCCTTCAACTAAACACAAGGCATCTATCTTTCCACCCCAGGCATATCTCTAGACCATAAACACAACCATACAACGAAGATGAGCTTTTTCGGCTATCCTCGTAGATACGGTGGTGGAGGTCTGGGGGGTATATTTGGTAGAGGATATGGTGGGGGATATGATGGAGGATACGATGGAGGATATGGTGGAGGGTACGGTGGAGGGTACGGTGGAGGGTACGGTGGAGGGTACGGTGGAGGGTACGGTGGAGGGTACGGTGGAGGATTAGGTGGAGGATTAGGTGGAGGATTAGGTGGAGGATTAGGTGGACTCGGTGGAGGGTATGATGGAGGATATGGTGGAGGATATAGTGGTAGATTCGGTGGTGGACTGGGTGGACTCGGTGGAGGTTATGATGGAGGATATGGCGGAGGATATGGTGGTAGATTCGGTGGTGGATTAGGTGGACGATACGGATTGGGTGGAGATTATGGCCTGGGCGGACTCGGTGGAGGTTATGGATTGGGCGGCGGTGGATTTGGCAGAGACTATGGATATGGTGGAGGCGGAGGCGTTTACGACAACATATATGGCCGCGATGCCTACGGCGACGGCCGTAGAAATATGCCACGCGGCAACGACAACTATCAGGGCGGACGTGCCTGGACCATACCAACCTCCTCATCTTCCAGCCGCAGCGCCACTGGCGGCTCCGGGCCCTCAATATTCTCGAGCGAACACACGCGTCATCGAGCAAGAAGACACGGCGAACACCCGAGAAGACATGGAGGGGGGCATGGAGGACATGGAGGACATCATGGAGGACATGCCCCTCGATATAACGTTAGGGTTTCGGTCCACCACCGACATCGCGCACGCGAGCCTGATGTTAGACCGAATCCTCGCCGTCGGACGCTGTGTGGTTTAATTGGCCATATCACGGATTACTATCGTTGAAAGAGTGGAAGGAGATGATGGTTGGTTTGAGTAGATTGTAGATAGGTAGATAGGTAGATTTTGCTAATCGATGAGGTTTTACATATATCGAGAAGGGCTCTCATCTCTCACTGCAACCTTAAAGCTTTGAGATTCTTGTCTTTTATAATTGAGTTCTGTGTTTCTAAATGCTTAATATCTACTACTGAGATTTGTCCACCAATGTTGATCATATGTTCAAGGCACTACACGTCAGGAAGAACATAAACCGACGGGCAGAGAGCTTGGTCTGCCTGTACTATCATTCCAATATGTGGAGACTTTTTCCTCGATGATCTAAGCCGTACATCATCTTATCTATGCCCAGCTATTCAAGCACATCTCCAGCAAACTATGGGTATCTATTCCCTCCCACTTATACGCTATGCACGAAATCATCCACAACTCCGGCTCAGTCTGAGTAATTCCTCCCATCCAACCATATATACATATCCTGTTACCCCCCCACCCGACCAGGATCATTACCTAGGTGCATTCCCACTAGCTTGCCCCGCCATTGGTATGTCTCCTCGTTCAACTGTACTGTCGTCTACCACAGCCTGCGAACTCAGCAGCCCGGTTCGCGGATCAAGCTTCTGGTTTTCATCCACGCTTCTTCTCGTTTCCCCAACTCCAGTACCCTTCTCCTGCGTCTTATCATCCAAGTTCGACGAGGCGACTCGACTACTGGTTGTGGGGGTCTCAGGAATATCAGGCATACCCCCTAGATTGAACTCACGCGTTCCAGCCTCTAGATCCTCCAGGCTTGTTCCTTCTTCCGCGCTGCCTAGCTTACTACGTCCTCTGCCGAGGAATCGGTTTCTGTGTGTCCGGATACTACTGGCACTCGTGATTCTACCCAGTTGACTTTCGCGAGAGAAAGTCCTCGACAGTGACTCGCCATCCTCACTTCTGCGACCCTCACGTGAGGACCGGCTATGACTGGGAGAATTTGAGAGATTGGCATAGGCCGGATTAGGGATGCGCGGTGGTGGTTTATCGTAGACATCACCGAAGTCTGCCCCAGAACTGATACCTTGCATGCCCAGACTGAAATCAACTCTCTTGCCCATTTGCGAAAGTGATTCCCCGCGTTGGCGAGATGTTGATGGGCCGCGATTCCGAAGGATTGAGTGAGGGCGGTATGATTGACCTGCTGGGCGGAATGCATTACTGTCGGAGGCTGGGGCGACGAACGATGGCTCGCGAGCAAGATTTCCGGAACGGGGCCCTGGGTCATGTTGCTGCTGCTCGGGTTCTGGATTTGCTTGGTAAGGGGGAGGATAACTGCCCTGCAAGAACATTGGATAATCCTGGTTCGCACCAGGTGCAGAGCCGACACGTGGACCTTCAATACCTAGTTCTTGCATTGTGACCATCAGGGCACAGATGAACTTGTTACGACGCTGAAGTCGCAGGAGTTCGTTTTGCCAGTTGGACTTGTAGAAGAATACCACGTTGACAGTGACCGAGTACGCTTCGTAGACGGTGGTTAATTCAGTGAGGATATTCTTTTGGTACTCCCTGTTCTCCGAGGTCACAAATTCGAGAAGCCGATTGCGAAGGCCTTCAATCTGTTCAAGTGTTGTGCCAAACTTCACAGTCACGGGTACAGCTTCTGCCAGACCACCAGAACGACGTTGGTTGAGGATGAAGAGCGTGTTGAGATAACTGTTTGGTGCTTGCACAACGTGCCCTTCCATCTTCTTGAACTCGGTAAACAGAAGGGAAATCTCTTTGACAAAGTAGTCATCTCCTCTTCCGAGTGTCCCTGTATTGCCGTATATGGTGACGCGGTCACCAACGTCGAATGGATGCTTCACGAAGACAAATCTACCGTAAAGAGGGGAACTTAGAAAACATCCTTTTGATGCTGGGGAACTTAGAAAGCATCCTTTTGATGCTGGGGAACTTACACTACTGACTGTAGGAATTCTTGGGCAGTTGCGGAGAACAGCCAAGAGAGAGCCAAGACAGTGGAACCGAGTGATGTCAGGGCCGTCTGCGCCGATGTCGAAATGAGGGAGATGAATACAAGGATGGTGACAACAATGACGATGAATATGAAAACATCATTGAGCTTGGAGACGACGGAATCGAGGTCTTTAAGTGAAGCCGTGATGGCCTTTCGTTCTCGGCCGATCTCGACACATACAGCTTCAAGCTCTTCCATTGAGATATCTCCATTTAGATCCTTGTCAAACATTGTGAAAGCGGCATCGGCTTCGTCATCGTTGTCGAAAGCCATCCGAAGATCATCAGCCAAGACAGTCTCGGAATCTTCATGGGCATAAGTCCGATAAAGTCGACGTGCCAATACTTGCGAACCATTTGTAGATCCCAAGAGCGAAAGGACACTGGAAAGGTAATTAGAAAGGGCGGCCAGTAGGGATTTGGTGCTTACACTTGATGTGGATGTGTGCTGGAAGTGACAGTCTTCCCCGTAAAATCTCCAGCGACTCGTCCGGCTACATCGCCAACCTTATTGAGCGCATGCCGAGCATTCCTCTGCACTTTTGCTACGTAAACCTTTGGGGTTCGAACACCGGCAGAGGGTCCAGTCTGAGGGCGTTGTTCAAACTCCGAATCTTCCATCGCGATCTTCTCCTTAGAGTAAATGTACAGCTTCACTAGACTAGCTATCTGGAACTTATTTAGCTCGATCCGATCCGCATAAGTTCGCAAATGAAAACTGATAGCGATAAGTTGAATGATGATCTTCTCGATGAAGTTCAAAATAGCCCCAACGAAGACGGAAACGATGATCTTGTTAACAACACTTTCCCATTCCCTGGTAGACTCATTACCGTCAAGGTGGTGGCTTTTCATGGTAGGCAGGAAAGAAATTTCGATTGCAAGCCACCAGAAGAAAAGGGTAGCGGGAACTTCGAGTTGCTTTCCAAGGTCCCTCCATTTCTTGGCATTGTTTGTAAAAAGGCTAGAGATCATCCCCATGGGCCAAGGAATCATTTTAGCTATGATCTAGGTTCGTTTGTCAGTGATGGTGGTCACGGTTCGGGGATAGAGTCTCACTCTTGAAAGCCAGAGAGTTAACCAAACGATCTCTAGCCATATGCCGAACCAAAATAGCTTTACACCACCAACAGTAGAGTCCTCATACACTAGAAGGCCAACCAGAAGTGGTATGAGGAGCAGTATGGTAATGGGGGTAATGTAGAAGAAATATCGGACCAGAAAACTCGATTCATGGAGTTTCTTGAAGAGCTTGGCGAGTTTTGTAGTGGGACGAGCTGGAGGTTGGTAGACCTTGGTCATCTCATGTATCGGGTTCGTTGCAACATCAAAATCATCCACAGGTTCTTGAGCCGTTCGCGATCTTGTTCGCGTTATCGACCTCGACTCTCCTAAGCTATCCATGTTTGACTCTGCATTGGAGACCATCCGCTCGGCTCGTAGCATGGTAAGATCATCGTCGAGGCGGCGCGATTGCTCTCTCTGGGCCATTGCAGACATAGGGGAATGAGATTGATGGTTGTTGATATGATCTGGACCTTCGACATAGCTTGTTGTGATGCGGAGATGGTTCCTCTCATCCTCGTCGTCGTGTAGGTCGTCTTGCGGATCCCCATCTTCAACATCAGAATAACGACGATTTTCGGGGGGTGGATTCGAAGGGGGATCTGCTGAGAAGGCAGGGGGGGAGAGCTGATCCTTCTCTTGCATTGGAGACGGCATTGGAAGTTCTGGAAAGCGAGCGTTGGTTGAACAGGCGAAACAATGTCTAGGACTTGATGCGCAGACCCTGAAACTAGCACCGAATGCGCCTCGATGGATTGGAACGAAGGGGACCCAAGACACTCAGCAGGTTGCGGTCAATGAAGGAACAGAGAAGGGGAAACATGTGGGAGAAGAACGAGTGTCGAGGTCCAAGGGACGAGAAGAGGTCGCAAATGATATCGACAACGCGGTGGATGGGCCATGTAAGTGGTCTAGCGCCCATAGCTGACGAAGGACTTAGTTATCAACGATTGTACAGGAACTTGCACAGGGCAAAGTTCGCAGCTATGTGGGCGGCCTTTGGCTCAGGATGTTAATGATCGTCGAGGTCGTGCGAGTGCGAGGATGATTGAATCTTGATAGGAGCAAGCCGCGACGAACGAACGAGCCAAGACGATCGATGATCCGGCCCAGCCCAATCGTAGATTTACTAGGGCCCTACTCAGGACGGTAGGTTTACCGAGGACGACTTAAAATACTTAAAACCATGTATACCCCATAAAAAGGCCCGCCAGGCCCCGTAAATAAGGGGTAAAATACAAGATCCCCGTGCGGCTGATTGGTGGGTTTTGTATTTTTGGCCGTTCAAGAGTCTGGGCGCGCTCTTGGAAGTCTTGGGAACCAGGGGTCCGCGCTGCGTGACGTCATCTGCCATGCGCGGTCTGGGGCAGCGCGGGCATTTCACAACTGGCATAAAAATGATTTCCGTGCTTCATAAAGTTGTGCAGGTTTCAATCCTCCGTACGGACGTAAGGCTTTTCTTTAGGCCCTGCCAACTACCTTACCTTAGAGGGAAGTTTTAATGCTTTCGACGGGATCCATGGCGCTGTCAAGATGCCAAAACCAACCCTTCTCCAATGAGATCCCATGCAAGTTTCTCCATCATGAGACGACTGAAGTTGCCCTCAGCAGGCCGATTATTTCACATCTTTCAGCCCCCCCACATCAATCTCACAGTACAACCTAGTAGTCACCGGAAGTAGTAAACCCATCCTGCCAAGCTGAGATAGGGGCCCTTACCCATGGGCTTGGCCAAGATTTGTGTGCAGCCGATATAGCCTATCTTCAACAGCGACGAGACTACTGTCTTCCACGCAGAATCAAGGCTCCTTGACCAGGGCATCAGGCAGACCCAGCGTTAGGAAAGCTTACTTCCTCTCCCCTTTAGATAGTCCTTGCATGGTTATTGGGGCAGTGGCCGCTTCATATAGTAGCGGATTGATCGCGAATAGATGAGACAAGATCTTTATTCCGATTCTTTTAATGCGGATGTTACCCAGTCTAAGGAAAGAGAGATGCATTTCGGATCCCAGCCAGATCATTTCTCGACAACCGGGGTTTTCTGGCCTTGCAGATATGAATAGAAGAAGAGGGAGAGAGCCCTGGGAGCCGAAACGGATATTTGTTTCAGGAGAGCATGCATAGATTGGTTCATCCCTGAGACGGTATATTTGTAGTTAGGATAAGTTATAACTTATAAGTAATAAACTTGGCTGTGAACGGCAATTGGAAAAGCTGGTCAAAAAAAAAAGGGTCCAAATAATTGCCCAGCTTGAGCCTCTTCGAATACTGTATTATAGAGTTCGATTCATATTCGCTGCAGAATGAAGTAGAGACGTTGAAGCGCGATATCAAGAGGATATAGGTTTGAAGAAGATGACTTCTAATTTGTGTGAGGGGTGAGGTTCAAAAAGCGGCCGCTAGCCGAATTCGCACAGATTGCCCCGCCATCCGCATCTCGAGAGCGTTCCATCGCCAGACTCAACTACCTATTCTCGCCATCACCTACACGACATCACCATCATGGCGGACGTGGAGAGTTCAGGCGCACCAGCTGAACCCCAGTCGAGAAATATAACCTACTGCGGAGGCAAGTCCAGCCCACCCCATGAAGACCTCCCCCACCCGCTCTCACTAACCTTTTCTTTCCCCCAACAGTCTGCACGTTGCCTCCGGAGGTACAAAACCCCTATCATCATCCTGTAAGAGTACAGACTCACAAGAAGAGGAGGTAGTACTGTGAATTTGGTGGCACTGTCAAGAAATGCCAGGAATGGCTTCAGAAATCGCACCCGGACATGTACGAGCGTCTGTGGTCTGCCGGTCTGCTCCCCTTTCTCCCACCTCATCTACCTGTCCTTCACGAGATGCTGACACTCTGCTCTTCAAGATGCCCTTGAAGCTGCAACGTCAACCCTGTCCATCGAGGCCCGCAAGCGCGCCGAGAAAGACGCCCACAAGAAAGCCCTGAAAGCCGAAGCTGCAGAAGCCAAACAAGCTGCCACGATCGCATCCTCGAAGGTCATCATCAAGCGAGTAGAGCGCAACAAGCGAAAGTTTGTCACAGCCGTGACTGGATTAGAGGCATTTGGTTTGGACAACAAGAAAGTTGCGAAGGACTTCGGGAAGAAGTTTGCCACGGGAAGCAGTGTCACGAAGCTTCCGAGCGGAGGGGAGGAGATTGTTGTCCAGGGTGATGTGAGCGATGAGATTGAGGAGTTCTTGCTGGATAATTATAAGGTTATTCCGGAGGATAATATTGAGCTAGTGGAGGACAAGAAGAAGAAAAAGGACACAGGTGCTGGCGGATAGTGTGGCCATATCCTATATACGGAGAATTATGAATAGAATGGACTCGATATCGCTGATGAATTTGTATGTGTCGATACCCATAAAACAACCTGTAACGCCAAACGCTAAACCATAGACGCCGGTTTTCCAGACGATACCTCATTAATCCTCTCCCCAGAACCATTTCCAACAACAGGGAGCAGATACTCCGTGCCCGCCAAGTCCTCAGAACTATCCATAGCGCCAGTCTATGCAGAACCATGTTTTCCAGACAATACCCAGCCAGCCCCCCTTTAATTTCTCTTTCTCAGAACTCTTCCAACCGCAGGAGCGGATGCTTTGGGCGCAGGAGCTTTCTTAGTCGCTCCCCCTATTCCCTTGATCGTACCCATAACTGTTTTCTTTGCCGGTGCTGTCTTCTTTACAGCTGGAGCAGACTTCCTTACTACTGTGCTATTGCTGGCATCACTTGAATCACTAATCGCTCTTCCTCTTCCCACTCTCGGCGGTGGGGCGGGCACAGTCGTTCTCTTCCCACGTCCGGCTCCCCCTGTTGTCTGTGTTTCCGCGACTTTCCGAGTAGCAGTTGTTCCTCGGGTAGCCCTTGCCTTCTCGACCATACTTGTGAGGACGCCGGCTGCTTCTCCAGTAGGCGCTGGGGCCGAAGGCTTGAGCGGAGAGACTGGTCGTGCAAGATTTGACTTTCCTGGTGAAGTTGTGGGACGGTTTAGAGAGGCAGGAAAGGTGCGGGAATTGGCTGATCGAGGTGAGAGGATTCGGGAGGGTGGGAGGATGGCCCGTGGTACGGTACGTGATGGGGGGCCAGGAGCACCTCGAACGAGTTTCTTGAGATTGCCAATGTCTTCATTCTCTTTATCAATCATAATTTCGTCACTAGGCATGTCAGCAAAGGAGCAGTAACAAGGGCAAGGGGGAGCATACCTAACACGTTTTCCACCACGCGGCGATGGGCTGGCGCGTGAACTATACCGTTCTTTTTGCACTACAATATTCGATGGCGATCTGATATTGGCAGTAATTTTAGGTGCAGTAGGGCCAGATTTCGAAGCATTCTCGCTATACTTCAAGAGCAACTCTCCCATATTCGCTCGTCGAAGCGCGACAGGAATGCGGTTGACCCTGATTTCAATACGCGTACGTAAACCTTGCGCCTGCAGCATATACTGTGCACGAAGCTTTCTGGCGCGTTCCGTAACTGTTTAAACGCGATCAGTGACGCTGTCGCGTTGATAGCAGTTGGAAAGGCACGTACTCTCTAGTTGCAAGTTATCAATTAATGCTTGCTTTTGGCGCGACGTAATGCCCATCTTCCGCTTCCTAATTGGACTTCTATTCGTAGGTGTTATTGCAGGACTGGCAGTCTTCGTGGGAACAAGCTCAGAGCGAGTCTGAAAGCTTGGTATATCTGCAGAGCTCGATTCCGTAGATTTGCGTTTCCGCGCTCGTGTCGGAGCCATATCGGGTATTCTTGCGGTACTTCCGGGGAAAAAATGTATCTGGATTATTTGTTGATGTAGGACAGCACGGGAGAATAGCAAATGAGCAAGGCGCAAGTAATTTTTTTTGTGATAGTAGAGGTGGTTCTTGGTGGTGTGCATCTTGATAAGTGTAAACAAACGACGCTGGAGCCGCATCGCTTAGAATCCCACTAAACCCAACCAAGCCAGAAGCTACGGGGAAGTTGCCTTGCCTTGTAACTTACGCGCAGCCATAGCTACCTGCCTACCTACGGAGCACGAGCAACATCAACCCACCGTTCTCTTAACTTTCATCCAACGCTGCGCGACCATCTCATCTGTGATACCCTACCTTCTCACGAGTACGAAGCCCTCTGACGAGGCCAAAAGCAGAAATGGTTCTCGAAGCTGTGATGGTGGTTGTAGACAACAGCGAGTCCAGTCGAAATGGCGATTACACACCAACAAGATTCGAGGCACAAGCTGATGCTGTCTCGCTGATCTTCTCCGCCATCACACAAGGCAACCCCGAATCCTCTGTTGGGCTGATGAGCATGGGAGGCAAGGGACCGGAGGTTCTAGTCACATTAACGACTGATCATGGCAAGATCTTGGAGGGGCTGCATCGAACGAAGAGTAAGATTGGTGGGAGCAGTCATTTGGCCACAGGTATTCAGATCGCAGGGGTAGGTTGAGCTTTTGAAGCATCTTCTGGGACTTTACGAAGCTAATGACATCTGGGAATAGCTTGCGCTCAAACATCGAAAGAACAACTCACAACGCCAACGCATCATAGTCTTCACCTGCAGTCCCATTGCCGAAGATGAAAAGACGCTGGTAAAACTGGCAAAGAAAATGAAGAAGTATAACGTATCCGTCGACTTTATTGCCTTCGGTGAGCTTGATGACGATGTAACGAAGAAACTGGAAGCATTCAACACGAATGTCAAGAGTGGTAACGGGTCGAATTTAGCTATCATACCACCTGGACCTGGTCTGCTGAGTGACCAGTTGGTCACAAGCCCGATACTGAACGGTGATGGCTTGAGCGGAGCAGCAGGCATGGGTGGCGCCGAAGGAGGTCAAGATACTAGCGGGTTCGAATTTGGTATTGATCCATCTGTTGATCCGGAGTTGGCACTGGCTTTGAGAATGAGTATGGAAGAGGAGAAGGCAAGAGTGGATAAGGCGAATAAGGAGAAGGCCGAAGCGGAGTCGAAGAATTCATTGCCGGGGGTCAAAGAGGAAGAAGAGGGTGGGCAGTCGAAGGACGGGGAGGCGAGTGGCAGCAAGGAGGACAAGAAAGATGACGATGCTGATAAAATGGATACTGCATAAAGGTGTTCATGGGATTTGCAGGATGGGCGTTGAGCATGTACCAATAGATATCATGATACATAAAAATGAGGGTCCATCAAGACTTTACAGCTAGGTAGTCCTTGCTCCTCTAGGGTCATACCTGTTTCTTGTTTCCAAGACAATGCAATTATAGGGGTTCTATTTGTTGGCAGTTGCTCTATATCTATTTCAAAACACCAGATGAGTTCCAGTAACTTGGAACAGGCTTGAAGGAGGAATTTGATCACTTCCTGGCGAGACCCAACCACCGAGAGATATTTTGATGGTTGTACTGCCTGGAGCAGAAAGGTTGGTCACTCGAGCCAGCTTCCTCAACTCGACAGCCGGCTGGTCTACTCCACCATCCTACAGACAGACTGACTTGCCTTGTCCCGCATTGGCTGCAGCCCGTACAGCCATAATCGTATGCCCATTCGAATAGACCACGCCCATTCCCACATCTATGCCCGTAGGCCTCTGACCACAGCTCCAAACTCCCAACTCCCCGGAACCAGGAACGCTTCAATTCCTCGGGGTCCGACTATTATTCCTTCCGTCCAGCAATGCCCCAAATCACCGGCTATTCAACGGCCTCAAGTACTGCCCCAGCCTCCTATCGAATACCTCACACCGAATTGGCATTTCAATTTGATAGAAGGGATTCTTCATCACGTAGTCCGCATACAGCTCATAAATCCTCCGGATGATCGCATCCACATTTGGCTGGTCTGGCTCAGTGAATAACAGGAACTTGGTTCCAGTGAGCGTGCTGAAGCATTGTAGTCGGAAGTTCTCGGTCTCGAGGACCTCAATCCCAGAGGGTGGCTCGGGACGGGAGTCCGTGGAGGAGCGCGCGGTGGAGGAGTGCAAAGGGTTGAGACGTGTGCTTATCGCATGTACGCTGGGAAGAGTGGATGTTAGCTTACTCGAGGAGGAAGTATAGAGGGCGCAAGAGAAGGGGGGGGACTGGGGAATGGGAGGGAGATGGAAAGTGTGCAGAAACGAACCCATGAAAGGTGCCAGCAAGCACGAGGTAATCGTTGATAGACAGTTTATTCAACCCTTCTGCGAAATCTCGCTGGTATATTAATCCACCAGCTTTATTTATGATTATCAAGGCATACACCACCCTATGTGCTTTCTATCAGTCCTTGTCCCTGGGAGGAGAGCAGGAACCGTACATCGTTGCGTTTTCAGCGCCCCCTAGAGCCAACAGAGCGGGCTGACGGGTAATTCAAGCTTCAGTGAAGCTGCGTGGTGATTCAAACACTTCTTACATCAAGCATCCGGGGTTGTGCTGAGGCAGTTGGAGGATGTGGTCAAACTGGCGCATGTGCATTCGAATACGCCTCTTAGCGGAGCGGCGTGCGAAGGTTTGGTCGTCGACGAGGCTCGGAATTCGAGGATCCCCTGGATTTTCTGGAAAGCTCGCGACGAGTTCTTTTCACGCGACAACAACTGACCGCCACCGTCCTGTCCCTCCAGTCCCTTTTCCACAGTCCGCACCCAAAGATTTTCCTATCTCTACTTTATCTGATTCTGCATCTGCTGTTCGGTCCAACCATCCATTCCTTGCAACATCGCAGAAGCAGCTCATAGTGCTTCTCTCTCACCCCCCCCGCTCTTTCACGAATTCGACGAGTAACGACTATGGCGACACCCGCTCCCACATCTAGAACGCGCGAAGCGCCTCAAGGCGACGAAGAAGCAGCTGCGGAGCTGAAGCTGGGAGAGTTCCAAGACGTGGATGCGCTCACGCACTCTGAAGCGGCGTTGGTTATCAATGCTCTCGTGGCGAAGAGGCGCATGGATAGGAAGAACATCAACGAGACTGAGTATGCCTCCTCTTTATTTTCGCCGTTTGTAGGAATGGCTGGGCATATCTGGGAAGCCAAGGGATGTGAAAGAGAGTAGCCAGGAGATGGTTCTGTGTCAATGGAGGAAAAGCAAGATATAACCATAGTAGTAGACGGACGACTGATTCGTGTATAGGATGCTAACCAAGACACAAATTTACCTTGATCACTTTGCGCGCTTTAAACGGAAAGAGAACGTCGAAGCTGTGGAGCGTCTCCTGTCTGCGCATAAGGAGCTGGCAAAATTTGAACGAGCACAACTTGGTATGCCCTCCTCCTCCCCGCTTTGCTATGTATCAGAGAAGATGGACAGCCCGACTGGACAATGTGAATAAGCTCTAATCTTCGGTGCGTAGGTTCTCTCTGTTGCGATTCTGCCGAAGAAGCAAAGACCCTGATCCCCAGTCTCACGGATAAGATATCCGACGACGATTTGCAGGAGCTGCTAGATGAGATCACCAAGTTGATGGGCTACGGGAACTGAACACCGACTCTGGGTTGGGGGCTGTGGAAAAGGAAAAGAGCGAAATAAGGGTGTCAGAGGATCAGATATGCGGATAAAAGTCCCGATTTTATAAAGGCGTTACACAGGTTGCATGCATGGCTGGCGCAGCATGGAAAGGACTGGGGCGTTGATGGAGTGGAGCAGATTGAGTGTGCGTATATGCCTTGGATACCAAGACTGGGCTTTAGAAAATGAATAAAGGAGCCCAGGAGAAATATACCAGAAATCGAAGGTGCAATCGATTGCATGCATGCTATGATTTGAATGCTGTTATGCTCTGATTGCCGTTTATCTATTTTTTGTTCAAAATTATCTTATATATCTGTTCTACATGCTGTCCTGAAATAAGAAATTGGGTATCATCGAATGGATGCTGTCTCTCCTAATCGTATCATCCTTCTCCTTTCTTCTCGATTACTTCATCCGCTCTTTATGTCTCAATGCCCTCCTCTGATCCAATGGAGTCATTGGAGTCAAAGGCACCGCACTCCAACCCTCCCTACCAGTCCAGCCATCTCTGCCTTGGAGATTCAATGGCTGAACACTCATATCACCCATGTCACTCCACTGAGCCTGCCGCGCCGCCGCGCTTTGCGGGCTGAACAGCGGACTCACCTCGTCCTGTCCTATCGGCGCGTCGCCTTTGTACACCTGCCAGCTCGTCACGTGTCCTCTTTCGCTCGCGCTCCACTGCCTAGAGTGGTTATGCGTGGGGGGTTCCTCTTCTGTAGTAACCGTCAATGCGGATACTCCGGATGGTTGTTCCCTGAGGGTGTGGTGGTAATCGGAGAGTGCTGAGACATCTGAGCGCTGCTGTCTTAACTTCGGACGAGATGGCTTTTCTGGTACTGGCGACGGTGATGATCGCTGTTCCTGCCTAGGTTGTGGTTTCCCTTGCTTCGATCGTGGGGATCGTCTCTGCTCTTGTTCAGCATGTGCCCGTTGAGAGTCACGACTGGAGCTGTCATCTTCAAGACCAATGGGGATGCTCTCTGTTATATCCGTCAAATCATCTTTCCAGAAGTCATCTAGGGACTCAGGAAGATATATATGGTGGAATGCAGGGGTGGGATTGAGCGGCGCCTTTATCGGCTCATCGTTTATTATGGAGATGTCATTGCTCGGTGGCATGGATGCTGGGAGCTCCGCCTTTCCACCTGCTGTGGGGGATGGGTACCCTAGGCGAGACTCAGAGATGCGTCGTACTGCGGAATTCGTTGGAGGTGTAATCTTTTGTGGGGGCGAGCCGCGCGATTGAGTTAACTTTGAAAGCGGAGAGGAGTTCTTAGGAGGAGTCGTACGTCTTTGGAGTGGCGGCGTTTGTGGCAAAGGGGCTCGTGGCGGAGGAGCTCGGGGTGGAGAAGTACGTGGCGGAGACATGCGTGCGGTGGAAAATTTCGAAGAAGGGATTGAGGAAGTTAGTCCTCTTGTCGGCATGGGAGATGCTGCCAGTTCAGCCTGAGGAGTAACGGGTATCGGGTCCAGTTGATCAGCAGCGGGGTTAAGTGCGATCGGGGAAAATACGAAGTCAGGAATATGTGGTGATTGATCTGGTAGACGGCGGAAACTTGGAGCGCGTGATCGCTGTGAGGGTAATGTGTTATAAGCAGGTTGTATTGGAACATATGCGGGGATTTGTTTGCCGGGTAAGGGATGGTATGCTGGGTGTTCATGATCTGGTGGTGGAGATAGTGCTTTCTTCTCTTCACTTGGGAAAGGTATATCGCATGGTTGTTCCTCCTCGATTTCCATGGAATGACGGTCTCCTATTGGTTCCCTCTCGTCTATACTTAGAGCTTTGTGATATTCTGATTTATGTCAGTGAAAATTTGACGTTGCAATGAATGCGTGAACTGACTTCTGGATGAATTAAATATGCCACCATTTCCCCTGAGATTCCTGCTATTCGCTGGGTGACTCTTCTCATCATTGACTCCGAGCATTGGTGTCATCCCTCGAGATGTTAGAAGGATCCGTCTTTCCCTCCTTCTCCGCAAGAAGAACCAGATCGAAACACCGACAAGGACTATGAATACTATCGTTCCGATTGTGGCTCCAACAATAATTGGTACTTTCGATGGGGCAGACGAAGTAGCGGCCTTGGACGATCCTGCTCCAGTTGGTTGAGCGGCCGATGATTGCTGAATTGTCACTGTATAGATTCCAGTAGAAGTCGGTACCAGTAAATTTGCCCATGGCAGGGTAGTAGATGGCAACGAGGTAAGGTAATATGTTGTGGCTGTTGCGGCTGGTGGGCCCGGCAATGTAACAGTTCTGAGCTCGTTCTGGTGTGTTGAATCATCTGGACAGGTTCCAAGCTCGCAGGCATTGACGGAACAGCAACCTTTGAAGCCACCGGTATTGCAAACATACCACTGAGTCCCAGCAGCACAGTTCCCATCTTGCCCGTGGAAGGACATCTTGGATCAGTGGCGTGAGAATTCAGAAGTAGGAGGAACAGAAGGGAAAGGGTTAGGAAGAGGAAACATGTAGAGCTGCTAATCTTAAAGGTAAAAGAAAGGACCCGGTACGTGCGGTTGAAGAATGAGAAGAGGCTGGGATGACGGAGTGGAGGGTCGAACGATTATGAATTGACCATGTGCGGTGCAGCCGGCAAGCTTATCTCAGACCAGGGAGCAATGGACGCAGTTGATCAAAGCTCATCGCATGGCATCAGCCTCAAAGAGAAATGACAGGGACGGGGGCAGCTCCTAGGGGATGAATTGGGGCTTTCCTCGTGGTAGTGGGGAGCACTTGCAACTACATCCCCGGCGGTGGGAGAAGTGAAATAACAATTAATAACTGACTGAAGTCCACAAGCAGCGGACTTCCAGTACTTCCGCAATTACAACGCACCTATTCTTGGCTCTTGGAAAGACGCAGGTTCAAGAGAGCAAGGTAATAGCTCTCTAGTATCTCTCCACTCCTGGGGTTCGAGAGGACTACTCTGCTGCGAACTGGGAGTTAGCATGACGAGCAATACTCTGTACGGAGTAGTGTGAGGTGAGGTGCAGTACGGTGAAGGGATAGTGATACCACGGTGATGGTGCAGCGTAGAGGAGAGAGTCGGGCCTCGTGGAAAAGAGGTGGTTGGAGGGAGGAGGAACTAGCCTGGATCGGGACTGGCGGCCTCTCTCCGGGCCTGTGCCTCGCTCTGTGCCTCGCGAGCCACTGTCTGCGCCTCTTCCTTCGTTATGGCCCGCGAATAGCTGCAAGCGCTGCTGGCATGGGCACGCCTCTGTGGGTGAACATCACTGCTAGTAGTCACAGTAGTGAATGCACGAATTTAAATTCGTCTCACATCCCATGTTCTCGAGTAGTGCTCGAACCTCGGGGCCGCACTTTCGTCTGGTCTTCACTGCCTGTACAGTATGTGTTCTGTACGATGGGTACTGTACATCGGCAGTCTAGCCCTTTGGTCCCCCTTGTCGCGAAACATGTTGGCTACGAGCAGGCCAACGAGGCCATCATGGCGTGGTTTTGTTAGAGCAGACCGTTGTTCGATTCTTCGATTATGCAATGCCAGTGCTGCGGTCCTCTCGATCCGATCAGGGAAGATATTCTTGTATCTGCACCGGCACCCCTTGTCGCTGTGGGCTTCCCGCTGTCTTGATTCACGGGAATGTTCGTCCCATGTTTCTCACCGCATGGTCTTACGGTCCACGGAGTACTCTTGTGTATGGGGGCATCTCCGTACCTATAGTATTTAAGTAGTACCAGATTCCAGGTACGCGACCCCGGGGCTGTGGTTATGGAGATATATAATATGCTACATATACCTACCTTATGTATCATAGTTCTATAAATACGTTGTACCTCTGTACCTCCGTATATCCCGCTCCCGCCTCTAAATGTGGGTTGCAGTGCCGCCCTTGCCCCGCCCCAGCATCGTCATACGGCTGCACGTGTTTGAGGCTTTGGGATTACTGTCAGTGTCAGCCTGTCAGGACAGAGCATGCCCCCCCTACGTTGGTTAACAAGGCTTTCCGATAATGGCCTTCAAACATCCCGTCTATCCGTAGCAGCTTACCTTGTACTTAGCAAGTTCGTATAATATATTTAGCAACCTTCCAACTCTTATCCTGCGCCTCTTTTGATAGAATACCCTTTCTCGTACCACCCACCTGTGTGCTAAGCAAACAAATAGTAGGGAAAAGTCCAACTGCTCGATACTGACCCTGACCAAGGAAGATTTTACCGGCCTATCGGACTCGATACACTCCGGATCAGCCTGATAGTCACCATCCAGGTAGAATTACTGGAGAGTCTTTTGACAAAACCCCATATCATTTTGTCGGAATTGGTTTGTCAAATGATCATGGGCAGAGGAAATTTGTCAATGTTGGCCTGTGCCTTACAGCGCCGCAGACCACGACCGTCTGGTATACTGTATACAAACTTTGGTATGGAAATCTCAAATATCCAAACCGATGACACTTCTTCCTGGGGAATGAAGTTCCCGAATGGAAACTCGAATGTCGTCTCGGAGCCAGTGGTATCTAGGGACAAATTAATACTATCTGAGCATGATCTAATCTTGCCTATTCAATTCCCACCCGAATCGTCAAATTACAGTACGTGGTTGACCTTCTTTACAACTCTCGGTTCATTCTCCTATGGCGTGGACCAAGTGGTGCGCTCTAGGTTTGACCGTTTGGGTGCACCGTGCACCTACGATCTTCTCCTGTTTTGCTCGAGGCATTGATCCCAAAGCTTGTATTTCAGCAGATTGAATGGTCAAGTGCCCTATTCCATATGTCGCTCACCCTCACAACGCCAGGTATGGTGGTTAGGCCTATATGCGAAGACTGCAATGTGCCCACGCATCCTAAGAGAGCAGTATTATTGGGAGTAGGATTCCAACTTCCGTTGGGGTTCCAACTTCCAACGGAAGTTGGACAAAGATTGCATTATCTGGAATCCTGGTCGTTGTTGGCTGTTGTATTCCCTTTCTTTCCGCCGCTGAAACAAACCGCGTTGCCCCAATACATTGGTCGCAAACCCCACACTGCTACAGATCTAATCCATGCACCCCCATCTGATGATTCTGATCTATCGCTACTTCAACCTACTGTATCGATGAAAGTTGTAGCCCGTGTAGGGGTGGGTTACATTAAGGATATCTTCAGAACCAACAGCTTTCATGGTTCCAACACCCTCGTTGCAGATTCCATTAACTCAGGGGAAGAATACCTACTTACGTTTGCCACAAAAGGGCGTGTGGATGGCGTCAATAGTACCTAGGTATTTATCTATAGTAACTTGCGGCCTTGGAGTCTTTTGCTCAGAGATATCTCCCAATCAAGAGCCCCCAAAGCCTTCGAAGTCGTATGCCATTTGGTGGGCAACTTGGATTTGAGAGGGCAGTAGGACGGATTTCGATCACGTGGATGGAACATGTCCGACTCACTAAGGTAGGTGAGACACGATTGAGTTTTGAACTGAGGGAACAAATGATAAAGTTAGGGATATGATAGGCTCGAATCTGTATCTGCGAACTGTAAGGTAAGAAGTGCAGAAATTGAAGGTTTAGGTCTGCAATACGTTTGCAATAGGTTTGCAAGAGGAGAGATCCCGTTGGCAGAAACATCATGCCTTACCTAAGCGATATTAATTCTGCACGGACCAGTACCGTTAGTCCGTTAGTCCGTACGGGGTAATCTCGTCGGGACGGCCGGGCATATGTTTCTCCGCCCCGCACCACGCAAAATGCAAACGATGTCGGATCTGTGCCCCTCTACCCCTCCCTACCAGAGGATTGTTCGCATCCGACATATCTGGCGATATTGACATTGATTCTATCCGCAAAGCATTGTATATATATACCTGCAAGATGCCGGCAAGCATTGTCCTTGGGGCGCAGTGGGGGGATGAGGGCAAGGGCGTGCGTCAGACCCTCGAGCCTAAAGATTATTTCCGCGCACTGACTTCTCTCTCCAGAAACTCGTCGATATTCTGGCCACGGCGCCGAATGTCGCTTTAGTCGCAAGGGCGCAGGTAAGACCCGGCTTCTCTCCAGCGCAGAATTGACAATTGATATATTTCTGACCAGGGCGGCGACAATGCGGGCCATACCATCTCCCACAACGGTGAATCCTATCACTTTGTGAGTCACCCAGGTCTTCCTTCTACCAGCCACTGACCCAGAACAAAGCACCTCCTTCCTTCCGGCCTTATGAACCCTCGCGCGAACAACTTGATCGGGAGCGGCGTTGTTGTCCATGTTCCAAGTTTCTTCGAAGAATTGTTGGATCTGGAGAAGAAGGGCCTCGAGAATGTACGGGAGCGCATCTTCATTTCGGACAGGTGCCATGTCGTTTTCGATCTTCATATGAGGGTGGATAGCTTGGAGGAAAGGGAACTCGGTGGTAGCAGCATTGGGACCACTAAACGGGGCATTGGACCATGTTACTCTACGAAAGCGGCGAGATCTGGTGTACGCATTGGCGACATCTTCTCGAAGGAGCTCTTCGATCGCAAGCTTCGGGAGTTAGCACGCGGGTATAAGCTTCGATTTGGCGCCTTGCTGGAGGACTACGATGTTGAATCGGAGATTGCAAAGTTCGACGTCTGTCTTTCCGACCTTATGCGATTTCGCTATGCTGACAGCCAACCAGAAATTACGTGGTGAACTTGCGCCATACGTGGTTGATGCTGTTCCTTTGATGTCATCAGCTCAACAGAGTGACATAGAGATGGTCATTGAGGGCGCGAATGCATTGCTTTTGGGTAAGTCATAACCAACAACTAAGAGACCAATATTGATATCACCTCTTAGGTAGCTTTCAGTTCTATAAGCATTATAAATACAGCTAACAACTCCGACAGATCTGGACTATGGCACCTTCCCTTATGTCACGAGTTCCAATACCGGCCTTGGAGGTATGTAATTGTTCTTGGGCTTACTTGCAGTTCTAACCTTATGGATGAATAGGTATTTTTACGGGCCTTGCTCTGAACCCCAAGAGTATCTCTAGTATCATTGGGGTCGTGAAGGCCTACACAACCCGCGTCGGCGGCGGCCCATTCCCAACAGAAGATGTTGGCGAGGTTGGCACCAAGCTTCAAGAAATTGGCAGGGAATTTGGTGTGACCACGGGAAGAAGACGCCGTTGTGGTTGGCTTGATTTGGTCGTACTCAAATACTCGACGGCCATCAACCACTACACCGCGTTAAACCTCACAAAGCTTGACGTCCTCGATACCTTCGAGACAATCAAGATCGCTACCGCGTATATCGATCCAGAGACAGGCGAGGAGCTTCAGAGCTTCCCGGCAGATCTCGATCTGCTAAGCAGGGTCAAGGTCGTTTATCATGAAATGCCTGGTTGGAACAAGCCGATAACCGGGGCGAAGAGCTTCTATGATCTGCCTAGAGCAGCGAGGGACTATGTTGTAAGTGCTCTTCTAAATTGAATAAGGCGAGGCTAATCGGTTTAGGAATTCATCGAGAAATCCTTGGGTGTGCGTGTTAAATACATCGGGACTGGACCAGCAAGAGAGGCTATGATCACGAGATAGATAGCGGGGTGCACGGCGCTGTATTTTAGTAGTCACAGCTCGCTGAGAATCAAAATGCAGTTAGAATTGATATATGCTTCTCACTATTCTTGTCGTTTTCAATCAAGGCATTGGATGATAGATCCGATCAAGGTCCAAATTGTCTCCAACCGGTGAGCTATAGCGATTACGGTCTAATGGTAAAATTCCTCGGCCCTCGGGAATAAGCCGCTACATTAGTATCCGTTTCCTACCTTAATGGACACTACTACTCGTCACTTCGCGTAACATCACTGTCTCTCCTCAGCTCCTGAACGCAGAATTGGTCTCACAAGACAGAACATTTGTGTCTGCTGAAGTCTGAAACTAGAGACCCACTGCTATCTCCGTATCTAGCTCGTTTTTATGTTTCGAGTTCAAGGTATCCCAGAGTCCTACCTTTAATGTTCGGATAGTGCTTTCATTAGAAGCATTAGGAAATAGGGAATCTTGAGGAACAGTGACAAGGCGAGAGTAGATAACGTTACGCGGCATGGTTGATATATAAGGCCATCAATATTAACAGGTCCTGGTTAAAGCTCGATCATATGTAACAGAGCCAGAACGAGGAAGCTCTTCCCGCTCCCACTTCAACCGCAACACTCGCGAGTAGATATCCTACCAGATCTGACCAGCACCAAGGAAGGAAGCTGGCAAGGGAGAGGCGAATGCGCACTCTATTGGTCTTGGAGAGGTAAGTCCTTCTCGGTATAGAAGCCTGCGCGTAGATGCTGACGGCTGGGCTGAAGGTCCTTGGTTCGTGATTAGAGAAGAAACATCTATAAGATGCAACCCTGGCATACAATGTGCAACATCAAGAAACCAACAATAAACCACCAACAAATAAGCGAGTCTCCCCCCTTTTCTTCGTATCTCCTGATGTGGCACGTGACCGAGCGCAACGGCTTCCCAGGAGTGTTCACTACTCCCTCCTTCTCACCAGATAAATTGGTTACCTACCCTAATAAAAGCACTTATATTGTTACTGGAGACAATCACGAAAATGTTGACAAAGCGTATGGGATTACCCTGCTTTACTTTGCTTTATTAGCGGAATACTTACATTGATGATGCTTGCGATGACTTATGGGCTAAGTATAGCTAATGTATGTCGATGAGGTATAGCGAAAATATTGTAAACAGATTTGTGTCAGCGAGGGTAGACTACAGGGTTCCTAACTATTAGGTAGCGGCTTAGCAGCTTAGGTAGATATCGGAAGACAAATGTTTTTATGTTTCTACTCAACATACCTTATTATTTTGTCCAAATCTTACATGTATTTTCTTAAACATCTAACATATGCTACTACTACTTCTTCAACAATGACCCGGAAATTGACGACCCTATTCCATACCGCCAGTCAAAATTGAATTGGCAGCCTGTTCTGAATGCGGCTGCTTAAAAATCTCATACTTCTCATCGTGCCATTGGCTTGCCGTCACCCACCTGCCTCCACTATCCTTGAAAACCTTCTCGCTTTCAGGTCGCAAGAAATAGGCGATGGAATATCGATCCTCTGCCACATCCATTGGTACAACCTGATGAATACAGGATTGCAAGGAATGACCGGAAGCAAAGCGCAATGAATCTCCAACATTGATAACCGCATGTCCAGGACGTGGTGCCACGAATTCCCAAGAGGAGCTCCCGGGCGGCATGACCTGCAAACCCCATTGCTCGCTGAAAAGAAGGGTCAAGGAGCCGATATCGGTATGCTTTTGGTGCCCAACGCATTTACAAGTAAGATCACTCGGTATGTAGCGAAACATAGCCAAAGTGCTGTTCGATTTGTGGTCATTTCGGTGGAAAGTTTCGAACCTGTCTGACCCTCTAAGGCCAAGGGCATTAGAAAGGCAAGCGAGCATTGTTTTGGTTATGATGTTTGCTCCAGCAACAAATCCTTCAAATAGTTTCACGTCGTCCTTGAGAACGCTTGGGAGACTGGGTGAAAGTGAGGCCAACTCATCACGGGATACCTGGCAAAAGAATTAGCCTCAGGAATCACGTACAGAGTAATAGGGGTATTGAGTTCGAGACAATAAAAACCGACCTTGAGGATTTCATAGCCGTCCTTGGTGTTTTCCAAGACTCCAGCATGATTGCCTACTGGCTCAAAACTAGGTTCCATTATATTAGATATCAATCATGATGGCGAACTACTAACCCGTGTGATTGGGATGGGAGGCCAATTTCCATCTTTGTCTCAGCCGTCTGGCTGAAGAACTCACGCATAACTTGAAGCAGTTGCTGTTCATCATGCAGAATTCTACGTCCATCTAGGCCTTGGAGATCAAAATAGAAGAAGCCCTGTGTCTGGCAACACTGAAGAAGCTTTTCAAGCTCTTCAGGCTCTTGTGAAAGCAATCGGGAGAAGTCGATGGTTTCGAGAGCACAGATTGGGGCCTGCTCCCCGGGGTACTGAACGGTATTTGGTATTTGAGTTGCAATAGCCATATTGACTTGATTGAGGGAGAATCGAAGGGAGGTAAAGGTCACATAACTCTGAATTTCCGAGAAGGAGATGGCACGTTCACGATCAGCCGGCTCCAACATAACTCTTCGGCCCGTCCAGTCCCTTGCATATTAGACTGTGCGACAAGAACGCGGGGTAGATCCAGAAGGGGCTACAGACGTCTAAATGTCCAAAGAAGGAAGGAGGCTAATAGGCTAATAGTACTGCACCTATCCGTTCTCACGTTACACAACCAACAACCAACAACCAACAACCAACAAGTTAACAACCAACCTGCAGCTCGGGTTGACTATTGCGCCGACTCGACTCGGCTCCCGGAAGAGAGCTCTGTCTTATTCCCCTCCGATATAATTCTTATGAGCCTTATGAAGTTATGAAGTTATGAAATAATGAAGTCATGATGTCCAACGAAGGGCGTGGTAAGCGAACCAACAATCAATCTTTCGACGTTTTCTCCTCCATGTCCTTGCTGTTCGCTTTGTCTCTCTTTCCTTCTCAAATCATTGTGAAGCAAGACTTGCATCACTGGGGATTTACAAAATGATAGAATCAGCTCTCCCGGAGAAATCCTCGTCCGAGTTGCCATCGTCGAGCGCCGTACAGATCGACTCAACTTCAAGTGATATTGTCAACTTCAGCAACTCTGAAGATCCATCCAACCCCATCAACTGGCCGCTTTCCAAAAAGCTTGTCACAAGTGGGCTCTATAGTCTGACAAGTCTGGGATCTGTTTGGGCAAGTACTGCGTAAGAAGCACACCAAATTCAGGATCATGATATTTCCTGACTAACAAACTGCCAATCACAGATACTCATCTGCCAACAGCAAGATCGCAGATGAATTTCACGTATCTTCCGAAGTAGCTTTAATAGGAACAAGTCTATTGCTCCTAGGGTTAGTGAGTCGTTGGTATAGACAAACTTGCCTATTGCTGACTTCTCTTAATTGCTAGCTGGGGATTTGGTCCTCTACTATGGGCACCCTTGTCAGAGATTTATGGACGGAAATGGCCTGTCATGGTCCCCTTTTTTGTATCAATGGCAATGTCGTTTGGGACTGCATCCGCAAAGGATATCCAAACAATCCTGATTACTCGTTTCTTCACAGGGTTTTTCGGAGCTGCACCAATCACCTGCACAGGAGGAGTATTTGTTGACATCTGGGACGCATCACAACGAGGTAATGCTATTGTCGGCTACACACTCGCTGTCTGCGGTGGTCCAGTATGTTAAAACCAAATCTCCAACTTGACTCGAGTGCAGCGTTGACGGCGCCAAAACAGGCCATTGCCCCCGTCGTTGGGGGTGCTATCATTTACGCTGGCGCAAGTTGGAGATGGACCGAATACGTATGTTTGATTGCTTCTTGAGGAGCGATTGCCATGCAACTTGGTTAATATTACTCTACAGACTACGGGCATTCTGCAAGCTTCGGTGCTGCTCCTTGACCTGATATTCATCCAAGAATCATATGTACCAACCTTGCTCGTCAAAAAGGCGCGCAAGCTTCGGCAGACCACTGGAAACTGGGCCCTCCATGCAGAGTGGGAAGAGACCGACATTTCTATCAAAGAACTCGCCATAAAGTTTGGCCTCCGGCCTCTTCAGATGTTAATGACACCAATCTGTCTCTCTGTCACCATCTACGCCTCCTTTATTTACGGAGTATTCTACGCCAGTCTTGCCTCCTTCCCTATCATTTTCCAAGGGTCCCGAGGTTGGAATGACCTTATCGGATCACTTCCATTTCTGGCTGTATTGATAGGCATTATACTGGGCGCGGTGCTCAGTGCTTTCAACCAAAAATATTACAACAATGCATACACAGCCAACGGTTATAAACCTGTACCCGAAGCTCGACTGCCACCAATGATGATAGCATCGGTTGTGCTTGCTGGTGGTCTCTTCATCATCGGTTGGACTTCTTCTCAACAAATTCCCTGGATAGCTACCATTATAGGAGTCTGTATGATGGGTTTCGGATACTATACGATTTTCACAAGCGCGTTGAATTATCTCATTGATACCTTTCAGAGATGGGGCGCCAGTGCTGTTGCCGCTAATACATTCTTTCGAAGCGTACTAGCTGCCGTTTTCCCACTCATTGTTCCACCTATGTACCATCGTCTTGGAGATGGCTGGGCATTTAGTGTATTTGCTATTTTTGCTGTACTAAATATCCCAATTCCGTTCGTTTTTTGGTTTTATGGCCAGCGATTAAGAGCGATCGACAAGTACAGTTCTAATATGGGGTAGTGTTCTAGTGACAAAGAGGATGCTCACCTTTGAGATCATAGATATTAGAATAAAGGGCGTCTATTATGTTTATATTTACAAGATGTCTAGAACAGAGTGTCGATGGCCCTAACCCAGCCCACGTTTAAGTACCGTAACGTATGATTTGACGAAAACAAATACCATGGACTGGTCCATAGTGCTTTGTCAAAGGCTATGTATCCTAAGGCATACGGCTCAACAAAGAAACTGAGCAGTTTGAGTATAATGACACTGAAAGGCGATACAAAAATCCTATTTATGAGAGCTCAGAATCTCGATAACTTTCGCGCTATAAGGACCATCCTCAGGATCGTTCTATTTAGCCCAGTCAAGTAGCGTCCCTTCACCCTTTGAGTTCCACAATTATTTGATCCGCACCTTTCTAAAGCAGGTACTCCACTATAACGTCCAAGCCTAGGACAGATAGGAAGAACGTAAAAGGATACGGAGTATAAGAGAATAAGAGTATACTGAGGATTTTTATAGAGGATTTTTAGAGAGGACTTTTACAGAGGAAGAGGACATTTAATGAGACTACACGCACTCTTAGATATACCTTAGATAGCTTATGAGTAAGGATTAGCTTGTTTCAGCCTTAAAATAAGCCTCTAGCGCTCTGCTTCCCCATTTTCAAACGCGCTAGGTAGATGGTTTTCGGGGAAAAAGGTGCGATGCGGGGTCGCTGAACTGGCAGGGATCCTTTTGGTAAAATTGCGGAGGCGGGGCAAACCAGCGGGGACAAAGCGACCTTTTTGGGCTCCAGGTGAAGAAAGATGGGCCTGGGCCCAATCAGGTGCGGGAAGGGCACTTTATGGGGAGGAGCGGGTATATGCTACATGACATTAAATTTGTATATTGGTGCAGTGGTGACATTCAAGGACAACGCAATTATATATGTCCCAAAGTACGTGAGTGAGCATTGAAGATGTGAGAAAGACCCTCTCTTTTAGTATTTCCGTTCTGTAACTAGTATATTATGAATGGGTACCCCGGCTGTCAGATCAGGAGATAATCAAACCATTTTTGCAATAGTTTGGTCAAATGGTTCTGGCTCCCGGCCAAGTAGCTGGCGAAGATGAGGGGTAACAACAGCAGCTTCACCACGGCGAATAGCTTCGAAGGCCGTAGCCCATGCCGGTGCCAAATCACCGCCACCGTAAGTCATGCCACGCTGTACTTGCGGCTGAAGAGAATACTGTTCCACAGTAACCTGTCGAATTTTCACCGGCTTCTTTGCAACACGGCCAAGAACCTCTGCCGTTTCCGAAAGAGACCATACACGTGGTCCTGAAAGAAGAATTATTTTGTTGATATATGCGAATGTCTTGGGGGACGCGAGATAAGACTTCATCAACTTCGCCGCTGCCTCTCCCAATTCGTCTTGCTTTGCCCACGCGATGCCCGGACCACTCCCGTCATGTGGGATTCTGATCTCATCGGAAGGATTTTTGAGGTCGAAGAAAGCTGTATAGAGCGGGAATGATTCTGAATAGAGGCCGATACGCACGACAGTGTAGGTGAACGACGGATCCTGAGCTGCGATTGAGGCAAGGTATTTTTCGGTGTCAAGATGTGCTTGCATGACGTGGGCCTCTGAAATTGGTTCGCCATCACCAGCGAACGCTAAAGAGCTGTAAAAGATGTGCTTGACACCCGATTTACGAGCAGCATCAATGGCGAGCTTGTGAGCCTGGAAAAAAAGGTCCACGAGTTAGAAGAGATTCTAATATCTGCTAGGGTTTCTCACATTGTATCGATGCTTGTGTTGAATACTGGCGTAGGAGATCAAATTAAGGATAGAGGCATTGTCAAAAGCGTGTTCTAACGTTGATTCCTTGTCATAATCGGCAACACGTATGGATATTCCGCTATTACGATTGCGACTCGAGATGTTGTCTGGGTTTCGAACAATAGCGATGATTCGAGACGGATCGATGGCGTCGACAAGGTGCGTTAAAGTACTGCCACCAATCCCCCCAGAGGCAGGAAATATGGCAACTTTAGAATCAGCCATGCTCTTTGTCTTGATCGAAAAGTTTAAATTTGTGGACGACCTTGGTAAACTTGACAAAATGGAAGTTTATTCCAAAGACAACTTGGTCAACCGGATTTTGCATTGGAATTTATTTCACTTCAGCTGAAGGAGATTGGTAATCGTGGCGGCATCAACTGTGATGCGGTAATACCCCACTGAATTTGTAATACTCCCGAATAGTAAGATCAATGATGATTATTAAGCGACGAGTTTCTCGGCATACACAGTAAGCGCAGAGCCTCCTTGGTGGGGCATCACCGATTAGCTCTGGTCGCCAGCTCCTACAGACTTCCAAACGACAATGAGAAACAGCGGGTAGGAAAGATCCGAAGGAAGGAAGATCTCCCGCGAGAGCATCCAACGGAAAATATCGCGCAAAAGTATAAGAGAGGGAGCGGTAGCGGGCCGTGGAAGCTTGGCGGCAAAGGCATATAACAGATGATATAATGAGGGGTTAGTTTTCGTGAGGACGGAGAAAACACCTGAGGCCTCACTAAGAACCAAACAACAATAACATTAAACCCCTCGATCAACTCTTCTCATATCGATTAGATTGTGACAAATCAACCATTGAATGGGCGGCAATGGCAACGAGTCCCACTGTCCTGACCTTTTAGGCGAATCAATCTGTTACATGCGGAGTAAGCATGTTGACCGGAATGTGATGTTCTTTTTGTGTGGATTCCAGTTGTAGTAGTTGGTCAGATTACCAATACCCCAGAAGACCTATAAGAGATGAGCATCCAAGCAGCTAAGAGACGGCCCTGGGAGAAACTTACCTTTTAGATCGAGACATCTGCAGACGTCTGCTTGCTGAGACACATGCCTAACGCTTCGGACGGATGGGAAGGTGATGCGTGTCAACCGGGCTCGAAATATACGTTATCTCATTCCCGGCCTTGGTGCGATTAGGAAGCTTTGAGCGGGGTCCACTGCAGTACAAAACCGAAACTTCGAGAGGTTCGTAGAGGATAGTGGAGTACTAGTCATATGGCGGTAGGAGTTGGCGTGTTGGCCTCGGGCTGCATCGTCCACCTCGACCTGAACAAGCTTCCGCCACTTTGCATGTCGTGGGTCTTCGTCGTCGGTGACATGACAGTAGTAAAGTACCTATAGTCATTGCTGCTGTCAAAACGATAAAGTTAAGGTCGTCGACGAAGTTGAGAGCCGCATCCTTGATTCTGTCTTAGTCATAATCCCGGTTCAAAGCCCGTGTGGCGGCTTACCTAAGGTAGCGAGCGACGATCTCGATTACATAACCTGGATTATTGTTTTCCCGGGGCTAAGGCTTAGCGTCCGGCTCGGCCTCGACTTACCTAAGATACCTTACCTAAGGTGCTTGCTGAGTCACCTGCTTGCCTTTTCTCCAAATTTGACTTGCACGCAGCACGCAGCACGACTCTGATCTGATCGTGTGGGTATGTGAAAGGGACGTTGTTAAAACTCAAAAGCAAGAGCGATATCCTCTCTATCTTCTCTTCTAGAGACATAATGAAACATCGAATGCGAAACAGAGAGGGGTCTCTGTCTATCTGCCCCAATCTACAGCTAATGTCTCCATGCTCTACACTCCAGCGGCTGTTCTATATAGCGCATTCAACATTACCGTCAGGAACACGACCAGGAATTGCTTATCAATCAACTTGCTTGGAACCATTGTCTTAGTTTTTCTCGCCTATTGTCTCGCGGATAGCATCAAATTTTGCTTTTTGGTAATGATTTCAAGCGCTTTTAGCATGTGTTTGGCTGTTGTTAGTGACACTATCAGACATAAACGTGCAGAAACAGGCTCAACAGCTTGCACTCTATGGTTCAGGTTAGTTCAGAGCCTCCAACTGTCGCCGGACGCTGATTGATAGCGACATTCGTGAGCGGCTTAAGTCTCCGGAATATTGTTAGAAATTAACGTCGGTCAGATCGCTGATTGAGATGGCACTTGGCTTCCTAACTTAACCGCATAGATGGTAAGCAGAATGGCAATAGAAAGATCTGGCAAGTCACTAATAGAATTGAGCAGATGGTTCCTGATTACTGGTCCCGACTCTCGGTGTCTACCACTATATCCTCTTGAGGCCGTCCATCAAAAACACTAATAACGTCGGAGTAAGCTCTATCAAGCCAATGTAATTCGATTCAGCATGTTCTTGCCACCGCGCTTGAAGCTACACTTGCAAATCAGGATAGATAGTTCTTCATCCATTTATACAGGAATCATTCCTCACGAAAGCAAAATCTCTGTAACGACAGCAAGTCTTTTTTCGGATGACTTCGTCTTTCCATTATACAATGCGATAGCCGAAGGTCTGGATAGCCTCTGTTCTGCCAAGTATGGCCCTACGAGCTACATTTATGGTTTATTGAAGGCACTTCAACACTTTCATTGTGCCTAGATTCTTCGGGGGATTTTTGCCTCCAGTACTGGGATTTTCTCGAAACACAAATACCTACCAAACAGTCATGGGTCACTGAAGACTTTACACTCTTTTCATTTCATACAATGGGGCCCAGGCTCCAGGACGATACATCTGTCACTGAGATTTTAAGCACGGTTCAACCATCTTGATGGATCAGATAGTGAGAGGGTACGTTATAACAACAAAAGCGCCAGTATTCTCAGTCAACACGTTCTCGGCTGATCATTACTTGTATATCTGGATATCCCTTGAAGTCTATTCTGGCTGGACCCAGTATATTTTTTATCGCTTCATTCCTACGAAAGAGCAATTCGCACGTATAGCCACTCTCATTGTGCGCGTACACGCGGCTTGAACCTTTGTACGAGAATGCTAATAGTGGATGGGGGCTAGGAGCTGGGGATCTACTCTTACAACCCCGAAGGGAACGTTTTTCTTGCTTTATTGATAAGTTCGAGCCATATCATCACGGCTCGCGACCCCGCAAACGCACCCGTAGTTCCACTTGGGGGCCAGGAGACTTGAATGAAAGGAAGGAAAATGATCTAAAAACTCAAGTCTAAACCAATTTATAGCAGATTCCTCGCCTATTCCTTATTCCTCATTCTTATCCGCCGCCCCCTCCCCCACTCTCACTTCTCTGGAGTAGGCACCAGTCGTTGTTAGTTGAGAACAACGTCTCGGGGAACTCTTATCTTTCTCTGGGGCTTCCTACATGACCTGGAACCCCGGATTTGGGCGACCTTATCAGACATCCTTGGCGATCAACATCGAACCTTGGCTGGCGCCTTGCCGTGGCACCCACTTTTAAAAATGGGGGAAATTCGGGGATCTTTAATCTTGGGATTGATTGTGCCTTATCAGCCGCGAACTAGGGGTCCAGTGTGAGCCATATAATCAATAGCTTCCACAAGTGGTCAGCCTCGTCAGTGTAATCTTACTACCAGGTACTTTGCTCGTTAACAAGCCTCCTCAGATCCGGCAGCACTGGTGAAGCTGGTCGCCATGGATTCTAAGCAATTTGGATCCGAGAGTACCTCGCAAGTATTCATAGCGTCCCCATTAATGATTGGGGTTGGAGTGATAGCTATTGTCTTGTTACTTCTCGTGTGTATTATTCCGGCCACGTTGATAAGTATTGACGGCTGACATTGTAAAGAGAGAAGCATACCGGACGGACGTACCAAAGGTCGCTGGGATCCCCGAGGTGCCAGGCGGCCTTCCTTTTGTCGGTCATCTCCTTCCTCTCGGAGGTCGTCAGAAAAGAGGTGATTCCGTCATTTTCTCCAGATGGGCTTCTAAACTCAAGTCCGACATCTTTCAAATACGGCTGGGGAGCCAGCGCGCTATAATTGTCTCATCATGGCCACTGATCAAGGATCTCTGGGTCACAAATTCCAACGCTCTTATCGATCGTCCTTGGCAACCTGGCTTCATAAACCATCTGGGCATCGACATTTCTAGCTCACCAATGACACCCACGATCAGAAAGTGCAGAGCAGCAGCTATGAAGGCACTAGGCAGCCCCATGTGGCCAAGTTACTATCACTTGTTGGAACCCAACTCTGTGAAAATGTGTCAACAGATTTACACGAGGGGACAGAACGGAAAATTGCCTACAGATCTGTACCCTTATTTCCGTCAAGTCGTGACTGACCTCTGCTTGTCTCTCACATACGGTGCTCGTATGGGTGACATCGATGATGAATTCTCTCTTCAGCTTCTACATGCCCTTCAATCTATCACCGAAGTGCGCTCATCCACGGAGGATTTCTCACACTACGTACCATTGCTTCGCCTCATCCCAAAGAGCACATCCAAAACTATCGCTGCGGAAAAGGTACGCCGAAGGCTGTTGGACATTTTGTACGACCAGTATCTGGAAAAGGTAGCAAAGGGTGAGACGGTCAACTGTATTGTCTCAGAACTGGGGAAAGAAAAGCTCACTCTGGAAGAGCTCCGCGGAACCTGTAATTCCTTACTACAAGCCGCGCCTGATACCGTTGCTTCAGGTATCTATCAAGCAGCAGGGTGGCTCTCCAGCCACGAAGGCCGAATGTTCCAGCCAGAGGCGTACAAAGCCATTCTTGATGCATACGATGGCAACCGAGATCAGGCATGGGATATGGCATTCCGCGAGGAGAAAGTCCCATTGATAGCATCTCTGTACAAGGAAGCGCTACGATGCTACTCTCCCACACCATTCGCTCAAGGCCGGGCAACAGTCAAAGAAATCAACTACAACGGGATAAAGATCCCCAAGGGAATCACCATGATCATGAACGCTCAGGACGCAAACCTTGACCCGCGGTATTTCGGCCACGATGCAGCGATCTTCAACCCTGCTAGATTTATCGGAAACGATAGCAGCCTTCCAACTCTTGCGTTCGGAGCTGGAAGCCGTCAATGCCCTGCGACGAATATTGCGAGTCGCATCATGTATGCCATGCTCACGAGACTGATATTGGCTTTTGAGATCAAAGAGGCCAAGGGGCCAGGGATGCGCCAGCCGAGCCTTGACAAGAGGGACTTCTCCGATGTGCATGGACTTGTTGATGTGCCGAGGCCGTTTGACTGTTACCTGGTTGCTCGTGATCCGGTATGGCTGCAAAGCCTTTCCACAACGCGAGGCAAGAAAGCATAAGAAGACAGGATAGAGGTTACCTTTTATTCGTAGGAACATCGTATGTACATGTGGTGATCGAACTACTTTGTTTCAATGAGTAAATATTAACTGATCTTGGCGAAATCCCCTCTCAAAACAAAAAAGGAGACGTTTCTAACCCGATATGTTCGAAAGTGTTGTCTTTGTCATTTCCAAATTTGCGAAAACCTCAAACGAGCTTATCAATGTTCGAATCAGCTACGGAAAGTGACGGCCAGTAGTGAGTGAAGCGGATTTCAAAGTTACTCTTTGATATACATGCAAAGGTGCAAGTCACCGGCCATTACAAGTGGTGATCTGGGGGTAGTTCCACTACTTTGTCACATTATCAGGAAAATCCGGTCTCATTGATTTATGTATATCAATTTTGATATCTAGTTTGATAGCTAAGAGGAGCTTTGAACAACCTGATCATATATGTCTTCCATATTGCACAGTCTCTTCTTAAACTTCAGTTGTCACCTTGTGGTGACCTAGGCCCTTCTCGCCTAGATCACTGCTAGAGGCCTCCGAATCTGCAGCGACCACAACACCTTCAGTGCTAGTATGGTGCTTTGGTGTTTTACCAAGACAGAACTTGGCGAACAACACGAGAGTTTCACGGCCTTCCCAGAGTGGGAGAAGTGTAATTATGCCTGCAGCAAGGAAAGCCCAAATGAAGGTCACGACCTGTTCAATAACATTAGTACGAATGGACGAAGATATGAGGAACGAGGAGGAAGACTTACCACCCAGCCACGGAAAAAGGGCTTTGAGAAGATGTAATGGCTTCCATACATTGGCAGCGGCCACAGAAGTACGAATGCCGCACACAAGAACGCAGCAATGCAAACAGCATACCACTTGGCCTTTTTGAGCTTCTTGTCCATCTCAGGCGTCATGTGTTCCATGTTAAGCTGCTCGTCAAGCTGTTCCCGAGTCAAGCCCTTCACATCGCTGTCATCAATGACTTTCATCTCCGTTTGGAAACGGCTCCAATCGAAGTCATCACGACCGAAAATAAATGTGCAGAGTAGAGAGTAGACGCAGCCTGATACAAGAGAGACCGCATTGCCGACTACAAGAGGGTAGACGCCGGAGGTGGTCGCGATAGTGACACTGCCTTCAAGAGCATAGGTTGAGCCGAGCCAGGAAGCGGCGGCTGTGAGTGCGCCAAGGGTTGGTGCAACTACTACAGCAATTTTATTTTGGCCTTTCCACAGGACGGTGCTGTAGATTGGGAACACGGCGCATGAAGTAAAGACTCCGATGATTGTGATGAGGTAGTTGACACCGATATCAGTCCGTGAGATGCCGGTAGCGATAGCGGCCATGCAGACACCCCAGATAATCACACCGATATGGGAGATCCTGACCAACTTTGCGCCGGTTGCGTTCTTCTCAACTAAAAATATGTCAGTTCGTTTGGGTAAGTCAATTTCAAGAGTGAGCAGGGCTTACTGTAACTTCCGTAAATGTCATATGTCCACACGGCCGAGATCGAGACGACATCAGCACTGAAGCCAGATGTGCAGGCCATGAAAACCATCAAGCAGACAAGGACGGCACCACCGTCACCCATCAGAGCCTTTGCTGCGTAAGGGAACGGGAGTCCTTGAGCAATCTCGGCTGCACTCATCGGGTTTGGATAGGTTGGCCATGCAGGTGAGCTCTCTAAAGCCCTAGCTGCGAGACCGAATGTGGTTGCCAGACAGAAGGGAATTGCAAACCATGATAGTCCACCAATCATATATCCTGGGAGGGTGGCTTCTGGACTAGCTGTAATTGCTTTCTGGAATAACTGAACATCAATGGTCTAATGAAGATACTGTCAGACAAGTAGAAAGAAGGAGGGATTGAGGGTATCCACCGTCGCAAAAATAGCACAGTAGAAAACAAGACCTAGCAGTGCTCCAGTTTGTGACCTCATAGTCAGATATTCACCACCTGCATTTCCTGCAACGGGAGCTGACTTGGCAGCTTCACGCAGGAGATCGTACACCTTGTCAGGAGAGCCCAAAACACTTGAAGTTGCGTAGGTAACGAACAGTCCCAGTAGAATCATAATGTAGATGATGATCGTATGAACGTAATCTGTCAATATTGTCGCTTTGATGCCTCCAAGCAAAGTATAGACGGTAACGCCAATTGGAAGGATCCATATCCCGGCGATGGTGTTCATCCCCGTCAAGGCGTGGAAGACAGCAGCACCACCAAGCAAGATACCAATACAGTTGATGAGGGCGTAGATTGTGGAGAATATGATGAATGATATGTGTCCCAATGCGCCATATCTGATTTTTGCAACTTCCAAAAACGTGTGAGCTCCCGGGGCACGGCGTTTGAGCTCGATGGCTGCTGCAGCAAAGACGAAGATCTGGACAGTGGCCCCGGCACCATAGTAGTAAGCACCAGAAACACCGAATTCATATGTCCACGCTGTAGATGTGAGCAGAGTAGCCGCCAGCGTCCATGAGGATACGACTGCTGATGCGACAAGACCAGTTTTGACAGATCGTTTGGCAGTCATGAACATCTCAGATCCCTGAACTTCATTCTGCATCTCAAAGTTAGGAGTGCATTTTCAGTGAGTATCCGTAGGACTAACATGGAATCGAGCCAGCAAAACCGAGATTCCCCACATCGAGATAGCAAAAAAAGCACCGACTCCAACGAGAATGCCATAGCCCACGCCTTCGAGTCTATGTCAGCACTTGATCTGTGAATGTTCGTGGACTCTCTTTCAAAATCTTACCTTGGGACAGGCCTGCCAGCTGCACGCTATCGGCCATTATAGAACTTCACTCCTGTATTAGCAGTTTGCAAGTTGGTCAATGTCCCTTCGTTTTGGGGTCTTCCTGTTTTCCCACCATCAGGGTCGTATATGTAAGGTACTGACTGCTCTCCACAGCGGCACAAGATACCGGAGACAAGGAATGGGAATTGTTTCCTCTTATCTTGAAACCTACAGTGGGGTGAGGACAGTTTGGATCCGGGGTATTCGCACTTCCCCGTATTCAAACTTTCGTCAACTCACGTGTATTGTAGACGCAATTTTAAAGATAGGGATACGACAGATAAGGCCAATCTAACTTTAAGATGGGGGCCAGGATGCGGTTGAGTCCAAGCTGTTTATCTAGTCCGCCCTGGCCCGTTGACATTTTCACAACGGTTTATAAAACGCAAAGCCACCTCTGGTAACATCGTTGTTTGACTTCCCCACTCTTGATATGTGGGTAAAGGCAAAAGGCATAAAATGAAGAGATGGAGCCGGCCAACTTGGCCACAATTCTGTCTGTTTTGATTGAAAGCATCGAGAAAAGGAGAGGATGATAACAGAGATATCATTTCTGTACAGGATCGGCTCGGCAGATAAGGGATTAGATAAGAGATCGGGTCTCCTATAGTGGGGGCGCCTACAAGCGAGCTGATGATTAGCGCAAGTTTTACCGTAATTATCACCACCTCCCCCTATCTAGGTGCCCGGCCTATTCAATCAAACAGGTATTCTGATCATCCGTATTCTAATCAATTGGCATTGCTGCTGTATATGTCTTTGAACGCCGCCTTGAACCTGGCGATCAAGCGGTTGTGTGTAAGCGCTGCAAGACCTGTCTCCTCTCTAGCCGCGGAGCCCAATAGCGAGCCGAGCCGTAGTGAAGGCCCACTGGCCCACACCGACTTACTGTCCCTTAGGTAAGACGCGGGGGGAACTAGTGCATTACAAGAGTCTTGCCTCGAGGTTCGACCACAATGCCCTCCTAAGTTCTTCCTTCCAGCTTCTCTCTTCAATGTTGTTGTCTCCCAAGTTTTCTTGGCTTGATCTTCTCCCAACCATGGCTTCGGTGGTTGTTGCAAACAGGTCGGCAAAAGGCAAAATGACTTGGGTGTTTTGTTGGCCTACCAAGATCAGTGTGGTAATCTCTCTGCACACCATCGCATTCTTTCTCATTGATTGTAAGATAACCAGAATGTTTTAACTCTCCTGTCATCAAGTAGAGTATAGCACTGAAGCTGACTGCAGAGTTCATTGAAGCAAATTTTGCTTTTTCTTATTGACAAAATGCTACTTGGCTAAATATGCTCGTTGGTAAGTGCTACAATTTGCCTTAACACTCGGGCCTGAATCCCAGATTTCAAAAATACAACCATCATCCCTCCTCATACGACTCAAATTATGCTATCTGGATTTCTCACCATACTTGACCACGAGGATCTCGCGGATACGTCACTCGCTCACTGCATCTACTGTCAAGAGATTCTTGTAGGTTATTGTTGTAGCATCATACAAGGCAGGCGTGTTGTCTTGTATTTTGTCTATGAGAGGGAGCCAGATGACTTGAAATTTCTGTATCGGCGAAATGAGGCTTGTATAAAAGAGAATGGGACGCTTAGCTGTCCTTGGTGAGTTGGGAGCGGGACTTACTTGACTAGTCTCACACGCATGTAATAAATGACTCCCTGTGGGCTTTGATCTATAATATCTGTAACTCGCCTTTGTCTATAAATCCTCTGAGTTACTGGGTTTGGTTCCCGGAAGTTTCATTAGAAAGCGCTTGAAAGTTGAAACCACCAGCCTGGACAATGAACGCCGGAGCGATCTTCCTAAATCCTCGAATCTTTTTTTTCTTGCCATTCAAATCTTGAAGTGGGATTTGACCAACAGTACTTTGCATCTACAGCCTCGCGCATCAGCCCCAGACTGTCGAAGAACAAATTCCACTGATTCTCCAGTCAAAGATCACACCTCATTGTCTTTCCTCCCAAAGTCTCGCAAATAAGCTTCTTCACAGCCGGTAAGTACTGTACTTTGATATCCTGTTCACTCTTCTAGTCAACCTGAGGGGGAATCTACTTATAATACTGGAAGCTCGTTGTATCAAGTTCTTTGACAATGTAGTAGGGCTTTTTGGATTTGTAGAGTGGAGAGACGGCAACGTAGTGGAGCAGCTAAGATCAGCCGTTGATGTCATTGGACCTCAATAGGGGAAGCTTACACCACAAGGATGCTTTTATTATTAGGAGTCACAGGCATTAATTTACATATTGGTAGAAATCTGCACTGATAATGTCTTAATTCTTTTTAAACTTCATGCTACTTCACGCTAAGTACTGTGATGAGAAGTGAAGTTTTGTCTACTATGTTGAGTTTACTCTGTTGGGTGAGCTGCCCATCCCGACAACCTTAGCGGGTCAAAGCTTCAACTTGTTGGATTCTGGTGCGGCGGTGCCTACCTACCTTAAGATTAGAACCTCAGTTAGGGCCCAATTTCAGAGACTCTGGGGCACACAACCACTGGATCACAACCAGACGTTTATAGTACAAATGACGTGCATAAGGAGGACATTCAAGGTATATAGGAATTTTATTTACTACTGTAGAGTAGAGGTTGTTCAGTCGATTCAGTACTATTGATCAAGTTCATATATTGCTACCTGAGACACCTCTATCTAGAAGACAACTCATCCCGCTTCAACGTCACGACGATATTTGACTTCAAAGTCAACGTAACAAATGGCTCGCACCCGATCAATGCTGTGCGATTCCTTCGTACAGCCTTCAAATCCTTTGAACAAGCCATCAACAGATCCTAAGCATGCGCAGCGTACACCGGCGCCACTGTTAGATCTTCCCGCGGAGGTAATCCTCTCTGTAGTGGACTTCCTGCCGAAAATTTCTGTGGCGTGTCTTGCTCTTTGCAATCGTTATTTGAGCCAAGTCATTGGACATAGCGCTTGGGCATCTGTGCGACATCAAAGTAAAGCTGCCCGCATCAACTTTTCTTCCCTCTTGGCAAAGGATCTCCCTCAATACTTCAACTGCCCTGCTTGTCCGACGCTGCACCCAACGAGCGCAGTCTCCTCGTGGTCATGGACTGCCAGAACCTGTCAGATACTCCCCTGCGTCCGCCATAGCAGAGCCTTTACCTATCACGGTCTCTCCTGGTTTAAGCTGAAGTTTGCGCACATCCAGCTGGTCATGAAACGCCACCATCATGGAGCACCCCACGGGATCGCACTAGAAGCCCTCACTCACACAGCAATCCGATTCGATAAGAGACGTCAATTGACAACCCTCTTCTCAGTCGAGGCCCGCATCGTTGACGATGACCTTCTTATGCGTTTTCAGCAGTGGCTTTTCCTCCCCCACGCCGGTAACGAGCTCTTTCCCAAAGACCCTCTCAGCAATGCCCGCCCCAAAACGCACTTCCCCAAGCATCTCCTCCCCTATCTTTGCCCGCACCTGACCTGCTTTATCTCCGCCAAACTGTGGCCCCTCCTGCGCGCTCGCCGTGAGTCTCACACTGACACGGCACGCTCTCCACGAACCCCGCGGTGCAACAAGTGCCTTATGGACTATTCTCTTGAGACGCTCGACCTCGGGGGAAAAGGAGTTGCCGTGGGTGCCACAAAATGGCTCGATTTCGGCGCTGGAATTACGCCCAAAGACCCAAAGTGGTTGAGACATCTGGATACTTCGAAGGACTGCTATCCTTCGCGTGCACCACGTAGGTCTAAGCCAGAATCGTCGCACGTGCACGGCAGCATCAAGACGCGCTTCGAGAGTCAGGATGGGATGAGCTTGGAGGAACTTACTGCTTTGAACATATCGAGGTTATTCTCGGATCGCCAGTGCAAATCAGTGACGCAGGCGCCGGATGGGATGGTGTGGAAGTGGCGTACGCCCCTCAAATCGTCATGGTGGTGGGATCTGGATCCATCATGATCAAACAAGAAGGATCCCTTTCTTCGTTATTAGCCACTGTTTCTGAGATTGATTACCTTGATGCCGGAACTATCTGTATTCTTACATACATAAATCCACTGGAATATTCAGCCTTTCCCAACTCAGGAGCTCGTGTCAGTTGGAGAACCTGGAGTGTCTGTTTTAACATCTCACGTGCATCAAGTTCTCAGGATCGCACTCGACTCACGTTTCTTATCACGAGGCTGTATTTGTATCCACAGTTCTATTCCTTCCACCAACTCGGGGCCACTTGAGGGGGTGGTGAAATGTGTTCCTTTAGCTTCAGTTTTGCCTACTAGACAGCCAACTTTACTGCAGCTCACGACATAGCCTCAAATCAACTTCAACCTGGTTGCTGCAAGGTTGTAATTGCTATACCAACTACTCCTACTACTCGGCATCAAAGTCAATGGGCTTGAATTAGAGCTGAGTCTTCGCCAGGCTTCATCGTTGCCATATTGATTCTCTCCATATATATCCAACGACGACAAATAATCGTCAGTTCCTAAATAATGTGATCTCCTGATGGTGCTACTTACAGTGCATCAACTAACCGTCATAACTTATAAGAAGCATGCACACAAACCACACGAAGGTATCAGAGATGCTGTACATGACAATGGATTTGAACCTCTTCTTATGCCAGCTCCCTTTGACCTTGGAGAGCTAATCTTCCCGATTCTTGTGACAATGACAATCCTATGACATTTTTTTGCAATGTTCTTTAGCAACAAGCATGTCAGGGCTTGAGCATGTGACCTCGCTTCATGTATATAAGTAGCTTCTACCTAGTGATAAGTTGACAACAATTTGATGTCTTCTCACTACCCTTGATACACCATCATTGGCACGCCTGCTGTCAGGCCACAGCATCGGTCCTCAACTTAGGTCCGCATCAGGGGAATAGACACGAATTCATTCGCCGTAACGACGTCTATGTGGCATCTTCCTCCTCAGCCTACAGTCTCCTCGATCCAACTAAGCAGCACGGCAGCTATCTGATCGCTGTTTTTCTCCATGAAATGTAAATGTCCATTTCCATGGATCCCAATATCCGCCAGCTTCAGCCGTTGCGCTGGCACCCCCGCCTGCACCAAAAACTTGAAGGTGCAGTCATCGTACACGGCGTGATAGCTCGCCTCGCTGGTCTCAAGCAGCACGGGGATGTTCTTGAAATTCACCAGCTGCCGCGCCGGTTCCGCTTGCACAGTGCAGTTCGCCAGTCCCGCGGCATCATTGGCCCCGAGCGCCGTCTGTAAAGGCGCCGTGGTGTTCGTCGGCGCGGGCGAGTACGTCAGCGGGATGTCGGTCAGCCCGTACGGTCGAGTCGCACCAGACGAGAACACGGCATCGATGAAGGGTGGGCCCGTAGGCTCAATGCTAACAATGGCTTTCACTAAGTTGGGCCTCACGTCAGCGATAACCCACGGCATAAGTCCTCCCTGAGAATGAGAAATGAGAACCGCCGGGCCGATTTTGTCCAGGAGTGCCGCACCCGCGGCTTGCATTTTGGTTTCCTGGGCCACGGTGTTGGCCTGAAACTGCACATTTGACGCATAGTATTGGTCAAAGATGGGGTCACCCATACGCCCAGTCTGTTGCAGTGTTAGATCAATCTCGTGCAAAGGAGGGCACATACCCCGGGCCATTGTGTGTGCAGCTGTGATTGCGGCCAGAGATTGAAATGCTTCACAGCTGTAAATCGCTCTTCGATAATTTCAGCCGAATAGGTCGTCTGAGTGGTATTCCCCGCAGGGTTCCAGGGGCTGCGCGCGCGCTCTGTCTGATCAATGATATAGACAGTGAAGCCCTGCGTCAGGAAATACGTCGCCCATCCGGCGCCGCCATCTGGTTTATTCAGCCAGTTCTTCAAATAGAGTGTCAGTCGTGCATTTTCAAGGCAGATGAGAGGGACATAGGAGGATACGGATCACATACGGTCCCTGTCTGAGCTTGTCCATGAATGAGCACCAGCGGATACCGCTGCGATGGTCGGCTGGGCACTAATTTCTCCACATACATCTGATTCACAAACAGCGTCCCCGAGCTCGTGGGCTCATAATTCCCCCCGATGTAGAAATACTCGCGCACAGCCGCGACTTCTGAAGTGTTAGAAGCTGTCGTGATATTATTCACCGGCGTAGTTGAGGACAAGGCTAGTAGCGCAGCCGCAATCAGTACTGACCCGAAACTTCTCATCTTGATAACAGGTTCTATGATAGCTGGGCTCAAGAATGTAGTTCAGGATTAGGGGAGATGAGAGGAATGATTTGGTGATTGATATATATTTTGGAAATCAAACAAGGGTAGAGCTCATCCTCCGCCATGTACGTTAGTAGCTAAATCCCCACAACTATACTGGATACGGATACTGTAACGCCGGATTTTACGACGTACAGTACATCTACCGCGTTGATCGTCGGCCTATTAAACGACGTGGAGCGAAAGCCGACGAGTAGCTTGAGTTTCCGGCCGTTAGTGTCGAAACATTTTTATCTTAGATCGAGGAAGTCTTCTTCGAATCCTATATTCCCGACTTTAGAAGCACATAAGGTGTCGAATATCTAGGCCTAGATCAGGTAAATAACGTATCGGCCTCGCTTTTATGTAGGGTAGCCTGAAATAGTGAGTTCGAAATGTTCTGCTTGCGGAGACAAAGTCCTGACCTATCTTACAAGGACAGATGTGATATTCAGCTTCCGATTCTCTAGATATATGCATCTGTTTGGTGTCAGCTTGGGGGAATCAATACCGCTGTAATGGTGGGAACGGGCTAGCAATTCATGAGAATGAAATATTCGAAATGATCAATTTTAATTGCAGTCTTAATAACCTTGTGTCCTCCGAGGCTCCGCTTGAACCAATCTTATTCAACTACAAACCTTTCTGGATATTTCATGGCACAAAAACATGAACAAACATCAAGTGGCCACCGCGATCTGATTAACCCCAACATGATAGTCGCGTCGATATTCTAGAGATGCCTTGACTATTTGCCAGCTCGTGCGAAATATAGAGAGGTAACTGAGACTCTGTTCTCGCGGGGGTCTGGCTTGGGATTTTTGGGCAGCTGAAATGGGTGAGATTCTGAGAGCCGTGTTGAGGCATGACTCAAGGGAATTGTAAAAACAGTGTTATGATGGGCTGACAACAAAGATAGGAGAAGACATCTCCAACAGGGAATAGATTGAGGTCATCTCTTGCGATGGTGAAGCCGCAGAGACACTCGTCCCGGGTGTAGTAGAGCTTTGGTATACCCGGAAATTTCTGGGCATTGTGCTGAAGAGAGGGCAGGTCCTGAGGTGTCGTTCGTGAACGGTGAGGCAGCGTTGGAGGAAACAGCTATTTTGGATTTGGACTGAGCCACAACCCAGTAGTGACACACTAACATCACGTTGATAGTAGGGATAGTCAGGAGACTGCTCTGAGCGATCCAGCCAGGGATTATGGGTGCGATGTTCAATTAAAAGCACGCGCATAAGGGATCTTGTGAAGGGGAGGAGGTTCATTCAAGCTTAAACCTACGGTTTAAACTAGGTGAGTTTGGAAATAGCTTCGACAGTACTCTTCACACTGTACTGATGACTCGTAGACCAGATCCTGTGAACGAGGCTTGGACTGGAATGATTGGAGAACGAAAGCAATTGAGCTGCTTGATAATCAAAGATTTAAATTAGATAGTAAAAAGGTATAACAAGGCGGAGACGAATAAGCAGCATAAGACAAAGAAAGATAAGATCCGAGAGCCGTTTTGTCATGACGATCTATAAGACATGGGAAACAATAGGCTCGACATTGGGATTTCATTCCACCGCACATAGACGAGGACTGTTTAGAGACAATAGTCTCTCCCGGCGACTGACCTACTTCCCAGTGCCTGTCTCTGAGTTGAAGTACATAGGATATCATGAAGGATATCATGGAGGATATCGTATAAGAAGTCTCGACGGGTAGATAAAAAGGAAGTTGTCACGACTTCGATGGAAATAGCGAGTGTTTTAAGACCTGTAGGTCGGAGGCTGGCGTCTTTTATTGCCTCAGCGTCTCCATATTAAACATAACGCTTGTGTTATACCCATCTGAATCAAACCAGAGATGGTTTCTTCTTGATCCCTAAAGCGGCAGCATGATCTTTCTTCTTCTTGACAACCCGCTTGAAGCTAGGAGGCGGCATCTCTAACGCAGCTTCTCTTGTAATCGGAGGCGCCGAGCCTGCTTCATCCTCATCCTCATCATCGATAATCTCCTCTAAAGCCTCATGCCGTCTCATAAATGCTCTCCTCGCTGCTTCTTCGTCCTCTCTCTCCTGTCTTTGTTTCTCCTCGTCTAAGCTCTCCCTTGTAACCGTAACTTCGAGACCATCTTTTCCTATTCTCTCATTCCTCGCATTTCGAGTCCGAATTTCGTCTAACGCATCGGCAACAGCCATTTCCCGCTTTGCATCTAATGTCTTTGTCTCTAGCTCCTGCATCGCATTCTTCTCTTCCTCTTCTCTCTCCAACCGATCCAGCCTTTCCTCGTCGCTTTCCTGCTTGCCAGCCCCATTCATACGCCACGGCTCCGTATTCCTCTTCGCACCCCTCTCACACTGGTAATCCATATTCTTCGGGTCTGTCTTAAATGTAATCTCACCCGAGCATCTCGTGCACCTGATGTAGAACCGGTAGATGGGAATGGAATAGTATTTCTCTTCGGTGGTCTCTTTGCGCGCGTTGAACTTCCGGCCTTTGTAGATATACTCTCCGCACGCGGTACACTTCATCGGAAACGGCGCCATCAAACGCACAGTCTGAACCTTTGGTCCAGCTTTCTTCGGAGCGCGGGTCCGAACGATCTTGGAGGGGTCAAAGTCGGGAGGATAATATTTCTGTAGCACTTTCCGTTCCGACATATTGGGCTGAAGGTCTTTGGGCTGAAGATCTTGATATCAAAGTCGATTCCGGTGATTCGAATGATGTGCTTGGTTGGATTGGGTTGACAGTCTGCTGCCGTGGATGATGTGATATTGTTGCTTGTCGTTGCCAACCTTGCCTCGCAGGGAGGCTCTGTACTTACTAGGGTGATGTTCGGCAACGCTAGTCCTGTCTAAGATATCGGATAGAAACCGAACGTCAGCCTCGCCTCGCGTCTTCCCAAATATTTACCCACGCGACTCGGACAACATCTGCGAAGTCAACTCGGTCTGCGAAAGATTGACCGTCCTGCAACTACTGGAGTCAACTCGTCGGCATATTGCGATCAATACGGGCTGATTACTTTCTACGAATGACGCAAAACGAATCATGGAAAAGTTCTTGAGGGACTGGCGGCAGGATGCCCTGAATAAGCACCAGTATGAGTCGGCCATTTTCATTGGAGACAAGCTGTTAGCCTTAACCCGTGCGTTCTTCTCTACATCTTCCAGGCTCTGTAGATATTGATACCCCGACAGAAAATGACAAAGATGCATTCTGGCTTGCCCAAGTTCACTTCTCAACCGGGAACTATACTCGAGCGCAGAGCTTCCTCTCGAAACAAGACCTCATTGCCCGAAACCCGTCATGTCGGTATCTCGCTGGGCACTGCTTGATAAAGCAAGGGAGGTTTGAAGAAGCACTCGCTGTCCTCGGCGAGAAGAATCCCACACATCTCATCACAAGCGCGAATAACAGCCGACGGAAACTACAACACACAAGCGGAAGCCGAACAGGGTCGACGCATCATAGCAAAGCAGCAGTTAGAGCGGTTAGGCATGATAGACAGGATGAAGCGGCTCAAGAGGATGCAGCGAATATTCGATTCGAGGCTGCAATGTGTTTTCTGCGCGGACTCTGCTATGCCAAACAAAACGCATTCGATCGAGCAAAGGAATGCTACAAAGACGCCGTCCGAATAGATGTGCAATGTTTCGAAGCATTTGAGCAACTCATGAAGAACTGTTTGATGTCGCCAGACGAGGAATGGCAATTCCTGGAATCCTTGGATTTTGACTCAATATCCATCACAGAGGACCCTTCGTCCTCGCAAGAGGCAGCTGAATTCACGAAGATGCTTTATACTACACGGTTATCAAAGTACAAGAATCCGACAACATTCACCGCTGCCACTGAGACTCTCTCGACACATTACAACCTAGCTACGAACCCCGACCTTCTCCTCTCAAAAGCGGACCTTCTTTTTACACAGTGCAGGTTTAAAGATGCTCTAGCTATTACCAACTCGATCCTCCAAGACGACAAATACAACTTCAGCATATATCCTCTTCATCTAGCATGCTTGTACGAACTGCAGCTTAAAAACGCCCTATTCCTGGTATCACATGATCTCGCAGACAACCACCCCGAAGAACCGTGTACGTGGCTTGCAGTCGCTATATATTATCTGGCAATCAACAAAGTCGCAGAAGCTCGTCGATATTTTAGCAAGGCAAGTTTGATGGATCCTCATTTTGGCCCAGCCTGGATTGGGTTCGCGCATACCTTCGCAGCGGAAGGCGAACACGACCAAGCGATCTCTGCATATTCCACTGCGGCACGACTCTTCATGGGAACACATCTCCCTCAGCTCTTCCTGGGTATGCAAAATCACATGTTAAACAACATGACGCTCGCCGATGAGTTCCTGAAGACTGCGTATGGACTTTGTAAAACTGACCCCCTACTCTTAAATGAGATGGGAGTTGTATTCTACCATCAGGAACGACTTGCTGAATCGGTAGCCATGTTTACTAAAGCCCTAGTGATTGCCGACGAGATTGACAGTGACTCACAAGCGTGGATTCCGACACGGTCGAACCTCGGGCATGCATATAGGAGATTGCAGCAATGGGATTTGGCCCTGGCAGAGTTTGATGAGGTACTCAGGCAGGGTGGAAAGGACCCTTCGGTCTTCTGCGCCAAGGGCTTGGTTTTGATGGAGCAGAGACGGCCATATGATGCTGTTCAAGTGTTCCATGAGGCATTAGCAATATCGCCACAGGATGCTATTGCCACCGAGTTATTGAACAAAGCACTTGAGGAGACGGCTAGTAGTAGTCCCAATGGGGGAGAGGAATTCGAAGAAGATGAGGAGTTTGAGAAGGAATTGGCACTGAGGAAGGCGGAAGCTGCACACTCTCTTGCCGATAAAAGGTTGGCCAAGGGGAAGGGGAAGTTCAGATCAAGATTGAGTAGTGGTTTCGGTGCAGATGGGGGTAGTCTGATGGACTTGAGTGATGATGACTGATCACACATTTGGGAATTGCATTGGTGGCGTAGAAGCAGGATTTGGAGTTCAGGGGGTAAAGGGACCACAAAGCCAAGGACGGCAGTGGAATGTTGAACGAGGATGAATTACGGCAGTCTGTGCCTCAGACATCATTCTGCCGGTATACGAAAATCACACAAGGGCTTCAATCCAACACCTCAACCTCGAACTCCTGCCCGGAGACCTCGTACCTTGTTCCTCCCACTTTACCCCCTTAATACCATATCTCCTACTAACCCTCCTGCGCCCGTCCATGAGAGTCGATTTCCAGTAGCTGCCAAGACCAAAGCCATGCCTCTGATGACTTTTACGGACACAATGACAGGCCCGGGTCCGATATTCACGACCAGGAAGCTGTCAGCCTAAGCCCACTGGATTCTGGTTTATTGTGAATATTCGGCCATTCGCCTTGTTAGCACACCCGAAGCTTAGCGAGGCTAGGTAACATATAAATCCGGGGGTGGATAAGGTACCCAGGTATATTGTTTCCCCGCATCTCGGCAATGTGCGGAGGAACATCCGGAGGAACATTCGGAGGAACATTCGGATACATATTACCTTATCTACCTACCCATCTTACAAAGTATGTAACTCCAAGCTCTACTCTCGAAAGGTCAGGTAGTCTGTATCTTCAGCAATAGGCCCATCACGTTGTATCGCCGCGTTCTTTTCTGTCGGGGACCTCTAAGGCTACTTTACCTCTGTCTAGTACCGTTCCCGTCTACTCAAAAGATGGATTCTCTCGCCGTTCCTAGAAAGCTCTGGGAGCATCCAAATCCCGAGAGCACCGAGATGTACAGGTTCATGCAAGAAGTCAACAAGAAGAACAACTTGCAGTTACAGGTATATATGGTACCTCTTGGGACAATACAATTTTCTTCTAACAATTACTTTGCAGACCTTCTGGGACTTGTACCAATACTCCATTACTAAACGCTCCGAATTCTGGGACCAGGCCTTTCAATTTCTCGGCATAATCTATAGTGGCTCATATACGAAGGTCGTCGACGAGACGGCGCGAATAGATTCGATACCACGCTGGTTCGATGGCGTTTACATGAATGCTGCAGAAAATCTGCTGTACTCTCGCGTCCCTGGTGCGCCAACTTCACAGCGCGGTACCGATGGGAAGGAAGACAACAAAGTTGCCCTGACAGAGGTTCGGGAGGGTGCCACGGAAATTCGAGATGTTACATGGGGACAACTGAGGACCGAGGTAGCGAGACTGGCAAATGCGATGAAACAACATGGCGTACGAAAGGGGGACAGAATTGCTGTCGTGGCAAGCAACTCTGTGGATACGCTGAAGGTCTTTTTGGCTATCCTGTCACTGGGAGGGCTATTCAGCAGCAGTTCGACTGATATGGGTGTTCAAGGAGTCCTCCAGAGAACATTACAAATTACACCAAAGGTACGAATTAATTCTACTCTTTAATCGACATAATCTGGTACCAAAGGAATTTTTTCAAGCTTCTTTGTTTGGCTACCGAACTCAGAAGTTGAGTTAATATTTTGGCTCCCCCCTAACGCTCTACAATTCTTAATCAGAGTTCTATAACAGAAGTAGATCAAGTTGATTAGCAGTTAAAATCCTTTCCAAATCATGGTTTTTCTGTCTCCCGATTTTTGTTTTCTTAAAGTCGCACGCTTCTTGCACTATACTGATAAGAAAAGTACATATTTATGGACGACGTCGCCGTATACAACGGCAAGAGAGTCGATTTGCGGCAGAAAATGACTGAGATAGCCAATGGAATGAAGGGGACCTCTGAATTCAAAGGAATGGTCTCGATGCCTAGGTTCAGAGAACCAGTCGATATCAGCAGCGTACCACAAACCCAAACACTGTCAGAATTCATTTCAAAAGCGACTCCGAGGGGAGCTGAATTTGAGAAGACGGCATTCAGTGACCCTTTCTTCATCGCTTATTCCTCTGGCACTACCGGCACACCAAAATGCATTACGCATGCGGGTGGTGCTATTCTCTCCAATTTTAAGGAGATAAAGCTGCACCGGGAGATGACAAAGGACAGTGTCGCTTTACAATATACCACCACCGGCTGGATTATGTACTTCGCTTCTGTTATGAATCTACTGGCTGGTTCAAGAGTGATTCTCTATGACGGCAGTCCGTTCCAGCCAGATATCACAACGTTTGTGAAGTTGCTTGGGGATCAAAAAGTTACCATGCTAGGAACAAGCCCAAGATGGATGCATGAGTTACAAAAGAACGGTATTGCCCCAAAAGATATTACCGATCTTTCGAATTTGAAGCATGTCTCCTCAACGGGAATGGTACTTTCGGATCAGCAATTTGAATGGTTTTATGACGTTGGGTTTCCAAAGCACGTACATTTGGCCAATATTTCTGGCGGTACAGATTTAGTAAGTCCTGTTCCAATAATAAATCACGACATCCTAGCTAACCTCATGAAATAGGCTGGCTGCTTTGGCGAGGTAAGCCATTATTTGAACATTTTCCTCAGTGCACTTTAATACTGACTCCGACAAGGACAATCCGTTAACCCCTGTCTACGTTGGCGGGACCCAAGGCCCTAGTCTTGGAACACCAGTTGCAGTTTATGACTCTCTGATTGAGGGAGGAAAAGGTGTTCCTGGTGCGCCAGTTGAACACGGCACACCTGGGGAGCTCGTGGCACCAGCCGCTTTCCCGAACATGCCCGTGTATTTCTGGAACGACAAGGATGGGTCGAGGTACTTCGGGGCATACTTTGAGAAGTACGATAATGTATGGACTCATGGTGACTTCGTCATGATCCATCCTGTCACGAAAAATCTGGTCTTCCTAGGCCGTGCGGACGGAGTTCTAAATCCTTCGGGGGTGAGATTTGGCTCGGCAGAGATCTATAGTATCGTGGAGAATGCTTTCCCGATGGTGGCAGATTCAATATGCGTCGGTCAACGGAGGCCACAAGACCCGGACGAGAGTGTGATGCTATTCTTGTTGATGCGACCTGGAGAGAAATTGACCAGTAGTCTGGTCAATGATGTCAAGACTGCTATAAGAAAGGAGCTGAGTCCCCGGCATGTGCCTAAGTATGTTTTTGAAACGCCTGCAATCCCAGTAAGTTGAGACCCCCCATGTTAGCGGGAACCTTGCTGATGCCGAAGCAGACAACTGTAAACCTGAAGAAGGTTGAGCTGCCAGTAAAGCAGATTGTCTCCGGGAGAATTATCAAACCAAGTGGCACACTGCTGAATCCAGAATCTCTGGATTATTATTATAAGTTTGCGAAGGTAGAAGATCTGGTTGGTCCGAAGAGCAAGTTATAGATAGGCCAAGATCATAGATCGTAGAAGCAAAGATTTAGATAGATACCTAGGTAGACGTATGGGTTTTGATCTTTCTATGCTCCCGCTCCTGTCAAATACCCAATTTGTGGAGCAAAACGACGTGCACCCTCTGAACCATTCAAGCATCTCCAGCAACTCGGCTTGCCCTGGCTTTTTCTTTGACCTCCCCCTGACTTTGGTACTGTAAGGTTAAATACCTAGTTCTGCTAGCGTCGGATTAACCGCCCGGCGGCTCAAGGTTTAAGCGCCGAAATTCCCACCACCGCAAATCACCAACCTCAGCCGAAAGGATGAATGAAGACCTTCAGAACGAGGTGGAGGCCATAAACTCTATATATGGGGACGAATCCCTGGTTGCTACTGGAGAGGAAGGTGTCTATGTTCTTCATCTTCCCCAGCAAGCCGCCTCCTTAAGAATCCAGTTTCCTCACGATTATCCCGACGTGCCACCCTCCGTCCTCGGGACGCAAAGCTCGGGGGGTCAGGCACGAAAAGGAGAGGCTTCGCGCATCGTTGATGTATTTCGAGAGACTCTTGGAAAGCTCTACCGTCCTGGTGAGGTCTGTTTGTTTGATGTGATCGAGGACATCAACAGTAACCTTGAATCCGCGATTAATCCAGCAGTCGAGAACGACGGTCACGGGACGGACGAGTCCAGCGCGACCCATCAAGAGGCCCCAATAGCTGCTATACGTCCCACTATCCAGGCATCGAGATTGCCAGAAGATGAAGAACCTCCCTGGACCTTGTCTGACGTCGTGATCGAGCTGAAGTCGGTTTTCATTGCTCGATGCGCGCCGGTCTCTTCACCAGAGCAAGCAAAGCAGTATCTGCAACACTTGCTCGACAGTGATAAGAAGGTTCGCTCTGCAACCCATAACATTACGGCATGGAGGATCAAAGGGGAAAACGGCGTTTCATTCCAGGATTGCGATGATGATGGGGAAACAGCGGCGGGTGGGCGCGTGCTTCACCTAATGCAGTTGATGGACATCTGGAATGTCATGGTCGTTGTCACACGGTGGTATGGGGGACACCTCCTTGGGCCTAAACGCTTTAGTATCATCAACACTGTTGCTCGCGATGCATTTGTGAAGGGGAACTTCGTCAAGGAAGAGGCTCCGACCAAGAAGAAAGGGAAACACTGAAATAGGGTGTTAGGCGTGGATAACCCTCTACCTACCAGCGCAATACGGTACCAACGGCAGTAGATCTCCTATACCAATCTTCTGCTCACAAAATTACTCATCCTTGACGGAGCCCTGCGGTCGACTTCTAATGGAGGCCGTCCTTTTGAGAAAATATACGGGGAATGCTCGTGGATGAGGACCTGGTTTATTTGAAGGGCGGAAGGGGATGGACCAGAGTCGACCCACGGAGATGGCATATAAATGATAGCCTGATAGGGTATATTGGAGGACATATGGGACGTGAGCTATTCCTGTTGTTAGGATAGTCACATTCTGGCATTCTCGAGGTGCATGTATAACCTCCCTGCGGCCACCAGCATCAAGACAGAATCTATAGATGCGAATATCAGGAAATATCATAGTCAATGCAAGATCAAATACACATTTATCGAAACCGTTGCTGATGCCTCTGCCACTTGCTTTAGTTCGATGTAGATTCCCCCACCTTTCCACCTCCCGAAACTGGCAGTAGAAAACTCGGTCTCTCACCTCCTGAACGTCTCGCATCAATTTATTGGCATACCTAAGCTGACATTGACTGTGGTTAATTGCAGGCAAAGAATTAGGAATATCACATGATCTCGGGTCGCCAAGGCGCATCTAGCGAGTCATGGTTCTACCATGCGGGTACGTTACGTCCGCCGTTGCCCGTAGCGAATTAATCATGAAGTTCAGTCGATTCCCCCACATGACTCAGGACTCCCATCGACCCGACCGTTCATGACTTCGACTCCTCCACCAGCTGTTGCCGTGTCATCCCAGGCACGGCGACTTGCAGAAATGCCTCCTGGCGACGGCGACGCCGACAACCAAGGCGACGCGACACAGCAAACACAGAAGCGTCCTGCCGAACAGCTCGATGCGCCTTCGCCAGATCCAACCGCCGACAACAAAAAACGGCGGACCGCGGGCACGGGCACCAGCTCGAGAGGTGTAGCCAACTTGACCCCCGACCAACTGGCCAAAAAGCGTGCCAACGATCGCGAGGCCCAACGCGCAATCCGGGAACGGACGAAGAATCAGATCGGGAACCTCGAGAAGCGCATCAGAGAATTGGAATCGCAACAGCCATACCAAGAACTACAGCATGTGTTGAGGCAGAAAGAGCTGGTGGAGGCAGAGAATGCGGATATCAAGAAGCGCCTGTCTTCAGTGCTCTCTCTAATCCATCCGATTCTTGGACAGCATGGTCAGTAGCTGGTTTGATGCTGGCATGTACTTGTCTAGAATATTGACTGATCTTTGAAAAGGCCTTGAAGCATCTTCTTATTCGGCGCCGCCGGCACCATCCTATATACCCAATCGACCAAGCTCCTCCTCAAACCGTAATGTCACGACGCCGACTAGTGCCTCCTCTCCCCCCGCTGTTGGAGGCTCCTCTCAATGGCAAGCCCCCGGCGTGCCAATGAGCCACGAGCCCCGTGCATATCCACAAATACAAACCGCGCAAGCCAAACAACTGAGCCAGCAGAGATACGACATGGCGCATAATCTGGATATGGGGCCTGAGAGACTGGGTCTCGACTTCCTCCTGGACGGCACTCAACGGGTGACCAAGATCCCCGATGGGATAAATGGAGTACCAGCACCGTCGAGTTTCCAACAGATCCCTAGGGAATCAGACAGGGAGAGCCCGTCACATCGAAGTAACTCTATCACCAGCAACAATACCAACTTCAATGGCAATCTTGGCCCAGAGGAGATGGCCGGGCACTCAGCACCGATCCGAAATGGACCTCCCACCTGTCCCCTAGACAGTCTCCTCCTCGACTTCCTCCACGAACGCCAACAGCTTGCCGCCGACGGCGTCCCGATCCCCAAGCTTATCGGGCCCCTCTACCCCAGCGTCTCCTCCCTCCTTAACCCCGCCCGCAGCATCCACGCGCACCCCCTCTCCAAAGTATTCACCGACATCCTCGCCACCTTTCCCGATCTCTCCACGCTCCCCGAAAAAGTCGCCCTCTTCTACATCATGTTCCTGCTCATGCGCTGGCAGATCGCCCCCACGCAAGAGAACTACGACCGGCTGCCCTCCTGGTTCACGCCGCGGCCCTCCCAACTCTTCACCTCCCACCCCGCCTGGATCGATCATCTGCCGTGGCCCAAGATGCGCGATCGTTTGGTCCGGGACTACAATCCCCGGGACTACCTCTTTGATAACTTCTTCGTGCCCTTCACGTCTACCCTGTCTCTAGACTGGCCCTATGAACCGACGGACGCCCTGATACAGAGTCCCGATAGTGATGAGTTGGGAATTAATCCGGTGTTTGAGAGGCATCTGAGAAGATTGGAGAATTGGAGTTTGGGACCGCAGTTCGCGAAGGCGTTTCCTGGCTTGGCGGATACTTATAGGTTGAAGACGGATGGGGATCGGAGGCCTTAGGGATGGATGGATTTGAAACGTGGTATGTGCTTATGATATGGATAATTTATTGGGATTAGGTTTTGGATGGGTGGATTGGGGGGGAGGGAGGTATTCATTGATTTAGGCGTTGAGCTGGCTGGCGTTGTTCGCCACAGGATAGGATAGGATTGGCATCTCTCTCTCTCTACCTATTAATCAATAATGAATGATCTGAATGAAAAGAAAATCCATGATATAATTTCTCAATGCTCCGCATAGTCTAATCTATTAACCATTTTGTTTTATTTCGTTTTTTTGCGCGCAACACCCACTTACGGAGGTATGAAGCAAAGAGCAAGGAGGGCAGGAGGGAAGGAAAGGGGGCGGTCCAAGTCCATCGACACACCATCAACAAGACGACGACCTAAGCCGAACCCCAACCCTCAATGGCCTCATCCACGACCTTCCTGTATTCCTGCTGCGTCCTGCACTGCTCCAAGAACACCTTATACTTAACCTCCAGCAGCTTCTTCTCAGCCTCGTTCTTGCCCGGCCGCGTCACCTTACCCGGCTTGCTCATGCGATCCATGATGCTCCACAGGTCCTCGGTCTTGCCCTCCTTGTCGGCGCTGGCCGCCTTGGCTCCGAGCATGGCCGCACCGTGCACCACTGCCGCGTGCACGTAGCGCGGGATCAGCACCGGCATGCCGCAAATAGTCGCCATCAGCTCCATCAGGATCTTGTTCTGGCATTGGGAGCCTGACATGAAGATGCTGGTGATCGAATGCCCAGCCTCGTTCATCGTCTCGATGATTTGGCGCGTTTGCATGGCGATGAATTCTAGCGTCGCATAGTAGTAGAGCGCGAGGCCGTCCATGCTGCGGTCGCTGCTGATGCCGATGATCGAACCCGTCATGCTTGGGTCTGCGATGGGAGATCGGTTGCCCCAGAGGTCGCCGTAGAAGAAGAAGTGCCGCGCGAGGTAGGAGATCGTCGGCGCCCCCTTCTTCTCTCTCAGCTCCTCGAGGTGGGAGTTCAAGTAGTCGTAGATGCTTGTGTTGAAGGACTCTGCCATGGACATGGTCTCATTGTATGCGGGGTGCGTCTCCAAGACATGTTTGAGGAGCTCTCCTGTTGCAGATTGACCGCCCTCCGCCATCCAGTAATTTGGGAGGAGGACATCTCGGTAGGGTCCCCAGACACCGTCGACAAAGACGGGTTCTTTGGACATGGCAAGATGACAAGTGGACGTTCCAGCCACTGCAGCCAACCGACTAAATGCTTGTGACATGTCGTTCTTGGGCACTCCGCTATCAAGTTCATCGGGACTCAAGCTGACTTTGGCACCCACGGTACCAACCCAGCCTGCGTAGGCATCAATGACACCACTACCAACTGCAATGCCAGGTGGCAGGCCCAGCTGGTTTGCAGCCTTCTCACTTAGAGTGCCCACCAACTCACCAGCACTCAGATACTTCCCATTCTATGCAAAGTCAGTAATTGTACTCTTCCAAACAAAAACACATCATGAAAAAGGCTCACCACCCCGTCAACTCCACCCATCCTCTTGAAGTTATCCTTGGTCAGATCACCCAAGCCAATGGCCTCATAGAAGTCCTCTTGCCAGCCCTTGACACTCCCATCAACGCCAACGGGCACGTAACCCTGCTTACAGACGGTGCTGCAGAAGCTCCGATTCTCATTACCCGTAGCCATGTGCGTTAGGGCATCTGCCAGGTCGTAAAACTTGCAGCGTGCAAATAGCTCAGGCGGCATGTGGTTCTTCAGCCAAAGAACCTTGGGTATCTCCATCTCAATGCTCATCTTGCCTCCGACGTAGCGCAAGAGGTTGTGGCCGGTCGCATTGATCTTGTCGGTCTCCTCAATTGGTCGGTGATCCAGCCACAAGATGACATTGCGATCATTGCCGTCGTTTTCGAAGTTCGGCCCCGTGACAGGCACTGGCTCGTCCGTGTCGTGAGCAAAGACCGCTAGGGAACAGGTCGCATCAAAACCAATGCCGCGGACGGTCGTGGGATCGATGTTATGCTGGGTGATGGCCCGCTGGACGCACATGCAGATGCAGTTCCAGATGTCGGTGGTAGATTGCTCGTAGTAGCCGTTCTGGGGCTGCCACAACCCGATGTTCTCAGTGGCCACTATCCCCAGGTCAGTATTGCGGGGTGCGGGATGGGGGACGCGGGGAAGCACTAACAAGCTTTGATATCGCCAGAGGAGTCAATGATGCAAGCCCTGGCACTGCCCGTCCCGACATCGATGCCAATGTAGTGGTCAATGTGCGGGTTGAGGTCGTTGTGAGGACTGGCATGGTTAGCAGAGCTCAGCTCAACAAGCACGCAGCAAACTCACTCCATCGAAGCTTGCCGCGATGGCTTCCTGTATTGCCTGTAGGGAAGTTGTTGAGACATCTTGGGATTATTTCTATTCGCAAGATCGATCGGGTGTCAGCTTCTAGTGAATCCACGGCCTTGGGAGATGGATGGTTGGCGAGTGCAGTGAATAGACAAGAAGTAAATACCTTTCTGGCTTGAGGACGGGGTTATTCTGGGGAAGGAGGATCGTGAGAAGCGAGGCTCCAGCTTCTCTGCTCTGCTCTGGACAAAGCACACTCAATATCGAGGAACTCAACACCTAAAGCTGCGAGTTGAGCGATGATGTATCCTCTTTTACTTCACGAGTAAGGTCTTTGTTGAAGCAGCGCAGCAGCTTGAGGGCCCAACTGATAAATACCTTACCCTGCGGATACGAAGAGCAAGCTTGTGCGTCATGGGCCGCACCCCAACCTTGCTTCTTCTCCACTCTACTTGTCATTCTGCCAATCCGCTCACTAACCACAAACCAGTATACAATCCCGTACGAAGGCGCGTTCTACCTCCCGCGGCTTCGACTTTCCGTTCGGCTCCTGTTGTATGTTTTATGTCTTCTTCGCTGCTATTTATTCCGTCGATTCTTACACATCGTGGGGGAGGCACTCTCTCGCAGACCGCGCTCGCGCATACCGAGACGAAATGAAGAGGTAAGGATCAGCGCCCTGGTTATGCCATCATGGGAATGGAAGGATGGAAAGAAATACTGGGACGGCATGGCCGTCTTTAGGTTTACCCCAGATATCGATATGGGAACTCCTACTCCGCATTGCGCGCCGCAGGGGCAAAGCCCAGCACGAACCACCAAAAGCAAAAAGGGAGAAAAAACAACAAAAAACAATTACTTAAAAATTAGCTATATGAGGGGAAGATGATCTAATCGGGCCTTCTTTCGTCAAGCGCCATATCAGTAATTCTAGAGGATGCGGGTCGATATATATATCCCATGGAATTGGGCCATGGAAACCGACCGACCTCTTGAGGATCGTGAGCCCGCCACTCTTGGGGGAAAACACTTTCAAAATGGATCCAATGCCGTCTGAAGTGAAGGGATCAATTCAACCAGAGTCACCTATCAAGATCTGACCGCTCTTCGACGGTTGGAGGCCACAGGCCGCTGTGCTTTGTGCTGATACTGCCCACCTTGAATTTCTTCTATCTCGTGCTGTTATACATGTGGATCCCTCACCGCTCTTCTACTTCCAAAGCTTGCCTAAGCTGACCTCTTTATCGTCGTGCTTGTTGAGGACCTTCGCCGTCGCCAGGTCGAAATCCTCCTGCGTGACATGCACCCGCCTCTCCCTCAAAGCGTACATTCCTGCCTCTGTGCAGACACCCTTCAACTCAGCACCAGAGCATCCATTCATCTTCTCCGCGATCTTGGTCAAGTTGATACCACGAGTCAAGTTCATACTTCTACTGTGGATGCGCAGAATGTCTGCGCGTGCCTCAACGGTTGGAGGTGGGAACTCGATCTTTCGGTCGATACGTCCCGGTCGCAATAGCGCCGGATCCAAGATATCCAGACGGTTGGTAGCCATGATGACCTTGATGTTTTTGGTAGGTTCGAAACCGTCAAGTTGGTTGAGCAATTCCAACATGGTTCTCTGAACTTCGGAATCGCCACCTGATGATCCTTCTACACGAGATGATCCAATCGAATCGATCTCATCCATGAATATAATAGATGGAGCATGCTCTCTCGCCATGATGAAAAGTTCGCGCACCATTCTTGAACCTTCTCCGATGTATTTTTGCACAAGCTCGGATCCTGATACTCGGATGAACTTGCAGTCGGTATGATGGGCAACAGCTCTTGCTAATAGAGTCTTTCCGGTTCCGGGAGGACCGTAGAGAAGAACACCCTTGGGTTGCGCTATACCCAGAGATTCAAAGAGCTCGGGATGCTTGAGACCGAGCTCGATAACCTCCTTGATCTCCTTGATTTGCTGGTCCAGACCACCAATCATGTCGTAGGTACTATCAGGCACCTTCTCCACCATCATCAGGGATACGAGAGGGTCGACGGAGGATGGAAGCATCTTTTCGAGTTTGTAAGAATCCGATAGAAGGGTGACTCTTTTGCCAACAGTGAGCTTGGATATGTCGACGTTATCCGAAATATCAACGACTGGATGCTAGTCAGTATCTCTCTTTGACCATGGTCCTCGCTGCCCATACCATATTTGCCTTCGGGGTGAACCTTGACCAGGACCTTCTTCGTTCCCATCACTTTCACGACCTCCCCGACATATGATCCCGGTTGTTGTAATAACCCAAGCTCCTCTCTGAGCAGGCGCACTGTGGCACCGTTAGCAGCAGGTTGGCAGATGCCGCGCTTGGGTGCATACCTCTGGAGTTGTAGTCATTCCTCTGGGCTTCCAGTCTGCGCAGAACGGCTTGGCCTTGGATGATCTCGAGCTTCATGCTCTCGATCTTGTTGTGGAAGAAGCTGTCGAGCGCCATGGTGAAAGCGCTATGGCGAGAGAAGTCGACGGGCGGGATACGGATGGAAAGGGATCGATTTCACCGAGCGTGTGGATGGCGTCCCCGTGAGAGGGTGTGGTATGGTTGTCGATCTGTACAGGGTTGGTGTGTACAGAGGTGTTGAGCTTGCTGTCGCCGTGCTTCTCCAAGGCAGCTCAGCTTCGCGCGTCAAGGCAAGATGCACAGCGCACGTGACCCAGCTAGGCTCTGCTGAGGTCAGCTGGCCGGACGCTTGCAGGGATCCGGCGGCGCGGGCGCGGGCGAAGGCGAAACTCCAGGAAATTGTCATTGGTAAATGGCAGTCAGCCAATAATAACTTCCAATATTGGCAGCGGAGGCAACCAACCCAAACACAGTCTCCAAATCCTGCTTCACTGCGCGTGCGCGTGATAAAGACACAGCTGGCAGTGTCTTGACGTCTCTCGACTCCGATCTCTACGATATCTACGGCCCAACACTGACAGAAGTCGATTTTGGCTGAAGAAAGAGGCTCTTCCAGGACCCGCGGCCCTCCGCTGTTTGTTTATGCACCACGCCTCGAATGCCTTCAACATCTTCTTTCTTGTTCCCTTCAGCAGCTGTCAGAGCGCAGGACGTGGAGCGCATCTGAGGAAAACGACAACGCTTATTACAAGCCTATCGACCTTGGACGAGCTTTCGGCCTCCTTTTATCAACGCCGTTCTCGCAGATGCCATTCCCCGCGTTGTAGATAACGAACGAGCGACCATGTCTTCAAACCAGGACAACAGCGCTGTCTCTGCGAAGGATCCGGCGCAGAATCCTCCGCCCGTATCGACTCCTACTTCGGCAACCGATACCAGACATCCTCTGGCCAGATTTGAATCATCGGGCTCCCAAGACGTAGGCCTGGGACTTTCAGAGAGTTTCCAGTCTACGGATACAATCAGACACAGACCCGAGTCTCTGTCATATGGTACATAGCCCCAGCTTCGATAACTGATCTGAATTATCGGCCTTTTATTAAACCGCGAGACTGACCTTATCAAAGGTTCTATACAGACGCAGCCACAGATGACGTCCCAGCCTCCTTCGGAACACAGAGCCACCGATATGGAGTCGTCCCGGTCGGCTCAGCCTATAAGATCGCCGATGTTAGGACCAGAGCGTGGTCGAGGCGGCCAGCGATCAAAGAAGCCTGGAATGCCTCGGCGTGCTTCGTCGAATGTGCAAGCGCCCCATCGTGGACAAGAATTCTCTGTAGACGACGATGTTTCTGAGATAGAGGGTGATCTAGCTACCAGACAAAATGCGCTTGGCGGATCGTCCTCTGGATTTGGCTCTGTCAGACACCAGGCTTCTTCTCTACGACGACGTCCTGCACCGCAGCAGCCAACTTTACCGAGAGTTGATTCGTCTCACGACGAAGAAGCCGAAGCTGAAGCGGAGACGGAGCGTAACAGCGTTACGGGCGATCCGATTCCCGAGGAGGAAACTGCAGATTCTGTGGGAGAAGGGACACTTCGTGGCGTGGATGATTCCCCGGACGAAGAGGATGAGGAGGAAGACAACCTGAGTGATGCTGAGAGCTTCACGCTCAAGGATCGCCAGGAGGCTATAAATGAGACCCATCCGTTTGGTATTCGTATCTGGAAGCCGGCACTCTATAAGAAGAACAGATCGGTACAGAAGACCGCCGAGGGGGACATTCATTCTTCCCCTGGCGGTAGAGTCAGCAATTGGTTACTTTTCTTCAATATCTTGTGGACAATCTGTTTTGGCTGGTGGCTCGCATTCGTTGCATTCGTTGGGGCCCTTGTGTGCTTCACCTTCGCCGCCGCCCCCAGTGCGATTGAATATGGTCGAGTTCTCTGGGGCCTTGCTGGGTATCTCTTTTATCCATTCGGGCAATTCGTGCGACTTGAGCAAGACGAAGCGTATGCTGACGAAGATGAAGGCGAAGGACGCAGTATTACTGAGTATGAGCAGTGGCAGAACGGGGATATTGAAGACGGGCGACTATTTTTCGGCCCCGAAGGAAGTCGCTCCATTGTCGGACGCTCAAGAAGGAGTATAGATTCCACAGCCAGCGAAACCGACAGCCTTTTGGGTCGCACTAGACGTGGAAGAATACAGCGAGAACCGACTGATCGTCCTTTCAAGAGGAGATTGTTTGGAAGAGGCCAGTGGAATACTGGACGCGTCATTTTCTTCCTGTTTTTCTATGGACTGATCACCCCCCTATTATTCCTTGTGTCCGGTATCTGTTGGCTTTTGGTCTTCTGGATTCCTATGGGTAAGGTTACGATGCTGTTATTTTATCATCTTCGTCGCCACCCGTTGGCATTGACCTTCCAGTCGGATACGGACTATTCTCGAGGAGTCAATATTCCCAATTCATCCATCCTTGTCTGCACCTATCGCGCAGTCGGCTTGAAATATTGGAAGTATACGGTCGATGGTACAAACATTTTCCTGATCAACTTGACGAGTGTCGTCTTATTCGTCATCTTTGATTACTGGATTCTTCTTGAAGTACTGGGTATGGAGCTGCCAATCACGCATCCGGCCTTCATCTTTGTGGGAGCACTATTGTCAATCATCCCCCTGGCATATTTCATTGGCCAGGCAGTAGCTTCAATATCTGCGCAGTCTTCCATGGGCCTCGGTGCTGCTATTAACGCCTTCTTTTCGACCCTGGTAGAGGTTTTCCTCTACTGCGTCGCACTAAACCAAGGTAAAGGCCAACTTGTAGAGGGAAGCATCATCGGCAGCATATTTGCCGGAATACTTTTCTTGCCCGGCCTGTCCATGTGTTTCGGGGCCATCAAGCGGAAGACGCAAAGATTCAATGCTAGATCAGCAGGCGTGACGTCCACTATGCTTCTATTTGCAGTTATCGCCGCCTTTGGCCCCACATTGTTTTATCAGATTTATGGCACTGTAAGTTGACAAGCAACTTCGTATGCGGACGCTACTAACGGTTATCCTTTAGCATGAGCTCAATTGTCTGACCTGTGTTGACACCGATGACTCCCCCACTCGTGATTGTCGCCGCTGCTACTTCGCACAAATCCCAGCTCTAGATGACCGGTTCTATCTCGACGCAGTCCGACCATACTGCTGGTTTGCCGCTTCCCTTCTCTTCCTTTCATACGTAATCGGATTGTGGTTCACACTACGAACCCATGCTGCAGTAATATGGAACAATGAAATTGAAGAGAAGAAGACGCAAGAGGTGCAAAATGCCATGGGTCATCAGCATCCCGTGACTCCCCATAATAGACTGCAAAGGCAGGTAAGCGCTAATGATGCTACCCGAGGCGCGGAAATTCGTGATTCGCAGCTTTACAAACGCATTTTAGGACAGTCCTTGAAGCAGGTTGGTCTTGGTCACCGTGAGGAAGGAAGCCAATACAACTCGCCCTCTGAGTCTATGGGGCCTGATGGATCGACTCAGATGCCCCAAACACCACATCTTGTGCCGCCCAAAAGCAATGGGGGAGACAGCCCGAGAACCGAGCCTCAATTTCCCGGGCTTTTGGAAGCACAAAACACTAATATTGTTCGCGAAGTTACTGAAATAGCAGCGACTGCAGCGGCAATTGCTGCCAGGGATGCTACAAAAGGTCCACGCAGATCTTCTGCCGTCACTGGTATCCCACAGTCATCTCATAAGCCGACGACTTTGAGGGCTGGAGCTGTCGCGGATGATGAAGCGGCTACTGCGGAAGCCCTTGATGCTAGCGCTGGGGGACATGATGCACCGAATTGGAGCAGAACGAAGAGTTCCGTCATTCTGTGTGTAGCCACCATTCTCTATGCCCTTATCGCTGAGATCTTGGTCAACACAGTCGATGTGGTGCTCAAAAATGTAGCAGTCGATGAGAAGTTTTTGGGAATAACTTTGTTTGCTCTTGTTCCAAACACCACGGAGTTTCTGGTAAGATCCCGTTGCACCCCTATATATCCCTCTGCCATCTGACAAAAAGCATAGAATGCCATATCATTTGCCATGAATGGTAACATCGCGCTCTCCATGGAGATCGGATCAGCATACGCTCTTCAGGTTTGCCTACTGCAGATCCCAGCTCTGGTATTATTCAGCGCAATCAATGGGCAGTGGCTGGAAGGGGTGGATGTCGCCGATCACATCTTCACCTTGATCTTCCCACAGTGGGATATGATTACGGTCATCCTCTGCGTCTTTCTACTCAGTTACATGTACGGCGAAGGGAAGAGTAACTACTTCAAGGGCTCTATTCTCCTTCTCAGCTACCTCGTGGTCATCGTCGGATTCTGGTTTTCAGGGATGACGGATCTTAAGTCTGCGACAGTGAGCCGTTTGGACATCATGGCCGCAGGCAGGAGCTTCAGGACCATTGGCAGAGGGAAGTCGGGATATGCTTTCCAGCAGTAACAGACAGGGGCCTTTCAGAAAGGATCTCGCCTCTCGTTCATCTTTCCTAACTCATTTGAGCGTTGGCGTTAAGGGGGCATTTGAGAGCCTCTTATTTGTACGTACTCATTCCAGCGCCCACTTTCCTTTTTAAATAATTTTGTGAGGAGTATCGACGTTGCCACCCAATAATATCGTGGCCAATCTTCTCACGATCGCGGTCTATCTAGATCGAGGCCCTCCGATCAGAGATTATATTGTGTAATTAGTGGAAATGTCATTTTCCCCTATATATAATCTAGAGCTGTGTTCGTACATGCAGCGCGAGCAGAATAGTTTCTTAATGTTTCAGATTATTTCGCTCTCGACGTCGCATGAGAACCATGTCTTGTGTTTCTGGCTATTTGCGTTCTGCATCTCAAGAGCTGCATAGATTTATTTACTTTAAAGAAATCCCAGATACGCCATTACGTACCTTATGTATATTATGCGCTGAAGTAGGTGTAGAGCTTCATCGTGAGGATGTTTTTGGTCTACTCGACAGTCGGCTCCGTGCAGTGCCTCTGACACACAGGCTCTCTGTTTTCATTAGAGAACGACTTGTGTGACTGTTCTCTGCGCTTTATCTGAATATAGCCATGGTAGCAAGCCGGAGACACTTTATCTAAATCCTCATGATTCGTCCGTCATACGTCTCGCGTCACAGTCTCAAGCATTTCCACATCCACAGCCTCCTTACTATCGGTACTCGTATCCAACTCTCGACCATGCATCTGCGCCTGTAACTCTCTCCTCTTTGCCTTTTTCGCAAAGACCAGATCGATTTCCTCCAGCGTGCGGCCCTTGGTCTCCTTGACGAAGAACCACACGAAGATGACCTGGATCACGTTGAAGATGCAGAACAGCAGATAGAATTTCCAGCCCGCGTGCGTGATCCCGATCGGTCCCACCTTGACCACGACGAATGTCATGAGCCATTCCATGCCGACGGCCAGCGAGGCCCCGATGTGTCGCACGTGCAGCGGCGTCACCTCGGGCGCGTACATCCAGGGCACGATGCACCAGGAGGCGCCGAAGGTGAATTCGAAGAGGAAGATGAAGACGATGGATAGGATTAGGGAGTGGTAGGTGTTGAGGGCTAGACCGATCGTGAAGAGGATCATGGCGATTGATGTGCAGATTGCACCGATCAGTAATACGGGTCGTCGGCCATATCTCTCTACCGTGTAGATAGACGTCAGTGATCCTCCCCAGAAGACGAGACTTAGTCCGCCGGAGAGTAGGCTGGCTTGCTGCTGCGTCTTGCCTAGGTTATGGATGAAGATGTAGGACGCGTAGTAGGCGATAAGGTTGATACCCCCGAGTTGCTGAAGGAATTGGACAATGACACCAAGCCAGATCCGCCAGGATGTATTGATAGGTGAATCATCGAAGAAGATATTTTTGAGGTGGAACTTCGTCTCTTTCTCTATCTTCAAAGCTTCTAGAACTTCAGCCCTGTGAGCGAGAACTGTGGGGTGATCGACTGGAATTTGTAGGATACGGGCCATAACGTCATCAGCGTCTTTGAGGTGGCCATGGGAGTATAGCCATCGAGGGGATTCCGGGAGTAGGAATACAGTGCAGAGCATAATGAGGACAAAGACGACTTGGAAGGCTAGAGGGAGCCGCCACACCACTGATCCCGTCAAGTTATTCGTTGTGCCATAATCGAACCAATAGGCCAGCGACAGGCCGAAGAGGACCAGGGAGAGCTGGATGGCGATGAGAGCACCTCTATGAGCAGCTCGTGCACATTCAGACACCCAGATCGGTATGAAAGATGTCTCCATTCCGGTGCCCACGCCGGCAATTACCCGACCCGCAATCATCATGCCCGTTCCATTCGATCCTGCCTGGATACTTGCTCCGAGGATGAGAATCAGGCCTCCGATAACTATATAGATCCGTCGACCTAACTTCTGGCCAATGGTTGCGCAGATAAGACAGCCTACAAGACAGCCAATATTATAGATTGCAGTAACCGTTCCTTGGGTGTCGGCGTCGCTGGCGGCAATGTGAAGACCGTTGAGGAGTTGCGGCGTGGCAATGAGACCTCCAAAAACTCCTTGATCGTATCCAAAAAGAAGAAATGTCATCGCTGAGCAGAGTGTAACTCCAGTCTGAAGCCAGTTTCCACTGATTGTAGACAAGTAGCCCTTGTAGAACGAACCCATTCTCCTGAACTCTCAAGTATGTCTGTCAATTTTTGCCCTTGCGGTCCCTGAAACAATCGTGGGATATACTTTTAAGTTTTGTGGGGGATGTGGGGGAATGTGGGGTAAAAAAGTATGTTAGAGTTTCGCATGGCAATCCAAGAGTAATTGATTCTTGCGCTGTTGTGATTCCGCGGAATTCCAATTTGCGGGGTTCGTCCATTATTGTTCCAAACAGCGACGATTTTCGACTTTTTGCACCCCATGCACTTTGTACACTATGGTAGAAATATCTGGGTAGATCGCCGGAGGCTTTCTGATCAACCTGGAAGTTGGTCGCATCGCTCAAGTATCTTTTGCTCGGTGAATCCATTTTGTCATTACCATTGCTGCAGCGAATGACAAATGTAGTAGATTCGCAATTGACAGATCTTGACCGTCATGGAGGCATCGGAGGGAGATAGCAAGCTTCCATGTTTTGGTTCTCTGAAAAGTGTCGAAGGGGTTGGCTGCAAAGGATGTTCCTGAACTTCCTGAGGTGTTTTCGACAAACCCGGCGAAAAAGACCAGCTTGGGGTGCTAGATCTCCTCTCCTGGCGCCAGCATAATAGCATTAGTAGCCGGATCCGCGAGGGAAGAGATAATTGAAGGGAATAGAATTCCCCGAAACTGGGGTTCAGAGAACACTCAATTGCCAGCGTTCGGCGCAAGGCCCCCGAGCACAATATCATCGACCTGGAGCCGCTGCTAGACTTCTGCAAGTACGACTAGCAGATAACCTTCAATCCACAGACGGGCTCTCATTGGGACACGCTGTTATAACTTATATGTCGCTCATCAACCGTGGGAAGTTTAAGCTGAACTCCGCAAAAGCAATCGTCTAATTTCAGAATTGAAACAATACTATAACAGCATAAAACATGACGATTTAAAGGGGAAGAAGCATCTAAACGATGGTATCCGCCCACCATTTGTGCTTTGAAGTGGCATTAGAACCATCGCCGTTGCGGCGGATCATTTGACCTATGAAGCATGGCCGCCGTCAACCCCCATGCTGCACGAATACTTATTGGCAATGTTGGGATTGATAGTCGGGAAGCTGTGGGACTTGGAGGAACTGGCAAAGACCTGTGCAGAGAAACGCAGATGGACATTCTTTGCCAGCGCGCCGCTGAATATGGCTCCCGGGATTGGGTTGCCTGCAAATGGTTTAGTAGTTTTCTACGTGCTCTCGTTCCACTTGCTAAAAAGTTTGAATACCTTACTCACCTTACCTTAGGTAGGTCAAGTAGGTAGGTAAGTGAGGTGAAGTACTTTTTGCGTTGCACGGACCAGTCCCCTAATCAGGGATAGGGGTAACTCGAATTAAGCGAGGGGCCCACGATTTATACGCGCTCCGCAAGACGACGGGAACTCTAATTCAACCACAATACTTCACATACGGTGCGTGGTCATGAGAAGAAAAGAGTAATAGACCTACACTGCGCAACATCATACCCAGACTTTGATTTTGGCACCGCTTTTACCTGCAACGCGAGGACTATGCCGATTCAAGTCGACAGAGACCTCGCAGGCTGTGGATAGGTATGCTCCGCCTGGCCAGATTGAAGGCAGGATTGTGGCGGATGTTGGACATCATTACGGCAATATTCATAGTATATTAATGGACCCGATCTTCTTTTCACCGACCGGTGATGGATCATGGGCACTTTCAGGGAAGATACAATGAGGCTTAATGGTTTGCCATTTTCATTTGGTACGTTAAATCCTTACTCAATTACTATTTTTGTCAAGTCCAACATGTTCCAACAGCAAGTATGTCACTGTATGTGCCAAGTCATGGATAAATACCACGCATCTTTGATAGATGGGGTATTACGCTATAACACCGCCATCGACGATCAAATCCGCTCCTGATCATGGCATTAGCGGAGAGACATGAAAGGGTTTAAGGGGGCGTAGAGGGGGGGAGGACCTGTAATAAAGCTTGCCGCATCACTGCAAAGGAATACTGCGGGAGACTTCAACTCATCAGGTCTCTCCATACGGCCCAAAGCCGACGCCGCATTCCAATTCTCGAGCTTCTCCGGCGTCGCAATGTCGAGCGCAAGCTTAGTTTGCACATAGCCAGGCGATATCGAGTTCACTCTGATACCGTACTTCCCTAGCTCGACCGCCACCTGCTTGACCAGGCCCCGGACTGCGTACTTGGTCATGACGTACACGCTGGCCGGCTGGTCTGGCAGCGAACGGTGCGACGCGATCGATGCGATGACGAGCACGGACCCGCCAGTTCCTTGCTGGATCATTATATTGGCCGCCTGCTGCACAGTGTTGAAGACGCCGAACACATTGACGTTAGTCTGTAGCGCCAGCTCGGCGGGAGGCACGTCTATGAACGGTGTCTCCCTGATAAGGCCAGCAGCAGCGACGCATATGTCGACGCGTTTGAAGTCCGCGATGACGGCTTTGTACGAGGCGCTGACAGACTCAACAGATGAGACATCGGTGCGGTAGTACTTGGTCTGTTGACATGCTTGGACAATTGGCGCAAATTCCGCAGCGATAGGCTCGTCCAGGATGTCGAAGATGACCGGGATGGCGCCCGCCTCGGCCAGGCCAAGGGCAATCTGCGCTCCGATGCCTCTCGCGCCTCCTGTCACAACTGCGACCTTTCCCTTGCACGATTCGATTCGTCGCGATGTGGTTGAAAGATCCACAGGAAGGGCCCAGCCTGTCTGACCGGGCTTGATGAGAGTGCTCTCACATCTTTTTGTGTCATGTCTGCTGTTGCCACCTGTGCTTGCAGCTGTCGAGACTGGTTGCTTCACTGGTTTTAAGTTTGTTGTGTCCTGGTGCAAGATTGAGAGAGCTCTAGGAGAGTTCAACGACACAATGCCAAGAGGCTTGAGAGGCCTGTACACAGAACGGATTGCGCGCGGACCTACTATGCGCTGCATCTTGATATTCCTGGCTTGGCACAAAACTTGAAGTGATAGTTGGAATGTTTCTAACGAGTCTACCAACCCTTTCACTAATTGCCGCAAAGGGCTGGAGTGCGCAAAGGACTAGTGAGTCGGGGTGCTGTGAAGAGTGTTGCGTCGAAGAGTAGCGGCGAGGGGGGCCTTGCAGATGCTCTTCTACTCCGCGGTTTAAAACCAAAACCCCTCTCGAATTGACACTTCTCTGGGGTAGGTAGATTAGCCACCAATCGTCTGCGGTAAATAGAAGGTTGGGTTACACCTGGAAATACAATTCCGATTTCCGAGGTTCCTCAAAAGACGGAGAAATACCACACCCGGGACTCGCCATTACGTTTCATAATTTTACGAAGCATTGAAGGATGGAGGAGTGCGACCATAAAGCTCCCTTGGAGTTCATAAGGTGTTCTACGAGTCTATCCTTTTCGCCTCCACAATTCTAAATTCTTACTATGGGTTCAAACGCCCAAGGCGACGGTACTCAAGTCCTACAGGACCTGATCAATGCTGCATGCTGCGAACCCAATGGCATTCCAGGAGCTTCCGTGGTGATTATCAACAGGGACGGGAAAGAGTTGTTTGCGCATGCATCCGGAAAACGAGGCCAAGGGCAGCCTGAGCCCATGAGCTTGGATAACATTTTCTGGATTGCATCGTGCACAAAGCTGATCACCGGAATTGCGCTGATGCAGCTGGTAGAGCAGGGAAAGCTCGCGTTGGATGATGCTGAGCAGTTGGAAAAACTATGTCCTGAGCTTCGCGATGTTAAGGTTTTGCGTGAGGATGGCACGTTGGAGGAAAAGAAGAGGAAGATCACGTTGCGGATGCTGCTCACTCATACCGGTACTGATTTTCTGCTCATTGTTTGGAGGATTGTTGTTAATTGACGGAGACTAATATCTGAACAGCGGGTTTTGGCTACACTTTCTATAATTCGAAACTTGCGGATTATGGCAGACCGATTGGATATGACGAGTTCTCCGGGCAAGTTTCTGATATTTTGCAGCCATTGATAGCTCAGCCGGGGGAAGAATTCAACTACGGAGTAAAACCCTCTCTATGACCGTGGTAAATTACTGACTCTATACAGATTAATATTGACTGGGCTGGTGTGGCCCTGGAACGAGTCACCAAGATGTCCTTGAATGAGTATATGCAGAGATATATATTCGAGCCACTGGGCCTCAAAAACATCAACATGTTTCCAACTCTACAAATGAAGGAGAAGCTAGCCTACATGCACCAACGGGCTCCAGATGGCACGCTATCAATCCGTGATCATCTCATGCACCGTCCTCTTACTGCTGATACAAAGGAGATCAAAACATGCTTCGGCAGTGGCGGAGGTGGATGTTTTGCAAACCCACAAGAATACTGCCGTGAGTCCAGCTCATCAGATAGTTCCACACGTCGCCAGAGTCTGTCAGACTGAAGGCGCGAACAGAAATTCTTGCGATGCTTCTGAAGGGCGGCGTCTCTCCAACAACTGGATCTCGCATCCTACAGGAATCCACCGTCGAGGATATGTTCACCAACCAGATCCCCCAACTTCCCAATTTCGCGCGGAAGCATTATTCGAGTGTGAAGCCCGACCTCGTTGCTCCTTTCGATGAGTTTTACCCGCAGCCGCTCGACCAGGCTCAGGGATGGGGCTTGACCTTCATGATCACACCGCACCGTGGTGCAACAGGACGCAGCGCTAATACTGTCCATTGGGCCGGGCTGCCAAACACTTGGTGGTGGGCAGACCGCGAGAAGGGTGTTGCCGGGATGGTCTGTACACAGATCTTGCCGTCGTCTGATTTGAAGGTGGGGATGCTGATTGGAGCAGTCGAGTCGACTGTGTACCAGTATTTTGTATGAGTTGCAAAGGATATGCTCATACATCAATGAGGAGTATAACCTATAACCCTGCGCTTCCATTAGGGGCACAGCAATTGGTGGGTATCCGTCTGCTAAGTGAGAAAAACCATACGAAATTCCGGTATTAAGAAGTTGACAACCCGAAAGTTTGCCCCATATTGTTCTAGACCACGTGGAACGTGTCAGGGTCTGCCGGTCTAATTATTATGGTTATTAATATCGGGTAGGCTAGGACCCCGTGGGGTCGGTTCTGGGGAAGCGGGGGTGTCTCACATAACCGGTCTTCGCCTCGGCAGAGAGTACCGGGAGGATCGGTCAACTCCTATTCGTTTACCTCTCAGGGCAGGACAAGAAACCCAAGAGCACTAGTCATGGATCATCTGCCGACACTCTTCCCTTCCGACTGCTCTTCTACTCTCCTCTTCACATATCCTCGGAAGACGCACCATCATGTTGCGGATCCGCACGCGGGGAAGGACGGAGTTGCATTTCCGAAACGTGACCTATCCGCAGGTGACATCTCCTCCACATGTAATATGTACCCACCATTGAGGGGTAGAGATGCGGACCGCACGACATTCGAAGAGTTACAGAATTTGTGTGGTAATATATCTTTAGTGCAGTTCGTGGAGATAAGCTTACAGGAAAAGTCACTTCTGCAGCTTGGATCGCGAGTCGGTAATATCAATTTTTTCATTCTTGTGTCAAAAAAGCAAGCCAACTTTTAATTTACCAGTTGTCAAAAATAGCAGACTTTTGGGTTTTTGAACAAAAGCGATGAGCCCAACATGTTATCCGTCATGTTTCACACAGAGATACTTTCCGCTTCTGTCACCTTGCCATGCAAACCATCCTTCTCCGACTCTGTCCCAACATTTTTGGCAGCGGCCATTCCGGGAATGATCTCCTCGATAGTTTTGAGGGGAATCTGGGCATTGTCCAGGTCCTTCTGATAGATGACGACCAGATCGTCATCTCCGAACATAGCCGCAATTTCTTCTAGGGGCTTATGCAGCGTGTCCGGGAACCACAGCAGCACAGCCACGACACCCATGAAGGCAAAAATGATGAACAGGATGTAGTAGTGCCAGCCGATATTAGCGAATGCTGTGGGTGCAGCCTGAAGCCAGCAGATGTTGACGGCGTTGTACACTATCATGAATATGGTCATTCCTTGTGCCCGCAGATGGCTCGGCCAGATTTCGGCTTGATAGAAGAATTCGGGGCCGTCCAGACCTAGCTCAAAAGAACTAACAAATATAAAGAGCATGGCCACGGCTGCCGACTGACCTGCCGTGTTCGTTGTACCAAGAAAGTTCTTGACCAGAGCGGTATAAATGGTCAATGCCACAGTGCAGCCTGCGAAGCCACAAGCCATAAGCCAATTCCGCTTGATGCGGTCAACATATGTCATGGCAATGATGCTTGTTAGGAGTGAGCATGCTGTATAGCCGGCCTGAAATAGTAAGGAGTCCACGCCAGTGTAGCCCAGACCGGTGTAAAGGCTAACACCATAATCTATAATGCATCAGAATTGGACCATCGACAAGATTCGGACGATGGAAATTACTTTGAATAGTAATCAATCCGTCGCTCATGATGCAGAAAGCAAGGGCCATTGATATCAACGCACGCTTCCTGTATGAAGGCCGCTTAAGGATTTCCCAGTAACCAGTCTTCAATGTTCGGTCGAAGTGGATCTGTTTGCATATTTGATAGTACTCGCGCTTTGCAAACTCATCCGTCGAATCACTGGGATCGGAGTGTAACCGGTGAATGATTGCCCATGCCTCTTCATGTCGGTGTTTGGAAATGAGATGACGTGGAGACTCTGGCAACCAGTTGATGATGCAGAGTAAGACAAAAGGTGGAAATATTGTTATCCCTAGGGGACCACGCCATGAGTTTTTTGACTGATAGTAGTAAAAGCCTACCCCAACAAAGCCGATGGTAGTGTAGCCGATATTGATGAAGATGGCGTGGATATCAGCTAGCATGCCACGATTTCGTGGAGGCACGATCTCGCTGATCCAGAGCGGAACACCGCAGATGTTTTGGAAGGATCTAAAGCTGGTCAGATCTAAACTGGCCGAGTAGGACAGGTAGATTACCCCCAACCGGAGAAGAAACGGAATACGATGAACATGGCAGCATTAACAGACCCACACAGGAGGGCCTGAGAGATGAGGACTATCAATGACCCCATGGCTATAGATGCCTTACGGCCAAATTTGTCTGCTACATAGCTGTGGCAGATAGCACCTGCAACGCCGCCGGTATAGAAGAGACTGTTCATGGCACCCTCTATGGATTGGCCATGGGGACCATCCAAACCCATTTTCTTGACAAAAGACGGCTGACCGAGCGTCGTGCTGATAACAGAGGCAGCCATGCCCATGGATGCAGATCCGAAGCTCATGCATATGCATATGAAGACCGTATAGGCCTTGGGGTGATGCTTCTTCTTGAACTCGCCCGAGGATATATTTGATACTTGGCGGTCCATTCCGAGTCGTTTTCGTACGCAGTAGTGTGTTGCCTGCTTGGTACTACTGGTGGATAGGGCGACAAATGCCCAATAGTTGAGAATTGGCTCCAGAATCGGTGCATCATATTGGATTTTCCTACTTATACATGATTGGCCTGCTGCACTATTACCGCAGACGCACAGATACAATGTACCCCACAACACCGCGGGGCATGTTTCCCGAAGTTGCGCTTGACAATTCCGATAAGCGTGATCCCCAATTCCCGTGGAATTACCCCAGCCAATCGAAGGGTGTCATGATTGATACTGCGATTTATGGATGGTGATTGGCCAGCTCACAGCATCTTCAAGAAAAGACATTTTGAACGGAATTATGGTTGGCACAAACCATATCTCGATTTAGACCTATCCTGGGCGAGGTATCTTTGGATTCGAATTCCGAGGCATGAAAGGATAGCCAGGGTGCGGGGAAAAGCACCCCTCGGGCGACTAACGCTCGGCTAGGACCTCAATCGTGAGAGTCCTTCATACTCCCTTAACTTTAATCATTCTTCAGTGAAGTCATACTCGATACAGATAATCCAACCTCTTAGTTTCAGCATCTGTGGAACGGCTAGCTGCGATGTCGACATATCAGCAAACCCCGAATGTGATCATCATAGGTGCGGGGCCCTCTGGCATTGCTATGGCCCATACGTTGAAATGCAAGCTGAAATTCTGCGATTTCCTCGTCTACGAGAAGCTCCCTGATGTTGGAGGCACATGGCTGACCAACACATACCCTGGTTGGTAAGTCTCAGTCCGAAATCCCAGAGCAAGTTTGGATTTGCTCATAGAGATGCAGCGGCTGCGACGTACCCACTCACCTATACTCGTTCAGCTTCAACTTAAATCCAAATTGGTCAAAACAGCTGTGTGACCAACCGGAAATCCTTGAATGTATGAAACCCCTGGATAAGCAGCTGTTCACCCCCCTGACGTCTTTAGATATGAACTCTACCGTGGATAAATTCGACCTGAGGAAACATATGAACTTTAACGTGGAATGTATCAGTGCATCTTGGAACAAGGGGGCTGGATATTGGGAGATTAGATTCCGGGACCTCAACAGTGGTATTGAGTATACACGGCATGCCACTATATTCATTTCTGCCGTAGGAGGGATATCTTTCCCACGCGATGTCAAGTTTCAAGGCATGGATAAGTTTAAGGGAAAGATGTTCCATACAGCAAGATGGGATCATGGCTATGATTACACTAACAAGCGTGTTGCAATCATTGGCAACGGCTGCAGTGCAGCACAGGTTGTACCTGCCATTGCAGGAAGAGCAGGCCACGTCAAACAATACGCAAGGAGTGCGCAATGGTATCATGAACGGCCAAATCGGACATTTACTGGGTTTGAAAAATGGCTCTTTAAGTATATCCCTTTTTGGCAGCGATATCATCGGCTCCAGCTATTCCTTGAGAATGACGACTTGGTTACGACCTACATGCCAGGAGAGGGAGCGGCAGTGAAAAGAGAGCAGGTTGAGAATGCTGCAAAGCGTTATATCTATTCTCAGACGCCTAACAAATATCACCATGTTATTGTCCCAGAATTCCCTCTTGTAAGTAGAGAAAGTCGTATATTCAATGGTTCCCCCAATCAATTTCCGGGGCTAATTATCTCTAGGGTTGCAAGCGTCGTATCTTCGATCCAGACTACCTACAGTCACTTCACGCACCAACAGTAGAGCTTGTGCCTGTAGGAATAAAAGAATTTGATGAGACTGGCATTGTCAGCGAAGATGGAGTAAAGACCGATTTTGACCTTATCGTATTGGCTACTGGCTTTCAAGTGGCGCAATTCCTAGCACCGATGGAGATATTTGGAGCAGATGGGAAAAGCCTCAAGCAACAGTGGGACGAAAGCCGCGGAGCCCAAGCTTACATGGGCTCTTTCGTCCATAATTTTCCAAACTTTGGAATCCTGTAAGACGCCAGACTTCTGCTGGTGTGAAGTTACTAACATCATACGAATCTAGCTTCGGACCAAACACATTTCCAGCGCACAACTCTGCCCTTTTCGCATGCGAGGTCCAGATAGAATACGTTGCAAAAACGCTCATTGCACCGATTTTAGACCGCCGTGCCAAGATCATTGAAGTCAAATTATCTGCAGAAGAACAATGGGTTAATTCGATTCAATGCCAGCTAAAAGGTACCGTGTTCTCTGCCGGATGCACGAATTGGTACATCAACAGATTCGGGCGCAACGTAGCGTCTTGGCCCAGTCATGCATCTACATTCTGGATGCAAGCATACTTCCCAAACTACAAGGATTTCTGTCTTATCGATGGATCCCCTTTTTGGTACATGAATAGGCTCAGGCGCTTGCTTAGACCCCCGAAAATAGCGTATATCATTGCAGCTGCATATATCATACTGGTTGGATATCGGAGAACCTTCCCCACTCAGTGGGCATACACTCGCCAGTTATTGTTACGCATATTGCAGAAGAGTCTTAGATCGTTTCCTAGGCGTCATTGAGAGTTGTCTGAAGAATGGCTGAATGAGCCGAGGCAATGGTTACATTAGTTACATTTTCTTCGGGAACACAGGCAGGATCGCATATTCGGAATTCCGGGGGCATGATGACTTTGGAAGATTCGTTCTACCCCTCCTTTTGAACCTACTTGCAGGCTCTAGTTCTTAATCACCCCCCTTTAACTACCCCTTGGACCTCGCTTAGTATGACGGATGTGCATCCCTTGATTGACTTTTCCGTTGCTGCAAAGAAGTATTATCTAGCACTATTTGGGTAATATGTACAGTATACAGGGGACTGTCTAGCTCTCCTCTAATAATTGCTGGGACACTGTTCCTGACTTTTAGCTGCATTCGTCCCGTCACGCCACAGGTGGATCATGATATCCTGATTGTAGACGGCAACCTCTTCGGCAAACCTGACACTGCCGAGTTATGATTCCGAGCCCCTGATAATGATCCCTTCAACCGGAGAGCGGGAACCGCGGCAGGGGAGAGGACACCAGAAGTGCGGGGAGCCGGGGCAGTAGTGCGGGGCCGTGGAAGAAGTGCGGGGGACGGAGTACAAGGACTTCTATATATTAGACATACTGGATGGCTTTCTTGTATCATCAAGTGTCTTTGAGATTGCTCAGATTATCAGATAAGCTCTAAGCCTACAACACAAAATGGCGAACGAAAACGATCATGCTACGGCCGAGGTGAACGGTTCCAATGGTATCAACAGTTCCAACGGTGTCAATGGTTCCAATGCTACCAACGGCGCTTCGGGCTACCAGTACTCCCGCCAGTACCTCGGTAAACCAAGACCAATTCGCATTGTTGTAGCTGGTGCAGGAGTGTCTGGTATTGCTGCCGTCAAGCTATTCAAGGAGAAGTTCGTTGGGCAACCGGTAGATTTGCAAATCTACGAGAAAAACCCGGATGTAGGGGGAACCTGGTTTGAAAACCGTTATCCAGGGTATGCATTATTCATTCTATGGTGGAAAGCTTTGAGAAATAGATTGCTAACCTAGACAAGTTGTTCTTGCGATGTACCGGCACATTCGTACACGTATTCTTGGGAAGGAAATCCTCGTTGGTCAAAGCCTTATGTTGGCTCCCCCGAACTCTTCAGCTATTTTAAAGGTCGTGCGAAGGCATACGGTGTCTTTGATTATACCAAGTTAGAGCACCGTGTGGTAGGTACAACTTGGGACGACAAGACGGGACAATGGCAGATCGAGGTTGAAGATATCAAAGCGGGTAAAAAGTTCCTTGACAAGGCTGAAGTTTTTATCAACGCTTGTGGGTTTTTGAAGTACGATTTTCCTTTCCACTCTTCGGCGACAGTCTAGCTAATGTGGTTACCAGTACTTGGAAGTGGCCTGATATTCCTGGGCTAGAAACTTTCAAGGGACACATGGCACATTCTGCTAGATGGGACGAATCCTACTCCTTCAATGATAAGGCTGTGGCAGTCATTGGAAGCGGTTCCTCTGCAATTCAGATTGTACCCAAAATACAACCCAGTTGGTCCACCTTATACTCCGAACATTTACATCTCCTAACTAGAGAGCAGTTGCTAAGAGCCTGATATCTTTCAACCGTTCGAAGACCTGGATCAGTCCCGAGTTTGCGGAAGACATTGCTGCAAGCAATAGGGATGAGACATTCACAGAGGAGCAACAAGCTGCATGGGAGAAGAACCCACAGGAATTCCTGGCGTATCGCAAGAAAATTGAAGGAGCTATGAATAACTTCTTCGACATGCAGTTTAAAGATTCCGAAGCCCAGAGAGTGGCATTTGAGGTGACTACCAAGAGGATGAGGGAGCGCCTCACAAAAGAGGGGTTGGCCGAGAAGCTTATTCCTGACTTTGCTTTTGGATGTCGCCGGTAAGAACCCTAGTGCTATATCATTTGGGACATAGAAGAGACTGACCATTTAGACTGACACCTGGACACGGTTATCTCGAAGCGCTCTCTGCGGACAACGTCGAGGTCAGGACTGATCACATCGCGAAAATAGTTCCAGAAGGAATTGAAATGGTGGACGGCACAGTCTTCAAGCTAGATGCCATTATCTGCGCCACTGGCTTCGATACAAGCTTCTGTCCGGCTTTTCCAGTTATTGGAAAACATGGCAAAGACTTGAGAGATGTGTGGAAGGAAGAACCTCGCTCTTATCTCTCTGTGGCTGCTAGTGGATTCCCCAACTATTTCCGTAAGAATGTTCCTCCTACATGTAGAATGCATAGGATTGCTAACCAGTGCTTGTTTGGTACGAAAAGTTACTAGCGGGCCCAACTTCCCTCTTGCGAATGGATCTCTTGTCCCTTGCCTCGAACAATGCATTTCCTTTGCTTACGCGGCTGCTCGGAAGATTCAACGAGAGGGTATCAAGGGATTGTCACCGAGACAGGAAGCTGTCGATGAATTCCAAGAACACAAAGATGCCCTCATGAAAGATCTAGTATGGAGCTCTGGTTGTCGATCATGGTACGTTAGGAGCTCTGCTATTCCCAAGTTATTATGTACATAGAGCTGACAGAGATGCAGGTATAAGAATGGCAAGATTGATGGGAAAGTGTGGGGTCCATGGTGTGGATCCACGCTGCACTTCCTCGAATTGATGGCAGAGCCACGATGGGAAGATTTTGAGATCGAATATGTGTCACCTAATCGCTTCCAATACCTGGGAACTGGAATGACGGAAATAGAAGAGAAAGGCGGAGATCGCGCATGGTACTTAGCGCAACCCGGAGCTGCTTGAGCGTTGAGCGTTGAGCCTTATAGCTAGATTTCATATCCTTCTTATATAAACCCAGTTCCACACTACAATATCTGATGGGTCTCTTATCATGATCTAGTGATTAGTCTAACATGTGATCAGAGCCCAATAAAATTTGGTGTTGTCCCCAAAGTAAAGGTCGAGTTATTAGAGCAGGTCCGGCTCTATTTGTACAAGAACAATACTAACATAGTCTGATGTAGTCTGATATAGACCTTGCCTATGTAATATGACCTTAGCCAGAAGAAGTTAGGCAATTTGCAGAATTTGCAATATTGGCATATATAAAATAATATATAGTATGGTATGGCATTGATATGATATTTATTTTGGCTATCTAGTAATAGACACCTAACTATATATACCAGCGAATAGTTGCATCATTCTTCACAGTTACTTTCTAGGTCAGTTCGAGGATGGGTTCCTAAAGTTGAGGCGGGACAAACGATTTGAGAACCTCACTGGGATGGTTCATGTACCAGCTGCCATCGATTAGTTTTTGCAAGTAAGAGGGGGCGGGTAATCCTTACGCCTTATCTTCACCCTGGTGATGCAACTCCTCCTGCATAAACCCGCTGGCTAACCATGCAAACTCCAGCTCTGGCTCTGGGCAACGACTCGTCCATTCAAAATCTTCGTACCGTGGAAGCCTCAGCAACTCGAAATAATGCAATCGAGAGCCAGGATGGAATGCATGTAACGGTCCATCGGCGGTCCCGTCTTTGAAGGAGCTGTGGCAGCCACAGCCCCACACGGTCTTCTGCAGCCAGGCAAACATATGTGCCTGCCATGCTTTTGCCTTCCCGGCTCTCAGCAAGAACGAGCTGTAATTCTGCGTTTGAAGTTTATTGATTATGTCGCAGATGTAGAGGGTGACCCGCTCAATGGACGGCAGAAGACTGCCGTGACCGACAGGACTACCCGGTCCCAGGTACACGAAATAGTTTGGCATGTCATTCGCAATAGCTGACAGATAGCAAGCTGGATCTTCCTTCCACTTCTTTTGTAAGTCGACGCCGTTTTTGCCGATAATGGGCCAACGTGGGGTGAGCGACATGTCAAACCCGGTGGCGCAGATAATGACGTCGAATTCCCGTTCGGTACCATCAGTAGATTTGATACCATTCTCCGTGAAATTGTCCAACTCGCCCCAGACAATCTCGCAGTTGTCGGAGCAAAGAGCTTCCAAGTACCCAGTGCCAGGCGTCGGTCGCCGACAGCCAACCGGGTAACTAGGTACCAGTTTTTCTCCCAACTCGGGCTTTGGCGACAGCTTCTGAAGCATGTCTTGAACAGTGAAATCCCAGGCATCTTGTTGTGCCTTAGTCCCCTGAATAAAGAATGGGAAGCCGTCATTTAGCTCGTTCTCGACAGCTTTGCGATATTCAAGGTATTCATCTGCGTTCTTGGCCCAGTAGGCCTTCTGCTCTTCGTCGAACTTGAGGTTTATCCCATCGGGGATAAATTTTGAGCCTAGGTTGGCTGTGACCCAAGTGGGATGGCGCATGTAAACAGACAGAGACTTGGCTACCTTTTGAACGGCTGCCGTGACCTGAATCCCGCTGCTACCATTTCCAATGACGGCAACTCTCTTGCCTCGCAGATCCAACTCCGGATCATAATTGGCACTGTGGACCATGACGCCCTTGAAATTATGCCTGCCGGGAGTCTTAGGCCATCTCCAGTGATTGAAAAAACCGCTGGCATTGATAAAAACATCACATTCTTCCACGATATCGTCCCCCACCTCACCGTCGGTGATGCCGTAAGATGACACGACATTGCGGCGCCCGTCCGTGTTCTTGCTGAGGACTTGCCACTTCTGCTTATCCTCAAGCCAACGCGCACCCACAACTTTGCGGCCTGTCGTTATGTATTGCCTGAGGTTGTACTTGTCCGCAACATCCTCCATATACTGCAGGATCTCAGGACCAGTCACGTAGTATTGTGACCAATTCGGATTGGGAGCCCACGTAAACTGTAATATAGTCAGTGACTGAACTTTTATAGCTGGGTGGCTGGAGCAGTATGACATACTAAATAAGCATGAGCGGGAATATCACAAGCGCAGCCCGGATACCGGTTTTCAAACCAGGTACCACCCAAACCGCTGTTTTTCTCCAGGATTTGTAGATCGATGTTTTTCAATTTGCCAGTCTGGACCTCATGTGCAAACGATAGAGCACTGGCGCCGGCGCCGGCAACAATAACTTTCAAACGGCGCGGGGCCAGAAATGGAAGCTTTGATAACTCATATGCAAGAGGGTACTTCCTGTAAGCTTCTGTAGCTTCGATCGGTTTGGGTCTTTCGGATGCTCCGTCTGCTCCGTTTGAATTGGTGTCAATGGCCATTGTTGTCTAGTTTGATCTGGGTTGAGTGGTTGGCTTTGCTATCCAGATTCTTTTCCCCTAGACATTCTTAGGAAATCACTTATAGGACCCATTTCGATCTTGAGAAGCTTCATGCGTCCGGGCTTCGGTAAATCTATCCACGGCGATACATCTCCGGCATGGCGGGGTGGTGGCACCGTGTGCTGTAGTCTGGAGAAATCCATCTGCGGGACTCTACCAACCGAGTTGGCTCGGCATTGTCAATGTCGGGTCGGAGATGTGTTTGTTATCAAGCAAACCTCCGGAGCCAGCAAGCCAGAGACAACGGAGATGAATTATGACTCCGATATGAGGTTCCGTCAGCGACTCAGCAACGGCTGGTTGTATTCAAAGATCTCTATTTGCGTTAATAATTTTTTTCGGTAACTTTGGTAGACCATTCTTCTGTCTACTATCTACTTTTTGGAAAAGCTTGCTCATCAGAGCCAGATCTAGGGATAAGTACCATATTTGGAGGATATCTTATTAGAAACTAGTACCATGTCACAAGCACTGGGAAGGAGAGATTTTCTAGACTCCAAGCTACTGCAAAGAATAATATTTGTTAATAATGAGATCAATAATTATTTGTTCAATGACAAGAGTATTTGATCAGCCCCTTTTTTCCCCCATGAGCCCCCTTAATTAAGCGATATCGACTACCCCCTTTCAGGGGGGACAGATAGGTACTGTACTAGCGCCTCGCTTACGACCTACCATTATAGTCACTATGCGGGGCCATAGCAACCTTGATCCTACCTCCAGCATTTCCGTTCTCCCTGCATAACGTCCTTAAAATCAAAGACGAAGCACATAGGAGCAAAAACCAGACGCCAACTCCCTGCTTACACCGTTGAACTTCGAGGTTCGATCACCTTCAATAACTTGACCACCTTGAATCCTTGAGTAGAGCTCTACTCGAGAAGTGACTGCGGGTCCCTCGGGTTCAAACGCACATCCAACCCCGTCTGGACCACCAACCAGCCAGGGCGCAACTTCCAGCGCTTCGGATCCACCAATTCGACCTCGTATCTCCTGAAAAACTCGGTGATAAACTTGGTCAGTTCGAGCATCGCGATGTTCTTGCCAATACACAGCCTTGAGCCGCCGCCAAACGCAAAGCTGAGGTTCTCCATCCTCCGGACCTGCTCCACATCCTTGTCCAACCAGCGATCTGGCCGCCACTCGTCCGCGTCCTCGCCATAGAGATCTTTATCCCTATGTATGGTCCATGCGTTGCATCCTACCACTGTGCCCTCAGGGAGGAGTTTGCCCGCGATCTCGACGCCCCCTTCCGGCACGTCGCGCGGGATCAGCTGGCCCAGCGCAGGATGGTAGCGCAGGCATTCCTTGATGCACGCTTGGAAGAAGGGCATTTTAAGCCCCTCACTCCAGCGGATGGGGTCGTCGTAGTGCTCATCCTGCGGGCGCGCCTTCAATGTGGCTTTGATCTCGGCCATGAAGCGCGTGTATGCGTCTGGATGCACCAAGATTTCATAGACCAGTGAGCGCAGGATAATTGCGGTCGTGTCAGAGCCGGCGCTCACATTGGTGTTGGCGTACTCTTCGAGTTGTTCCTCGTTCATGATCTCCGGATACTTGTCGCGCGCTTGGAGAAATCGTGTCACGAAATCTGGGCACGAGCTGTCCGGGTTCTTGAGATGGGACCGGATCTGCTTTACGGTCCAACGCGTGATATCTCCGGTTGGCCGAACCCACCGGAGCAATTTGTTCTTGACCCGGAGGTACTCATCAATGGTTGGCAGCTGTCCCATCTATGTGCTTGTCAGGTAGTGCATATGACGGCGCAGATGACAGACACTCACCATGCCAATGTAGTCCATTGCCTGGCCTGTATAATGCATCATATTGTCTACGTCGTATCCCGATTCTAGGAATCCTAGGCGTTTGCTGAAAGTCATCTCACCACTAGTACAACCTCGTCAGCAGGTGAAGGAAGAAATAACGTGGAAGGAAAACTTACATGATGTCAAAGGCGTACATCTGCAGCCACCGATCGAGGGGACACACCTCCCCCGTTTTGGCGAATCGTTCATTAACAATTTTCATGAATGCCTTGGACGTGGAATCCACTAGCGGCTCGAACTCCACCAGCGTGCTCATCGCATAGGCGTGTGCAACGGGCCGGCGAAGCCTCGCATGCTGCTGCTCATCCATCTCGGAGGAGAGGTTCTGGACAACTTCGCCCGTCTTGCTGGTCTGAAACTGGCTTATGTAAAGCCGACTCTAAACCTCAATTAGCCCTGGCCAGTACGTGTACAATGAGGGGGCTTTTAGCGCGTTCTACGGACCTTGGGGAAGACACGTTTCCATCCATAGATGATGCGGATCGCCTCTGGATCTGAGACAGAGACGGTGTTGGGACCCAGCCGCAAGAGAGGGGTGTTGTACTTGCGGTGAAGCAAGTAGTCTTGATTTCCCTTCCTGCGAACGCAGTGGAAGAATAACCAAAGGTCGGACAGAGAAGCCAGAAAAGGTCCAGGTATGTCTCTGAGAACAGGCTTGTAACGGTTGCGCGCAAGGCGAAGAAGAAGCCCGAAGGTGAAAATGTATAGCCAATACTCTTGAGCAAGAACGACGCAATCGTGAAGAAGTCCCATTTTGCTCTTCTGCCTTCCGGTTCTGTTTCCTTGTTCTTCTCTGCTTCTCTCGTGGAACGCTCCTCAATAACCTTTGACTTATCCCATTCAAAGAGTAAGGCATCCAAAACCGGGATAGATAGCTGCCCTGCTCCTCAACATTTCGGATAACATGATTCCTCGGGTTTCAAGCCCGTATGCTGCGTTTCTCCCGCTGTGTGCCGAATTCCACTCCCTCACGGGTTCGCCTTCTCCATGTAGCGGAAATGGGACGGTACTACGGAGATGTAAATCCCGTTACTCCCGTATACCGAAAATTGCAAGTGCATTGACCATGAGGAAAGATCCCGAGGGCAACTAAGCACAGTAAAGTACTGGTGTCTTGGAAACTTAAAGCCCATCCATTACATCTGAGCCTTCCTTAAAACACACAGAAAGTAGAAACGGCGACTTTCCCAGGAATACTGATCAGTCCACTCAACAAATCATGTCGTACAGAGATCTAAAGGGCAAAACATTCATTGTGACGGGCGCTGCCTCTGGCATGGGCCGCACGACGTCCCTGTTCTTGATTAACCAGGGCGCCAACGTGGGTCTTCTCGATCTGCGGAAACCCGACAACGTCCTCGCCGAGATCGAGGCGTTGGGCGGTAAGGCACTCTCGATTGCCTGTAATGTGCAAGATAGCAAGGCCATGGACGAGGCAGTCAAGGCCGTAGCGGAGCACTTCGGGCGGCTAGACGGCGCGGCCAATATGGCTGGCTACGTGGGAAACCAAGGCCTGCATGGCAAGGGCTACGCGATGGATACCATTGAGGACGAGGACTGGAACATGATGATAGCGACCAATCTTAACGGCGTCAAGAACAGCATCCGCGCGGAGCTGCGCTACATGAAGGGTACCGGCTCGATTGTCAATGCCGCCAGCATCGCCGGCTTATACGGCTTTGCGTACAATGCGCCATACTCAACTGCGAAATGGGGTGTCATTGGCATGACCAAGTGTACAGCGCAGGAAGTGGGAACGCGAGGGATCAGAGTAAACGCAGTGGCGCCGTAAGCTTTTTACTGCTTTGAGACTTGCCAGTCCAGTCTAACAGCAACGCAGGGGTGTCGTTGATACGCCGTTGGTGCATTCTCTAGGAACTTCAAAGGAGGTCTATGATGCAATGATTCAGAAGACTGCACTAAAGCGGATTGCACAACCTGAGGAAGTCACCAAGGTCATTGGGTTTCTGTTGAGTGAAGAAGCGGGATATATCACGGCTTCTGTGAGAAGTTCTATTCTCATTTCTCTGTGTTCCTTGCGCTAATCAGCCGCAGGTTATCAACGTCGATGCAGGATATACCTAGATATTGATGTGTGAGGTGTTTTGAGACTATCACGAGCTCTAACTAGTGAGGCTAGAATTCTAATCTCAAAACCAACAAGGGTTTTATTGTCAGCATCTCAGTAGAAGATCCACTGTGTGCAAGTACAGTTGTGCTCCCACTGCTGTTCGGTTATATGAGCGCCCGCGGTCCCCAAAGCCAAGTAACCGCTCGTCCTCCAGCAGTGCCTAGACCATACCTCACGCCTCCCAACTCTGTTGCTCACTGGATGGTCCGCATAGAGGCCAGTGCCCCAAGGCAAGTTGTGGCATCCCATGAGACTAGTTGACATGCTGTGCCACTCCAGACTGTATTCTGGCGGCAAATCTGGTTCGGTGCGTCCGCCGTCTGCTGTGATGGCTCGGCTTCTCCGGTTATATACTACCGTCGTCTCCCATTTCTTTTTTTCGGTATGTACTATTTTGTACTCGTTCAATGTCGTCCGACGAGCCAGCAATGCTTATCACTTGCATACGTCTCGAGCAGCGACCAGCCATGGTTGGACCAGCGTGGGCATTAGACGCTCAATTCATCCATCTGGGGAGCTTTTTTGGTGCTCCTACGACTTCTTGATGTCTCCATTGGATAAACTGTCTAGCGGCAGCGCCACCCGAACGATCCAGTAACGCTCCCCCGTAAGTATCGAGACTTCGTCTCCGCACTACCCCGCAAGTGTGCACCCCGCAAGTATGCAGGATCCTGGCCGGGACCCCCTGACGTTAAATCCCACTGCAATAGCCGACAACGAACCTCAAAACCAGACATTTACCCCCCTACTTACATAGAGATGCATCTCAATTCATTGATGTTCTGGTTTTCTGGTTTTCTGATTTCTGACCCTCTACGCACGCTTTCCCTACCTACCCTTCAACATGCTTGGAAATAGTCGTGGTGGCGAGCGGCGGTACTCGTCGTCGGCGTGTCTGGCCTGCAGGAAGAGGAAGATCAAGGTATGTGTCCGGCTTTGCAATTCCGGGTCTGTCGAGGGGATATCACGTGATGATTGTCTGACGGCTGCCAGTGTAACAACGATCGGCCTAGATGCTCGAACTGCTCCGTTTACGATATTGATTGCGTCTTTGGAGATGACCGCCGTAGGTGAGTCGGAAAAACGCCACCCATGCTTGGTCTCAGACAGTTCACACATAAGGTTAAAAACAGGACCTCCTCAACCATGAAGTCTATCAATGCACTTAGCTCACGTTTGGATGGCCTTGAGGGGCTCTTGACCGGCCATCGGGCCACTGAAGCGAGGAGGAGCAACCCACCAGCAACTGTGTCATCTCCTAGCACCAGCCTGAATCAACTTTCCTACGGGTCTCGGGTATCCCCTGGAACATCGGGAGCAAATCCAGGACAGTTGCAGAATGCATCCTGGCCCCAGACGGACAGCCATTATGGCGGATCAGATATGGATTACTGGGTTCAGATAGCAGAATGCTCTGGACTCTTGGACCCGGTTGGATCTGAATTGCAAGGGGAGCAGGCAGGTGCTGATGGTGAGACTATCACGGTCCTGGACGATCCCTATGATGGGCCGTTCGTCAGCGTCACGGACAGAGATTCGCGCTCGCCCAAACGCCAATGTCGCCCAGGAGGCTCTCGGACGAACTCGGACACTTCCGGCCAGACGCCACCATCCTTTGGAATCCACAGCGCGACCGACCATGACGGGAAACACGAAACTTTAGAGAATGAGCTCACGGCGCAGCTAGCAAGTCGGCTGGGGCAGTTACAGTTTGCAGAAGACGGCCAATTACGCTATTACGGCGCGACGAGCAACTTGCACATGATCAACCATGGACTGCTTTCCCTATTCGAGCCATCCATCTGCACAATCCGCACGGATGGCGACATGGCGCTACGCCAGCGCGGCCTTGAATGGGCTGGCGACGCTGCTTATGAGGAGCACCTGACAAACCTCTATTTTGCATGGCATAACCCACTATTGATCGAGATTGACAGGGAGATTTATATGAGGGAGAAGAAAGTGTACGAAGCTGGGCATGATACGCCGTACTATTCACCAACGCTGGCCATGGCTATGTATGTTGCATTCATCCTAATCACTCTTCCCATCCAACTGCTGACAATTCCCTGAACGGGAATGAAGACTGGCAGTTGGCGCAGCATATTCGTCACGCCAGCACCCGGGGAATCACGACGATGCCGCAGAGTTCTTTGGCTCCCGTGCAAAAGCTCTGCTGGAGATCGAGATCGACAGCCCTACTCTAGCTACCGCACAGGCGCTACTCATCTTGTCCGCACATGAAGGTGCTAGAGCCCGTGATTCCAGAGGCAGTGCCCCTAATGAAGATGTTTCCTTTCCGGTAGGCTAACTCTCAACAGGCTGGATATATACTGGTGAGGAGGCGAGCAAGCTTCATGTGGCCATTTGGATAGTGACAGCGTACAGGTATGGCAGTGCAAGTTCTCACCGACTTGGGATTGCACCTCAACCTCGAGCATGAGCAGGTAGAGCTGAATTCTACCAACACGACTGGGGATATTGCTGAGCTGCGGAGGAACATATTCTGGGCCACATACTCGGCAACCACGTAAGGACTACGTATTCTCTCCTCCTTCCTACCCTTTCTCTCCATTTCTCTCCTTCCTCGCTGGACTTCCATTACGACACTGTAAATTTTTGCAGGTGATACATCCCTCCCAGCACAGCAAATTGACATCTGAGCAGGCTATGGAGTTCGTACAGCGGGCGTCCGTTCCCCATGAACAACACTCAACATAACATTCCCGAACCTCTACCTCCCACTCGCTATAAATGGGAATACTACGTCGACCGCGCGGAGCAACCACCGCTCCCTCCCGGATTAGATCTGAGCGCCGCGAACATCGTGCCGATGTATATCACGCGCTTGGCGATCAAGATGGGCAAGATCTCGAGCACTCTGTACGTAGACAATGCCGATTCTTACTCTCATTCACGTACCACCGCTGTAGATGCTGAGTCAACAATAGCTACACGGGCCTACCGGAATCGCTGACAGGCGCACACTTGTTTTACGTCGCAATTGATGCGGAGCTCAAGCAGTGGAAGGACTCGCTTCCACACTCGCTGCATGTTGATACAAGCCAAGACTGGCGCTCGAACGAGGGAAAACTCTACCTTCCGATGGTGCTACAGCTTCAGTACGTCGTCTTCTGATTCCACTTATAGTGTCCCCCCAAATCCTCCTTTCGCGCCCTTCTCTACCCCTGACTGAGTTCGTTTAATCTAGCATGCAATACCACGAAGCCATGATCCTTCTGCATCGGCCCTTCATCACCAAAATCCGCAGCTCCCCTGGCTCACCCACACCCACACCAGGAACCCTAGACGCCGCATCCGCATGCACGCACTCGGCGTCCGAGATCTCGCGGCTCTTGGTCCTCTATCGACGCCAATGGGGCCTGCAGCAGATCAACATCCAAGCCGTGCACGTCGTGATGACTGCCGGGATCATCCACGCTCACGACTGCTGCGTGTACTCGGGGACATTGGCGCGTACCGCCCGCGATGGCCTCCACGTCTGCTTGCAGGCACTGGGCGAGATGGGCCAGACGTTCCACAGTGGTAATCGGGGACTGCAGGTCGTTATGAGCTTGCTGCGCGACTGGCAGAATCAGACTTTTGCGGTGAGGAAGAGGGGGTCGAGCTTTCATGGCCATGGCCCTGCTGGCCCTGCTGCTTCGAGTACGGTGGCAGCGTAAGTACAGTAATCACTGGAGGAGTGCAATTACCTACGCTCTGCCTTGGGCTTTTGTTCTGCATTCTAGCGCCTGAGCAGTCAGCTAGTACCGTTGCGAAGTACCTAGGTAATTAATTGATGCTGTTCCTGAACCTAGTAGGTGAGTGGGACAACCAACATACAAGACCGTTGGTTTTTTACATATAAAGGCTGCACATCATGTATACTTAGGTACCTAAATGACAGTTGGTATGATATATCATCGTATTGTGTATTGTACAGGACCTAGGTAGGTACATGTAGGTACATATGTATGTACTCACAATCAACGTGATTGCATGTCCGTACATGATGCATGTACCTGCTGCTCTAGCCAATAGAAGACCCATAATCCGCTTAGTCAGTACCTTCCCCCTTACTATGCAGTGGCTGCTTGCATAAACTTAAAAATCCGTAGTTCAAGAAAAAAGAAAAAAGGTCTGCGGCGACGTTGAGAAAACCCGGAAAAGGGAAATATGGCGGGCAAAAAAAGTAAAAAAGAACGAATGTGATATGCAACTGCCGTGAATCGAACACGAACCTCCACCTTACTCATGTTAATGGAAGGGTGGAATCCTAACCATTGGACCACAGAAGCCATGATCTTGCCGAGCTAGAAGCTTGGCTGCTTGTTGACAGATTTCAGTGAAAATAAAAATATATAGCTTGCATTACACAATTAACCCAATCGGTTCTCACCCTTATGATTACATAATTCAACCGCTACCCCGTGCAAGTCGTTGTAACCTCAACACCAACTACAAGCAATCTGCCGTCACGTCAATTCCTTGCTGTTGAGCATTCTCTCTCTCGACCCAATCTGCAAATTTAGTGTTTTCTAATCCGGAAAAGTAGGCCTTCTTCTGCGAGAGTTCATAGAACCGAAGCCGCTCTGGATATGCAGGCGTCTTGGCTGTTGAAGGAACCCTCGATTCTCGAAGACTCGAAGTTGGTACAATGGCAGCAAAGCCTATGAGATGCATCAGAATCCTATGCATTCGGATACTGACATCTATTTTCAAGTTTGTCCAGCGGGTCAGCTTCCTCTCCTCTGAGATTCCTTTTGTAATACGTCCTAATTTTTGAATTGCGCCTCATATGCCTTGGTCTCGATTACAATCTCTCGCTCTTATTTACAACAGAACTGTATACGCGGGAAGTGTCCGGTCGTGAGAATACAGTGGCATTCAAGCAAACTTACAACACCGCATTCACCCACGCGGTTCTCTTTCTCGATTGAGCGTGGCTCGTTCTCCGTATTGTGCCGTCACGTTTGGGTTGGCCGAGTGGCCACCGTACCGGAGCTATTAGCTCTTAAGAATCATGCTTTACTGTAGTCCACTGAAGGTGAAGATAGAGGGTGAAAGCCGGATTACCCACTAGCCATTGCGACACTGAGAAATGGCGCAGCATCCAATCTACAGTTGATGTATGGAGGGCCATGCTCCAAGACGATGCTGCGGACTCTCTCCCGTCTGACATGCTCTGCAAGCCTTAGGAACTGATCGCTTCCGGCAGGCTCCGGGCGTGGAGTTGCTGGTGTGATGGCGGCTTTGTTCACTTCCTATCACCGATACATTGTCGATGTGGCCATCATGAAAAGGCTCGTACAAGCAAAGGGTCGCTTTTGATTTAGTTATTCGCTTCACTTTTTCTCTTTTGGAAGGAGAGCTTCAGAGGATACGTCTATAAACAGATTCCCTGGTTTCAATTCTACCCCACGTTCTTACAGTACACAGCATACCCTGTACGTACACGGTACAGAGCAGACAGGCAGACAAGACCCTGGACTTCCGCTTCCGCACGACCGTCCTGCGCAGGACGGGCACTATTCTAGCGCCCTCTACTGGGCCAAGTCCTAGGTACTCAGCAGCAGTACACACACCCCCGCGTGGACCCCAGCTTCAGACGCACCCCGCATAACAAGACCCTGCTCCTCCTGTCAATCCTTAGTGTCAAGCCAAGGGGTGTATAGTTGTCAAGCCACTTCTTGTAAATCCGGGGAATCGAAGACTAGCATCTTTCAGGGGAGGGACTGGCGCTATGTGCCAGGGAATATCCAGATCTTTGTTCAGTCATGCAATCCCGTGGAATTGCAATTCCGACTTGCATTTCAGATGAGATATCTACCATTCCAAGCAGTGGCTTGATGCCGATGCAGCAGAAAGAGTCAAGAACGGTTGAGCAGTACTCTGGTCAAGAGTTCACAAGTATAGGGAGAGGCAGCGTCGTAGCGATGGATGTTCAACCTCCCCCCCCCCCCCCTTTTTGGAATATCCCCTTTTGCAACATTAAGGCCATAAGGCTCTTAAGAATCAATCGGCTCTCTTATCGCTGGACTTGAATGACGCGATAAGCGACCCGATGATGCGTACCTTTACCTATTCCCGGTTATTTGCGTCGGTACTTGAGGTAGGGAGCCTTCCAAATCGAAGTATCTATCTCTTGAACTCGAATCTCTTACTGAAGATATAGGACCTGATCTGTCAAGGTATTATTATTATAATAATAAAAGTAATTAGAGTATACCCAGCTAAGGTACATGGTGCGTAAGGTACATGTTGTAGGTACAGGTATGCGTCGGCCGAATATCTACCGAAACTTGATTTGTAATCTAGTGCAGGGGTCTTGGAGGGGTCCTCTTCTACCCCTCGCGACGTTAAAAGATCCAAAACAACCTCCAAACTCTCCCCAGATCACCCCGATTACCTTCAATCAACTTCCTTTCAAAATGACTCGTGTTCTATTAACAGGCAAGTCTCAAGATTTCCCCTCGTTTACCCCGAATCGACGGTGTTATTAAAATATATAAATGCTAACAAGCAACACAGGTGGTAGCGGCTTCATAGCAGCACACGTTCTCGATATCCTCCTCGAGCGTGGCCATTCCGTCGTGACGACCGTCCGCTCCCAAGAGAAAGTAGAGAAGATCAAAGCTGCGCACCCGAATGTCCCAGCGTCGAAGTTGGATTTCCGCATCGTCGAAGATATCGCGAAGGAGGGGGCCTTTGACGAAGCGGTGAAGATTGACGGGCTGGAAGCTGTCATCCATACTGCCTCACCTGTGAGTTTTCCTCAACTGCGAGAGAGAGGGATATAAGATGGGGGGTGCTTGAATAATGGCTGATATTCCTGGGCTGCAGTTCCATTTCAACGTTACGGATACGAAGAAGGACCTCTTGGACCCGGCGATCAATGGTACAACAGGTGTCCTTAAGGCTATCAAGAAGAATGCCCCGACGGTGAAGCATGTGGTTATCACATCGTCCTTTGCAGCGATTGTTGATGGCTCCCGGGGCAACTCCATTCCCGACCACACATATTCAGAGAAAGACTGGAACCCAATCACATTCGAACAGGCCCATCAGAACGCGTCGAATGGATACCGTGCTTCGAAGACGTTTGCCGAGAAGGCTGCTTGGGAGTTCGTTGAGAAGGAGAAGCCAAACTTCACGTAAGTGTCAACTTGATTTTTCTTCCGATCACGGACACTCGTTACCACCAGGGAGTGAAGAAAACTCGAGGTGTTAACAGTCGGATCTTCCTTCTACCATTCATACATACTGACGTCCTGGAAGTCTGTCCACCATCAACCCACCTCTAGTCCTGGGCCCAATCGTCCACTACCTCAACTCGCTCGATGCGCTCAACACCTCCAACCAGCGAGTCCGTGACCTGATCCAGGGCAAGTGCAAGCAGGAGATCCCCGAGACGGGAACCTACCTCTGGGTCGACGTCCGCGACGTGGCTCTTGCGCACGTGAAGGCCATCGAGCTCCCCGAGGCAGCCGGCAAGCGCTTCTTCGTCACGGCTGGCTACTTCAGCAACAAGGAGATCTGCGAGCTCATCCGCAAAGACTTCCCCGCTCTGGAGAAGGAGCTGCCCGCGAAGGATGTCAAGGGAGGCGACTATCCCGCTGCAGGTCTCTACAAGTTCGATAATAGCAGGACGGTGAATGTTCTTGGTATCAAGTTTAGAAGTCTGGAGGAGAGCGTCGTGGATCTGGTCAAGAGCTTGCAGAGCGTTGGTGCTTAGATGATAGATGAAGGGATCTAGAGATGATGATGTCAAAACTTTGATGATATTGGGGTTGTAGTAGACTCACACTGTAATGAATTTACTACAATTACCCCGATTTATCCGGTGGTGGGAGACGATTATATATCAGGATGTTGGGGCGCGAACTACAATATGTGATGTCAGCTGACTCCAGTAAGGAGCATCTTCCAATTATTTTTACCCTTGAACCAAGTAAAGTATCAGACTAAGTATCTCTTGACTTAGGACGCCGAACGTTCCAGGCTCTGTTGCCAACACACTCCTGGTATCGAGACGCTTTTCTCAAAGCATCCTGCAACACACCCAAGTTGTCCAAAGAGGACGATGAATCTATCATCGCCCTCGACAGTGTATATAGGCCCCACCTCATCTATATCGTTCCGGCCCTGAATTTTCAAGCTCGCCAAGCCCATGTCCGTAATCTGTTCCCGGAGACTTCGCATGCTGCCGCCAGGGAGGTCAGGAAGGTAAGGATGGCGAGTATCGAAGTTCTTGTCGTACATGTCGAAGAGCGCCAGGGCGGTGATGTCCGGCCCTGGATACCCTTGGTCGTGTCGCGGTCTGCATCCTATACTGCAGCGTCCGTCTTCATCGACGACGATGCTTAAGGGACCGGGATCAAAAGTGGTGGTCTGTGGCCTGCGAGGATCGGCTGGGGCGGTGTGGATGATGTCGACGTGATAGATGCCTTTAGATTGCTCTTTGGTAAATTCCTCGACGATTAATCGGATTGTGTAGCTGTTGTCTCCACTATCTGGGCCTTTCCAGGCTTGGGAGAAGACAAACGAAGTCTCTTTGTCGATCTGGGTAGATTTATAGTCAGTATCAGCAGGCGAAGGTAGTTTACAATAGACTTGTGGGACTGAGTCTGTGGTGTTCGGATATAGGGATGCTTGCTCTAACTCACCGGGTGAAAAAGTATGGTAGATGCACCCCAAGTTGGAAACCCGCTAAGCTTCGATTGTACGTTTGCTGTATCGAGTTGTTTGAGTGGTCCTCCAATGTGCCAGACCAGAGCTTCGTTAGATTCGGTGATTAGTCCTACTTTATCGTGATATGCGGACATTCGCCGAATACTGCTTGGAAGTCGCACATTCCCCATATAGTTGCGGTTGAAATCCCATGCCATAACGGTATGTTTACTACTCATACTTTAGCCAAATCTTGAAAGGATTGCCAGCTATCAAGTTGATACGTGGCATCTTACTTACGGATGGGATTTCTGCGCGATTAAGAATTGATCTGAGAGCAGCCAGGGCCCTATGGGTTGGCGGTCAGGATCCATAAACACCTGCGGTGATGCGTCTGGGTTCAGAGATAAGACAACAATGGGAGGGGTATCTATTTTGAAGGCTACCCTGCCATGGCTATACTGGGATTCCACAGGATCATCGCTCGAAGCCCCCTCAGAGAAATACCACTCTACGGAGCGGTACTGGCCACGACGTCTCCGAAATCGATCCACAGCTGCGCGTGGAAGCCACTTGCTGGGAGACATCTTTGCCAGCTGCTGGGCTTCACTGTCGAAGGACTTGTAGGATGCTTCCCACGTAGACCGGAAATGCAGTTTGATGACGCCGAGGCAGAAATCGGGGGAGGAGAATCTCTCGTTCCATGCTCGTGAGACTGAGCGGGCTTTCATGATGTCTTCTAGATCAAGGTGCTCGACGACGCACATTAGAAGCTCTATTGGCAGGTGCATACAGATATCCTTATTCATGCCTATGGCATTGAGTCGAGCTCGGAGATGTCGTATCTCTGAGCTTGACAAGCCATGGTCTATGAGGTCATCCAACCTACAGACAAGTTAGGATCCTCAGACCTACATGGGACGAGTGATGAAAAAAGAGTAGTCTTCAGTAGACACCTTGTCAGGGAAGATGCATTCCAACAATCAAGGGACTCCCCGTTGATTAGAAAAAGGGGTTGGCTGGGTGTAGAGATATCCCACATGTGACTTCTGTCACATGTCGGAGTCCTCCAAGGGCTCAATAGATCTGAGAGCGGCCAGATCGCTGATGCATATAGAGCCATGGATACGACCGAGAGACAGGAAAAGAAATATGTTTTGAAATGTTTTACTCACTCGGACCTTCGTGCCAGTACGTCGGGCTTGCCATCCGCGTGCCGCAATGCTCCCAAGGCCGCGGTCAGGGTATTATTCATGATGCTCAGCTATGTCAAACACTTGTTCCCGGGTAGTTGGTTGTGGTTTCTCGAGGTTCGAGTTTATGCGGCGATCTTCTATGCAGGCACTGGCATTTTGACAGGAGGTGAGAGGTGGATGGAATCACATCTATGGTACCGAAAGGAGGGCATTCTCGACAAGGATGTATAATGCCACGACGCGTCTATCTACATGCACACCCCAGAGAGAAGGACAAGAACACGTCTCCGCTGTATGGTCGAGGGATCTTTCCCCGTCGTACAAATAGATGAATAGATTCTTCCATCGGCCTTCTAGTACAGACGGTACATATACACCCAACTACCGAAACAGACACACCGCCTATGGACCCGTTGAACCCGGTCTTGGACGAGTCAGACTGGCTGGATCAGCGGTGGGGGCCGTTGTATATGTGTGGATCCTTCTATCTCTCTCACTCTCTCTCTCAAGCATCCGGCATTCACTGCACACTGCACAGGCCCTTCTGTGCATCATGAAGTCTTGGGGAACGCGGGGCGAAGACTGAATGGGAGCAGAGAGATGCAGGACTCCAGAGATAAACAAAAGTAAATAAACACCTGAGGTACCTGCGCATATCTTAAGTCAGCACCGACATAAAATCACCTGGGGAAGGTCAGGCATATTCGGTAATATATACGTATATATATACACATCGGCCCAGACTCCCCATCCTTATTAGATAAACCCACACCCCCAAACCGCTGTAGGCGTTGGCCCGGGATATGGATGTGCACAGTGCTAGTGGTCGGCCCCTTTCCGATCAGGGATATTATTTACTTAATATATTCTAGCTCCACTCGGACCGCACCTACATCATTCTCGACGCTACCGTAAATATATTAAAATATAATATATACTACTACTGTATACCTTACTTGACCATCCTACCGGCTCACACACATATCCCACCCAGAAAACACTCTCTTCCTGGCCTCAGATCTCCCCCCCCAAACCCGGTCCAGAGAGAGAGAAAGAGAGAGAGAACACGGCCAGAACACTGTCAGAAGCATCCGCCACCGCGATCTTGCGGCGCCCCCATTGTGCCCTGCCTCATCAATCGCAATCGCTTCGGTCGCAAACCTCCAATTGGGACTCGCAGAGTTGCAGCAGCTCTGGGTCGTGCTGCGAGGCTGACTGGCAACCGGGCTTGCGGGAAACCTTGTCGCGGATAGCTGCATATCAGCAATAGCAGAGGACAAAGAAGAGCTCCCTTCATCTTCAAAAGTCGCAGATTCAAGAGCCGTCTGTCAATCGGGATGCAATGAGGTGTGCTCCCCCCCTCTGTGAAGCCGATCAAAACATCGACTCGGCAGCGTGGCCATGCCTTCTGCGCAAGAACAGCCTAACATTTCACAGGTAGCACGGCGATGGACTCATCGGATGAGCGAGCGCAACGGAGTCCCTTCTTGAGCGATCCAGATCCAAGCCAAACGCCTGCTCGAACCGTGCCCATCCTCAAGGCGCCCAACGCCCAGACCTCTGACCCATCTCCGGGGGATCCAATGGAAATCACACCTCCTGCGACAGCAACGATGGGCCCTCCGGCCAGGACGAGTGAAGAGAACGAGACAAACGGCAACCATGAGCAGCATGCGGGCATGGGCGATCAACCAAATACAGGCAGTCTAGCAGGACCAAATGCTGCGGCGGCAGCGGCAGCTGGTGCCCAGCAGCCAAAGGTTGTCCAGACGGCGTTTATTCATAAGCTTTACAAGTAAGCATGATGATACTGGAGGTGTATCTGTTGCGCCAGTGCTGACGAATCGATAGCATGTTAGAAGATCAAAGTATTCAACATTTAATATCATGGTCAAATTCCGCTGAGAGTTTTGTCATGTCACCATCCAATGACTTCTCGAAAGTCCTCTCGTGAGTGCAACCATCTCGAGGCCGAGAACCTTGCTCACATTACACAGGCAATACTTCAAGCACACAAATATATCGTCTTTTGTCCGACAATTGAATATGTATGGGTTTCACAAAGGTTTGTTGAACCAAGCACAGTGCATAGGTCGCCAACGCTAATAGCCCCCAAAGTTAGCGACGTCTTTCACACCGGTTCCCCTGAATCCCCGCTGTGGGAATTCAAGCACGGCAACGGTAACTTCAAGCGCGGCGACCTTGTCGGTCTTCGAGAGATCAAACGCCGAGCGTCACGACATGCTCTGGTTCATCGAGATTCATATTCGGCTCCAAAAGTACCGCTCTCCCAGCCAGGCACACCTGCAGAGCCGATACATGGGATACAAGATTCGACGGAGTCGAGATTGACCAATCTTGAACATACTTTGTACGACATGCATGCAAGGCTTCAGAGAAGCGAGGATAATTCGCAATTCCTGCATGTCCGGAATCAGGTCGTGCTGGAAGCTCTATCTCGGTCGCTGCAGCTGAATCACGAGATGTCAAGGGCAATCCTTTCGCTCGCGCCTAGCCCAGATTCACCGATACATCGTGATGGCAAGTCCACGTCATATTTTGTTCCTGGAACCTTGCTGATTCAAAACTAGTTATCAATATGCAAGCAGAAATCCAGCGCCAAGTCGAGGTCATCCGTTCGATGGAAGAGTCTCCCGAGCCTCCTTTCTCAGGCAGCCGGCCGTATTTCTCTAATCTCTCCCTGGATAATGCGCCTATTTCTCCCCGTCAAGTTCCACAGGATGATCCGCGTCGAGCACCACCACCAGCAATGGGGGGCACTCCCCTGCGGAACAACTACTATCGGCCACCCGTCCCGTCACACCTTTCCATCACCCCACGCAGATATGGCTCGATTGGAGCGAACCCGTCGCAGTCTTCGCCAAACTCATATCGCCCTCAGGCCCCGCCACCACCTCCACCGCCACATCCTCTTGCTTCCGCAGCGTCACCACCTTCAAACCTCCTCAGGCGTCATACCTCGGCTGATATCCGCAACGTCCAAGGCTGGCAAGCAAACCCGTCTCCGTTCGCCTCTGGCCAATCTTCCTCTGCATGGCCGTCGTCACCGAAACGTGGGCCGACCACGGTGAGTGAGGACCAGCGAATTCGTGACAGCTTCAGCTCCTACTCCCTAGCGAATGCCTCTCAAGGCAGGAATGATACCTCGAGACCTACAACTCCTCCATTTGGCAACGGCAATACGGCGGATCACCTGAATAGCTGGACATGGAGCGGATCGCGAGATAAAGGGCCTCCTGGACTTTTCAAGGATAGCTCTGGACCTCCCACGAGACGAGGAAGCATGGCTCATATTCTGAACCCGGCGGAGACGGCCGAGCGGGATGAAGAACACGAAGAGGGGCTAAGAGAGGAAGACAGAAAGAGGAAACGGCTACAATAGACAGCCGAGTGCAAATCATCGGCTCGAAATTATCGGCGTCTGGATAACCTCCCATCATTCCTCGCCGTTTTACCGGAGGCTTTGATTTCCTCCTTCATATGATATTCTTGTACATGAGCCAGACAAACCGGAGTGTGCGGAACCCCGCATTTATTTGCATTGTAGAAATAGGCCCCGCCACCCCGTCAAAAAACACGGAGGACATTTAGCATTTTAATCGTCGAGGATAATAGTAAAGAGAGATGGAAAGGAAGAGGAAGGTATCGAAGGACGGACCTCTTTCTCCCATGCATGAAGGAAGGAAAAATTAGGACGACAAACTTGGAACTGACTGGATTTGGTTCGGGAGGGAGGGAGATACCAAAAATCTGGATAATTAACTTCATTGCATGTATCGACAGAAACTCCATACCCCCTTATCGTGGGTTCGTGGTACTGTGTCGGATTGAGTGAGTGAGTGAGTGCGTGAGTGAAGAAGAATAATTATAAAAATATATATATATATTTTCGATCTGTCTATCTCTCTCTTTCTCTCCCTATCTCGCTCTCTTTCGCTCCCGCTCTCTCGCGGGAAATAATGAATTCCTGTACAACGAAAAGAGAAAAGGAGAGAAGGGATTCAAAGGTACTATGGGTCGGAGTCTTGCTTGCTTATTATAAGGATATTCCTATTCTGAGAGCTTGCTAGATGATAATCGATCGATCGATCGGTTCAATCGGGTCCATGATCGTTGGGTTGCGCCGCTTGTGGAAAGAAAGGGCAAAGAAAGAGGGGGAATCGCTAAATGACCGATGGGCAAGTCGCTTTCCAATAATAGATGGGTGACAAGATAAAAGGGATGAGATGAGGACTTAGAGAAGAATAATATCAAAAGCACGATTTTATTCACCAAGGAATTCATCACGATCGTGTTGTCACCTAGGAGACTTGTGGCATGGCATGGCATGGATATTTTTCAGTAGCGAATTCTGGAAAAGCTAAACGTGTGTGTGGGGGGGATTGATTGAAGTGCGTTAAGAATGAAGGGTTTATCGACGAAGAAGAGTTTCGCTGTTGCAATAAGGTTCTCATGCAGTTTATAGATGGATATAGGGCATAATATTATGTCCTAGTGATGAACTGAAAAGCGAAGAAGAAGAAGAAGAAGAAGAATAGGAGCCCAACCCTTCCCAAACCTCGAGCGCACTACATATCTGGCGTGTCAGCCAACTCCTGGTCCACCTTCGCTCTCAAATCCATGATTGCGCCCCAGACGGCCTTGACCCGGTCGTCAGTGGCTGCGGCCGCTCCGAAGAGAGCGGTCATCCTATCCTCGTGCCACCTAACCTTCTCCAATTTGAGTTGTTGACGCAAGCGTTTCACCTTGCTGATTTCCTCCTTCCTTCCTGTGCTTGTTTCTGGGAACATGAACCCGAAGTTGTCACCTGTCTCCCTCTGGCCATGGTAGATAGGGATAAGCCCGAACAGGTAGCAAAAGAATCTGTACGTGTTCCACTTCCATAACTCTTCCTTGCCTAGCTCACCGGGTATTGTTCCTGGAGGCTCCACGTCCAAGTGGTGATGGTCAAAGTTCGGCGATTCTGTGGGCCAAGGTATGAGGTTTAGGCCGCCAGGGGGAAGCGAGTGTTTGTTTGACCGCTCTTGTATAGCAAGCCATTTCTGGTTGTATTGCTTGAGTGTCTTTTCTGCCTCGAGGTCAGAGATTGGATTCTGATCCTTCAGATGGTCATCGTATGTATTGAGAGAATATACCCCCGGAGTTGCAAAGATGTTGGGCTGGTTGTTGTGAGGGTAAATCTCGTCTGGCAAGATTGATTCGTGCCTGAAGTTGGAGAACTCATATGTTTCTGACGCATTGGTTGTATCGACATCGTCCATTCCTCGTTCGATGTCGTCGAGCTGACTGATCAGACCTCCTTCTTGTACCTTCAACCTTTCATGGCCACGCAAGATGTGTGCAATTACACCATCATTGTACGCCTGCGCGCTGACCATCATGTCTAAATGGTAACGCCGAAGCTTTCGGACGGCTGAAAGCTCAGTGGTGATGCGAGCATGCTCTGCTGCCAGGTCCACGTCTAAGGTGTCCAACTCGGCCAAATCGCCAGTCAAAGGAATGGCGGTTGAACTTTCGTTCCATGGTCCCCGGGATCCTCGAAACCAGCCTCTGGGGGTGATGCCTCTGACTTTTCGGCCAAGTGCGTCCCGTTCATCGTAGGAATCACGGAATCTTGGTTGGCCAACGTCATCGAAGATAGATACTGAGTCTCGAGGCGATACACAGCTACTGCAAGGACAAATCGGTCGACTTGAGGTTGGAAACCTATCCGCAGTTTCCCATATCTCAGTGGACTGGCGAGGTTGATAGTGTGGGCGGAAATTCCGGTTCCACCAGGACCTTTGGTTAGCAGCCATTTCTTCTGCGTAGTTCTTGCAGAATGCGGATGAATATTGAAGACCATCCGAACATCCTGTTCCTTTTGGTAAGCTTTCACTCTTCTCTTTATCTACTAGACGGGCCATAATAACCTGCTTCCGCACTTTCTCCATATAAACTATGCACAATGTGAGGTGCCGTGACGTCCATGTTCATCACCAATAATTGACCCCCGTGATGGTCCACGGCATCATTGGAATTTTCGCCATGCCGTACTGCCGTGTGACCCCCACGTATTGGATGTATAGGGGGTTGAACTCGGTAGGGGAAGTTTGGATTATCCTGACGACTTCGACGCTCTATTATCGAATAGCACGGCAGTATTTGCACGATCTCATCCTCCTCATTTGACATATTCATGATGTACAGAATACATTCAGCATTTGGGTAACAGTCAACGAAGATCTGCAAATTCATGAAAGAAGAAACCATACAGCGAATGCTTTATATGAAACTGGTTGTGGGACAACCGACAACACGAACATGAGCAAGGGTGATGTTAACGACCACGGCTAAGTGGACTCCCCGGTCTTAGCAAACAGATGCACATCATTCAATGCTGTCACGACACAATGCCGGACACATATATGAGCGGGCGGCAGCCTGCACCTTCGGGTCCGCAATGGCGGGACGTATTGTTGATAAGACTTCCACAACAGCGGCACAACACCCTTGTTTGTTATAGTTTGTCATACTGGACTTGCGGGCTCGCTCGGCAAGCAACATATAAATCATTTGGACCTCGAAACTAATCGGGGTACATAAATCCACGAGGGTAACGTGGAGTTCATGCATGCACTTGCTATGCAACGCAAATTGGTGTGACCCCGAAAGCTCTTCGGCCACTTATAAGTTCAATATTTTGATCTGTAACATGCTGTAGTAACATCGTGTGAACTTGGAGTAGGGGAACTCGAGAAAATAGGGGGGAGAACATAAGAGACATGGCAGGTCAGTCAACTCCTCGTGCTCCCAACGTCCTTGCGTCGAAGGGCAATGCGCATGAGATATTCTAGCACATATCCATCGGGATCGCAACGTCAGGTATGCATGAGGGTACAGACTGAAAGCTGGGATCTGAGTGGTGGTGGCGGTGGTAGTTGGGGAAAACCGAGACGACGGATGGGCATTGCGGTTTGACTGTGTGCTTGTAGGTGTGGCTGGAACCTGGAGGTTCGTCACATAGCAGCAGACGATGGGAATCATCAACACCCAACACACCAAATACAATATCATCTTCGTGCACTTGAAAAGTATTTGTCTTGATAATTATTCAGAATAATGAGTAGGTACCTAGGTAGGTTCAAAACTTCAAGGATACTTCGGTTATGTTCTAGCGGGGCGCCACACATTAAGGTCTGTATTTCACTGGCCAGCACGAGAGGAAGAAGAAGAATGAGATAAAGCCAATTACTTTGCCTACTTTCTCGATATCTGAGTAGTGTATGGGGATTGAGATGTGGGAATTTCGTACTTTGTCCTGTAAGTCTCGGATCGGTTGTAGCCTTGAAGCTCTTTATAGAACCCGCTATGCCTTCTTCACATATCAATCATGCATGAAGTGATTTTGATTCCACTTACTTGGAAAAAAACACCTGGGCCTAACGTATCTCTATCTAAGGTATTCTTATGTCTATATGTGCCATCACATGACCAATCTCGTGACCATTTGTAGATACTTATGCAGGTAATGTTTAGATGGTAGGTAAGGACCGTAAGGTAAGGTAGGTAATGCACCTTATGGTGGGCAACAAACTACAACTGGCGACTAAAATACAAAACAAATGAATGAATTATCGCTGTTTTCAACATCGTCAGTAGGAAAGCAATCGCAGGTACTATCTGAGTCACTATTGTTCTTTTCATGCCGCATATATTGAGACAAGGTGCTCCAATTGTACTCTAGAATGTCCTTTGCAGATATTGAATAGCCTTTTCTATTGAACAAGCTTTCCCTTCCCGTTGTCCCCTATCTCCTATTGTCTCAGCACTCGCGTAGTAAATCATGTACCGAAGGGGATCGAATATGGATTTCCTGCTCTCTTCCGAGCCAAACTTCTACCAAACTTCTACAGAATTCAACGCATCACCACTGGAGCGTTTCAAAACACAACTCATCTGCTTCCCAGCTGAGACATCTGCAGCCATGGCGACTCTTCATCAAAACGGTTCAATGCCCAATTCATACTCCTTCCCTCCAGGCACTCCCGCCATCCACGCCAATGCCTTCAATAAATACCATAAGATAAGCAAGGCACTCTTCGTCCCTGGCTATTACCACCAATTCATCCTGCCCACCATCCCAGAGAAGGCACAATTGCCAATGGACCCCGTCAACTGGGAGTTTGGTATCCGCCCCAACCGCCCCTTCGAAGTCCTTCCCAATGAGCAGAGACAGCGCGCAGCTAAGAAGTGGCCAAAACGCCCGGAATCCCGTCGCGAGGGTCCCACGGCATACTACCTCGAGCAGCTCCATTTCTGGGAGGATGGGCCCCTTCCCGCGGAGGATGAAGAGGTCGGTGAATTACACCCGTCGGGGCCTCTCAAGAGGTGGTTCGAATTCACCCTGGATGTCTGCCTCTTCATCCTCGCGGTTGTCAGATTTCTGGTGTTTCTGGTGTCCGAAATCGCCACGGTGTTGTTGGCCACGGGAAGGAAAATATGGAAGGATGTGTTTGGGAACCTTACCTGGGAGCTCGTTGTTGCGATCTTTTTGGCCACCCAGATCGTCAGGTTTTTGCCTGGGATGGCGGGGAGTTTGGATGTGGATGATGGAGGGAGATGGAACGAGGCGCCACCACCACTCTATGTGTTGATGATCCCATTCCAAGCCTCAACAAGTTGAGTAAGTTGTCAAATGATGATGGCGTTTGGAGACAAAAGCTGACAACTGGCAATCAAAGCCACAGTACCAGTTTCGGAGTGGCGTGTTTGTCGGGGTGGGGGATGGGGGGTGGGAGTTTTGGATTTCTGTTCGAGCTGGAGTTTTGGAAGGGCCGTCGGGCTCAGCTTGTTCCTAGTGGGCCAAGCCTGTACTTGATTGATAGTTTTCTGATGCACAATAAACCTAGCTCAATTATGGAAGGACCTACCTGTTTGCATACCTGGTTGTTGCAAATGCACGCGGCTTGTTGATATACTATGAAGATGAACAAGAGACACTGCTATGGTACAGAAACTTCATGCATTATGCATACTAACCCATCATCTATAGGCGAGGGAATCAAGACTAGAATTAGAGGCCCTAAAGCGTAACCATCGCTCAAATACCGAGAGAGAACTCGACGCCAACATCAATATCACGAGCTAATGTGTATTAGTTTTGATCGTTCAAGGTTGTGAGAGAACACTTACCCATCTTCACAACCTTGGAGAACTGCACTGCCTTCTCAGCCGCACTTTGAAGATCATCAATAGAGAAAATCTTCAGGCCAGACTCGTTGATCAACTGGTGCGCCGCCTCCATGTTTGTTCCTTGCAATCTAGCAATAATTGGGATTCTCAGATTCATACTCTCAACAGTGCTGATAAGACCCTTTGCAATGGCATCGCATCGCACAATACCACCGAAGATGTTAACAAAAATAGCTGTAACCTTAGGGTCACTTGTGATGAGGGTGAATGCCTCTCTGATAGCTGCTGGTGTGGCACCACCTCCGACGTCAAGGAAGTTGGCAGGCTCTCCTCCATTAAGCTTGATGATATCCATCGTTGCCATGGCAAGACCAGCACCGTTCACGAGGCAGCCAATGTCACCTCCAAGCTTAATGAAGTTAAGGCCGGACTCAGCAGCGCGAACCTCCTCAGGATCCTCCTGGGTGGTATCTCGCAAGGAGAAAACCTCCTTTTGACGGAACTCGGCGTTGTCATCAAAGCCAAGCTTGGCATCCATCGCGAGAACCTGGTGGTCTGAGGTCTCAGAGAGCGGGTTGATCTCGATTTGGGTAGCATCCTTCTCCATGAAGACCTTGTACAACTTTTGAATGGTGTCCTTTGCGTCCTCGATGCATTGCTCACTGAAGCCAAGATCAGTTGCAATTTTTCGGGCGATCTCATCTGTAACTCCCTTGTGGATGTCGATGTATGTGGTGGTGATGGCGTCGGGGCTCTCCTTTGCAACAGTTTCGATATCCATACCACCCTGGGATGAAGACACGATAACTGGCCCTTGGGAAGCCCGGTCCATCAAGATAGCGAGGTAGAACTCTCGTCGAGCAAATTTACGCTCGCAGATGTAGACAGAGTTGCAGAGACGGCCAGCCGCACCTGTTTGTTTTGTAACAAGCTTGTGCCCAATCATCTGCTCCGCAAACATCTTTGCCTCTGTGGGCGAGTAGATAACGCGGACTCCTCCTTTCAAGCCATTGTCAAATGTGCCCTTTCCACGTCCACCGGCGAGGACTTGTGCCTTGATTACCATATCATCGCCGCCAATCTTCTTAGCAACAGCCTCGGCTTCGGCTGCTGTCGACGCAACGGCACCTTGTGGGACACCAACTCCATACTGGACATTTGTGAGCTTGTATCGTTGATAGCTGATAGAAACTTGCGTACTTGTCTTAAGATATCCGCAGATAGATATTCATGTAAGCTCAGAGCTCTCTTCTGTTGTGCAACACCAGCCAATCGCGACGGCGTGTAGACCTGGAAACTGTCAGTAGGGAGCGGAGTCTGCTCGATAGGAGCGCGGTACCTTGCTGGCCTGGAAAGCAGCCGTAAAGGGCCGGCTACGAGCGAGCTTGAACATTTTGACAAGAGGAGAAAAAATGAAAACAAAGCCGTCAATTGAAAGAAGGATAAGATGGTCTTGGTTGAAGTGTCAACCTGTCAAGATCTTCTTTATTGTCCTTTCGGATCGGAAGGAATCGCCTATGGCACGGGAGTTGGGACGGGATAAGGTACGGCGGTCGCTTGCGACCAATGGCACGCGCGGCTCAGGATCGCGGGTAAATATTTCCAGTTCCAAGTGAGACCTTCAAGATTTGTCTGAAAAGCCCCTCGTCTTTGCTGTTTTCGCAGACCGCAACCCCACAACGCAGTCCGGAGCAGCAGATCACCATGGCGCCAGAACTCTCTACCAAGTCTGCCCAGGACCCTAAAGAAGGCCTCGATGTCATCTCGAATCGCATCGCAATGGCGCTTGCAAAGCACGACAGCCTTGTCAAGTCATGGACCGCCCTGTCCGCCCGCCCCAAAGAGCCAGAGAAGACCCAGGAAGAGCTCGACGCTGAAGAAGCCGCTCTATTCCGCAGCGAACCTCCATATCTAGGAGTTGGCGCGCCGATTCCATCTCATTTCCTGATCAGCGATGCCGAGCGAAATAATAAATCGCTTCGCGCCAAGTTCTTTCCAACAAAAGGCTTGAAAGCAAGCAAGTCAAGAGATGAGGAGGAGAAAGCTACGAGCGCAAAGCGGCGACTGATGGAAGAGAGTAGTGATGAAGAGGAAGGGCGGTCTTCACTTGGCAAAGCAAAGAAGCGGAAGATGGCGACCGAAGCACCTGCGAAGCAAGCCGAAGACGAAGACGAGTCCAGCGCCAAAGATGAGGATGCCGAGGGCTCACAGGCTGATGTAAGTGCTTTCTCACAACTTTCCTATCCCCGTCCCATACCTCACATTCCTTGCCAAAGACCGTAGTCAAAACCACAACTTGGGACTCACTTTTCAAACTAGCAGAAGACGTCAGATGATCTGCCAACCGGGTCAAAACATCAGTCACCGTCAACCAAAAAAGATCACTCTCGCAGCCGGTCGAAGAAACGAGATAAGAAGCGAAATAAAGCAAAACACTGAAGAAGTATCAGGGGAAGAACCAGAAGAGATAACAGAACAAGGAGAAGACCTAAAGTACTATGGTTGCTAAGTTGGCTGAATATAGCCCTGAATGGCTGGACTAAGTGGATTGCTTCTGGCGCAAATAATAACTAAGCATGGGTTCCCACGAGAAATAGGATACCTGATGTAGCAGAGTGGTTTATGTCTTGCCAATACTCACACTCGAACTTTATGGATCACTTGAGTGCCGTGAGTATCAAGCGAACCTTAGGTCTCTTTAAAATTGGCAAGCTTTGTTAAGTATCATGCACATAAGCCAATTAAGGCATATACTTCTACAATAATGCCATCTTCAAAATATATTACGAGGGACTTGCAGTCTCTATCTTTGTGCGCTGATCTAGTGCTATCATTCGAAGATTTCAAAAGCATTCTTAATGTCCTTGGCAACTTGTATTCTCACTTCGTATCTCTCAAGTGCAGAAACCACAAAATCTTCTTACCTCTTCCTATAATCAAGGACCATATCAAGAGCCAGCTAACAAGTGTTCAATTACGCGGCCAGCTCAGACGTTGGATATCGTCCGTAAGTCACGCACAAATTTTACCAGATTTCGCTCCGATAACGTTTATGGTCAATAATTACTGCGATCAAGGAAGCCTCTTTGGGATGTGAATTCCCCCTTACGAATTTGGCGAAGTAGTTGCAACTTGAACGGAAAGCAGCAGAGGGCACAGAGGGATACTAGCAGAATCACAAATGGTTCTGGAGCTGATTCTACTGCTTACACAAACATTTATACTTCGGAACGTTCTCTTCAAAGCGAATCCATAGGTTTCTATGTGCGAGGTGATTTAACAGATACTCTGAGAGCACAGCTACTTCAGCTTCTGACCCCTATGCTCAAGCAACCAGTTGGAGCCTGGACTCCGACGGAAATCCATCTGCCATGCTTGACTTCGGTTTTGATTGAGTCTTCTCTTTGACCGGGTTACTACGTTTATTGGCAGTGATTAAGTTTCTGATATTACCATCTCTCGTTTGATATTACCAAACGAGAGACAGGCTGTGTCACTCTGTTCTTACTTTTAAACAACGCAATTGCAGAGCATCCTAGGTCTGTCTACATGCTTACTTTGAAGACTTCAGAAAAGAAAGGGGGCCTTGTCTTGTGGCTACCTATGATACTTACAAGCAGGTCAAAGCCTTCCCTGCTTTGCTACTAGAAGGGTTATGGCCAAAGATTGCCAGGGTAAAAAGGCTATCGATTTGCTTAGACTCTGCAAGAGAAAGATTGAATTTACAATATGGTAAAGAGCTTGATCAATGTGCTGAGATATAAAACCCGACCTGGCCAAGATTCTCAACAACAGCGTCCTAAATTGCGCTTGTGATACGAACACCTTAATCTCTGTTTATACTATATAGAAAATAATATAGGTATATACCATTTATTACAAATAATCCCCTAGCAACCAATCCAAAATTATAGACACAGTAAAAAAATCAAGATGTGATGATTAGACCACGTGAAATTCAGATATGTGCCTCTGGTGGTTCGTCTAGGAATGCCTTGCGGCTTTGCCCGAGGTTGGAAGTCAGTCGGTTGCACTTGCTATACATAGCTGGCCACTCAGATCATCTGCGCCCTTCAATTGTAACCACCACCACGACCGCACGTCACAAGCCAGCAGTATTTATCACTTGTGTTGTTTCTCGTCTGCTTGTCTGCTCGCACCATGCCATCGTCAGATACAAATGGCAACATAAGACCATCCGCTGCCGCAAGATTCCTAACCGCGCCTTCAGTAATGACCATGAACGGTCACTTTGCATCTGTAGGCGATGCGCCGACCAAGGAGCAGTATGAGCATGGCATACAGGTCATTGATGAGGAAAAGCAGTTCAAGTACGCAAGAATATAGGAGACAATGGTCTTGATTGCTGACCAGAGCCCTTTAGCCCCAATCTCAACACGTATCTCCAACTTACCAAGACCGCGCAGTCGGGCTTCAATTATCATCTTATATCAGTCTTTGGCTCGCAGTCTACCGGGAAATCTACCCTACTTAACCACTTATTTGGCACGGAATTTGGGGTAATGTCTGAAACCGAGCGGCGACAGACCACGAAGGGAATATGGATGTCAAAGAACAAGCGGGAAGGTGCAGCAGGGCCAGAGGCTCACGGTATGGCGGACAACATTCTAGTAATGGATGTGGAGGGCACCGACGGCCGAGAACGAGGGGAAGACCAAGATTTCGAGAGGAAAAGCGCATTGTTTGCTCTCGCTACCAGCGAAGTTCTTATTGTCAACATTTGGGAGCATCAGGTCGGGCTATACCAAGGCGCAAATATGGGATTGCTCAAAACGGTTTTTGAGGTCAATATGCAGTTATTTCTAAAGGACAAGCAGTGGGTATTGGATTTCCTAGAGCTGATACTGGTTACTGACGTCTCAGGTCTAACCCCCGATCACTTCTATTCTTCGTCATCCGTGATCATATTGGAACGACTCCTCTAGCGAACCTTCGAAACACCCTCATCGCAGACTTGACGGGAATATGGACGAGCCTCTCGAAACCTCCTGGACTTGAGAAATCGCGGATAGAAGACTACTTCGATTTCGCGTTTGCCGCATTACCCCACAAGATTTTACAGCCAGACAAATTCATTACAGAGGTAGCAAAGCTGAGTACAAGATTTAGAGTTGGTCACCGAGTCGCGAGACACGGGGACTTCGACCAAGAACTTGAAGGGGGCGTATTCCTTCCCGAATACCACCGGAGAATACCTGCAGATGGGTTCTCCGTATATGCTGAAGGAGTTTGGGATCAAATTGTTAACAACAAGGACTTGGACCTTCCGACTCAACAAGAGCTTCTAGCACAATTCCGTTGTGACGAAATTTCACGAGAAGTTTTAGAAGCTTTTGATGATGCTATCTCACCGCTCGAAGAGAAACAAGCTGAAGGGGTCAGATTAGGGCAACCTTCAGTATTGAAGGATTTGGGCGCGTCCGGAAAAGCCGCTCGTGCAAAGAGCATCAAAGCCTTCGAAACTGAAGCTAGTAGGTATCACAAGGGCGTGTATGCCAGGAAACGTGTCGAGTTGGAAGGAAAGATCGATACAAGGCTGAAGGCATTGTATCAAGGTCAACTCTCTGCAGCTCATAAATCAGGTGTTGCATCGTTTAGCGATGCAGTGGTAGCTGCTGTAAAGGCTGGCCAGAAGAAAGGTGCATCCTATGAATTTGCTGATATCGTGGAGCGAGAGAAAGAGGTCGCTCTCGAGAACTTTGAACTGGAAGCAAAGAGTTTGGCGATCGAAGGTGTACCTTGGACCAACTTCAAGCAGCAGTACAACCTGTATGAGAAAGATCTGGACGAGGTAAGTGGGCGCCTGCGAAAAGAGGAAATGAGACGTCTCGCAACTCGCGTTGAGAGATGGGTCCGATCAAGACTGGGCGAATCTGTCGGCCTCGAATTTAATAAGCTTGGTTCAGGACGTGGAGGTAGCGGAGCTCCTGAATCTGGTGAGAAACCAGCTACGGAGAAAGACCTCTGGGACAGAATATGGAATCTCTTCGTCGCCACTGTCAAGGAAGCCGAATCTCGCTTCATAGAGAGAGCAAAAAGCTACAACGCTAGCGGAGATGAAATTGAAGTTGGACTATGGAGGTTGAGGCGGAAGAGTTGGGGGGTGTTAAGGGCGAAGATCGACGAAGAGGTCATGGAAGGCAATATATTGTTGAAACTTCGCGAGAACTTCGAGGACAAGTTCCGGTATGACGAGGCTGGTGTTCCCAGGATATGGCGTCCGACAGATGATATCGAGGGAGTATACACGAAAGCCAGAGAGTCGACTCTCACCTTGATCCCTTTACTTTCCAGGTTTAGACTCTCGGAAACGTATGCACCTCCAGAGCTACCCGAATGGATTGGCGCTGCACCTGATAGTGTAGACCCGAAGGACGAAGAGGATTTGACGCCCATTGGAGGTGTGGATGAGGAGGAAGGCAAGAGCTTGGAAGAGGAAATGTCGATTCTGAGTGAAGCAAAACGCCAGGATCTCGTCGTAAGATTCAAGAAGACCGCCGATGGCGTATATGTGGAAGCAAAACGCAGTGCCATTGGCGGTGTGGCACAGGTTCCACTATACTTCTACGGTCTTCTTCTGGCGTTGGGATGGAATGAAATCGTCGCTGGTGAGTTTATGCCCTTCTGTAAAGAATGTGCGGCTAATAACACAATCCCCAGTCCTTCGAAATCCCGCCTATTTCATTATGCTTATCCTCCTTGGAGTCGCGGCTTACGTGACTTACACACTTAACCTATGGGGCCCAATTCTACGAATGGCAAATGCAGCCTCAGCACAAGCTATCGAAATCGGCAAAGAAAAGCTCAGAGAATTTTTGGATAATGCAGATGGTGGGCGACAGGCAACGGCTACAAACGCCAGCAGTGGTAACGAAAGCATTCGTCTCAGCATACTGGATAGCAGAGGCAAGGGGAGAGCGACTGGAGAGGATGAAGATGATGATATCTAGTGCCTGAAGCTGTCGCTTTGCATGTGTACACAGTATATCTGGTAGTACATCACATAGTGCCCATACCCTGCGAAGTAACGAGTATAAATGAATTCTTAGTCAACGCTCCACAACACGTTCACATGTGTTAGACCGCTTGTGTCAGTATATGAATTTCCCCGGGACTGATTGGGAGGCTTCCCACGCCTCCTACTCTGGGCGTACAGGCTCCGACATATATTTGGTTCCTCCACGGAAAGATAGGTCGGTCGATTAAAACGCAGGACCTCTAGTTTTGGGGGTGATATATTGTCGAATAGGCAGTAGAGGTTCACTGCTGCCATTCAACACTGGGTATACCTTAGCCTGAGGTGATATTAAGCACAGTACGGTTTTGAATCTCACTCAAAGCACTCATGAGATTCAACTTCCAGCCAATAACGAGTAATATAAAACCTTCTTCTTGAGTATTCTACTCAACTCAGTGGCCTATTTGCTGATGCCCTAAAGCAGTACCTACGCCTTTCCCTGATTTTCAATAAGGATCAGATCAGTCATAAGAGTATATCCAACCTGCACCACGTATGAACTCCAGTTCGCCGCTATATGCCTCCCTGATTACCCATACTAATCAAACCGCATGTTTAAAAAACTTTTGTTCCAACAGGTCGTCCAAACCATGAACCAAGTTCATCAACATCAGCTTCCTTTTCGCCGCTGAAGAAATCCGTCACTCGCATCATCTCGTCATCTTCCTCAACCGGCCAGTCCACTTTTGCAGCAGCACCCTTCGCATCTAGCATATCTTTTGCAGTCCCCCAGCTAAATCGACACTCGCTCCCCCATCCAAAAATCGGATCCATATTTCTCTTTAGCCATGACGTACATCTTGCATCTGAAGGATATCCCGATCCCCAGCCTGCTTCTTCGGCGACTTCTGCTTTCACTGTGGTGCCATCCATCTCTACGTCCTCATCAGGCTTCTTCACATAGCTCTCATATAAGACTTCCAGGGCCGCATCCCTTGTGACCTTCGCACAAACACTCGCAGCACTGACACAAGGATATAAACTATCCGCCTTCTTCGCAACCGTGACCTTAGCCGTGGGGAACACTCGCTCCAGTTTCTTCTGATATGTTGCAGGGTTCCCAATCGTATCGATATAGATCTCTTTGACGTTAACACCCCTCTTATAAACTCCCTCTATCAGAGCAATAGTCGCATCCATAGCTTGCGCATTCAAATTGTAGGTCCCTGTAGGCTTCATCATATTTGCGCCAATATCCCTAGCAGACATGACCTCGACGGCCCATCCGCATTGGGCGTGGAGATCGGTGCCTGGCGTGCACAGCTTCTCCATCAAATTAGAGCGGACCGCTGGAGTAAGGACTTTGCTATCGTCGAAGTGGTGGGTTTTGCGGAGGAGGGGATCAGAGAGCGGGAGCGGGAGATAGAGGAGTCCGTAGACCATGGGTCCTAGCACTGGGCCCCGTCCTGCTTCGTCGACCCCCAAGACGCATTCTGGGCCAGGTATTGATGTCTCGCTTGATTCTGGAGATTCAGGATTGGGCGTGGGGAGAAGTGACGGAGGGACGGCAGAGAAATGGGTATATGAGGCACCGGAAAGGAGTGCTTCGTGGTTGATTGAGGGGGCGATGAAAACATCTGAGGCAGGGGTTTCAAGGGCGACAACATCCTCTTCTGCTTGTAAACTTGCCATTTTGAGAGTTGCTGTGGCTGCAGCAAGTAGAGAGTGATCAGGAAAGCAACAGTTGCGAGTGAGAACTAAAGCTCACAAAGATGTAGGCGGTTGACGCGTCCAACATGGGGAGACGCGACGTGAATATAAAGTCACGTGGCATAGGGCGGTTTCCCAGTCCGGTGTATTATTAGTGTGAGATTGAACTCTCAGATCTCTTCCAATAAATTCTCTTTGAGATTGCACAAAGGGCAAGAACTCAGATATACCTTAGACAAAGACCTGTTGCAAGTGGTTTTTGCATAGGTAGAGTTGAAAGTTCATTGTCCAAAGCCTCAGGGTTCATGCCTCCTAAATCAGGCATCAATGTGTCCTTTGTCTCTGGATTTAGCGGATCGCGTGAATGTTGATCAGAACTCTGGCAATGACCAGCGACCCCACGTCCAACATCTTCGCAACTCATTCACCACGAATTGACACTCTACTCCTTTTGATCTACGCGTGATTTGCGATCCTGTCAGCTGTTACTTTTGAACCTTGCGACTTTCTATTACCTTCCAAAATCGGCACTGTTCATCCGCATCGCCCTCAACGCGTATCCCCTTGAATAGATTATGGCTCCAGAACCAGCACTGCTGAAGCGCAAACCGCGCGAGAATGCGCACATCTTCAACTTGGGAGTTCAGGGCAGGTGGGTGGATGTCGACCTGATTCATGTCTTGCGACTAATATATCAATAGGAAAACCGGCCTCACAATTGCTGATACCGGGATCCGAGATGAGCATGGCTTTGAACCCATAGATGGCCTATTCTCCTCACCAGAGAAAGGTAAAGAAGTGGCTGGAAATGGCCGGAATGCGAATGCGACAATATCAAGTGAGGCGGATATGGATGTGGGCGAGAGTATGTGATTCGAGCTACAAATGCTGTTAAAGATCGAGATGCTAAACTCCCTCAGGCACTATCCCAGAACCTACCTCGGTCCTCACAGCACGAAAACAAGGAGCCAGTATGCGAATGCCTCCGCCCCGTTCCAAATCTCCGATTAAAACGTTCTTACAATCACCAGCAAGAAGAAATCCGTCACTGGGCCTTGGTTCTTCCCCGACCCGTGCTGCATCACAAGGAGCTTCATCATCTGCCTTAGTTCGACGGAGATTAGATTTCTCGAGTAACAATCTCGATCCGAATGCATCAGATTCCATAATCACGAACGGGACGCCGCAGACGCGAGGAGATTCGAAAGCTCCTGTAAAGAAGTCTACGGGCATACGATCAGCAGGACAAAATTCCACCAGCGACGATGAAGATGACCAGGATAATACTACTGACGCGCCTGATAATAATGGTCTTGGGAATGAAGGAGACTCGTTTCAAGTAACAACTGGTGGAGATGATGAAGAACCTGATGCTCCAGTTGACGAACCACAAGAAGCCTCCGATCCTGAGCCTGAACAGGAGCCTGAACCAACAAAGAAGGGGAGAGGAAAAGCTAAGGCTAAGGAGTCTGAGGCTGTGGAAGAGCCCCCGAAGAAAGGAAAAGGCCGAAGGAAACGAGATTCTAATCCGCAAGTGGAGCAAGATGAGGATGAACCACCTTCGAAGAGATCCAGGCGGTCCATTGAGGGGGCTAAGTCTGTTGCTAAGCCTGCAGTCAAAGCCAAGGCTAGCAAGGCCAGCAAAGCGACAACTGCTGACAAGGCAGCAAAACCAAAACCTAAAGCGACAGCTAAGAAGTCTAAATTGGCCCCAATATCGGAGGCGGAATCTCCAGAGATTCAGCGTGGGCCTCCTATGCCCAGAAATAATCGCGGATTGATTATCCTCCGACGCGAGACCCCGATGGAAGGAAATGCCTTCAAGCAAACGCGTTCGGGCCGGAATTCTATCAAGCCGGTTGCGTGGTGGAAAAACGAGAGGATCGAGTACTCAGAAGACGAAAATGAATATTATAATGGCGGAAAGTTTCTGCTGCCTAGGATCAAAGGGGTCGTGCGAGCAGATGAGGTCGAGGAGCGACGGACGAAGAAATCTCATCGTAAGCCAAGCAAGAGCAAGAAGCCAGCTGCAGCAGAGGCGGCTGAAGACGAAGACGACGAGGCGGAGCCTTGGGAAATCGAACCTGGCCGTTTCGTAGGCGGGATACAGACCTGGGACCCAGAAGACCCGACTGGAGTTGACGCAGATGAGGTGGAGGAAGAGATCGCTCTATCATCAGCAGCCATCATCACACGGGACGTAGCCAACGCCTCGTTCCGCTTCGCCAAGACGCTCAGCCTCCCCTTCTTCGGCTCGGGCATGGTCGACCTTCCGCCGGGAGCCGTCAAGAAGCCGAAGAACTCCCGCATGATGCAGATGGTCTTCTTCGTCTTCTACGGCCGCGTCGAAGTCACCGTCAACGGCAACGCATTCCGCATCGGCAAAGGCGGGATGTGGCAAGTTCCTCGCGGTTTGTTCCCTGCCCTCTCCCTTTCCCTCTCCCTCTCCCTCTCCTTTTTTCACACATTTACTGACTTCCCTTTCCCACCCTTAGGTAATTTCTACAGCATCTCCAACGATTACGATAAACCAGCACGCATCTTCTTCTCTCAAGGCTGCGAAGTCATCGAAGAAGCTACATCAGCCAGTCAATGATCCTGCTTGCTTTCTTGTGTCTTTCATTTACGGATAAGAAAGGGAGATATAAGATGTGTGATGGGGGAAGGGAAACTGATGAATGAGATAAGGAAGGAAGGATGATGAATGCTTAGCTTAGCGCCTGAGGCTTCTTAAGGTATTATAGGTACTATAGCGTCTTGTACATAACTGAGTAGGGTAACACAGCGCTACAAAGCTTATTAATGTCATCTTTTGTATAACAACATGTAGAGATTTGCAGCTCTGTCCTTGGGGACCTATGATTCCCAATTAGTGAGGTTGGATGGAAAAGGGGTAAGTACCTTAGGTACCTTATGTAATGCTGAGGTTGAGATGAAGAGGAGACGAGACCCCCTTTTTGGATGCTCGCTTAGTGTTTACTTACTGTAAGGTAAGCAAGTTTGTATGTACCTTAATTCATAGATGTAGAAAGTAGCTAGGTAGATAGGTAAGGTAAGGTAAGGTATCGATTCATTCATTCATTCTTATACTCATTCATCATTTAGGTACATGTCTATATACATATCTCTTTAAACCAAACCAAACCAAACCAACCAAACCAACCAACCAAGCAGATAAACCAAACACACAAACAAAGGAGCAAGCAAAATAAGTAAATATATCAATCATCAGCTCCTACGCCCCCAACACGCACAACATATACAAAGCCTCTTTCCCGTCCTACGTCCTCCCCCTTCTCGGATCCAACGCATCCCTCCTCCTAAAATCCCTCACCTCCTTCGTCGCCATACCCCCCATGCCCCCCTCAAGTCTCCTTTCCCACCCGCCAAGCCGAACCACTAGACACGTCGCATTATCGCCCTCCTTACTAACCTCAGTCGCGAACCCGACCACGTCGCGCGCGCCCTGCTCCGGCGTCTTCGCTTCCTTGACGATATCCACAATCTCCTGATCCGTGAGCGTGCCCGACACGCCGTCCGAGACCAGCACCAGGAAGCTGTACTCGGCGGGTGACAGTTCGAGGCGTAGGATTTCGGGCTCTGCTGAGACCCCGATGCGTTTTGAGCGCATGTCGCCAAAGGCTCGCGTGTTGGCTAGTCCTGACATGCGCTCTTCGCCGAACGAGTCGGTGACGAAGGTCGCGGCGTAGCGACGGAGCCGGTTGCCTTCGATGGGCGAGCTGGGGTGGTGGTTGGTGGTGACGGGTTTGGCGAGCCCGGTGGCCGTGTCGCAGAGGAGAATGCGGGTGTCGCCGACGTGGCCGACGATGAGGGTTGAGGGGGAGGCCGGGTGCCAGAAGGGCGTCGGCGTCGGCGTGGAGATCATGGCGATGGAGGCCGTAGAGCCGCCCATGAAGCGTTTGGGCCCACCGATTTGGTGGTCGGTGATGCGCGCCGGTTCGCCGAGAATGTCGTCGGCGTTGAGGGGTCTGTCGCTGGGGCTGTCGGGGTCGGGCTTGCGGGCTTGCGCAACCACGAAATCGAGATCCGCCTTGAGGAAGGCGTACATGAGGACCGCCTCCATGGAGACGGGGGAATCGCTGGGCGGGTCGTCCACGGATGAGGATGGCATGGAGAAGTATGCAGGCCTGAAGCGGCGGAAGTATCCTCCCACTGTTTCTCTCCATTGCGCTACCAGAGATCGCTCGAGCTCGACTGCTTTTGGTTTGTTCGACCCTGCGGCCACTGGCTTCTCGCTCCCGAGAGCTGGACTGGCCGGTGGGTTGATCATCCGTCCGTCTTGACCACGATGTGGCAGGTTCAGAGATTCCTGAACCTCCTCTTTGCTCTTAACCACAACCTTTCCTAGGCTCTCCCTCCCTTTAGATGAAAGCTCACTCTCCGCACCATGCTGCGCGCTAGGGCCTCCGACATCCCGCCCCTTCTTGCTCTTCAAGCTCGATCCAAGCTCGAAGAGCTCCGCGGTATTCTCAATATAGCTATGCAACCTCTCCCTCAAGAAGTCACTGCACTCGTTCCCACCATGCCCATCAAAGACCCCAAAATAGAAGACTTGTGGATCGCCCCTTGCGCTATCAGCCGACGTTCCCCCGACGACTGTCGCTCCTGAACGACTCAGACTTATAGGTGCCCTCTTCGCAAAAGCCGGAACATCAAGTGTTCCCGCTTGATATGTATCTTCATTGTATGGCCGTGACCCTCGAGAAACCGAGACTCCAAAATGATGTTTTGCGCTCCGTAGCGGGATTCGTACGACCGTAAGTTCACGCGACGCCCCGACCATTGGCGGAGCTGCGGCAGGAGAGGGTCCTGACTCTGGATTATGGGGAATAGAGGCTGCGCGAGGCAATTTGTGATGAGGGCCGGTAGCCGATTGAGAGTCGGGATGGAGGGAGGAAGAAGGGAGGTTCGTGACGAAGTAATCGTGGAAGTATCTCTTTCCTAGATGATTCTGCTGGCCACGAGCTAAAGACTCTTTGCCCGCCGATCCTGGCCTATGTAGATTATCGGCTCTAATGCCATGATTTGAACGTGACGTCCGAGATTGTGAAGTTTGAAAGGCGCGCGTCTGGCCTAGAGACGCTGGGTGCACAACAGGCGGGTAGTGTTCACGAGGCTCGATCTTGCTGAGATAGGTTGCTATGAAGCCTGTGCGGTCTTGTTAGCATTGCGTCTTCTCTTCTTCCAGATTCAAGGCATATATCTACCATATGTGTCTGCTAGTGACCATCGCCGCCGGCGCAAGGAAGACCTAATGGCGGCCATGGTTGGAATATAAGACAATCGGGAAGTTCACCAGAACAGGGTGCGTCGCAGCAATAACTGGCAGAAAGCCAATCGAGAAGTAACTATAGCAAATGATCGTGCCATCGGACGTAATTCAAAGGAGGGAGGTTGAAGACACCGGCGTGGTACAATACAACGAGGGTGGGGACAGAAGAGTCGCGATATTCGAGAACGAGGGCGAGGAGTTCGACTCCGATCAACAACACATGAGAAAGATCGGTCCTCAAGAAGTCTTGCGTGGGAAGTATCGATGCAAGACTGGAGACGGGACTCCAAAAAACATGTTAACTGAAGCAGCAGAGATAAAAGCGGATGGTTGTCGAAGGTGCAAACTTCGGGTTTCGGGATATCCCCCCGGGTAGCGTTTACGGGTTCTATAAATATCCGGATATAACACTTGTACCTCCGCCGCAAGGTACACCTTATTTCCCTACTATCTAAGGTATATGATAACGTATTTAACCAGCATTTCTCTGCATTTTCTGTAATCATGAATAGGATCAAGGATCGAGGGAAGGAGAAGATGCGCAAGTTGTATCGCCGTCTCAAAGCTGGTGAAGTGGAGGGCTGGCGACGGCTGTCTGCTATCGGATAGATTTTCGTTTTTTTATTCCCGCGCGATATTAAAACCTTCTATGTACAGTATTGCCGTTTTGCCTCCCTACCTGTATTTCAATGACAAAAGATATCAGTAGCCACTCCCTGCTCTGGCTGCAAATGTGTAATGATATGCCCTCAAACCATTTCTAATCTGTTTTTCCCGTCTCGTTAATCTCCGTCGCTGCCGCTGCCGCTGCTGCTGCCGCTGCCTCCTCGCGATTCATCTTTGCAATGCGGCGTATCTCGGACTGCTTGCTCGCTTCTCCCATATCTACCATGCCGTACCTGGGGGGGGGGTGCAATTAGCTCCTACGTTATTTTCATTAAGGAGGCAAAAAAGACATACCACACGATAACAGCCATACCAAGAATTGCGGAAATACAGCTGAAGGTAAGTGCGACGATACCACGAGCTGTGAAACCACCGGGCAATGGTTTCGGGGCCACGGTGGCACCCCTCAGGTCTAAGTGGTTAACGGTGTTCGCGGCAGCATTGCCGGCATACGGGGTGTTTCCAGCTACGCAAGCATCGATATGATCTTGAGGGAGGGTCACCATCTTCTGGATCTCCAAAGGCGCCTCAACCATGGTGGCAATCAGACCCTGATCTACGTGCCACTCGATGTGGCAGTGGAAAAGCCAGACACCCGGATTATCAGCCTTAAATCGTAGGACAATGTAGCCCTGGGGATATAAGACGAAGGTGTCTCTCCGCATTGGGATTTCTGGGAAGTTTGTCTGAGAGGTATTCGTTGACACGAAGTTACCGGCATTTTCAGCAGATCGTGCGATAGCCTGGAAATTGTGGCCGTGAAGATGAAATGGATGCTTTCCGGTGTCTAAATAGTCATCAATTAGACTCGGAAAAGCGTAAGGACAGCGACGGCTTACCATTATTGTTCACAACAATGTCTATGGTTTGATCCTTTTCGAGAACAAAGGAATGGGAGAATTCCCCATAGACAAGAGGATTCGCGGCGTCCTCTCCAGTAGTCATCACAGTATACAATGTTGGAACCTTAGGGGGAACATAGGTTATGTTCTGGAAGAAGGCGCTGAAGTGTTTATCAGCATGGATGCGCATCCTCAGCGATATCATACGTACTATGGCTTGCCATTCCCAAGCACACCCATGACCACATCGAGAGTGACCACTCTGTCGGGTTCTGGGAGCAGAGGCATCTTATCATATGCTACGAGGGTGAAGTCATCGAAGTCATTATATTCATCGATGAGTGCTGGAGCTGGTAGCGGCTTCTTATCGTCGTAGACCAGCCACCCGGTGACGTTCCAATTCAGGCCAGGAGGAATCTTATCAAACAGATCCTAGGTAGCGTTAGAATAGCAAGGGAAGAGATGGATTATTATTGGAACGCCTTACAGTATCCATGCTCGAAACGAAGGCATAGTTGGCTGTCGTTTCATTCTTAGTCGTGATCAGAAAGCTACAGCGTTGGGCAGCAGCGACGTATATCATCTCTGCCTCCGCCTTTTCAGTGTAGACGCCATCGACCTCAACTATGGTCATGTTATGGCCCTCAAACCAAATATATTGGCCGGCAAAAGCACCGATGTTGACAACCTGGAATAGGTATGTCTTTCCGGGTTGGATAGGCACCGTCAGATTCTGCGTATCATTGAACAGCACTGATTGAGGGACAGGCTCAGCGCCTGTGGGGTTTGCCTTGTTGATGAATTTTGGGATCACAACCTGCATCTCCTCGTGATACCAGTCAGAGACGGATAGGACGAATTGCTCGTCATATTCATATGGAAAATCAGGATCACTGATGATGAATGGCGCTCTCAGACCATCTGGGTACTGCCCTTTGTCGTGGGAGTGATACCAGTAAGTGCCTGCTTGAGTGAGCTGGGCCGGGTTAGCAGCTGGACTCCGTTGGAATGCGGGCGTTCTGGAGCACACCTACATTGAATTTGTAGGTGAATTGAGAGCCGGGGGGGATCCCACACTGAGACACCTGAACCGGGCCGTCCATCTCGGTCGAGCCATTCATGAACAGACCGTGGAAATGGAGAGTGGTGGACTGGTTCCCCAGTTGATTGTCGACATTGACGATGACCTGGTCGCCAACCGTCCCCGTCATCACGGGCAAGGGCCATTTCCCGTTGATCCCAATGGTTGGTCTCTCGAACAAGCCATCAGGATTGGCTCTGACCCAAGTGATGTTGAAATCATAGGTCACAACAGCAGCTTCTGAGATGCCGGCGAAAGCAAGAAGCAGCAGCAGCAGCAGCGATAGTGGAGAGAAGGACAACAATGATATTGCCATTCTGAGCGATTCGAGTGCTGCGATCAGCAGGTAAAGGGTGATGACTAAGTAATGGGATTTTCCAAGCCTTCACACATGGGGGCCTTTGAGGGGATTTGCTCGAATTGGCAACTTGGGATTCGGGGGACGATATAATTGGAATCTCTCTGACAGATTTCTAGAGTGGGGAGGGATCGGAGGTTGGAAGAGAGAGCTTAAGAGGGCCAAGAGTGCTGGAAGGCAGATCTCATAATTCTCGCGGACGTCTTCCGGCGGCAGAGGACTCTTGGCAAAGGAAACTCGGGAAAAGCTCTTGGGAAAGAAGGACAACTGGAAAAAGACTCCTGGGAAAAGGCTGATGAACAAAACAACGCAGGCGCTCTGGCTTTCTAGATCTCAGTGGAGATGCCCCCAGAAGCACCACGCTTGGCAAGCTACCACTGGCGCCGACATGACCAACTATTATTATTATTTATGGTTGTGTGATCAGGCGACTGGCTAGTCCGAGAGTCTGCTCCGGATTCCCTAGCTAGCTGCATTACTCCGTGGGACCGTGGAGCGTGTCATGGCCGGGGGAAATGCCGATCAGCGGGTTAAGGTTATATATGTGGCATTGGCGCGGGATGCGGGATGCGAGATGCGAGATTCAGACAAGCAGATGGATACTGGAGGCGTTGATAAGATATACAGTACCATGTGTTTTGGTGCTTCCTGTCTGTTGGGTTTTTCCCTCGTTGGTGTTGTTGTTGTCAGCTGTCATTCCACCGCCGTAACACTACTTTATTCTTAATTTCTTATCAGATGGGCCGAGTGGTGACGGCCAGCTCTGGATCCGAGGCTTTGGACCGTCTGGTTGTCGCTGGTCGCCGCTGATTGGCTGCTGTTAGGTTGTCGCGCCATCTGATAAAAATTCAATGGCGCTAGGCGAGATGGGGCATCGTGCATGCTTCCTCACTTGTCACTTTCTCGGGGGGAACCCTTGGCTCTGGGGTCGGGCATCTTTGCGGTGTCAGGCCTGGTGTCTTGTCTCATCGGGTATGTACCTAGGTAAGAAGAACGCTCTCATCTTCTCCATTCGTCTGTCTGTCTTATTATCTTCTTCACTTCTTGGCTTCTTCGCTTCTTTGCTTCCTCTCTCGTCTCACCATCCTGTTCTTCTTATCTCTCCCTCCTGTCAAACACGTGCGCGGCCCGGCAACATCCGCTTCTGTTCTCTCGCCCTGAATCCTAAAATTACCCGGTGCCTTTTTACCTTTACCGACTTTAGGGCATCTACGGGCCCGTAGCGTCATTATCTGATCCGAGACCCACTCTTCGCGCCCGCTTGATTCGTCGTGCATTATCTGATCCTCGTCCCCCCCCACTCACCCCCCCAACCCCACCATCTGAGTCTCACCACTTTTGTTCTTAAGAGGCCGAGGTGCGCCAATTCTTGTCATCGACAGCATCATCGCCAGACTCAGCGTCGAGAGTTATCGTCATCTTCCCCCATCCACATCGGGAGGTCTGCTCTCGGCCTCTCCCACCTCTCCCGCCTCTTAATCACCCTTCCATACTCCTCAATTCTCTTCAGTCCCCTCGCATCACAGCACCAGAATCGCCCATCATGACCGTCCAAGTCTTCGCCATCCCCGTCTTCTTCGTCGTCTTCCGAGAGTGCCTGGAGACCGCCGTCATCGTCTCCGTCCTGCTGGCCTTCTTGAAGCAGACCCTCGATGGCCCCAATCGAGACATGGTCGTCTACAAGAAACTCGTCAAACAGGTAAGCCTGCGTCCAATGCCTGCTTCGTGCCCCTCTCCCCTGACCCTCTTGTAGGTCTGGTATGGCACCTTCGGTGGTCTTCTAATCTGTCTGATCATCGGCGGCGGCTTGATCGGGGCCTTCTATAGCCTGGGGAGGGATAAATGGGCAAGCACCGAGTACTATTGGGAGGGCTCCTTCGCAATTGTTGCCACCGTCATCATTACTATCCTTGGGGCTGCCCTTCTCCGCGTCTCCAAGATGCAGGAGAAATGGCGGGTCAAGCTTGCGAAGAGCTTGGAGGAGAAAACTGTGACCGCCGTCCGCAGGAAGGGGGCCTTCAAGCGATGGTGTGAGAAATATGCCATGTTCCTTCTCCCATTCATCACCGTTCTCCGAGAAGGCCTGGAAGCCGTCGTCTTCATTGCCGGCGTCTCCTTTTCCGCGCCGGCCAGCGCTGTGCCCCTTCCCGTTGTGGTTGGGTTGATCGCCGGAGCTGCTGTCGGATATGTGATCTACAAGTAAGTCTGCGTAGGCCGATATTTCGCTCTGTCTCCTAACCTTTCCTAGGGGTGGCGCGACATCCAAACTTCAATACTTCCTCATCGTCTCTACCTGCTTCCTATACTTGGTGGCTGCTGGTCTCTTTTCCAGAGCCGTCTGGTTCTTCCAGGCCCAGAAATGGAATGATGCCACTGGAGGCGATGCAGCCGAGACCGGATCTGGCCCGGGATCATACGACATCGACCAGAGCGTATGGCACATCAATGTAAGATTCTTTAGCCACGACCGTGTGTGCCTCTTGCCTAACGAATGTCTAGTTCGGTAACCCAGAGCTGAACGGAGGTGGTGGATGGGGTATCTTCAACGCCCTTCTCGGCTGGCAGAACTCTGCAACCTACGGCTCTGTGATCTCGTACAACTGCTACTGGATTGTCGTCATCGGAGGCTTCTTCCTGATGCGATACAAAGAAACAACAGGCCACCTCCCATTCATGAAGGCCAAGCCTATTGAAGACGAGGAGTCTAATGATGGGTCTATCAAAGTAGAGAGCAATGCTAGCAGCGGGCTCTTCGAAAGTAATAGCCAGGACAAGACAGCAAGAGAAAAAACATTAGGGATACATGCCGTCCCAACGGCCGGCACAAGTTCGGAATAATAGAGAATAAAACGGACGAAAAAGCATGAGACATATGGGATAGGTGCATTGGCGTTGGTGTTGGGCGTTGGGCGTTCTGGATCTCTCGACATTTACATGTTCACGTCTCCTGTTCACGAACACACGTGAACATGCCCATGTATATTCATATCATGATTAAACGAACAAGGACGAGGACAGCTCGAAGCGCGAGTTCTCAATCCAAAAAGATAATCACATATACCTCCTTTGTTCCCTACTCATCGCCCTGTGATATCTATCAAATCAATCAATCAAACCCGCCACTCGACGAATCAGGGACATCATCTACCCTATTTATCCATTCATCCCCAAACTCCAAATCCAAAAACCCAACCAAAACATAGAAACACAATAATCACAAAAACAGAAGGGCAGACGTAAAAAGAAAAGAAGAAAAGCAGCGCACAACACCAAAACATAAAGAATCCCCCCAAAAAAGGATTAAAAAAGAAGAAGAGGAAAATCTCACATTACCTTCCCTACCTTACCTTCCCAACCTTACCTTACTTATAAGCAAAACACAAGGCTGATACATCGCAAACGGAAGCGAGACGAATGAATAAACGAATCAGAGAGTTCGGGTTGGAATTAGAGGGCTGATGATTGGTGGTGGAGAGGGGATGCCAGGCTGTAGTACGGAGTATGGGGTTTTTGATAGGTAGGTGAGAGGTAGGGAGTAAGGAGAGGAGTAAGGGAGGGGTCCGGATTTTGGATTTTGGATTTTGGATTGGTTTTGTCTTTATTTTTAGAATTTGGGGGGGGGGGGAAGAGGGTGCTGGTTGGATGGATAGATAGAGATGTAAGGGGACAATCAGGTAGGTACTTTAGGTAGGTAGATGATGTACATCTATCTATCTCTTCATTCTTCACATTATATTATATTATATTTATACAATAGTAGCTAGCTACAACTATAGCTATCCAATCTATCCATCTCTAGCACCAACCATCAATTCCAGGCGCCCTGCCAAAACCCTATGTTTCCTAATGATCTCGACCCACTCCTCCTCCCCCTCCTCTTCTTCATTCTCATCTTCGTCCTCGTCCCCCCGCTCCTGCAAGAACGCAAGGATCATACTGAAATCCCCGCCTAGACGACCCAGACTCCCCGCGCAGTAGAGCACTTGCGTCAGCAGACTGTCGCGACTGCTCTTGTCCCGCACGTTCGGCAGGTATGTGCGCAGCGTGTCTTCGAGCATGCTGACCAGTTTCTGCGGGAACGTCGCGAGGGCGCTAGGCAGTGGTTGGAGAGGATCATCATCATCATCAGACTGTGCCGATTCACCGGGCGCAGCGGTTTCTGTTTTTTCTTTCTCCCTGTCCTGTGCGGGGAAGATGGAGCGGTACATGGAGAGGATGGCAAAGCTCTGCTCTCTGAAAATCTCGATATATCTCTTCAGATACCTTTCCGTCTGCTGCCCGCCCTCCCATCTGCCTCTCGTCCTCTCCCCTCGTGACCGCCCCGTCTCTTGATCCGCCAGCTCTCGCAACGGCTGCAGCGCGCCTAGCATCTGCTCCAGGTTCGCCAGCCGACAGACCAGGAATAGTGAGCCCAGCGCGCCGTCCCTGCTCTGCTCCGTCCCCGCCGACGAGCCTAGTTCGGGAGCCACGCGCCGCAGCCACGAGATCGTCCGCATCGCAGCGGCCAGTTTCAATCCGCTGGTCCGCAGGCCCCCGATGAGACTCGTGGCCATCTCCTGCATGGCTTCTTCAGCCTGGGCGGCCACGGCCGCGACTAGTGGCGAGTCCGGATACAGGGCATGCAGGCGGCGGATGTGCGCGTTGAGATCTAGAGCGGCGGCGTAGTTCAGGGGCGCCGAGGCGTTGGTCGTCGATGCGGAGATGGAGGAGGTCAGGAGCGTGGGGAGATCGAGGATGTCGGAGAGCCGGTCGACGTTGCGGGATAGGAGGAGAGCCTGGCGACGTCGTAAGAGGAGTGGGTGTTCGGAGCGCGCATTGTACGTCTCGGAGAAGTGAATGGCGGCGTCATCGAGCTTGGGGAGGGCATCGCGCAGGTCGGCGGCGGAGTGGGCGAGCGCGGGGAGAGTGCGGGAGAGAGTGGAGAGGTGGTTGGCGGACGTGATGAGGGAGCGGTGGGAGCGTTTCGAGAGGGATTGGAGGGAGAGGAGGAGGGAGTGCGAGGTTTGCGAAAGCGATTGTGGCTCATCGGTCGTGAGGGAGGAGAGGGGGAGCGTCGATAGTCGGTTTAGATAGGCGGCCGTCGTGGGGTCTTTAGAGGAGGGCGCAGGTCGTGGGGAGGGCGTGTCGAAGTAGGGAATGAGTAGTTCGTAGACTGGGTCTGCCATTGTGTGTTTTCTGTTTGTTTTGCGCACCACTCGAAGCTGAAGAACTGGTGGTGGAAGTGTTCTGTCGGGGATCGCTAGATCTGTCGTGGAGTTGAAGCTCGCAGGTCGGGGTCGCTTCACCCATCTCATCTTATCTGATCATCTAGTCCCCCCATTTATCCAATCCCCATCAACCAATGCGAATTACAATCGTACATACCTAGATCCTGCTCTATTTTCTCCAAATCGTCACCCCCTTTTTCCCTTGCTATAGTTATAAATTACATGGACAAGATGTCTCTTCCCTTAGCACCCGACGCGGAGGCTTTGGTCCTCAAAAACGTTCGCATGCCGGGCAAACCCACGAGCAGTCGTTGGAATCTGGAGTGCAGAAATGGAATTATACATTCGATCCAGGAGAACCAGACTCCCTCTGCTTCTGGGGACATAGAGTGCCCGTTTCTAGCACCGTCTCTCTGTCACCCGCATATCCATCTGGACAAATGCTTCTTACTGTCCCACCCCAAGTATGCGGATTTGGAGATCAAGGATGGGGATTTTGCAGAAGCCATGAAACTGACAAGTATGTTTTCTTGAATTTCTTTTCTTGTCAGTGCTTTCAATCTCACGCCTTCTACTTGTCACAGGCGAGGCAAAATCCCGATTTGAGCTTGATGATCTCACGGAACGAGGGCGCGCTTTGATAGAAGAAAGTATCAGCTTCGGAGTCACTCACATGAGAGCCTTCGTTGAGGTCGACCAAGGCGTGGGCCTGAAGTGCCTCGAAGCAGGCTTGCTGCTCAGAGATGAGTTCATGGATCGATGCTATATTTCCATTTGCGTTTTTGCTCAGGATCCCATCTTCAGCTATGAGGACGGAGGAGAGGCGATGATCAGATTGCTGAAGGAAGCTGTGGGGAAGCCCGGGGTTGAAGCTCTAGGGAGCACCCCTTATGTGGAAAAAGGGGACATTCAAATGCAGATAAAGAATATGGAATTCGCCATACGCACAGCCAAAGAGTATAAGCTGCACTTGGACTTCCATATCGACTATAACTTAGATCCTAGTAAGGAGAGTTCCATACTACATGCTATTGGGCTTTTACATAGTATAGGGTGGCCATCGGACCCGGCTTCCCCGGATTTTAGAACGATAGTCTTTGGTCACTGTACTCGACTCACTCTATTCGAGGAAGAAGACTGGTTAGATCTACGCCGCAAGATTCAGAACTTGCCAGTATCGTTTGTCGGGTTACCGACGTCAGATATGTTCATGATGGGCAGGCCGGCTGCAAGCTCTGGGGGTGGCCAGAGGCCTCGAGGAACGCTCCAAGTACCGCAGATGATCCAGAAGTATGGATTGAATGCTGCTCTTGGTATTAACAATGTCGGCAATGCTTTTACCCCCCACGGAAGCTGTGATCCCCTCAGCCTCGCGAGCTTTGGGGTTGGGGTATATCAGGCTGGCACCAAGGTAGACGCGGAGATATTACTGGTACGTCCAAGACGATGACTTGAGGGAGCATCCAGCTGATTCCGGTAGCAATGCATATCAACCAGAGCTAAAGCGGCTATTGGATTAAACCCCTTGATATCAACTGATCTCGAGCCTCGGGTCGGGCAGCCTGCGGATTTTGTCATGTTTGGCAGCCAGTCTGGTACTGGATCCAGATCATTCAGATCAAGGAAGACGACGCAGGAGCTCGTCTACGATGCAGGAAATGACCGGGTAACAATCTTTCATGGCAAAACGGTCAGTCGTTGATGGTAGTCATGACCTCGGTTCACGTGCTGTGGTCAGCGGCATATTCACCACCCTGCGTGCTCAGCTGCCTACAGAGCTATCGATTGGCCTGACAGCGGTCTCAGAAGATGTACAAGATGGCAAGAATCTCTAAGATGCAGAGATGCAGAAATACATATACAACCGCACACGACAGTGGACAGTAAAGATTGAACTGTGAACTGTGAACTCTGAACTCTGAACCCCTGAACCGGCCAGTTTCTCCCGACGTTTCCCCGTCGTTTATCCGGGCCCGATCCGTTGGGACTCCCCCAACTCACACGACCGACCTATCACCACTCTGCAGATCATATAAATAGCCTCGTCCGCCAACTTGTCTGACTCTCTTCTTCTCTTCTTCTCTTCTCCTCCTCCTATTCATCCTAAGAGTTCTCTTCTGCTTCACCTCTTCCTCCAGCTTCATATGCTGCAATGCACGATCCGTTTCCCATCCCGCCTATACCATGGCTCAGCAGGGCAATCGAGCCCTTCGCTAACCGCTTCAACCTTCCCACCCTGCCTTACCACATCCATGAAGTCCTGATATCCTTCCTGACCTACACCTTCATCAACCTCGTCGCCGCGCCCCAGCTCTCGAAGCGCATCTTCCCTCGCCAGTATGGCAAGCTGTCGCCCAAACGGAAACTTAATTGGGACGTCCATGTGGTTTCGCTGTTCCAGAGCTGCACCATCAATGCCCTCGCCTTATACATAATGCTGTGGGATGAGGAGCGCAAGGCCATGGACTGGAAACAGCGCATATGGGGCTACACTGGAGGTGCGGGCATGATCCAGGGCCTTGCTACCGGCTACTTCCTGTGGGACTTGATGGTCACTCTCCAGAATGTGAATCTCTTTGGCTTGGGCATGCTGGCGCACGCCGTGAGTGCGCTCGTAGTATTCTCCTTTGGCTTCGTAAGGCCCGCCCAGCCCCTCGCAACTCTCGCAAACGCCTACTAACAGCAGTTCGCCGCAGAGGCCGTTCGTCAACTACTACGGCTGCACCTTCATCCTCTATGAGCTCTCGTCGCCGTTCCTGAACTTCCACTGGTTCTTCGACAAGCTCGACATGACGGGCTCCCGTGCCCAGCTCTACAACGGCATCATGCTCCTCGCGACCTTCTTCTGCTGCCGTCTCGTCTGGGGCACTTATCAGTCCGCGCGCGTGTACCAGGACATGTGGGCGGCAATCAACCACAAGCCTGCCGCATCGGACGTGCACCTAGACGCCGTGAACGGCAACAGCACCACCGTGCCTATCTACGGCGATACCATGAAGTTCGCCGGCGAAGAGTTCGTCCCGCTGTGGCTCGCGTTCATATACCTGGGCAGCAACGTCGTCCTCAACACCCTGAACTTTTACTGGTTCGCCAAGATGGTCGAGACGGTGCGGAAGCGCTTCGAGCCTCCGAAGGAGGACGCCAGGAGGGAGAAGGCCACCGCGACCATCAGCGCCGGCGCGAAGGGGAAGGTCATAATCGATGTAGAGGGGACCGAGGTCCGGCGGCGCAAGGTCGCGGAGGAGGAGCCCGTCCCCCCGCTCGCGTGACTTGGGGGGGTGTAGGGCTCTCTCTGGGTAAAGGGGTTGCTGATTGATTTGTATAGCATGGGTTTTCTGGGTCGGCGAATTCTGGCGTAACTGTTGTCTCGTGTGTGTGTGGCTGTTCAGGTTGTATTGAGCTTCAATCCCTAACGATGTCTATCCCTCTTTTTCGGATTTTTTGCATTTTGCATTTTGCGGAAAGGGAGTTCTCTGGATGCATATTAAAAATATCTGAAATGAATATGTGCTAGAACCACGACACTTCACTATTGGGCCCCATGGTCGATTCTGATTTGGAACAGGTACATATCCCTGAAACTCGGGAATCCGAATCAAAGAGTACTTGCTTGCTTGCTTCCCGAGTGATAGATAATTCTAGCGGGCCGGCAGGAGGAAACCAACCGCATCACGTCTCATCTCGGGATATTTGCACATATTCATAACTTCGTAAGAATTCATCTATATACATCATACAGCTCCCACCAAATGCCTTATTTTTTCAAGAGGTGAGAACTCTTCCAAATACCTCTCTCCTTATACCATTCCTCCACATGTCATGCTACGAAGTGAGAAGCTTCTGAAACTAATATATCCATCTCTCCATCCATCCCTCCATCCGTCAATCCACCGGAACAAGAAACGAAAAACTAAAAAGGGGAAGAAAAGAAAAAAGCACCTCGGAATGGCGCTCAAGACAGCATTTCTCATGCCTAGCATGCTTATCTGGAGTTTGGCTTCCATCGGGGCAAGAAATGGTATTGTTTCTCTCCATTAGCTTTTGGTTTCCCTTCCCAGCTTACGTGGTGCACTGCCAGTACTGTTATGTTATCGTCAGCGGGATTTTGCACTTTTATGTTTACTTGATATGTCTACGGGGGAGGGATAGATAGGATGGATAGCTGGATACAACGTACCGACAAACACGACAATGGCGACAATGGGTAGAGGCCAAGCGGTCTCAGCCAGCACCACAGCGCCATCTCCATCGTTGGCGGTGGCGAGGATAGAGAGGAGGCAGAGAGCGACACCGAATACGATGTGGGTGGCGAAACGGAGCCAGGAGCCTTTGGTATAAACGCGGACGTTGACCAGGCCCAGGATGCCCATGATGATGATTGTAAGACCGGTTGCGATGAAGAAGTATTCGAACTAGAGATGTGGGAGGTTTGGGTTAGCGGGGATGAGGTCTTGGTTATATCGTGCTTGCGGGTAAGGGGTTTGTAGGGTCTAGGAAGGGTAGCCACTTACCACGAGGGAGGCAGTATCGAGCTCGGCGTTGGTCTTATCGGAAACGGTCTCAGTCCCGTTTGGCGGTGGAGCCTCGAATCCGTAAGTATCCATGATGGAATTCAGAACCACGAATCCGACTTCGGCAACCGCGTCTTCAAGACCCGTATAGTTGGCGTCTGTGGATGTATTGGACATCAAGAGCGAAAGTTGTTCGGAGAGAGCTCCCACTGTTTCCCCGACCTCGGCTTGAGTAGTGGTATTGTCCGTTGGTGGATATATTGCGAAGATGTTTTGAATCGTACTGTTTACAACCCTGATGAGATCATCTGGATTTGTAAAGTTCGTTGACCCGTCGCTGTTTGCGAATGTGCGCAGAGTGTTGGTCAAATTTCGGCCGAATTGCCTGGTAGACAGTTAGAATAGAAAGCAGAGAAAATTGGCCCCCATCACTTGAGAGATGGCTTACATGTATGCCTCCATGATCTTCTGCCAAATGACAAACTGTGCCATGCCTGATAGGCAGAGCACAAGAGCGACGTGAAAGGGGAAATGGAGGAATGACCAGATCTGTTGGCGAATGGAACCAAAATGGTGGCGATTAAGAGTGTCGAAATAGAGCATGTAGAATAGATACTACAGATAAAAGGGTCAGCCTTTTATAATCCAGAGGAAAACGAGACACTCGAACTCACGATAGCGGTGATCCCACCCAAGAGGGCTCCAATATTTGCAGATGTCCAATGGGCTTGGTTTGAGGAGATCTACTCGTACGTTAGTTGGAGCTTAGGCTGAATGCAGAGAGGGAAGCAACCTTCACAACGCTCTTTAGGATATCGATAACACCCTCGCCCACTGTTCAAGACGTTAGTAAGACTGGAAATGTTCAAAGGGTTAGTGGTCTTACGAATATACAAAGTGAGGAGGCTCATGCGCTCGATCAAGTGCGTCCCCTTGAAGGTAACGACCTTCCATTGAGAAGAGACTCCGATGTTGATGAGCATTTCAGCTACTGCAATGACATAGAATGCCCTGTATGCATGATTGCTGTGCGCAAAGGCACTGGATAACTGTTATCAGTGGACGCCACCTCCAGAACACATGAAGAAACTTACAAGCTGATTCCCAAGTAGATGATGGCGGCACCAAACTTTGTACCGCTGATCAAAGCCAGAGGAAGTTTGGTGTTTTTGTATTCTCGGACATGGTATAATACTAGCAAGTATTGCAGACAGAGGACGAATCTCGAAACCATCAGAATCAGTGCTGTTGAAGGAGTCAGCGACTAATATGAAATCTTGATGAAAGTGGCACATACCCATGACCTTTAATTCTGGATTGTGCTCTTCCGTGTCGAATTTAGGACCGGAGACAGCCAAACCAACCATCACCCCCAGATGAGCACCTTTGGCAAGTCGAGCGACCAAGCTATCAGAGACGAAACGGATGTCGTAAAGACTGGTTAGACACCAGGTAAACCATAAGATGCAGAAGAAGCCGATGTAGGAAGTGAGCGTTTTGACATTGTTGATCTCGTGAAGGTTGGAGAAAGTCGTCAGGTTGGCCACGAAGAACAGGTCGTAGAATAGTTCGATGGCTGTTGATTCCTCATGCCTCTCGAAGACCGGGAGTTCATCCCCGGTGCACGCACTCTCTTGACTCTCCGTGTGAGCGATCTTTGTATTACTGCCTGCCTCAGCGCTCACAAAAGTATCCATTCTCGAACTCGCCCTTGACAACACCGGGCTCCCCACAAGCCTCAGCTTGGGGGTCACGTTACTATCCTTCCGTTCTACCATGATGGAACTTGCCAAGACGGGATCAAAAGCGACAGTGAGGTGAGAAAGGTATTGTGGAGAAGGATGAACAAGAGCATACGCTTCAGTCTTCGAAGGAGTCGACGCCGAGAAATATTATATGCGCCCAGCCTTCTCTTCAGGAGGAGGCGATGGCCGTGGGATCGCGTCGCACTGCACGGTGTTCAAAGCATCTTCTGACGATCTTCCCCCAATCTAAGCCTCATAAATGTCGACCAAAGCCAGCGACTACCGCCCGCCAATGAAGTAGCGGAAACTTCCAACACGATGGAGGGGGGTTGAAGGCACGCTGAGCCCCCAGTTCCAACTGGTACGGAGCATATCAATGTGATGGGAAGCGGGAGGACCAGATCCTTGCTGTCGTACGGTGCACTTTCCACATCTTGGAATACAGTCATCTATACCCTGTAGGGCAGGGAAGGGGGCCATAAGCTGGCCCGTCAGATGTGGCCCAGAGCACTCGCTGATCAGCCATTCGTGAAGACTTTCGACAACTGACGGGCCTCCTTTGGATCATTGATCCTCATGGCATACTGATATTATACTTATAATAAGCATTTGCGCTGTGATAAGAAATACAAGTAAAAGAAGTAAAAGACGTTGAAGAGAGGTTCCACACCGTGGACGGTTCCTGTACGAAGGCTGCTTCAGGAGTTGAGGGCTGAAGCTGGAGGCTGAAGGATCGAAACTATTATTACCTTTTGAGCGGCGGTGCACGGGGCTGCGCTGACCAGGCTGATGTTGGGGCCTGAGACTTCAGGCTTCCATGTCATCTCTAGCGAACCCCTGGGACAGAGGAGAGATGAACGACGAATCATAATGCTACGGGATATGTATGTACGCATCAATGATCCCCCTGTATAGAGACTGACAACATCAGCTATTCGTCTCGTTGAAGCAATGTTGGTGAAGATCCATCCCAGTGACATTCCGTATCCTGGCTCTTCTGAAACGGCACAGCAGAGAGCCTTGCCAAGACCAACATGTTGGTTTTTGCCCATCGCAACCTCCTCCACGCTCTACCCCGTACGCACAGTCCCCGAGTCGAACCCTGACAGCCAATTGCTTAAATACGATTGAGATCCCTGGTTTCGTTGGTGCCATGATGTGCGCGGCATGATTGGCTGCGGGATTGCCAGATGGTTGTCAATAGTACAATACATATCGTACCATGACATTGACCACAACCCTTTCATGGAACATCCTGATATGTCAATCGCAAGGTGTTGGCTTTACTGCACTGCTACTGTACTGTAGACAGTACACTTCACCAAGTACATCTGGCCGCCTCGGGGGTCAGCAGAGGATGATCTTTCATGCTGGCTGCGGCGTAGGCACTGGGCCTGGATCTTCCCAGCGCTTATGTTTCTATGCCATGTACAGCATACAGAGTACGATGTACACACTCTGTACGGGCATAGCCCCATCCCATCGACAGACGCCATTTCCACACACAGATTATAACATTCAACCCATTGTTCCTCTGGAATCCAGCAAGAACCACTATAGGATGAAACTCTGGCCTATCCAGCCGCCATCCTACTTCCAACTGTGGCTTCTGTAGATCATATATATATACCTATGATCGTCATACAGCTTGAGAAAGGAAATAGGTAAGGAGAAAGAAAACCATCGAGATAATCACGTCTACATACCTACATACTCACTCACTAATCCCTATGCAATGCGCAGGGCACTATGTTCGCATTATGTTCTCTTCCCTCTCTTTCATTCCGACCACTCAGGTGATTTCGCGGGCTTGAGATAGTTCCCCCTATTTGCCTTATCAAGTTATCAATCACCCTTGCTTCACAACCATCCCTACCATCTCACAACATCTATCCCTCATACACACCCATCAACCATGATGCATACATATATCATCCGACACGAAACCTAAGTCCCGTGACGATGATCATATCCTCTGCCATATCACGCATACACGGAGCTGAAATAGCACTTGGGATATGACAACACCAGGTATCTAGATAGCTTAGCGACCTGCGGGCATAACTTCTGTAATAACACCAACACCTTCCAAATACAAATCAAGAGAAAGAGAGAACGAACAAACAAGAGAAAATAAAGCGCGGTAGCTCGACTTCCTTCCTTCCTATGCACTCCGCACCGTTGAGCACAGTCAGCGAGGACCGAAGGTCTTCAAACAAACAAAAACGCGTGCTTAACATATAATACAGACGTTCATTATGTCTGTCTTACTTGATATTCTTCTCTTCATTTTCTCAAGAGAGAGTTTGATGATGTAGGGATCTTCTACTCGGTGGGGGTTGCATGCGACACGAGGGGTTTCTCTTGAGATGAAAGGGTAAAGTCGATTAATCGATCCTTCCTGCTTATATGATTGATTGTACTGTAGCTCAGAAAGATCAACATACACATCCTAGTCCACATATCGAAAGGGTATTTTTAGGCATCTTGATTCATTTTATATGCATACTTCTTTCTATTGCTGCGGGGGAAAGGGAACTTAAATGCAGCTGTACATCATCGTCGCGGAAAGACTTGGGAAATTTATCATTTGCTCTTGGACATTTGGACGCTAAAGAAGACATGCAACCCGTGATTGATCCCCATTCTCATAGCCGTCTCTGGGAAAAAGAAGAAACAAAGGGGACGGCAATGTTCATGCATTAAGATAAAATTTACAGCCCTAGGCAACCGGCAAAACCGAGCAGAGGACACGGGCAAGGGTTTCCGAAACTATTGACACCTCAATGCCTAGCTATGCCTATTCTACAGAAGAAACATTCGCCAGCCAGGGAAGAATATACAGGCTCGCCATTTAGAAACCAAAGGGGTTTTGCGGAGCTGCAGACAGTTAGTACTATTCTACCCGAGGATAAACTGCATGGGGCTACTTACTAGCTTGAGCCAAATTTGCTCTGCGCCCTGTGGCCTGGGGCATGAGCTTCTTTGTATCGCCAGTAACTCCAAATCTCACTGGTGGAGGTGGACCGGTCTTTTGAGGGACGAGGGGCATTGGGGTAGTCTGTTGAGGGATGGGAGGAACTGGAGGCGGGTTGAAGGTTGAATTGAAGCCATTGCTCTGTATACCTGTGGGTGTAGGCTGTAGAGCAGGAGGCAGGAACGAGTTGATTCCAGTCTGTTGCGGGAATTGCTGCTGTGGCTGCGGCCCGAACGAGCTTTGGAATCCTGTAGACTGTGGCTGAAGGGGCTGCGGCTGAAGGGGTGCAAATTGTTGAGGTCGAGGATCGGAGAATGGGCTTCCATTGTTAATAAACTGCTGTTGCGGCATACCAGTTTGCAGAGGGTTTTGAAATCCATTTGGCTGCTGTTGGTTTGGTTGCTGCATCCCATTGTATTGAAAGCTGTTTGGTTGCTGCGGAATAGGCTGCTGCTGGATTGGCTGCTGTTGGATTGGTTGTTGCTGGATCGGCTGTTGGATGGGTTGTTGCTGCATGGGCTGCTGTTGGTTTGGTTGCTGCATCCCATTGTATTGGAAGCCGGTAGGCTGTGGCATCATATTCATGTTCTGCATGCCATTTTGCGGGTTGTTGAAACCAGTGTACTGCTGACGCATTCTCAACTCCTCCAAACTCTGACCTGGCGGAGCAATCTGAGACTGGAATCCGCTTGAGTTTTGTATGCCTGTGCTCTGGGGTTGGAGAGGAGGCAAACCAAAGCCGCTGTTTTGATTTACTTGCGGCGCTGATAAAGGTCGGTTGGGAGGAGCGGGAATCATGAGTGACCCCTGGGACTGAGTTTGAAGCTGCGGAGCGGCAGGTCTCTGGCGAGCAATGTTCTGTGGGAAATTTGTTTGGGCGGTAAACTGTGTTGGTGTAGTATTCTGTTGCTGCTGTTGCAGACCCGTTTGTTGCCCACCAATGCCCTGGAAGAACGACGGCGTAACTGCTGGTGGAGCCTGTTGCTGTGGCTGCGGCTGCGGCTGTGGAGTTTGCATGATTTGGGGTTGTGAGACTGGTGGCGCCGTAGGTTGTGCCTTTACAGGCTCAAGAGGCGCCGTAAGTAAGGACAACTCCTGCATCGAGCCAGTCAAAGTAGGCCGCTGAGGAGCGGGGGCCGGAGCCGGAGCCGCAGCAGGAGCGGGAGCTGGTGCGGATGTTGCTGGGCTAGGTGCCGCCGCTGGCTGTTGCTTCGAAGGCTTTACATCCCAGGCGTCATCGTCAAATCCGTTTCGAACGGGGTCCTTCTTTTCCGGAACAGGGGCAGAGGCAATAGGTGTAGCAACACCTTCGTGGGTTGCTGACTTCGGAGTTTCCTGAGAGAAGGCCTTGGGATCAACCACATCGCTAGTCTGCACAGCAGGTGCTGGACGACCTTTCCGAGTGTTATTTCTCAAAGTGCCACCAGGTCCAGAGAAGAGACCAGCGGGAGATTCACCGTCTGGAGTAATGACTTCTTCCCCACCGAAACTAACATTTCGTTTGTTTCCAGTTCGCCCGAACTTCTTGTCAAGGAACCTCATCACCTTGATAATATCTCCTTCACGCAGTCCAAGTGTCCGGAGGACAGTCGAATCAACATCGGATAGTACGCTCTCATCCATTGAATCCCTGGCGAATGTCTGTGCATACCGTTCGCAGAGCCCAACAGCGACATCGCAGGACAGGAAGAACTGAAACCAGTCATACTCCGGCTTCTTGGGCCTCTCAATGGTAGCACCAGCAGTAATTCTGGAAGAGTCGTCTCTGGAGCGTTCACCCGGGCGAGATCGTTTCCTATCTAGTAGTGGCTTGTCATTATCTAAGGATTCTCCGGTGATGCGTTCGACATATTCCAGGTCTTCAACAGACATCTTCCCGACCGGCACGGCAATCTTGACGCCATTGACTTTGTGAAGATTGATCTTGCCATCCTTCAAGGCTAAGAATTGCGCTTCGACGCTGAAGGTTTTTGAACGATCGGTCCAGGTTCGTACTTTGGTTGGATCGGGTTCTATTCAGGTCAGACTGTGATTGGTCAAACTTGGGTTTGCTGAAATACTCACTTGACTTCGAAGCTCGGGCCTGACCACTATCACTTCGTCCGTGTTCACGTCTCTGTTGGCCATGAATGTTACCGCTGTCTCCAGCCATTAAACTGCTTCCCCTTTCGGGTAATCGCATTCCGGGGCCTACCTCTGACCCCCTCATCTCTTCCTCTCTTCGTGACGCCCTCACAGACTCCTTTGCCAGTCGTTCTTCCTCGAGCCTGTTCTGCGCAACAGTCGATCTTCCGGCATTAATACCGGATACAGTGGGCGCGTCGATAGTCCCTGTGATCTCGATATAGCTGCTTGGGACAACTCCTTCCTTGCCATTCCTGATACGTCGAACCTGCCACCATTCCTCACTCTTCGAATCGTCGATAATTATAACCTCGTCCCCAACTGCCACGGTAACCTCGTCGTCTCCCTGTGCCATGAAATCGTATAGCACTTGCCCTTTCTTCTGGCTCTGGCCAGATCCTGCAAGTATTACCTCCCGTAGTCCTTCAGCTCTTACAGCCCCTGCAAGCTCTCCAAGGGCGCCCACGATCTCTTCAGCTGTATCCTTCGCCCCAGCATGAAAGTCAATGCTCCTACTAGGACGCACTAGTTCTAAGAAGATGTGCTTGCCTTCGATCGAATAATGTGTCATTTTCTCGGCGGTCCACGTTTGCTCGGGACCATCCCGGGATTTTTCAGGAGCTATCATGATTACTCCTGTAGCACTGTTGATACCTAAAGTTGTTGGCATCTTCTTCCGTTTTCCCATAACGGACACCATCTCATTGATGTTGTACATATGGAAACCTCCCTGTGAACGGACCGGAGCTCCATCCTCACCCCCCTTATAAGAAGCTCTGTTGTACGGTGGAGAGGCCATGACACCATGCGGCGATGTCGGGGACTTCGGAGTATAAGACGTATCGATGGGCTCTGGGGCTCTGACTTGCGAAACTGGACGAGCGGGCAGCGCTGGTGTCGGACCTTCGTCCTCATCAGAGGCTTCAGGGGTAAATTGGGGAGGAGCACGCGCTGCCGGGGCAGCCGACTGCCGCTGGTTCATGATACCTGCTATGGCTGCTGCTGGGCTCTGGACTGGAGATGGTTCGGATTGGTGCTGGGACCTATCCTTTTCGCTAACTGTAGGTCTCCTTGGAAGGCTTGGTGGCGGAGGCTCTGACGGGAGCTCTTGAATCTCAATATAGTTTGCAGGCGCAAAGCCATATTCCCCATCGAGACCGACCAATATCCAATCTGGATCGGATGTATCAAAGACTTCCAGTTGAGCATCTTCAGTAAATGAGAGCTCCTCGTCGGTCTGCCTTGTATAATCGTAGAGCGCACGCGCATGGTGGGTCGGACGTGCCTGTCATCTTGGTCAGTAATGTCACACATCTTAGATTCCTCAGAGGAGAATGCATGTATTTGTAGACAGAGGTCAAGCCGTAGCCTTCCACTGTATCCCAAGTCCCAAGACATGTGTATTTGAATCAGATACCGGAGCCCGACACATACCTCCTCGACGTAGTTATTCGGGATCAGCCCAACGGGTTCGTCATCGTCATCTCCAGACGCCTTCTTCTTGGCCTTCCACCAGTCGTCCTCTCCGCTCTTTTCTAGCACATAGAGGATGTCTCCGTCGCGGATCGCAAGCTCGGATTCTCCTTGAGGCACGTAGTCGTAAAGAGCCTTGTAGACGCCAAGAAACCCCATGTTCGCGGGCCTCACCTGGCAGAGCCAGAGACTATGGTGATTGATTCGAGGTGAGTATTGTCCAGCGGATGGATCTTAGGGGAACCCATGTAATCTCGGGAGGTCAGTTCCCAGCTCGAGGGGCCGCAATCCCGGGATAGCCAGACGGGCTCTGGCGCTCGGCGGACGGACGTGCAAATTCGTAGGGAGGTCCCAGAGACGGTGGATAAGCCGGGCTGAGGATTTGCTCGCAGGCGCCAAGGCTGAAGCAATGTGGAGTGGGTTATAGGAGCTGTCGAAGGTGGTGTAGGCCAGACCAGATTACTTACTGTACGATTTGCAATGACCGCCGGATGCCTCGATATGAAGGCGGAAACGTCGCCAATGCAACCCTGGCCGACGAACGTCACTTGGCCGACCTCGAAGCCTTGTTCCCGACGTGCACGCTTCGGGGCAGAAAAGACAAGAGATAACTGGGTGGGATATTTCAGAGCTGCCCTCACAATTCTCAATATCGCGGGCTTGGAAGAGCTCTTATCAGATTGAACTGTCTCGTGGTCGCGGGTAGCCGTTAAGGAGGGGTCAACGCCAAGGTGTCGGTTTTCCATCTGCCCAATGCATACGATTACATGTCGCTACCCTTCACTCAATAAAGAAGCACTCTGGCCGTGGATTAAGTTCCGCTGAGGAATCATCCTTTCTTTTCTTTCTCTCTTCCTTCCTTTCTTTTTATATCTCTGCTTAGGCTTTATACACTGTATACTTTGGACTTGGTTGCCCACGTAAACGTACTTAACTCTCTTATTAATTCAGGGATCAATAGGCTAACCGCAGATTCATGGAGCTACGAATACAGCATAGATTGCATGCGTGTCTGAGACGGCATGCTGTGGATTCAAGACCTCCGCATTTCCATAGCACCTTGTACGTTGTAGTTGGTGATCACTGAGAAGCCACCGCTTTTACTTCGACAGTGTTACTGTAACCTCTCTCAAAGCATAACGCACCGAGTTCAAACCGCCCGGAGAAACTGGCAACGCAGAAAAACGAGTGAACATTTACTGGCTGAACGCTGTCATAAAATACATTATTGACTGACATTGGACTATGCACGATCTCGAAATTAACCGCCCTCGAAACCTCCCTTCTCCTCCCCGCTCACGACTGGCTGGCAAGGTAATTCGCAGCCTGATGAATTCTACGTCAGCCGACCATTCATAACCTTATCTGTAGTTACTGGAACTTACCCTTTCCAAGTTATAGTCATACTTCTCCAGAGCAGCCAAGGCGTCATTCCTGGCATATCCCATTCCGGTCAAATTTTTCAAGATAGGGTCATCATGGACCCCAGACTCTGTGAGGGCCCTGCCAATTTGTGGTCTCTCCTTCGCCGTCCCAGTGGTAGCGGTACCATTGCCTACGGGCTTGGGAGGCTCAGGTTGGGAGGTGACCGCTGGGGCAGGTCCATCAAGACCCGCAAAAATCGCATCCCAATCATGGTTTTCATGAACAGTGTTTGTGTTTGCAACTGTCTGTTGCGCTGATTGGGTTGGTGATTGGGTGAAGTCTCCAAAGGCACTGCCTACCCCAAAGCCAGAGGTGCCGTGAGAGGAGTGTTCAGGGCCTTTCGGAGGAGGAGGAGGGCTGTCGAACATTGGATTGAAATCATCCAGACCAGATCTGTCGACGGAGATGTTCGCGAAATCATCATCTGCGTCTCCTTCTTTGGCATCTTCTAGATCATCAAAATCATCAAAATCATCATCGGCAGGCGCCTTTGCAGGAGGGACTGGCTGCGATGTGATTTGCGCACCTCCAAACTGAGTCTGTCCCCCTATAGACTGGGATATTCCAGAAGCGTTCTCCGTAGAGGTCACTGGAGGTGACGACGGTGTAGGATCTTCACGCTTCGGGAGAAGACCAGCAAACTGTTGCACGTCTGAATATGCCTGTTCGCCCGGAGTCACGGCCTTGTCGTACGACGGTGGTGACGCTTGAGCACCGGCTGAAGGCGGATTGGCACCAATGCTCCTAGCAGACGATGTCTGTGCTAGACTTGGCCCAAGAACATCCCCCGCGCCATCTCTATTAGTGCTCGCTGGTTGCATTCCAGAACTAGCCTTTCTGCTATGCTCTGGAGATGGAGGCGCGAAATCATCATCAAACCCTCCACGCTCACTGGCACTGTCACTGTCATCATCATGATCCAACTCTGCTATGGGTGGGAATTCCTGGTTCAGGCCCGAAGATGCTGCGGCAACCGAACCTTCATTAGAAGAAATTCCAGTATTTGAGCGCTCTTGCGACTTGGAGTTTCCAAACCCAGCGAAGGCAGCATCGAAGTCATCTTTGGCGGTTGCAGAACGTGTTGGCTCTCTGCTGAATGGATCGGCTGCAGCCTGTTCACTTAGAGTGCTACCACCAGTAGGTGTCGCAACAATGTCGGAACCTTCTCCAGGGAAGGCCCCCGGTATCGGGTCCCTTCCCGGCTCATTAGCGGCGGGCGAGGCATTTGACTTGCGGTCAACTCCAGGAGAAATTGCTCTAGTGGTGTCGGATTGACCTCCTGCTGGAGAAGAACCTGCGGGTGTTGTGCCGGTGTAGTTCGTTGGGGTATCGGAACTGGAAAATCCTTCTCCAAACCTACTATTAGGCGCGGAGACTTGCCTAGATGAACTGAGAGATTCATCGTGTTCTGAAGGGAAAGGCAAGAAACTTGAACTTATTTGCCTCGATTCTGGTGGAGGCGGTGGGTCAGAGGCTTGAGGAATCTCTCGGTTGGTGGTTCTTGGAGAGGCCGATGGTGAAGGTACGCCACTCCCGCTACCAGATGCTGAACGAACTGGGAGAGTTGAGGTCAATGTACCAGTTGGGGATCGAGTTTCGCTATCCTGTCGGAATGTTGTTGGTGGGGGGCCTCCATTAGAAGCGGCAGCAGCACCAAAAGAGGGACCAAAAACGTTATCAAATGATCGGTCCTGCTGAGTTGCAGCGGGCGAGGCTGAAAATGTTGAAGTTTCCGAAGTGCTGCCTTGACGGCGGAAGAAAGGGTTGTTCGCGCTCATAGTTGAAGGTGCAGGGCTTGCGACAGGGGGAGGGCTTGGAGTTTTGGCTGCCGCTGCCGCTGCAAGTGTCTTTGTGTCTTCTTCGATGCTCTTATTGAGCTCTTCTGCCTCCGCCTTCAATTTCTCCCTCTCGCTTTCATTGGTTGCTAGCTGCTTTTTGTTAATTGCAACCAGGCCCTTCTGCTGACGAGCATCTGACCTCAGCTTCTCTAATGCAGGCTTCAACTGTGCGATTTCAGCATTAACTGCTCGCATTCGCTCCTTGAGAGATTCATTCTCCTGCTGGTCTGCTTGCAATGCAGCGGCAGTTTGACGGTGCTGATTTTGAAGGTCCTGATATGTCCCCTCAATCATAGCAATTTCAGTCTGGAGCTTCTTTGTCTCATTCCGAGAGGCCGTAAGTCGTTCTTCCAAGCTTTTGACATCTTTCACTTCCTGCTCATACAGAGTACGAAGTTGAGCTAACCGCGTCTCAAATTCACGTTTCTGGGAGCCTGCCTGGGTAAGTTCATTTTGAGACGTAACTCGCTGTGCCTGGACATCCTGCATCTGTTTTGATAAGTTCCCAACCTGATTTGACAGATTCGCAAGTTCGGTAGTTTCGTCTGTCAGTTTCTTGCTAATTTCTGGGTCATTATCACCCAGCAAATCTTCCGTAGCGGATGGCTGCTGCTGGAAGCTTCTTTGGTGAGATAGACCAGAGTTGTTAGAGCCTCCAGTTACAGTATGGCTTAAGGTTTGCCCAAATGACGAAGAAGGGGTGAATGGTTTGAAGACGGTGGATGGTGGTGGAGAGCCGTGATTTGGTGAGCTAGGGGCGATTGGGTTGGCAAAAGAATTCGAGCCTCCTGTTGATTGAGGTGCCTGTGCTGGAGCAGGAGGCGAAGATAGAGCGTCAAGACCAAATAAATCCTCAGCCGCCGACTTGGGTAAAGTTGGTGCAGGGTTCTCGAATGCTGGTGCCGTCGTCAGAGGAGCAGGTCTGACTTGGTTGCGCATGCTTGGTGGAACTAGATTAGGAGGGAGCGTGGCTGGTAGAGATTCGCGTCCATCTCGTTTGCCTCGCTGTTGTCGAATAAGGTACATAGCGACTGCAAATTCATCCCTGGATAAACGACCAGCTGAATTAATGTCCGCAAGATCCCATATCTGTGCTAGAGCCTCTTCAGGAAGTTTTGATTCGCTGAAAAATGGCACAGCTTCATCTCCTGTAATAAACCCTCTGTTGGTCTTGTCCAGAGTATTGTAAATTCCATCAAATTTAGCCTTGTCCGCAGGAGTAATCGCCCAGTCGCTGGCAAAACCTGTGGGTTGAGGGTACTGCGGAGGAGCTGTGTATGCTGAGCGGCCGAGAGGGCTACCCGCACGCCCAGCACCGGCGGCACCGCTGAATTGCCTTGGAATAGCTGGCATACCACCTGAGGGCTGGCGACTTCCAGGCCGTCGAGCCGCTGCTTCATAGAGACCAGCGGGGAGAACGTTTGGTAAACCCCGGAGAGCCCCCGATTTGAAAGATGCTAGCAAGTGCATAGCTATCACGAACTCGTTCACCTGTAGAGCTCCGCGTTGTTCGGTATCCGCAAGGTTCCAGATCCTTCCCAGGATTTCATTTGGCAGCCCTGCACGTTCGAATATCTGTTTTGCTTGCTCTCCCGGGAGCACTCCCCCTTGCGCTCCTGACTTCTCAAATAGCGCCGCATATTGGCCCGCTTTGTCTGGAGTCAAAGCAGGAACTCGTATGGGTCCGGATCCGCTTGGTTGCGGTTGCAGAGCATTTGGCGGGGGACCGGGAGGAGGTTGAACCGTAGGGCTGATTCCTGCACTTGTGTCGAACTTGGGAAGAGGACCAGGACGGAGGGCCAGCTCGGGGGTAGGTTCCCGCCCAGCTTGATAATGTCCGATCAACCGCAGGACAATCCCAAAGCCTGCAGGCGTGAGCAAGCCCCGATTCTCTGTATCTGCGATTTGCCATATCTAAAGGGCAGGATACATCAGTATCAAGTTTGACAACAAGGGTCCTGTTGAACAACGGGGCCGCAATAAGAAATACATACCTCTCCCAAGACACGAGGTTCAAGTCTAGTCTTCTCAAAGAACTTGACGGCAACCTCTCCAGTCACAACTCCAAGGCCCTCTGTGTCTGCCTGTCGAAATAGTTGGCCGAACACTCGCTTCTCTTCGGGCGTGAGGTTGAGAGTCGGCGCCGCTACCAACGCGTCAGTCAGCATTTTGAATCTCAAGTCTGAGCCCTCTGTCAATCTCCTCCTCGGTCATCCCAGCCTCCAGCAGAATTCCCCATTCCGGAATTCCGCATCAAAGGTGGCAAGCGGAATAGACAAGCTCTTACCTGGATCTTCGGCCATGGCGCTCAGCTTCGACTCCTACGAGGACGGCCTAGTGTTTGCCCGATCAAGAGATTATTCGATGTGGAAGTTGAATAAAGCTGTAGATATGCCCGCCGAAGATAGCTGAAGCTCAGTCTATCACGAAACGGCTTCACACTATGTCGTCGACTCGCAGGGTAAATGCAAATTAATGAGGTAGCTTGGGTGTTGATGCAGCGAGCTAAGGTCCTTTCGCGGGAGTGGAGGAGGCTGTCCATCCATTTGCTGCGGCTCGCCGGACTTAACGTTCCCAGCGAACCACCAACGAATGCAACCCAAGTCCGCTCCATTGCGGCCCTACATACGTTCAAAGGTTGGGAAGGCGTGCGGGTCACAAGGCTCGTGGAATGAATTATTGGGCCTATTGGGAGGAGTTGTGTTTATTCACGCAGATTCGAGGCAACTAATAGCGTGGGCGCAAGCTGATTATGAACGGTTGTTCTACGAAGGTTACTACTACGGTACTCGATTTACAAAGAAGTACAGCTTTATCATTCTGATCAATAGAAAATCCTTCGCCAAATCCGCATTGGAAAGGAAAGACGGCTCTATGCAAGCCTCGCTGAACATGCCATAGCTCCAATCACACCGAACGACATCATACCGCTGAACCACATACCGAACCTGACCTCTAAGCATGTGACCCCACAAGAGATAGCATAGCACTTAGCACGGGCAGGATCTAGTATTCGGCCTCAATGCTCTCATCACCCTCGAGAGAGTCGGTCGCAACCTCCTCGTAGTCACGCTCCAAAGCAGCGAGATCTTCACGTGCCTCAGAGAATTCACCTTCCTCCATACCCTCACCAACGTACCAGTGAACGAAAGCACGCTTGGAGTACATAAGATCGAACTTGTGCGAGAGAGCGGACCAGGCCTCAGAAATGGCAGTTGTGTTGGAAAGCATGCAGCTATGATATGTCAGTAGTTGAATAGAAAGTAAATAAATGATGGTAAGACTTACACAGCACGGTTGACCTTAGCCAGATCGCCGTTAGGAACCATTTGTGGTGGCTGGTAGCAAATACCAATCTTGAAACCAGTTGGGCACCAGTCGACGAATTGGATGGTACGCTTGGTCTTGAGAGTAGCAACAGCCGCATGGACGTCGTTTGGAACAACATCACCACGGTACAACAAGCAAGTAGCCATGTACTTTCCGTTGCGCGGGTCACACTTCACCATCTGGTTGTTTGGCTCGAAGCAAGACATGGAGATCTCCTGCACAGAGTTGGCCTCGTGGGATGCCTTGGCAGCAGAGACAACTGGGGCATAAGCAACGAGAGGGAAATGGATACGGGGGTATGGGACCAAGTTGGTCTGGAATTCGTTCAGATCAACGTTGAGGGAACCATCGAAACGGAGGGAGGCAGTGATGGAAGAGACAACTAGCGAAGGTTAGCATAAAAGATGGGTTTCCGTCGTCATTTAACATACCTTGAGCAATAATGCGGTTCAAGTTCTCGTAGTTGGGGCGCTCAAGACCGAGGTTTCTTCGGCAGATGTCATAGATAGCCTCGTTGTCGACCATGAACGAACAGTCAGAGTGCTCAAGGGTGGTGTGGGTGGTAAGGATGGAGTTGTATGGCTCAACAACGGAGGTAGCAGTTTGAGGTGCGGGGTAAACACAGAACTCCAACTTGACCTTCTTGCCGAAGTCGACGGACAGACGCTCCATGAGAAGGGCACCGAAACCAGATCCAGTTCCACCACCGAAGGAGTGGAAGACGAGGAAACCCTGGAGACCGGAGCAGTTATCGGCAACACGGCGAACCTTGTCCAAGACCTGGTCGATCAATTCCTTGCCAACAGTGTAGTGGCCACGGGCATAGTTGTTTGAGGCATCCTCCTTGCCAGTAATCATCTGCTCGGGGTGGAACAAGGAGCGGTAGGTACCGGTGCGGACTTCATCGACGACGTTGGGCTCGAGATCGCAGTAGATGGTACGGGGAACATACTTTCCCTGGCCTGTGATACAATAACGTGTGAATGGAGTGTTATAAGGCACAAGGGTGGTTTTCCTTACCAGTCTCCGAGAAGAAGGTGCTGAAACCCTGATCAGGCTCGGCGGCCTTGCGCTCCTCCGTCAAGTATCCATCGGGCTGTCAGACAGGAGAGCGTTAGTAATGGATAGCCGCCATATGTGCAGGGTATTCTCCCGCACTTGGATAATGGATAGACTCGGTACATACCTGGATACCGTGCTCAAGGCAGTAGAGCTACGTTAAAACCCCTATGTCAGCCACAGCCGTTCCTCATGTTGTAGCAACCAATGTAGATGGATTCGAGGGTCGAAAGCTCACCTCCCAGCAGGAGTTGGCGATCTGGCAACCGGCCTGGCCGACTATCGAGAACAGACATGTCAGTATGAGACAGGCAAAGGCAACGGAGGCAACGGAGACTATGGGACGCGGGACAGGAGCGGTGAGGACCGCGTCGAGGGGATCGTACCGTTGATGCTAATGACTTCTCTCATGTTGTTGACTGAAGGTCTCGATGGAGAAGGAGATTCAGCGTATGAAGGGTTGGATCACGGGCAGAACTCAAAATTTGCGAGAGAGGCGGTCTTGGAGGTGGTCGAGGATGATTGATACAAGAAGTCGTGTAGCCAGTGGGGACGAAGGAAAGCCCCGGGGATTATTTGATGAGACCTGGTTGTGTGGGGCGTCGTTGGGCGGATGGGATTCGCGAGTCGCGAGTCGCAGAGGCGCGGCCGCATAAACAAACAGGGACCAGCAAAAGGGGGAAGGGGCCGCTTAGTAAAGGGTAAACAGGGCAAATACTAGAGTGCCTTAGGCAGGTATCACCGCTAATCCCCGTTGGGAATCGGGGGTCCAAGCTCCCAATCAGGAAATCTGACAATCCTCCAAGGCTCCAGGTCTCCAAGAGGGCTCTGGTGATATCTACACCGCAAGTCCCGAACAGAGCATCATTCAGTCAATCAACCACACAACGCCAGACATGCTCTCGCTCTTCTTCTTCCTCTTGTCCCTGCTGCTCGCCCACACGGCCGTTGCCAACACCGAGAAAGTCATCTTTACGGGTCCCAGCCGTCTGCCAGTGCCTATTGAGCACCCGACCCTCGAAGATTTACGGCTCCATGCGCTGTCCCCGCAGCAGTGGTCGGTGAGGACGCATCTATCAGCCGAATTCCCGGCAAACGTCTCCACGGGTGGCAAAGCTTCTTGGCTCCTCCTTCGCGGGCTAGAGGAAGGCCAAAGATATGAGGTCAGGATATGCTGGGCGGCCACCGTATGTTATCTGGGTTCCCCTCCCGCATAGACTAGGCTCCCTTCTCACGTCCACAGGAACCAACGTCTTTCCGACTAGACACTTACGAACTCCCGACGGTGTTTGAAACGCCTGAGTTGATCACCTCCCTGGCAGAGTACTCCGCATCGCGGCAGCCGGGTCCAGTCGAGCTCGAAGACCAGGAACCTAGCATATCTACGCCACAGCAGCAATCCAAGCACACCTACGATGATGTCTCTTCCGCATTATTCTTACAAATCCAGGCAGCAGCAGATTACTATACCACTAATCAGACACTCATGAATAACGTTCCCCCAGTCTTCGTTGACATTATTCTTGATCCTTACATTGGCAATGTTCTCCCGCGATCTCTGGTTCCGACAGTTGCGTATATAACTTTACTTGCTATTGGGAGTTGGTACCTGTCGAAGTACATTAGCAGATGGGTACAGAGTCTGGCACGAGATGACATGGAGTCGAGATCGAAATCGAAGACGATATGACCATGGCCTGGAACTAAATCCATGCTCGATTATAAATGCTTCTATGTCAGGCGACTGCACTTTACCGCTTGGTTCTTAGGCGCCCCATGTTGACATACACCGCGACCTGAGAATCTATTTGTGAGCACCGTTGCGAAATTGATTAAGTGTCCCGACCAAACCTGCTATCCGGGAAGGAATGACACATTTACGTCCATTCTGTACTCCAGGGCCTCTTTGAATCTCACACACCGAACAGTCACACCGAGCAGCGTAACAGGATCCCGATTATACTACAAATCATGCGTCCACGCATGTGGAAGGTACTGGATGCCCGTCTAATTGAAGTAAACCCAAACCTAGCAAGAAAATCAAACAACCTTTTCATTCCGTCATATTTTCATCAATTTACCACCGCTGCTGCTGGCCACCGTACCCTCCTTGACCTCCTTGAGGCGGCCCGCCAGGCGGTGGAGGCGGAACCCCATGATGCCCGTGGTGAGGATGGCTTCCTATCGGTACATTCGGCGCACCAGGGCCTCCACTGCCGCCATAATATCCACCCGGCATCTCAGTACTATGCGAGCCTTGGTAATGCTGTGGTTGAGGTTGATGCGATCCATATCCTGGGCCATTGCTTTGACCATAGCTTGGAGGAGCACCGGGATATTGGTGAGATTGCGGGGGTGCCCCACTTCCGTATGAATTCTGATGTTGGACCCCACCATAAGGAGGAGAGTAAGAGGCTTGTTGCGGGGCACCGTAAGGCGGCTGTTGTGCAGTTGAGGGAGCGCCGCCGTAAGAATTTTGGCCGTAAGATGGTGTTTGTCCCTGGGCATTGTAAGATTGGTGCTGGGGAGTGTTTTGAGTCTGAGAGTAAGAGGAGTGGTGTTGAGGGGGTGGGTTATATGAAGTATGGGCTGTGCCACTGGGTTGGTAGGAGGTTGGAGGAGCCTCTCCAGAGTAACCCCCTTGGTGGTTGTTATGTGAGGAGTAACCAAAATTTCCTCCCTGTCACAAATAGTCAGCGTACGATCACACTACGTAGTAAAAAGCCAGCGTACCGAAGATGATTGATGGCCGCCAAACATTGTCCCCAAATTCTGCATAAAACCTCCACCCTGGCTATGCTGCGTATTGTGTGATCCCGAGTAATCTTGCTGCTGCTGCTGCTGGCTTGGTTTCTTGCCGCCCAGCAGACTGCCCGCCAACGCGCTCACAAGTGACCCAGTTCCACCACCACTACCACTGCCACTGCCACTGCTCTGGTTATGATTTGAACCACCACCCAGGAATTGACTAGCCAGGGCGGCCAAACCACCCTGATCCTGCTTCTTGCCACCCATCAACTGCTGCATAGCAAAGGACTAAGCCCGTCAGCACTCATGCACTTCCTCTCCTCCAAGAAAACGTATATAAAAAGAGAATCACATACCCCCAGACCCCTCTCCCCGTCGGCTGGCAGCGGCTCGACCTTCCCATCCGGATGCCTCAGACTCTGGCTCCCATCCGGATTCGTGATGATCTCTCCCTGCTGCTGATCCGGCGTGCCATACGGGTGATCTAGCCCGCCCTGCGGCGTAGCCTGGGGCGTTGGGCCCGTGGGCGCGGGCTGGGTCGGGGTCTCCCATTGCGAGGCTCCCGTCGACAACTGCACGAAATAGTACTTGCGGCCCATGCCGTCCCACTGGGCGATCCAGCCCTCGGGGAGCGGCGGCGGCGCGAACGAGGGCCCTTCCTGCCCGGGCCTAGAGCGACGTCAGCTTCATGTTCGGGGGCGCCGGGGCGCTGCGGGGGAAGAGGGAGAGAGGGAGAGAGGAGGGAGGAGAGTGCGCACGTTGCTGGACCTGTCATGGTCGTGACCTTGAGACGCTTTTTTTTGGCAGAGCTGATGCGGATGAGAGGAGGGCGAGGGGGAGAGGAAGTTGGCAGATGCAACTGCGAAGAAAGTTCTCTCTGAGGAACGCGATATGTAAGGGAGATCCAGTAGCGATGTCGACGAGAAGAGAGGCTGTGTTATCCCCGCTACAACTACGCACGACGGCAGCAAATCAATTTCCAGCCACAGAGTTTATTTTTTCCCCCCTTTGCCTCTACAAAATTGCCAATAATTCTCGGTTGGGCGGAGAAAGTCATCTTTGTTCGAGAGTTTCAGACATGCTGCAAATAGTCTTGATGCTGATTGGATTCCGGGAATAATATGCGATGGGTTCAAGTTCAAGTGAAGCTCGACGTTCAGCGAGATGCCCCGCTGTCTGAATTGCGTCATAACATCGCATATCGGCCATGGGGGCCTTCAATATCTGCAATATCTGCAATATCTGCCTGTGAAAGACCAAGCAACAGCTATCAAGAGAGCATCTTGGCTCCTCTTTGCCTCGTCTAGTGACGTTCTTCTGGATTTTCCATTCCCAAGCTTGTCTACCTACCTTGGGTATTGTGGCTTTTATCTCTTCATCTTTTCCATACAATATCAATTCCACCCACTTCTTACATAAGAACTGAGGGGAAATATAAAGCTCGTTCAGAGGGCCTTTCATTAAAATCCAAATCAAAAGCACAGTAATTCTCAAGTTCTGTTCTCAACTTATCATTATCTCTTTCACGATGGGTCAAGATCATCCAGACTCGCATCTATTCCCGCATGCCACCGGAGCAGCAGCGAAGATGGTGCAAGAGCATCAGCAAGAAGCTCCCTTGAAGCTTTACGCCGGCTGGGTACCTATTCTATTCCCTCCCCAAAATCTCCCACCACTCCTCTAAACTCCCCAGTTCTGCCCCTTCGTGCAACGTGTGCTTCTGGTGCTTCTCGAGAAGAAAATCCCCTTCCAATACATCGAAGTCAACCCCTACCACAAGCCCGCCTCGCTACTGTCCCTCAACCCCCGCGGTCTCGTCCCCACCCTCGAGTACGCCGGCAAGCCGCTCTACGAAAGCACCGTCGTGTGCGAGTTCCTCGAGGACGCGTATCCGGCTCCCATGCGCCTGCTCCCCAGCGATCCGTACGAGAGGGCGCGCGCCCGCATCTGGATCGATTTCGTGACGTCTCGCATCATTCCCGCCTTCCACCGCTTCCTGCAATACCAGCCGAAATCCGAGGACGATGAGGGTTTATCTAGGGTCCGCGAGGAGTTCTTGGATAAGCTGAGGCAGTTTACGGAGGCGATGGATCCCAAGGGCCCTTTCTTCCTAGGGGAGGAAGTGAGCTTGGTGGATTTGGGCATCGCTCCTTGGGCTCTGAGGTTATGGGTGTTTGATCATTTCAAGGGCGGGGTTAGAATTCCCCAGGGAAAGATCTGGGAGAGATGGGAGCGCTGGTTGAGTGCTATTGAGAGCAGGGAGAGTGTGGTGAATACTACTTCAGAGAAGGAGCATTACGTGCCGATTTATAAGAGGTATGCTGATGATACGGCAATGAGTGAGCTGGCCAAGGCAACAAGAGAGGGGAAAGGCGTTCCGTAAATATAGTTGCAAGTCCCGTATTTTAAGAGTGAAGGCAGAGTAGCCTAGCACTCAGAAATTGGTAATATAGTATACGGATCTCTGGGTTAATGCCAGCATTTTAGGATACCTTTTAAGGGTACTTGCCCGAATTATTGGACTCATTCTGGTAATCAACTGAAGTGTCATGGAGCAACTGCAAGTTGACAATTGGCCTAAAACTGTAGCACCCCAGTGAATGATTTGTTCCAACACTTTGCTAATGGGCTACATTGCACTCAGATCATTAATTTATATACCCGCTAACCCCCAAACGCCCCCGCTGCATCACCTTATCCAATCCCGCTAACTCAATTCGTACATACCCTTTTCTCCCCTTTCGCTGAGATCTTGTACATTAATCATATGTCCCGTCTTAGCAGCAGACTGCAACTCCTTCTTCGAGATCTTACATGTAGCCGTGTATCTGCACGCCGTTTTCTCACCAAAGAAACTTTCACCGGGTTTACCCCCCACAATTCCAACACCAGGACCCAAAGTATTAATCCTGTCATGATGGAGATGAGATGGAGCGAGTTGAGGCTGTGCGCAGTGGGGAGACAGAGCATGATGATGGAGACCCCTAGCCGGTTGGCCGTCCGATACCGTTTCCTGAGGCGGATCTGAACATTTGTGGTATCTTTATGGATATGACAGACTGATATAACGCCTAGGGAAGTTAGTTGGGCCGTTTGTTTATGGAAGGGGGTATGCTTACTCATGCACGCTAATGCTATACCAAAGCCTGCGCAATAGAACCAACGAAGGCCAACAGGAATATCTGCGTCGGATTTCTCCTGGTATGTCTCTGTCAGATCTTTGAGTTTGGTATCGTCACAGTCCGTGGCGAGGACTAATTTCGATATCGCCGCGCCCCCAATAACGAAACTCATAATGAACGGGAGGTGAGCGGCGGACCAGGCCGATGCTAAGACTTGTCAGTACCTATGTAGACATACAGAAGCTGAAGAATTGAGGCCTACCAGCAACCATACTCCGGCGAATTGCATGCTGAAAAAGGTCTGCACTATCAAGCTCGAAATATATCCAGTTAAAGCAGAACGCCTGGAGAAGCCCAAGCACAGCCTTCCCAAAGAAGGCGTTCAGCCCAAACGAAGCGGCATTCTGATATAGGATAGCTACAACAGAATAACCAAACACCATGGTGACGAAAGCGTCTGTGCGCGCAGTCCTGTGCTCAATATTAACGGCGGGGTAGAAGTCGAATACTTTGCCGACCCATTCCCCCAGAGAACTGGAGATACATTTGGCCCATCGTATAAGAAGGAGGACAAAAATCGACAGGCATAAATCCAGAAAAATTGCAATCCAAATCAAGGCGAGCCGGTCAGGCATTGCGACATGAATGCTGGCAATCCAAAGAGCGCCTGGAATCAAAGTTATGATGGCTTGTACTACCATCATTCCTCGTACCATGGGGACCAAGAATGAGAGAGTCAGACAGTAAGATCCCAAGAACAATCGAGCAGTGAGATAGAAGGCCACTAGTTGGGAGTAGGTTGACTTAAATGCATCAAGCATATTGGTCGTCAGGCTGCGAAGAATGTTAGTATGAGGCTTGTGGGTAGCAGTCAAAAAGCCCAAATATAGGCATGGATGTTGCATTCAACAGGTTTTTGACACCGTACAAGTATGCGGGTATCTGAGCAACTGAGTAGCATACCTACCCTACCTACCCACTAGGGCTTCGAAAGGCATAGATGTCTAGCCACACGAAAGATAGCTCAAAATACAGCTTCAGGCCCCGAAACCGTAAAAGAAAGTGGAAACCAACCCAACAAGACAAGCCATAATGAATACTACAGATACACGCTGGATAATATCATCCGTTTTGAACCAACTGATGATGAGAGCAAGGTCGCTCCAAATCTTCCAGCTCATGATGAAGGTTATTGCAAATCTCAAGAGCTCATCACCAGTTGGGTCTTCCGCGGCGTGATCACCGTTGATGGCAATTATGCCTACATACAGAAGATCGACAAACAACTCAAAAGAAGCTGTCTCGGTAGATCCACTGGCCCTCCAGAGCAGTCCTTTATGAAAGTACTGCCTGATAGTAGGCTACTTAGCCCGTTAGTGCATCCCTCCCCAGAATTAAAGAACAGGAGGGGTCCGGAAAAGAAGAGCCTTGCAGTTGCTCGCGGACTCGCCTTCTTATAGATTTTCATGACGCTGCCATTCGTCCTTTCTGCAGCCCAATCTTTGCTCTCATGGTCTGGGCCGTGCAATCCACTTATTGAAGACCGAGCGCTCGACTCGGGAGAGTCTTCATCATAAGTTCTCAGATGAGCACTATATCCATACTTTGAGAAGTTGGCATCCAAAGCCACAGCATGATCGGTCAACATGTGTAGCTCGGACCCAATAACATCCAACTCAGCACGGACATTCTCAAACTCATCATAAGCCTCTCCATGCCTGTCTCTGAGAAATTGCCTTCTTTGCTCATGGTGACTGTGGGCTCTTTTCAGCGCATCTAGGTGTTCTGGTGAGCCACTGATGACTAGTTCGAAGGGCTCATCTTTTTTGATAGCCTCTAATCTCTTGCGGAGGGATTCGGCTTCTTCGTGTGAGAGAGCAATATGGACTTCTTTACCATCTGGCAAGAGAAAATTCCGGAGTCGACGAGATCGGTGCTCCTTATGGCTCTGGCCCCCTGTAATGACGATTCCGTCATTACCACCGCTGGTCGTAGGTGTGGCAGACATTGTCTAGAACAGTGGCCATCAGATGTCTTAAGAGAATTGATACATCCAGGAAAGCCAGGCTCCAGAGAATTGCCGTCAGCCAAGAGCAATAGAGAGCATGAGGTATGAAGTTGTTCCTGTACGTGATTCCAACGCGCTACGAACCAAGTGCACGGGCCATCTTACATCGAAGATCTACATCGAAGATCTCTTCGTATCAGCTTCAGGATGAATTCTATACCTAGGATTGATTGTATCTAGCACGGAGGATAACATCGATAAAGGACCAATATCTGACAACGAGGTGGTATAAATTCTCGCTTAGCGGTTCGTGCCTCTGCACGTGAGCTGTACCTTAGGTAGCCACGTGATATACAAGCAACACATGACCGGGAGTCACTGTGGCCGAGTGCTGATCAGAATACCTAGGGGAAGCGCAGAACTGTACCTATCTAATCACTACTCGCAGAGGAGGATCAAGTTTAACTGAGCAGATCGGCTTTCTTTGTATAAAAACATGGTCTCGGATGGCCCCAGACCTGTAAAAGTGCCACCAAGTAGTGTTAGAACAGGTTACAAATCCCTCCTAAGCGGCACAACGACAATACATGATATTCTACAATCGTCATCTCTCGTCCTCCATAATGAGTGCGCCATCATGGAACGACCTAATCGAACAAACCCCTTGCTTCCATATCCATAGTCATTATATCCCGACTTCGCCCACGATCTTAGCAGCCTCTCTATACGTCTTAAGCAGCTTCTCGCATTTCTCACGTTCTTTCTTGACTGCGTCGTCTTCGTAGAGGAGTTCTTCAAAAAGCTCTTCCTTGTACAGCTCACTGACCAATCGGTTCTGGACCACATCCTTCGAGTGGTTGACCAAAAGGTGCATGACCGCTTTTGGAACTTGATCCGCTATTGATTCACGGACAATGTTGAAGTACGATGAGATCAGGGCTCGAATCAGCTCTGTTTCCATAGCCTCACGATCCGTAAGGGCTGGCTCATCGCTGTTGCCCTAAATCAAAGTTAGCTTCGACCAGATGCAAGATTCTGTAGACTTACAAATGGCGACGAGTAATCAGAATCTCTCTGTGCTCTTCCAAGTTCATAATTGTCTTCCCGTGCTTGCTGAGCTGGAGTTCTTGAGACGATACGTTCCTCCTGCCTTCGGATGCTCTGACTGAAACTAGGCTCTGTGCTTTGACTGACATGTCTATTCAAGTTTGGATTTTGTATTGGAGGTATGCTTTGTCCAGTACCAATCCCGCCGGCTTGCAAACCGCCATCCTTGCCAAAGAAATAGTTTAAGAAGGAGTCACGGGCACCGCCCGCAGCCTCCTTATTGAATCTGGTTGGGGATGCAGATCTGGCGCCATTCATCGTAGCAGCAATGCCGCTTGTGCCATTCTCGCGAACTGCAGGGGAGGAGCTACGCGCCCCCTTATGAGCATGTTTTCGATGAGGTAGGTTCTCTATCTTCTCAGTGCCGGGTTCCTCTTCATCTTCAGGGGCTTCGGTCCCGTTCGCAGCGCCCAGTTCTTTCTGCTTTCTCCGTTCTCGCCTCTCCCGTTCCTCCTGGATAAGCCTTTTTCTCTCTCTTTCTTGCTTGTTGCTCACCACATTGCTCATAGCAGCTGCTGCGCCGAGGAAGTTAGGGTGATTAGTGTTGATGTATGCTCTCTGAATTGAAATTAGAGATTCTACGTATGAAGACGCAGGGCCCAGACGTTCGCGGAGGAGATCTGACACGACTTCAATGAGCTTGGCTTGCAATCTAGGGAACCGTGTCAGTTCTGTTGAACCACAAGTGTGGCAAATCTTGATAAGCTCCTCATAGACAAGCTCGACGCATCTCTGGCTAGGAATTTCCAGGAGCTTGATCTGTGGTTTGACCAAGAGGTCAAAAGCAAGTTCGGGAACGAAAAGGCTCGGTCGTGGTCCAGTGGAATTTCGGATTGCTGTTCGGATGTCAAGTGCTGAAAGATTTGTTGTCGGGTCTATCGTTTCTAAGGAGTTTCCAAAAACCGAGTTAAAGATGTAGTAAATGCGAGCACCTCCACAGAGTTCCTTGGTGGATATTTCTGTGGAAGTACCATCTATCGAGGAGATAAAGGAAGAGGCAAAGCGAGTCATTAATTGCAACACCAAGGATCCTCGGTGTTCTTTTCCACTGAAATGCATGTCCCCGTAACTAGCCAGCTCCTGCTGTGTTTGACCCATCAATGTGTTCAGCCGCGCTTTTATATCGGGCAATCTTTCGCGAATGTGCGCCATCAATGTTGTGTTTAAGGTCTTGGCCAAGTATTGGGTACCACATCTGTTGGCCATGTTTCGGTATGCTGGGTGATGTTTAAAGAACTCTGCCTCTGATTTCAAGGCCTCGGACAGTGATTTATTCCCCTGGATATCTTGTTGTGATCGATTCACAACGCCGATAAAGCCAAGTTTCAAAGGATACACCCGTCCCGAGAGAATATCCAATGCGTTCGTACCATGGTCCATAAGATCAATCTTTGTAAGAACACCGATGGTTCTCCGGCCAAGGGGGTCGACATGCCGTGCAAGCTTCAGTGCCTCTGAATTCACAATATCAACGTTGGCAGGGGATACTGCCAGTATAATGCTGTTCGGTTTTGCGATGTATTCCGAAATAAGGTTCCGAGTCTGCTTTTCGATATCCGTGGGCTGGTCTCCAATAGGAACCTGAAAGTAACTTTAGCTTGGCGCTCTCTAGAACCTATAAGTGGAACGTCATACCTTTGTTAAACCAGGTAAATCAACCAGTGTTAAGCTCAAGACGTGAGGGGAGTAGATTTTGAGATTTATTGGTTGTCGGTTGATACCCTTGTTATTTCCAGCTATCCTGGCCGTTTCGTTCTCAATTTCGCGTTTCACCTCTAGAAAGTCTGTAAATTTTCGATTGGGCAAGTGGTGGAACTCTGCCCATTCTGGCTGCGTGGCAACGCTGGCCGCTGTGTGCGGGTCGGCTGCATCGTCCTCGGCCGGGACGTTGATGAGCTGTAGAATGAGCGGTCTCCGAGTTACGATGCCACTGCCACGGGGCAAAAAGTCTCGTCCGACAATGTTCTCGAGGACTGAGGATTTCCCTGAAGACTGTGATCCAACGACGACCTAGAACAGAGGAATCAATCAGTTCAAAGTCGACGAAACCAAGGGGTGGAAGCGTACAATCTGAGGCAGATCCAAGCTATCATTGCCGATAGTGTTGAAGACCAGATCCTGAAGCTTGTTGACGATTCCGAGCAAGTCCTCACCAAGGGAAGCCATCTTGCTGGGATGGGGAGTCGAGAAGGGCCGGAAAAGGTTCACAGGCGAGGTGATGCGTCGCGTCGACGAACTCTAGAGGTAGGTGTCTCCTTTGCGGGAGAGAAAGGATCCCGGAGAGGAAAATGCAGTCGAAGAAGTATCCAGAGCAATCGGGGATGCTAGGACCTAGCACGATTGGGTGTGCTCGTGGGTCTTGTTGATAGGGACTGAAGTTCAAAAAATACGGAGTTTCCAGGACCGGGCGTTGGTCGCGATGCCAGTTGCCGCCAATCAGAGCGCCGAGACACCTGCTCACCCCCCAGCATGGTCGCCTGAGGTCCTCAGGCTGAACAGCCGCATGAACAGCGCCGCTTTAATTAGACCTCGGGTATGTTCTGGGCCTATTTATAGGTACCTATAGGTAAGTACCTCTCTTCCTTTCCCCCTAATCAACATGTCGGCATGTCGGACGAAATCAACCACCCACCTGATATGATCCAGCTTGAAAGATATTGTCCCTTGGGGGGATTGAGGCACATTGCCTTTATGGATCGTCAGACGCTCTTGTCAAATCTCTTATGGAGAGAACAAAGGTGCTACCGCGATCAAGCGACTCTGTAAAGCCAGCAGATATAAAGAGCTCTTCATAATGACTACAGCTTACGATCCAAACGTTTGGATTGAATTTGCTTGCAACAATGACCTCTAATCTCTTCCTAGGTCACATACAGAGAGATAATGTCTGGCTCTACCCTGCTGTTGTCTCCAGTTCATTCGCTCTTGTGTCACCAATTCCTTTTATGCACACACTCCTTGTACAACCTTCACCCATGATTATGCCCTCCAAAGAAACAGATGTCAGGAACTCCCCGCCGGACGACGGGGCGAAACTGGAGAGACGACCTCTATCTTTGTACAAAGTCAGCATGAGATAGATACCTGGCTTTGGCCCCGCATTGGAGGGGCCGTGTCAGTAACAAAAACCGAGTAAACATGGCCTTTGGTGAAGTAAGTCACGGGAATTTCATCGGGTTAATCATAGCGACGCATTTCGGTCTCTACATGACCGTCTCGGCAACGTCTCTGCCGAAGCATCCAGAGGTGGCTGATCTGAGATATCTGGTGTCTATGCGCTGTCTGGCCATCACGCCAGATGCGGTCGGTCATGACAGGGAAAAGGAAAGAGTTGCGGGGCAATACTGCCTCGATGGTAATGAACTGCTGGCACATGTCACATAGAATACTAGCCAGAAGTGACGCTCGCAAGGGGAATAAAATAAAATAAAATAAAATAACCCTCATGTCGCTGGACAAGGCACAGAGCGTATCAAATGGTCCTTCCCCTTGAGCTTCTGAATCTTCTTCAACAGTTCCTCCTTCGTATATTTCGTGTGAATTTCGTAACACATGATAAGGGACAGGTACGTGTAGCACATCGTGGGCAGGTTGCTTCCCGTCACACTAGAAGAGGCCCTCGAGGCTCGGAGCGGGTATGTTCGAAACCCTGATAGAGACAGATAGTAGTTTAGCGGCAACGACATATATAGTTAGGACGTAAGTTGCCTGTGCCATCAATCCCTATAGGATGATTTCGAGATTATCATCGCCGAGCTGAAGTGATTTGCCTATCGATTTGGACGATTGAACTGGACCACCCCGTGGTAGCGCCCTTACCCAGTCCTCAAGGTTCTTCGAAGGACAGACTTGACAGTGAGGTAATAACTTGGCCTCCAACTTCGCGTATTGATGTTTTAGCTCCGCTAGTTGGGAATCCAATGCGCCACGCCTGACGGTCATATCTTGGAAGGTGGCTTTCAGCTTTGCCTCAGACTGCTTGCTTCGAGCGCGGTATTTGGCCGCAGCGTTTCGATTCTTCTCAAGGAACACCTTGCGTCGAGCCTGTTGATCCTCCTTGCTAACCACCACGAGTTTCTTTGACTTGCAAACTCTCCTGGCCTTCTTTCCTCTAACTAAGTCTTGCGTATCCGCCTCGCGCTTTGAGCCCTTCGTCGTCTCATTCCCAGCTTCCCGTGTCGGTAGAGCATCTGATGTTTCGGTAGTGAAGGGTGAGTCTGGCGGTAGCCTCGCCGTGTTGGACATCTCTTTTTTACAAGCTCCAGCAGGCCGTTCCAGTCGTGACAGTCTCAGAGGGTCTTCAGGCTGTGCCGCAAATGCACCCGGGCTCACGGGGTATGCCCTTACTGCCCAGTTATACAGATCTATTGTGGGCGACTGAGGCTTCGGAGCATCAGAGGCGTTGATTTGAGCCGTACCCGGATGCTTGAACTGATCTGTGGAACCTGTGGAACGAAGACCTAGGTCCTTGAGGGTTCTCCTAGTATCATTAAAGATAAAAGGGTCCTCTGGCTGTGACAAATCCGTATCGTGAAGAAACGTATCTGGATCGGCATCAAACTGCACGTATCCGGCTCCATTTCGATTTTCTGGTGGCTGGAGATTGATGTAATCCTGCTGTTCATATCCCAAGGACACCAATAATCGGAACTCTTCCGCAAAGGAGCTATAGCATCGGGTATTGGTTTCTGAATTATAAAGAAAGAACCCGAGTTGATCGTTACTAATGCTCGAATAGAGGGACTCGGGGACAGTGAGAGACGACATCCGTGAGGTAGGGAATAGTGCCCGAGGATGTATAACAGAACAATATCTATCGAGGTGCTAACAAAGAATGATGATCGGGTGAAGATTAAAGAATGATTGTAGTTAATTTGTGGGAGTAGCTGGAGATTGATGGAACCGCTCTCCCATGGCGAAGTATCAACTTAACACTTCGCTACGATGACATGACAGACATGGCCCTTGGACTATTCCAAGGTACGGAATACGACAGGATACAGGGAGAGAGCGGGGTATTGGCATTGTGCAGGGTCTTGCGATCAAAGCACTGAGAAGTTGCAACTGGAAGTGGCCTGACAATCATTGACACTTCAATGCAGCTACACGATACCGCGAGAGCGAAAGCAAGGAATTTCCATGGACGAGCGAGGGCCTCGCTGCCTCTACGCCACCATGCGCACCTCTGCAGAGTTCTAGGCCCTTTCGTTGAGGTCCTTTCAAAAGGGTACAGTAATTGACCTATGATATGTGTGGCGTCCATCCGAGGTCTGTACGCGTCCTTGAATGCGGTTCGTGCAATGCCTGACGACCTATCGGAATCCAACTGCTCCCAAGGTAAACGTGGCGTCGTATCCGATGACGGTCCCTGTGAGACTACTCAGCAGGTACTATACGGAAAATGAAGCTTGAAGTGGTTGTAGTGATTGGTACGTCTAAAGAGCAAGCAAAAGGTGTATGTACTCTATACGGAGGTACAGTCGCGAGATCTTATCAGTTTAATGCTGCTACCGTCGGAGGACCTATATAGCCTTGTCAAACAGAAAGGGGGGAAGTTCTGATAAACAGTCAAGATGCGCTTTAAGCTCTTGCCAAAGGCAAAAAGATGTTCAACGTTGAAGCAAGTGTCTAGCTAACCTTAAATACAGTAAGGTTACCGAGCGGAGCGCGCCGATGGACCGGGCAGATCTTGATCGGCTCAGTCAAACCGAAGGTTACCAGGTGGCAGGTAGAGTGAGCAGCAGTGGTACTACTGTACCTAGGTAGGCGGAAAGCTTGTCCGAAGAGAACAGCATGGGAATCTAGTTTGTACTTGGCGGCATTGTGATGGCATTGTACGAAGCAGCCAAGCATTTTCGATCCTTGCAGCTGAGGACATGATGGGGGACGTTCACACCACGTGATGTATTTTCACGTGATTGCATTTAACGTCATCTTGTTTGTTGGCAAATGTAGGTAGTCTTAGACTTGGTGTTGAGGTTACTTCTAGATTATTTATTTATACCGTCTAGAAGTAATGCATCCCATAGTCCAGAAGAGTTATCTATGTACCTTACAGACTAGGAAGTATATAATTAGAACATCACCCTTATCTCGCTCGCTAGATGCGCAACTACAACATCCAAACGTAAAGGTAGCTACTTACGGCTGATACTCAAAGCTCGATGCTCTTTTACGAACTGTCTACATATTACAGCCAGTGGTTCCCTATTCAAGTATATACCTATATTTGTACAGCGGATACAAATAAGTGCTCTCTGCCTTCAGGTGTGAGTTCTTCCCCAAGGCATCACAAGTTTTCTTCCCTCTTTTTAATCTCCAAAATGTTCTCATTATGTAGGCTACTTGAGGTAGGTACTTCTATATTCTAACAGGTGTATTTTCCAAATCTTTGAAACATAGTGGCTCTCATGTGATTGGGATGCAAGTTATCTAGTCGAGAGACTCGCTTTTTTGTTCTCTTTCAATTCCATCATAGTTGCGAGAAGGGATTCGGAACGAGGGTGCTCTTGAGAGCTTGTCAAATTAGTATTCAAAGGTTATGAAGACACTGTTCGGTGATCCCCGTTCACGTCTTTCGAGCTATCAATCCAGTCGTCTCTCCCAGAAACACGTGAGTTTGCTCCTCATGACGTTGACGAGAACAACGGACCCCTCCCGATCAAACGATCTATGAGACGTCCTTTCAACTCGAGATTATATCTAGTCGTTCTGCTGCTTTTTTCCCCTGGTGTTTCGCAAAGTGCTGCCTTTCATTCAACATGGAATTGAAAGTCCTCTCGTCTCTTCTTGTCCTTCTCAGGGCAGTGCAGCTCTGCGCTGCCTCTGTAATTCCTGGCCAGAAAGTAATTGGGGATAGCAATGAGAATTTCGACTCTATTCTGAAGTCGTAAGTAACCTATATCTTTCAAGTCCTAGCAAACGGAATATTAACCCAGATGAAGATTGAAGAAGGCTGACATCATTGACACTGTCGTCGATGATTTTACGCCCAAGTGCTTTATCTCGCCATATTATTCTGAAGAGACAAAACCAGTTGATTTAGGAAATACTCTAAAGCCGAAGAACACCAAGAAAAAGCCAACACTGAAAATCTTCTGTCCAGGAATGGGGGAGACTACAGGCCTCACAGTCGTGCTTACGGATCCAGATGCGCCGTCGAGGGAGGACCCGAAGTGGGGTGAAATGTGTCACTGGATTGCTATCACCAGTGGATATGCATTCAATCTCGAGCTCAGCAGTGGTGAGGTTGGAACGGACATTATAGAATGTATAATTCTCCTTCTCAGTCGTGTCCGAAAGGGTTCTGACAAAACTTGGATCTAGATAAACCTCCTGGTCCACCGCCAAAGACTGGTTATCACCGCTATGTGTTCCTTCTTCTGGAGGGGGATAACTCGAACTTGACAGCCCCTGAAGATAGGCGGCATTGGGGAACCGGGAAGAAAGGCCACGGAGTCAGAGATTGGGCCCAGAAGGAGAGCCTTCAAGTAATAGGAGCAAATTTCTTCTATGAGGAGAACAAGAAGCAGTGAAGGATCAGTCACTCGCGTTACATATAATAATATACTTCGCATCTCTCGAGGAGTGCGCAGTGAACAAATAGCATGAGTGATATCCTGTGAAGTAGATCCCGCCATACTAAAACCTGAACGTAGTTACTATCCCTCATGTGCTTATTGTACAACATCAATTCTCCGCATGCGCATCCATCCTTATGATACACTAAAAACGCTGGTCAGAAATCCATGTACAATCACTTCTTTTGTAGATGCCCCAATATAGCTCCTAATCTCCTAATGGCCTTCGTCTGCCCCGCCGCTGGTTCGCTACTTTGAAGTTCCTCGACCTCTTTGCGCGCCTCCTTTACAAGCGGTAGCAATCCTCCCCAAACTTCATCTGTGTACCGAGTCAAGACATCACCCCACTGCTCTCGCCATGCTTCTCTAGCAGCCAATTGCTGACCATCAATTCCAGGGTGCATTTGTGACGTAACAGCAGTCGCACCGAGATCCATTCCCTCGAAATTCGGAACCAAATTTAAGGGGTTTTCAGGAGAGATAGGTATGTGTGGCTCTGGTGGGGGGAGAATGTCCTTTGTCATCGCTCGAAGCTGGGTGATCTGCTCTTGCGAAAGTCCCCAATCGTAGTCCTCGTCATCTTCTGGTGGGGCCTCGAATGGATCGTGTATATCACCAGGGGCAGATAATATAGATATAACCTCTTCCCCGTCATGACTCTCCTGTTCGGCAACAGTTCGGTATCCGACGGGTCTGGATGAAATGGCATCTCCAGTACGCTGAGACCGAGCCCATACTTCTCCAAAGCCGCCACCCAGGCCTCCGGAGTGAATATCCCCAGGATTTTGAGACGGCGTGAAGGAATCTATCCCATCTAAGAATGAGGAGAACTCAGCCTCGGCCTGTCTCGCATGCTCCTCACTATGTCCAGCTCTGAAAGCATTGGATGCACTCGCTTGGTAGCTGGGTTGCTGAGATGCTCTGGAACTTTCAGCCCATGTCGAGCTGCCACCCGTCCCTGTACTCGATGATTGTCCCTTGCCAGCATTGGCAAGAGCTGCAGCAGCACTCTCACTCAGCTCGTTTCCACTTGGTCTTGCAAACGCACTGCGAGCCAGCCCGCTTGCCGATCCTGCAACTCGTGACACTAGTGACGGGTCTTGAGGAGGAGGTTCATCTGGACGAGTCCCTTTCGCGTCTTTGTCGTGGTGGGCACGACCTTTGCCTTTATCATCGCTCATTGGGATAATATTGTTGGTTTGTCCGCAGCGGGGAGGTTCGCTCTGTCTACTTTATCATGTGAACCTCGGCACGTGACTTTATCCCTCCGGAGAGGGATGTTGGATCAGAACATGCATTCCTTTGTCGCTCCGTCTCACGGGGTATGGAGGATAGGTATTCATAGTATTTGTATGTAGCGCTTTACAGAATTAGTTCATGACCGTCAGGAGGAAAGATATTGTATGCAGCGTTGCAGAGACCAATATGTACTGTATGATAGGTGGTTGGTTGGCTGTATCTGTGACTAAAGTATGCCAAACCAGGATGGATACTGTAGATGGGAGAGCGTCTTGATAAAGCTCTCACCTTTTTTTAGAAGAAAAAAAGAAAAGAAAAGAGGAATCAATTAGGTTCGCGCTCTGATAAAGAATCTAAGAATCAAAGCGGCTCCAGCTTCCAGGTACTTTCGTTCCTGACAGTCGATCCTCGTCATCATCTTTATTTTTGAGCCTTGTTGAGGCTGCTCGTCACTACCCGCCAAGGATCGATCCCAAACCCCACGACAACGCGCAAAAGTAACCTCGACCACAGATCGCAGCCCCATCCCCATCGCCTCATCACGTCCACACTTGAATTCCTTCCGACACTCTCTATTCCAGCTCGCCAGAGTCCGCCATCCACTTCGGAAGAAGCCTTTGAGCCGCCGTGGGCGCACACCGATTCTTCCTTTCATCCACATCCAGCTTCGGGAAATCCGCCTTACCTTACCCTTGCTTGTCTAATAAGCTTGCCTCAGCCTCTCCTACCTCAAGGGTCCTAGGAGCTCTTGAACCTCGACACGATCAAGCCTGCATACTGTCTGTCACGGGTAGCAGATTCGGCATAATACACCTGTTGGCGAGGAACTCTTCTCCTCCACACGGGTCCTAAAAGATGGTAGAAGGGGAAGCGAACTCTCCAACGTGGAAGTTCACACAGTCAGTATTCCCGATAACCTCTCTGAGCCCGGGCTTCCCTATGTTGATGGCGTGTACCGGCCTCTGGTCTGTGGTACCGTCCGTGCCATGGAGGGAAATGCTGCGGGGTTCTACAACTGTGCTAACGCCTGGATTAGATGTTTTGGTGATAAGGGCGATGTAGAGGATATCACAGAAGGTCCGTCGTTTTCATTTGAAGCACGACATGCAACTTCTATTGCTTCCACCTACAATACTTTGACCCCCGATCCCCCATATGCCTTTCATAAAAAGCTAACAGGTCTGTGATCTGCAGCGGATATCATCTCAACCGTCGAGTTCGATCATACCGGCAACTACCTTGCAACCGGTGACAAGGGGGGCCGAGTTGTGCTTTTTGAAAGAAACGAGACGGTATGCAGAGCCTTTGGTGGAAGCAGAGACCCCAACAGCAGTGCAGAAGAACTGACGTTATCTAGAAAAAAACATGCGAGTACAAGTTCCATACCGAGTTCCAATCTCACGAACCCGAATTCGACTATCTCAAATCCCTCGAAATAGAAGAGAAGATCAACAAGATCAAATGGTGCCGGAGACAAAATGCTTCCCATTACCTCCTTTCTACAAACGACAAAACAATCAAATTATGGAAGGTCTTTGAGAAGTCCTTGAAGGTGGTGGCGGAGAACAACCTTTCCCATGATTTGACTCCTGGGAACGTTCCAGGGGGTGGAGGTGCTGTTCGATCTATGTCAAATGTCCATTTCACAGGTCCCCACGACCTGAAATTACCACGCCTTACCCATCACGACACTGTCGTTGCGGCAGTACCCCGACGAACTTACGCTAATGCTCACGCATACCATATCAACAGCATATCGGTAAACAGCGATGGAGAGACATTTATTAGCAGTGATGACCTGCGAATAAACCTCTGGAACTTGAATATTCAGGATCAAAGTTTCAACATTGTTGACATTAAGCCTGCTAACATGGAGGAGCTGACAGAAGTTATTACGGCTGCAGAGTTCCATCCACTGAGCTGTAATTGGTTCATGTATGCAAGCTCAAAAGGCACCATCAAGCTTGCAGACATGCGAGAGAGCGCTCTGTGTGATCAACATGCTAAGCGTAAGTGATGATTCGGGAACTGAGAGACACACCACTAACACATTTGGCCATAGAATTTGAACAGGAGGAGGATCCCTCTTCTCGCTCCTTTTTCTCGGAAATAATATCATCCATCTCTGATGTCCGATTCTCACACGACGGTAGATACATTCTCTCACGAGATTATCTCACGGTCAAAATCTGGGATGTGAATATGGAGCGTCAGCCTGTCAAGACGATCCCAATACACGAGCATCTCCGCCCCCGTCTCTGCGACACCTATGAGAATGATAGCATCTTCGACAAATTCGAAGTCGTCTTCTCCGGAGATGCCAAGAATGTGATGACCGGCAGTTATAATAACAACTTCATGATTTATCCCTCAGACCCGGATAAAGAAGTGGAAGTGGTTCTTCAAGCCGACAAATCCGCCTTCAAGGCCAAGAAGGTCGGCATACCCACGCCAATCAACTCATCCGCAAGTCCCACATCTACGAATGGAAGCAAGAAGGGTGGTTCTAGAGCAGGCAGTCCCGCAGCGGGTGCACCTGGTCAGGGAGGTAGAATGAGGAAAGAGACCGATGCCGACCAGATTGATTTCAACAAGAAGATCTTACATATGAGCTGGCACCCATTCGAAGACAGCATTGCTATTGCAGCGACTAACAATGTAAGCATGGCCCTGGGTCGAGGCCTAAGAAGGCTCGCTAATAGTGCTCTAGCTCTTTGTGTTCTCTGCATTGTAGAAATGGCGCGATATGGAAGAATCCCTTGGGTATACTGTATCGGCGTTTCCGTGCGTGCCTGGCTACAACCTTCCCGATCCTTTGTCCCCGGATTCCCCATTCGTCATCCTCTAGACTTTGCCTGTCATGAGAAACGAGCACATAGCGTATCATGGATTGTAGGAAGATTTTTGCCACGACCAATCCGTGAAAGGCTGGTCAACGTGGATGCGTGGTTGATGGTCGTTGTTAGGGCTGTCGGGGGGGCTCTTCTCTGGCTGCCGAACTCTTCGACGAGGCATCTTATGGATGACAGGATTCTGCAGCGGTCATTGGAACTTTGGGCAGGGTTTCAGCGACTGAGCACACTAGTCAACTCGCAGATGAATAATACAAGAGATTCCCAAGTACGGACAGTCGTCGTGCGAGGTGGTGAGACACTGTATCCATCTATTATAAGTAACACAACAGGTCTCGACAATATACATGGTGTGCTGTTGTGGGTGTAATCCAGAGAGGAGTTGAGGTATGTACAATTCGCCAAGAGGTGATAGGTAGATTGCAATTGCACTGGTTGCCTATCGATCGTATCGTAACGTAGGCACCGTATGTACATACAATAGGTAGGGAAGAACCGTAGGTGCCAACTCCCAAGCCCTTGCAACCGCTCAGCAGGATCCAGTGCCCGCGATCGAGGGGAGGGCGATTGTGCCTGGCTGGCTTCTGCAGCGGGTGGCTCCCGAGACCTGCTTGGGTAGCCTTGGCTGGACCTTAAGACATTTAAGCATAATTCAACCTGACCGCGGCGGGATCCTCTAAATACCAAAAGGACTAAAGGCCATGTCCATTTCCCTCCAGCAGCCAGTGATCGACGATTAGAAGCTGCGCCTGGCAACAGTACCTGGCAGCGCCCCCCAGCCACCACCCGGCTACGACCGGCAATGGTGGCGCCCTGCGCACTAGAGACCCGCTGCGCTGCCATTTTGCCTTTGCTCACTCACACGAATCATGCCGGTCGACTTTACGGTACTTGACTTCTGTACCTTTCTTCCCTTACGGGACTCCCTGCTTTGCCCGGTCTGCGTCTCGGCATTGATGCCTTACCTCGTCTGATCGAATGATCTCCCACCGCAAGTCTTCCCAGTAAGTGCTAGTCGTCGCCCGCCCCGTGTCCCCGTCTCTAGGTCAGCATGCGAAAGGAGGATCAGGTACCGCGTTACAACTATCTGGTCCCTTACACGTGTCACGAAATCTCTTGCCCGAATCAGACACGGCAGAAGCAACGCGCTGCTGCCAGTCACCGTCTGGATGGCGAGAAAACGCAGGACTGACTCTGGCAGCATTCCGTCGACCTCCATGCCCATCCCTCGACGACGAGCAATGCTGAGAGACCTCCAAGCTTCTGCCTCCTCGGACGGAGACGTCATCGTGCCCAAGGTCATCAATGCCGCCCCGTCTTTGGAAAAGGCGGAGATGTACGGTATAGACGACCAGCGGCCGGCCTCCTCAAGGATGATGGCCCTGGCGGGGCGCATTTTCATCGAAACAATTCCACAATGGCTTGCGGCGGGGGGTATGCTGGCGCTGATATTCGGGGGCTGTTGCTCAAATGTGAGTGGCTGCTGTGCTCGATTCGATCACTGGAGTAAGAGAGGGAAAGCTCACGAATGACAACAGGTCTTCGCGCTGGAAGCTATTGTGAAGTAAGTCGAAAGGGCCCTCTAATTTGATTTTCTCCCTTCCAGAGAAGTGCTGACAGTCCCACTTCAGAGTTGAACCAGACAGCGGTATGCTCGCGCATCCTTGACCTTCCCCCCAATGACTGCTCTGACATCCTCAAGGGACGCTGTTGACTTTCGTACAATTCCTTTTCGTTGCCGTCACAGGCTATATATCGCAATTCGATCAGGACAGGCCCCCCTTATTCCTCAGACCGAACCGTGTTCCAATTCGCCGCTGGATGTTCAATATACTCTTGTTCTTCACGATCAACGTTTTGAACAATCACGCATTCAGCTACAATATTTCAGTCCCCATACATATTATACTTCGCTCAGGAGGCAGTATTACTACTCTGGCGGCCGGTTTTCTATGGGGCAAGCGGTTCTCGAGGATACAGGTGATTGCAGTCACACTCTTGACAATTGGGGTGATCATTGCAGCTTGGTCGGACCAGCAATCGAAGGTGTGTGCTACGCTCTTATTTGTGCTGTATTTGGCTAATAATCGTTTCAGAAAGATGTACAGACCTCGCAAGAAACGCCACCTTTCAGCACAGGGCTTGGCATCCTCTTCTTGGCCCAGGTATTGTCGGCCATCATGGGCTTATATACAGAGGAAACGTATAAAGAATACGGGCCGCACTGGAAAGAAAACCTATTTTACTCGCACCTACTCGCCTTACCCCTATTCCTACCTTTCCTCCCTGCCATGAGGAGACAATTTCTAAAATTAGCGGCCTCGGCGCCCCTAGGCATGCCGTCGTACGAATCATTTTCGAACCTCCCCGTGGATGTACGGGAAGGGTTGAACAGAATTTACATTCCAAGTCAGCTTGCCTATCTTGTCATGAATGTCTTGACTCAGTATGCTTGCATTCGAGGGGTCAATCTTCTTGCTTCAGCAGCCTCGGCACTTACGGTCACGATTGTGCTCAATGTCCGGAAGTTGGTCAGTCTGCTGCTGAGCATTTGGTTATTTGGCAATAGATTATCGCCAGGAACATTACTTGGTGCAGTCATTGTATTTTTTGCAGGAGGGATGTATGGATTAGAGGGTAACAAAAACCCTAGTCGATCGAGACATAGGGTCAGCGCGAGCAATAGCAAAGTAGGATAGAAGCCATGCAAGGTAGGGGATAGTCCATAAGAAAAGAGAAACAATCAGCAAGTATTTTGTTCAATCTGCCCTGCAGTCCTTCGTGGTGATACCCCTCCATGAATTGGCTCTGGAAGGAAAGAATAGCCGAGAGATTCTTGTTGAACGAGTCGCGCGGCTCAATAAAACGCGTGAAATGCACAGGACCATATTATCGATTCCTAAAAAAAGGTTGTAATACCGGAACACGACATGATATCCTTTGATGGACGGTGTGCTGTCGATTCTGGTCTATCAGCTGATTATCCGTTGGGCTGGCGCTGATTATTTCTTTGTTGCCATTGGGAATCTCTCCAGATAGATAAACCACATCGGTACCAACATAATGGGCGGTAAGAACAGCTGCTTGACAACCTCATTCTGAACCTGCGCTTCTTCAATCCCCTTAACACGTATTACACAGCTTCAACGATGCTAATAGAATCACCAGGGGCACGGTCACAAAGCGTACCCTCCGAGTTGGATTCTCCCAAGATGACTTCCGCGGGGCCTGCACATCATAACGAAGACGAAGACTACAGAAAGGAACGAGATGATAGCGACGCAGGGTCAAAAGAATCATCGGATGACAAACACGGTGGGACTTCTGCAATGCTCCCAGATGCAGCCATGGGGCCAGATGGAACCCCGGATATAAGTACTCCCTCAGATACTCAGGAAGAACTGCTACCTCGAGACGTCCAGAAAAAGACGGCGTATTATGACTATGCCGCTGAGAAGCAGTTGAGTCAAGAAGACGCCAAGCTCTTCTATCAGCGAAGCAAATTGGAGGCTCAGAAGACGGGTGGGAGCAATTGGGGAACAACTACACAGACCTCGCCACTTGGAAGCCCGGTCATACCCCCACGGAATCTTTCAAATGTTGTCGACTCGGAGAGCACTGGGATGAGAAGAACCGGAAGCATGGCCTCATTGCACAGTGGGCGTAATGCGATACCAGGGTCAGTGTTGGCGTTTCTCCTTGTCAGAACATACGAACTGACAGCTATAGTTACGGGCGATATAAGGCTGCTGCACCTGTTGGCTTGGCTGACATGGGAAAGTCCCCCGAGAGCAACATTATACAAGAGCCAAACGCCGGAACAGTTCTTCCAGACAACCATGGCATATCCCATCATCGAAGAGAATCTCTCCTTCGTGCAGACCAAGCCGCTAGAGATCATGCTATTCACCCTGACCTTCCGCATGAGCACAAGCCGCTACTTGCAATGGAAGGGCTACATGGAGCAGGTGCTGGCGTTGGTATTGGGCCTGGGGGTTTTGTGGACAGTGACGCCCATGTCACATCCGAGCTGAGCACCATCTACACAAACATCCAAAGGGTCTTGGATATAAGGCACAAATATATAAGGTTATCCTTGCAGGGGGAGGGTGATAACCCGAAGGACGATCCAAATTGGAACATCTACCCTCCACCCCCCGAGCCGGCCTGGTACGAAGAGGGAGATCGAACCAATCTAGCAACAAATGGTATGAACAGCCAAAGCAATAGCCTGGCAAATAGTATGGTTCTGCCACAAGAAAAGCCACACATGCAAGGTACCAATCAGCCCAGAAATGTCAGCTCTTCCTCAAGCCAAGCAGCGCAAACTCCCAAGGCATCTCGTCCTAAGCGGAAACCAGGTCAGGATATTGGGGAGGACTTTTATATGGAGGATCTCTTGCCAGTTCCAGGACCCGGGGAAATGACTTTCCGTCTCGACGCGAACGGTGTTTACCAAGTATACGAAAACTCCAAAGCGGAGGAACTTGATACGCCTGTCATCAATGTACCTACCATCCGAGAGTTCTATATGGATTTGGAGGCAATCCTAGATGTTTCTTCGGACGGGCCAAGCAAGAGTTTTGCCTTTCGTCGATTGCAGTATCTCGAAGGCAAGTTCAATCTCTACGTTCTTCTGAATGAGTATCAGGAGATGGCGGACAGCAAACGTGTACCACACAGAGATTTTTACAATGTCAGGAAGGTGGACACTCACGTTCATCATTCGGCGTGCATGAATCAAAAGCACCTGTTGCGATTCATCAAGAGCAAAATGAAGAAGTGCCCAGACGAGCTAGTGATGTTCAGAGATGGCAAGGAACTTACTTTGGAGCAAGTCTTCCAGAGTATCAACCTGACCGCGTATGATCTCAGTATCGACACACTGGATATGCATGTTCGTTTTGACCAACGCCCGAATAACCTTCTAGCAGCTGATTTTCTATAGGCCCATACCGACTCCTTTCATCGATTCGACAAGTTCAATCTTAAATACAATCCAATTGGAGAATCCAGGCTGAGAACCATTTTCCTCAAGACGGATAACTACCTCAAAGGCAGGTACCTGGCCGAGATCACGAAAGAGGTCATCTCTGATCTGGAATCGAGCAAATACCAGATGGTTGAGTGGCGAATTTCCATTTACGGCAGAGCCATTGACGAGTGGGACAAACTTGCAGCCTGGGTTGTCGACAACAAGTTGTTCTCTCACAACGTCCGCTGGCTTATTCAAGTCCCTCGTTTGTTTGATGTCTACAAATCTAGTGGATTGATGGACAATTTCGAGCAAGTCATTGTGAATCTCTTCCAACCACTCTTCGAGGTTACCAAGGACCCGTCGAGCCACCCAAAGCTCCATATATTTCTCCAGAGGGTTATTGGGTTTGATAGTGTTGATGATGAGAGCAAGACTGAACGCCGGCTGTATAGAAAATTTCCGGTACCAAATGTATGGGATTCGAAGCAAAATCCTCCATACAGTTACTGGATCTACTATTTGTTTTCCAATATGGCTTCGTTGAATGTCTGGCGAAAGCAACGCGGCTTCAATACATTCGTACTACGTCCACATTGTGGTGAAGCTGGTGATACCGATCATTTGGCAGCAGCTGTACTCTGCTGCCATAGCATCAGTCACGGTCTCTTGCTAAGAAAGGTCCCACTGCTTCAATACATATTCTACTTGGAGCAGATTGGAGTCGCCATGTCCCCTCTTAGCAACAATGCACTCTTTTTGGCTTATGAGAGAAATCCTTTCTTGCAATACTTTAAGAGGGGTCTCAATGTTTCGTTGTCTACGGATGATCCTCTTCAGTTTGCTTTCACGAAAGAGCCACTTATCGAAGAGTATTCGGTAGCAGCGCAAATATACAAGCTTAGCGCTGTTGATATGTGTGAATTGGCAAAGAATTCGGTCAAGCAAAGCGGCTTTGAATATGCTCTCAAGCAAAGATGGCTAGGTCCGAATTTCCATCTACCCGGGGTTAGAGGCAATACTATGGCCAAGAGCAATGTTCCCAACATTCGAGAAGGCTTCAGGCACGAGACGCTACTACAGGAGCTAGCAATGTGAGTCCTACTACTATGGCGATTTCGGCAGCTGAACTTTTTTGGAACCTCAGAACTGACGATATCAGGATTGAGCGCTACACGTCCGCAGCTCCAGGGATCCCAACTGCGGCCAAACCTGAGCAGACTGCCTCTGCTTTGGAGACACACGCAGCTTCTCCAACTTCTTCCTTGAGAACGAATATATCGTCCAGCGTTGTCCATGGTGACAGTCATCCATATCAGCAATTCCCCGCTCAGGCGGCGCGCCTCCGTGCGTCTCACTCTCAAGCCCAGCTCAACGCTCAAGACTCTCAAGCAACTAGCAGCCCCCTCCAACGGCCTGTCTCCCGAGACCCCACAGGCGAAAATTCCGGCGTGACATCTGCCCCCTTGGCGGTGACGAAAGAGAGTAGCTGGCCCGCCGAGCACTTCGCCGATCGCCACATATCTGCAACCGAGCCTCGAATCTTCCCAGGCATCGTTAGTAGGAATCACAGGCGGCAGAGCTCGGTCCGTAAGAGTAGTATGAGCGAGACGGATGATCATGCGAGTGCATCCGCGAGCCGAAAAAATGGGAAGAGTCCGGGCAAGAATAATCTAGATAGTGCGGTAGAGGAACAGGAGAATGACACGGATGTCGAGGAGGCGGGTAGCTTGGATGGATAAAACTTCTTGTGGCAGAAGAGCGTATCGGGCGTTCAGTAATTGCGGATAATCATGGAAGGTTTTTACGAGGGAGGAGTTACGTGAGGGTACGGGCCAACTAGACCTTGAGGACTAAATGCCCAGGTCTTAATACGGATGATAACATACAGGACGACGTGCCTATTAATTCGCTTGTGCTGTAGCAGCAAGATAACTTCATACGTGTAATAGTATCATTTGGATCTGCGTCAGCTCGGATTTGCTATAGTAACAAAACCCCCTTTCCTCAACTCTATGTCCACGTGAAGTCGCTACTTGACAAACCACCGCTTTGATCAACTAAGCCAGTCAAGAGAACGACTCTCCCGCCCTCGAATCGTGCGCAGAACTGGCTACATGCGGGGGGGGGGGGGGGGGGGGGGGGTGTGGAGTCTTC